TAGGAGTTTATGGATGAAATTAGGGGATAATAATTCGAAGTACTTTCATGCTCTCACCAAACAAAGACGGGCAAGGAATCGAATTACGGGTTTACATAACGAAAACGGGATTTGGTCCGTAGAGGATAAAGATATTCAAAATATAGCGGTATCTTATTTTAAGAATTTATTTACTACAACTAAGCCTGATGCTTTTGAGGAAGCCCTGACAGAGGTTCAAACTCTGATTACGGATCAGACTAATAATTTTCTAACGGCTCCTGCAACGGAGTGTGAGGTGAGATCGGCTCTGTTTATGATGCATCCGGAAAAAGCACCAGGGTCGGATGGTATGACAGCTTTATTTTTCCAAAAGGCTTGGGTTACTATAAAAGCAGATCTTCCTTTTCTGGTCAACTCTTTCTTAGAGGATGGAATTTTTGATAAACGGTTAAATACGACTAATATTTGTCTGATCCCAAAGACGGAAAGACCAACACGGATGACAGAATTACGGCCTATAAGTCTTTGCAATGTTGGTTATAAAATTATATCAAAGATTCTTTGTCAAAGACTAAAGACGGTTCTACCTGCACTAATCTCAGAAACACAATCGGTTTTGTAGAAGGTCGTTTGATTTCGGATAATATTCTCATTGCACAAGAGATGTTTCATGGGTTGAGAACTAATATGTCCTGTAAAGGGAAATTCATGGCTATTGAAACGGACATGAGTAAGGCTTATGATAGGGTGGAATGGAAGTTTATTGAGAAGGTTTTAAGTAAATTGGGTTTTTGTGAAAAATGGATTAATTGGATAATGTGGTGTATTACAACAGTCCAATATAGAGTTCTCCTTAATGGACAACCTCGAGGACTAATAGTACCAGAAAGGGGGTTACGACAAGGAGACCCGCTTTCGCCCTATTTATTTATCCTCTGCACTGAAGTGCTAATTGCGAATATTCGGAAAGCAGAACGGAAAAAATTAATTACAGGTATCAAAGTAGCAAATGCAAGCCCTTCGGTTTCACATTTGTTATTTGCGGATGACAGTTTATTTTTTTGCAAAGCTAATAAGGATTAGTGCGGGGTTATTTTGGGGATTTTAAAGAAGTATGAAGCGGTCTCCGGACAGCAGATTAATTTTCAAAAATCCTCGATTCAATTTGGACATAAGGTAGATGATGCTATCAAGGAAGATATCAAAGCCACCTTGGGTATCACTAATATCGGTGGTATGGGTTCTTATCTCGGATTGCCGGAGAGCTTGGGTGGCTCGAAGACAAAGATTTTCTCTTTTGTTAGAGATAGGTTACAAACCAGAATTAATGGCTGGTCGGCAAAATTTTTATCGAAAGGTGGGAAAGAAGTCATGATTAAATCGGTAGCTGCAGCATTACCAACTTATGTTATGTCATGCTTCAGACTACCGAAAACGATCACTTCTAAACTTACTAGTGCGGTTGCTAATTTTTGGTGGAGTTCAAATGGTGATTCTAGAGGTATGCACTGGATGACCTGGAATAAATTATGCAATAGCAAATCGGAAGGGGGTTTGGGTTTCCGGAATGTAGATGATTTTAATTCAGCATTATTAGCTAAACAGTTATGGCGGTTGATCACGGTCCCGGATTCTCTTTCTGCAAAGGTCTTTAAAGGGCGGTATTTTCGGAAATCCAATCCTTTGGAGAATATAAAATCATACTCCCCATCATATGGATGGAGGAGTATATGCTCAACTAGATCTCTGGTTAATAAAGGACTTATTAAAAGAGTCGGATCTGGGACATCTATCTCAGTTTGGGAGGATCCCTGGATTCCAGCTCAATTCCCGAGACCAGCAAAAAGTAATGGTTCAATTGCAGACCCATTATTAAAAGTTCACAACCTTATCGATAGCCGGTCTAACTTTTGGAATATTGATCTCTTAAAAGAGACCTTTGATCCTGAAGATGTCGCGCTAATAATCGCTCTTCCAGTGGGTGCGCCAACGAGGGAAGATACCCTGGGTTGGCACTTTTCAAAATCTGGCAAATATATAGTTAAATCGGGTTATCATACCACACAGATAGAAAAGTCGGAGACCAATTTTTCGTTTATTGGTCCAGATATCAAACCGCTTAAAGCACACTCTTGGCAAGTGCAATGCCCACCGAAAATACGACATTTTTATGGCAAATTTTAAACGGTTGTGTACCGGTTACGGAAAATTTGCGGAAAAGAGGAATGGATTGTGACACAGAGTGTGCCAGATGTGGTGCATCAGAGGAAACAATCAATCATACACTATTCCAGTGCCACCCGGCACGGCAGATTTGGGCGCTTTCACAGATTCCAACGGCTTTGGGAAATTTTCCCACGGAATCAATTTTTGCAAATTTGGATCATTTATTTTGGAGAATACCTTCAGACTATGATTCTTCAGCTTTTCCATGGATTATATGGTATATTTGGAAAGCAAGGAATGAAAAAAATCTTTGAAAATATAGATAAAGATCCGTTAGAGGTATTACGGTTAGCAGAAAAAGAGGCACAATTATGGCAAGCGGCTCAATTAGAGCTCCAAGAAGAAAATCATGGTTATGTTGTTTCGACAACTCGATCCCGAGTGCGGGAGGTTTCTCTTGATTCGAATTATTCAGGGTACCGTTGCTTCGTGGATGGATCGTGGAAAGGAAGTGATAAGTTCTCCGGTACAGGGTGGTTCTGTACATCGTCAAATGGAGAGCCGCCAACCATGGGAGCTGCCAACCTCCGTATAAGTCTGTTTTCCCTACATACAGAAGTCGAGGCCCTTCTCTGGGCGATGAAGTGTATGATTGGTGCAGATAATCAAGAGGTGGCGTTTTATACAGACTATTCTGATCTGGTGAAGATGGTGTCTTCTCCAACTGAATGGCCGGCGTTTTCAGTGTATTTAGAGGAATTTCACAATGACAAGGAAGAGTTTTCAAGCTTCTCTTTATCTTTAATTTCTCGTAGTGCTAATGTTAAAACGGATAATCTGGCACGAAAAGTTCGTACAGAGCCGTCTCACATCACTTATGTAAACAACATTCCTCAGGAATGACTCTTTTGAGCTTATAATTAATTACGGATGACAAAAAAAAAATACCAACAAGTTGGAAAAAAAAAAACTAAAGATGTGTTTTAGACTTTTAGTACGTTTTAAAAAAAAAATCGCAAATCTGAAAATTGGTATAGAGTAACATTGATTAAAAAAAGGGAGACTCACAAAAATGCCCCTTTTTCAATACCCCTTTTCAAAAATGTCCCTTTTGGCTGTCCATTTTTAAAAATACCCCTTTTATGTACAAAATGACTAAATTACCCTTCTTTTAATAAAAGATATCACAAATATATAAGAAAATATAACAAAATTAGGTCCACAAAATACAAAATATTTTTTGGCGGGAAAAGTGATCCCGCAATTTTTCCCGCCAAAACACTTGTAAAAACTTGTAAAACCTTTAAAATACCTTGTAAAATTTTCCCGTAAAATTTTTTCCCGCCAAAAAATTTTCACGCCAAAAAATGTTTTTGCGGGGAAAGTGATTCCGCAATTTTTTTGGCGTTAAATTTTTGGCGGGAAAAGTTTTGGCGAAAAAAATTTACAAGGTATTTTAAAGGTTTTTTACAGGGTATTTATAAGGTTTTACAATGCATTTTAAAAGGTTTTACAACGTATTTATAAGGTATTTATAAGATATTATAAGATTTTACAAGTTTTTTTATAAAGTTTTACAAGTTATAAATACCTTATAAAACCTTATAAGTACCTTGTAAAACCTTTTAAAATACATTGTAATTGTAAAACCTTACAAAACACTTGTAAATACTCCGTAAAACCTTTAAAATATCTTGTAAATTTTTTCCGCCAAAAATTTTCCCACCAAAAAAATTTCGCCAAAAAAATTGCGGAATCACTTTTCCCGCAAAAAAATTTTGTTTGGCGGGAAAAATTTTTACGGGAAAATTTTACAAGGTATTTTAAAGGTTTTTACAAGTGTTTTGGCGGGAAATTTGCGGGATCACTTTTCCCGCCAAAAAATATTTTGTATTTTGTGGACCTAATTTTGTTTCAAATAAGGGTAAAATGATCATTAAAAATTAAAAGAGGGCAAACTTAAAAATGGACTCTCAAAAAAGGCATTTTTGAAAAAGGATATTGAAAAAATGATATTTTTAACAATTTCTCTTAAAAAAAACTGAGGGTGTGACTAATATACTAGCGAAATCACTTTCCAATCTGTTTCTTCTTATATTTCAGGCTTTGTTTGTTCTGATTCCTTCCTCCTCATAACTCTTTCTTCTAGTTTTCTTTGGTTGTATTGGTCTTTTCTTGTTCTGTAAACGTTCTCTTTATTTAATTAAGAAAACCTTTTAACAAAAAAAAGAAATCACTTTCCAAAACATGGAAATTACTAAGTAGTATACCACACCTTAATCTTAGAAATCAGAGAATGTTTTCACTATTTTATGTTTAAATGAAAAAAAAACTATATGGTATTTAATATGTCTGAAATTACTCGGAGTTTTAATTTCTTGCTTATAGAAAAACAGTAGTGGAACTTTCCAAAACACACTGATACAGAAGAAAAAAAAAATGAAAAGTGTGGCATTAAATACAATCTAACCCGCACTATGATAAAACTTGTAAGCATTATTCTTCTTTGCGGATAAGCAAACAAATAGAAGAATTACAAAAGTATAATCCCAAAACTTTTATTAATGCAATTTTTGATTAAAAAAAATTCTGAAAAATTATCGTAAACTGACATTATCAAAACCAATGTTTATTATTTCAAGATAATTTCTTTTTGGGTATTCGAGATGACATTTTTTTTTTTGGATAACGATTCAAGATGACTAATTGTCTGTATATTTTCTTGACAATTGGTTTTGTTGGGGGTGATATTTGAATTATTTGTAAATACAGGGGTCTTTATAGAAAACGTTGAAAGAAAGGGACAAAAACTGAAAAAGGAATAAAAGGACAGAAAAAAAATAAAAGGGCCAGCCAAACTCCAAAGGCACACCACCATTGAACTTCCCCTCCTCCGTCTATCACACGCAAGTAGTTCACCCTCTCTCTATCTCTTCGCCACAAATCGCCGATTTGCTCCGGATAATCTGAATCTCGAAATCAAACGATGTTTTGCGATTGCTTCTACTGGAACAAATCAATCACCGAGTTGGAATCGGAATCGTCCGAGTCAAAGCCCTTCTCGCTTCCGTCTCCTCTCCCTCGATGGCCACAAGGTACAGTACTATCATCTTTATTGGAAATTTCTAATTATCAAACTGTTTACTTTAGGCTTCTATTTTTATTTCTAATTTTGGATATTTTCATGATTTTTAATCAAAATTGATGTTTAATTTTCCATATCATCATGATACTCAGTGTTGTTATGTTTTCTTAATTGTAAAATTCGTTTGAATATTCAACATTGGCACCTGTTGTTGTCTGTTTTACTGGTTCCTCGTTACACATTTGATTCAAGGTTTTTGTTCCATGGTCAACGTTACTGAACTATAATAACATTTAATTGAACTGAAGAGAAAATGTTGTACGGTTCAACATTATTACTATTAGTTACTGACTTTTCAGCTAATTAATCTTCACATGTTTTGCTACAAGGTAGGTTTTTGAGCTTCAATAATGTATGTATGACCTCAGATAAAGACTTATTATTTATTAATGTAGCACGATGAAGATGGATATGGTATATTACTCTATCATAGTGTAGACATATTTTGATGATTCTTTAATTCTTTATCAAGTCCCAACAACCCCGTTGGATAATGTTGAGTAATGGTTGATGATGATAACGTGTTGATAACTCAATTGTGTCGTTGTGGTTATTCTATCTTAGTTTAGAATGCTGTCAAATTATCTTTCATTTGAATCCGAATTGGAATTTTTGTCTATAATGTTGGTTTGCCTTTGTTTCAGGCAGCGGTTTTGCTACCGGAAGGATAAATCTTGGAGAAATCCAAGTGGTGAAAGTCACCGAGTTCGATAGAGTTTGGAAATGTGGCAGGTCGCGTGGTAAATCGAGTTGCGCCTCTTTTTACAAACCCGTGGGGATACCTGAAGGTTTCCATTGCCTTGGTCATTATTGTCAGCCAAACAATCAGCCATTGAGAGGCTTCGTTCTTGCAGCTCGGGCTAACGAGCCCGGTCATCTTGCGGATGATCATCGCCCTCCCTTGAAAAAACCTGTGAATTATTCTTTAGTTTGGAGTTCAGATTCAGATTGCTACTTCTGGTTGCCTAATCCTCCGGTTGGTTATAGAGCCGTGGGAGTTATTGTCACTGATGGATCAGAGGAGCCTGAAGTTGATGAAGTGAGATGTGTAAGAGAGGATCTTACGGAGAGTTGTGAAACCGGTGAGAAGGTTCTTGGTATGGGATCTTTTAATGTCTGGAGCACTAAACCGTGCGAGACAGGTATTTGGTCTCGGGGAGTGGAGGTTGGGTCATTCTTTTGCTCTACTAATGATATGTCTTCTAATTATAAAGCTGCCATGAACATTGCGTGTTTGAAAAATCTCGATCCGAGCCTACATGGTATGCCAAATCTTGACCAGGTCCATGCACTTATTCAGCATTATGGACCGATGGTCTACTTCCATCCCGAAGAGACTTACATGCCTTCGTCTGTGCCATGGTTCTTTAAAAACGGAGCTTTGTTGTATCGGTCTGGGAAATCGCAAGGCGAACCGATTAATTCTACGGGCTCAAACTTGCCTGCGGGTGGAGAAAACGATGGGAGCTTCTGGATTGATCTCCCTGAAGACGACGAAGTTAGAAGTAATCTAAAGAAGGGAAATCTAGAAAGCTCAGAGCTTTATGTCCACGTGAAACCCGCACTTGGCGGGATTTTCACAGACATTGTGATGTGGATTTTCTGTCCATTTAATGGCCCTGCCACACTCAAAATCGGGCTTCTCACCGTACCCATGAACCGCATTGGAGAGCATGTTGGTGATTGGGAACACTTCACTTTCCGGATAAGCAATTTCAACGGCGAGCTTACACAAATGTTCTTCTCGCAGCATAGTGGTGGAGGATGGGTTGATGTATCGGATCTTGAGTTTGTCAAAGGAAGCAACAAACCGGTTGTCTACTCATCCAAACACGGCCACGCGAGTTTCCCACACCCCGGAATGTATCTTCAAGGCCCGTCGAAGCTTGGGATTGGAGTGAGAAACGATGTTGCAAAAAGCAAGTATGCGGTGGATTCTAGTCAACGTTACAGAATCGTAGCAGCGGAGTATTTAGGCGAAGGAGCGATTTCAGAACCGTGCTGGCTGCAGTTCATGAGAGAATGGGGACCAACTTTAGTGTACGATTCTGCAGCTGAGATCAATAAGATAATTGATCTTCTTCCACTGATTGTGAGGTATTCTTTTGAGAGTCTGTTTCCTATTGAGCTTTATGGCGAGGAAGGTCCTACAGGACCAAAGGAGAAGGATAATTGGGAAGGAGATGAAATGTGTTGAAAACAGAGCTCCTCTGTTTCAATGAAGCTTGTTACTAAGTGTTTGTGTAAAAGTGTGTAGATATGTTGTTAATTGTAAACAAATTTTTGATTCGGTTTGATCATTTTCGATCTTACGGTCGTTATTAATCATATATATTCAATCATTGTCCTTAATCCAGTCTTATGCATAATGAGGTACAGATAGATTCCAAGTGATAAAAGTTGTCAATTCATAGAGGATTAGTGAGTGAACATGTGCTTTTTAGCCTGTTACTACGTTTATTGAAACGACGTCGTTGTAGTAATTAACATTAGAAATCTATGTTATGGTAGACTTCGTCATAGGTTATAAAATCTTTTCTCAGTTTCTAAAACGACGGCGGTGACAAGAAACAAAGGTAAAAGTTCCAGACACAGAACAAAACAGCAAACGAAGAAATTTCAAAATCTATTTCAATTCAACGTATACTTTCCTCAAATTAGGAATTAATCTTCAATTTTTCTCCACAAAATTGAGATCCGAATAACTATGGTGAGACTCAAGACGAGTCTCTGGGTTCTTCTCCTCGCGCTCGTTTCATCAATTCAGTTAAAGGGTTCGTTTGGATCTGAACCAAGTAAAGTAGCTTATGTCACACTTTTGTATGGAGATGAGTTCTTATTGGGAGTTAGGGTATTGGGCAAATCGATTCGTGACACTGGATCCAAAAAAGATATGGTCGCTTTGGTTTCTGATGGTGTCTCAGACTACTCTAAGAAGCTACTCAAGGTTTGGTTTTTATTGTCTAGTTTTAAGATCTAAAGATTTCTCTTTTCGATTGAGTTTGAGCTTGAATTTGATTAAATACTGCTTTGTTTAAAGTTGTTTGCTTTTGATTCTATAGGCTGATGGATGGAAAGTTGAAAAGATTAGTTTACTGGCAAATCCAAATCAAGTTCATCCGACAAGGTTCTGGGGTGTTTATACAAAGCTTAAGATCTTTAACATGACTGATTACAAGAAAGGTAAGAGATTTCTGCGGTTTTTTTTCTTTTGGATTCCGGTTTGAGAACTTAAATCTCAAAAAGCTTTGTTTTTTTTGTGTGCAGTTGTGTATCTTGATGCTGATACTATTGTGGTAAAGAATATTGAGGATTTGTTTAAGTGCTCGAAGTTTTGCGCAAACTTGAAGCATTCTGAGAGGCTAAACTCTGGTGTTATGGTTGTTGAACCATCTGAAGCTCTTTTCAATGATATGATGCGGAAAGTGAAGACTTTGTCGTCTTATACCGGAGGAGACCAAGGGTTCTTGAATTCCTACTATCCAGATTTCCCAAATGCTCGTGTTTTCGATCCGAGTGTAACCCCTGAAGTCTTGAAAACCAGACCAGTTCCTGCTATGGAGAGGCTTTCAACATTATACAATGCGGATGTTGGTCTTTATATGCTTGCTAATAAGGTATTTGGTTAGGAAACAAAGTTGTAGTTAGTCTCGTTGTGTCTATTTGGTTCTGTTTTTCATTTTGCTGTTAAAGTCTATGGCTTACTATGAAATCGATGTGATCTTGGAATATGTAGTGGTTAAGTTGGGATTAGTTTAAGGTATAGTTGTCTTTTTCTTCAGCTGTTTGAATTTTGAGTTTTCTCATTATTTCTGCAGTGGATGGTTGATGACAGTAAACTTCACGTTATTCACTACACTCTAGGCCCTCTTAAGCCTTGGGACTGGTGGACAGCATGGCTTGTGAAACCTGTTGATGCTTGGCAAGTAGGTCTTCTTCTTCACTATGGTTTTTAGGTTTCTTTTTAGTGAATTTCTCTAAGTCTGATTTCACCGTGAACAATTTCAGAGCATTAGGGTAAAGCTTGAGGAAACTCTTCCTGGAACTGGAGGTGGCAAAAACCAACATGATGAACTCGTTGTCAAGTTCCTTTTCTTGTTACCTCTTTGTGCACTTTTGTTCTGCATTTACCGATCCATCCAGGTAAAGACTTCTTTGGTACCTCCACCTCTGCTACATTCATCATTTTTGGATCGTAATTTGATTTTATGTTTTCTGATTCTGTCGCAGGGTCGTGAGGGTTCATTGTGCTGGAGCTCGTTCAGCAATCAGATTAGATATCTTTATTACCAAATTAGATCTAATGGAACACTTGGTTATAGCGGTATATCTACCATGAATCCCAGCTATCAAGTGAGTTTCAACATCAAATCGTTGAGGTTAACTTCTTAAAAAAATTGATCTAATCTGAACAATGTTAATATTGCTTCTTGTCGACAGCCCCACAGTGGCAGCACACAGTCCAAGGTTCCTCAACACTTGGGCGCGGTTGCAGTTGTCGTCTGTTTTACTGCTCTTCTGTTATCTCTTGGAATATCCTTTGCGATTGTGCCGAGGCAAATCATGCCATGGACTGGCTTGGTCTTGGTGTATGAATGGACTTTTACAATCTTCTCTCTTTTGTTTGGTTGCTTCTTGCTTTTTGTGCATCTACATGGAAAGAAAATAGCAATACAATCAGAATCATCATCCTTGGATGATTCCGCAAAAGGTATGTACATGAGAAGAAACTAAATTGTGATAATCGGTAATCGTAGCGTTGAGAATTAAGAAGAGTGCTGATTTCCACCATTTTTGTGGTCTCAACAGTTCATCAGCGAGCAGGTGTGTCTTGTGACGTTACTACATTGTATTATGGATTAGGGATGGCTTTTCTGGCTATTGCTGCAGTTTCTTTACCTTACATTTTAGGGATCACTGCTTTATTCACGAGGTAAATTTTGTTAATCAAGTCCGTTAAGAATGGTTCTTGCTATTTGATTCAACACATTCTTGTCCTTATATTTTTACTTGATACATTCCCTAAGATTTGTCATGATTGAATCATATGGAACAGGTTGGGTTTAATGGTGGGTGTAGGCATAATTCTAGCTGCCTTCATGACTTATGCTTCAGAGCACCTCGCGGTCAGATGGTTCTTGAAAGGTCTAGAAGACCGTCGCGACACGACGAGATCAAATTCCTTATGTTTCCTCTGCTGACAACAAAAAAACAGCCGAGTAAAAGTGTCACCTTTGTAACTTGCAGAAACAACAGAGCCTATCTATAATCCTGAGTTATTGTAGTTCTTCTGTTCTTGTCTTGAAATGGATAAAGCTTTGTTCTTTCTTTGTCATTATGTCTCGTAACAACACAAGATTCTAAACCGCGAGAATTCAGCAAGAACCAGAAGAGACATTTTAAACCAAACCGCGAGTTAAACCATTTGTTGTCCGAACCGTACCGATCGCGATTTAATTTTAAATTAACCGAACCGGATTTCCACCAACGTCGTCTTCTTCACTCGTCGTCGTCAATCTTCTCTCCTCAGTCCTCCCTCCACTCGACATCTCCGATGAGTTTATTGATTTCGTAGTTTTTGAACCTTATTTCTCCCTCCGGTGGTGCCGTCAATCCAATAAGGTATGACATCGAATCTCTGTTTCTCCATGTTCAATTGAATACGAATCGATTGTTTTAGGTTTAAAAGAAGTAACTTTGCTCTTCTTCATATTTTTTAACCTAATTTAACAGTCTTCTTCTCCCGATTACAGAGGAGAGATACAATGCGTTTCACAACTTCGATAATCAATGAGCATCGCCGGTTCTCATCATCGTCAAGATCATGGGTATCTCCCATTTGCTTCTCGGAGAAGAAGAAGAAGAAGCTAGACCCACCACCTGAATCCTCAATCTCAACTATGGAAACAAACCCCAAAACCAAGTTTATCTCTCACGAATCTACTGTCAGTTTGATGAAACGAGAGAGAGATCCTCAACGTGCGCTTGATATCTTCAACAAAGCTTCTCAGCAGAAAGGTTTTAACCATAACAATGCTACATACTCTGTTCTTTTGGATAACCTCGTTAGGCACAAGAAGTTTCTAGCTGTTGATGCTATTCTTCATCAGATGAAGTACGAGACTTGCAGGTTCCAGGAAAGTTTGTTTCTTAACCTGATGAGACACTTCTCCAGGTTTGATTTGCATGATAAAGTTATGGAGATGTTTAACTTGATTCAAGTGATTGCTCGTGTGAAGCCTTCTCTCAATGCCATTAGTACTTGTTTGAATCTCCTTATTGATTCAGGGGAGGTTGATTTGGCCCGGAAACTACTCTTGTATGCCAAACACAATCTTGCATTGCAGCCAAATACTTGCATTTTCAATATTCTAGTGAAGCACCACTGCAAGAATGGGGATATTGATTCTGCGTTTCGAGTTGTGGAGGAGATGAAAAGATCTGGGATTTCGTATCCCAATTCGATCACTTACTCAACCCTTATGGACTGTCTGTTTGCACAATCGAGGTCCAAAGAAGCGGTGGAATTGTTCGAGGATATGATCTCGAAAAGAGGGATTTCACCGGACCCTGTGATTTTCAACGTTATGATCAATGGATTCTGTCGTTCAGGAGAAGTTGAGAGAGCCAAGATGATTTTAGACTTCATGAAGAAGAATGGATGCAACCCAAACGTATACAATTACTCGGCTCTAATGAATGGGTTCTGTAAAGAGGGAAAGATTCAGGAAGCTAAACAAGTCTTTGACGAGGTGAAGAAAACCGGGTTGAAACTCGACACAGTTGGTTATACCACATTGATGAACTGCTTGTGTAGAAATGGTGAAATTGATGAGGCTATGAAGTTACTTGGAGAGATGAAAGCATCCAGATGCAGAGCTGATGCATTAACATATAATGTAATACTCAGGGGCTTGTCCAGCGAAGGAAGATCAGAGGAAGCTCTTCAGATGCTGGATCAATGGGGATGTGAAGGAGTTCATCTTAACAAAGGTAGTTATAGGATCATACTGAACGCGTTGTGTTGTAATGGCGAGCTCGAGAAAGCGGTAAAGTTTCTGAGTGTGATGTCGAAGAGAGGGATTTGGCCTCACCATGCGACTTGGAATGAATTGGTGGTTCGGCTTTGTGAATCCGGGAATACAGAAATTGGGGTTCGAGTTCTGATTGGATTTCTTGGAATAGGTCTCATACCAGCGCCCAAATCTTGGGGAGCTGTGGTTGAATCAATTTGCAAAGAGAGGAAGTTGGTGCATGTCTTTGAACTGCTTGATTCTTTAGCTTCTTGATAAAACCCTTTATTGATACGAGTCTGGTTACATAATTACTCGTACAAGTTGCAACCACACATCACTTTACAGAATCAAGAACATAAGTTATTAAATTGGAGTTGAAGCTATCATAATGGACAAACTTTGATCCTTTTTCCCAATATTGGCATCCATCAGGAAAGGCTTGGAAAGCTATGCAAGAACAGTTTCTCCAGCAGTTTCCATGACAGTCGCTAAGACCAGCGCTTAAACTATCATCATAGTAAAACGGATAATAACCGTTATTATTATCCATCATGTATCCTCTTCTCGGTTCGAAATACTCTGACCCTTTCCTACAAGCCGTTGGCTTCTCCTTGATGCAGATTGCTGAACTGTTCTTTAAATCCGTCTTGCAGGGTTCACTGCTTTCGGAAATCCAGTTGCTGCTTTTGTTGCTGCTGAGCACATTGGTTACAGTGATTTGGCCTAGAGTATCCAAGAACCAGCTGGACAAGACTGAATTGTTAGCTTCCTTGATTGAGTAGCTGAAGTACCTCATGTACTTATTTGAATCGAACTTGAATTCATAATCAATGTAGTGTCTGGATAGCTCTAAGGTCAAATGAGAGCTTCCATTGTTCGTCAAGATTCCACTGGACCAGTAGATTTCACCGCGGCGCCAGACGAGTAACTGGTTTGCTCCTGATGGGTCTAGTCCTAGTCTGAATGCTCCTGGGACTGGGACTTGGTCACTTATCCAAGAAGTAACTGATACTTCTTTCTTGGTTCTAAGGTTAAACCCAATCTTCATCCCGGGAAGTAATGTGTTTGTGGGATGGTCAAAGCTTTGCCATAGAACACGACCCGGAACTCCTCCTGGCCTGATCTCTCTGACCACAAAGTTCCCGGAATCGAGTAAAGTGGCAGACACATTCCCGGACAATGAAAGCTGCCTGGCTGGTCTTTGGTTCACCAAGATTGGAAAAGCATTTTCTTGTGTTATCTTTAGAACCCCATTGGTGTCAATGGATAGAGCACCAGATGAATCAGAAATCGATTCGATTGGGTTACCCACCCACACTGGATTTATTGGAATCCTTTGAGGCCAGATACCAAGATATCTAGGACCAGCTGACCCGAGTTCGGAAGTAGATGATTCTTTAGGTGTAAAGAATCCGAGAGCGAAGATACCACCCGCAGAGATCAACTGCTCCCAGTCTCTGAGCTGCTGCCCTGGTTTTAACGTATCAGTTTTGAGTGGTGAAATGGCGAAAACCGAACTGAGAAAAGTCGGTATGAGAAGGAAAATAAAAGGAAAAAGAACGAGTGAAAGAGCCATTTGTTGTTTGCTTGGTTAAGTGTTTGTTTAACTTTTAGCTCTCTTTATAGAGAGATTTATAGCACCTTTTGTCCCTTTTACACTCTCAAATCTTTAATGAGTTTTGTAGAACTTTGAATAAGTGATTAGGAATAGTCTTTGGTCTCTGCTTGTAACATAACAAGTCTCATAAGCTTTAAAATATATGATGGCGACTACCTAAGAAATTTCTTTCGAATGGTTCTATTGGAGTCTCTTTCCGAGGCAGAAGTTTCAAAGTCAGACCAAAGATTGGGTTAAGGTTGAGGTCATATCTCTGTCATATGTATTTGGTCCTACTTCAGGTTACATTGGTATATAATGCTAGATCAAGATTTGCAATGGTAAACCATGGAGAGCATTGATCATAAATTCTAATTTATGTTTTTCAAAATATTTTTAAATATAAATTTAGCGAATATATAAACAATCACACGATAGAATGAACAAGTTCACAGATCGAAAACTCAAAAACAAAAATTCAACCTACTTAAAGTCACTTGTATACGTAATGCAAAATTGTAAATTAGTTATTGAGATATAAGCTTTGATTGGTGTGGCAAATGGAAACGCGTCGTGGGGTTCTTTCGGTGTGATGTGGCTGATGGAATCATGGAATAATGATGATAGTTACTCACTTATAGTTACAGCTGATTCGGTCAGTCCCGGTAGAAACACACCGAGATGCTACAGAGTAGACTATTTCCGTGGTTCAACGGTTCAACGATTCAATGGATACCATGAACTCTGAGCGAACTTAGGTCGAACGGGCATAATATTCATGAAATCCAGAATTGGACTATCATACTGCCTGATCCGAATTTGAAATATTTTCTGACTAATGCCAAAAGGTAATCAGGCTAATAGTTACTTGAGGAATAATTTTCAAAGTCTTCCAATATCAACGTGTATAATTTTCAAAGTCTTCCAATATCAACGTGAATAATTTTCAAAGTCTTCCAATATCAACGTGAATTGCAATCTTCCACACAAACGTCTTTACTCTTAAATTTTTTTTTTTAGGTAAATGGAAATATTATGGATTTTCAATTCATACGTCTCTCTAAAATCATGACTATTTTTCTACATATATAATATTTATGATCGATACAAATAGATGAATGTCTCTATGACTCTATATGTAGTGTTAGAGTGTTACAGAACTACATTACATTATAAATGCTATTTAGAAGTTGAAGTACATTGGATCATGACTCTTTTTTTTTCGGTTTCTGTAATCCACTATGTAATTGTATATTTTGAAGTTTGAACTCAAATCGCTTGGTGTAAGAACTAATAAGCATGTAGCCAACTAACACCACCAAGTGTTTTCACATTGTAAGTGGGATAAATGATGGTTTACAAAAAAAAAAGAAAAAAAGAAAGAAAGTGGGATAAATGATTTCGTACGTACAATCAATCACAAATCTTTGAAATATTCACCTTTCATTACAACTTTTTTACATTTTGCCATATCTTTTTTTCTCTTTAACTAGAGGCGAGAGCTGAGAGATTATTTTCAAACCGATTTTAGACCATCTCCAATGGTGTTTCAAATTTCAATTTTTCCTTCATTTTGAAGATAAAAAAAAAAAAGTTTTCTCCAATGGTGCTTCATTTTCACCTTCAAAATGAAGGAGTGAATAGTGTATCTTCATATTTGAAAGTATACTATTCATATCTTCATATTTTGAAGATGAACTTTTTTATTTACAAATGATCCTTTAAATTATAAGTATTTATTTTATACCAAACAAATTATTTATTTTTATTTTATCCAATCAACTTAAAATGCAATAACAATATATATTAAATAGAAAAACAAACACATATCCAACATAAATTTAAAATACATAATTAATACTAACATTAAATATAAAAAAAAATACCATAGCATATATTAAAAACTTAATAATATGGTAATTCGTTTCCGGATCCACTAAGATAATTAAAATATTGCCCAAATGAGGTTGATCTAGATGGAGCTTGTTGATTATGTTTTTCTTTATTTCTTTTTTGTAAAATGCGAGTTTTTTTAGCTTGAACATTTGCACGAATCTCTGGATCTTATATGGAATTCAAGTCTTGAAGTAACATTTTGTTGTCTCCTTTTAGTTCTTTCAAAGCATAATTCTTACTTTGAATCTCCAAATGTTGTTGTCTTTGAGCACTTGTCTTCTTTAGTTGCTCCAAAAGTTGTTTATTTCTTTCTTCCAAAGTGTTGATAAAAATTGATGTTTGATCATCAATTTTTCTTTTCAGTTTGGATTTTTTTACTCTCATTGGACGTTGAGATGGAGATCCGCCAATGTTGTCATCATCACCATCTAAGTTCAAAAAAAATAAAGACAAACCTGGAGATGCTTGTGTAGCGGAATCAGGAGTATGAGAAAAGCATGATCTCGTGATATAATGACTCCATGTATAATTTTACATAATATGATAATTGAAGATGAGCGTGATCTCGATGCGCCAATTGAAGTTGGAAGAGAAACTCCACATCCGGATGTTGAAATAGAAAATAATGAAAATATCTGATTCCAAGAATTTCTCGCTCGATTCAGAAAAATAAAGGATAAAGAAACTCATTTCTCACTTCGGAATGCATTAATTGATCATTTGTAGGAGAAGTTTTACAATTGCATCACAAATATATGTTTTTAATTAATGTTATGTACTGTGATAATAATGTACTTTAAATAAAATTTGTTGAACTATTTGCTTACTGTAAAGTAAACAGGTTAAAATTCATATGTTTAGAAAGTAAAGGTTTGTTTATAATTAATAATAAAACATAGATAGAATATATTTAGAATATTCTTTTTGAAGTAGAAAATGAAAGAAACCATTGGAAAAGTCTTGCTTCATTTTAACCTTCAATTTTTAAAAAACTTCAATTTTAAAGATATATTTGAAGGTAACCATTGGAGATGCTCTTAGATCCGAAGATTAACGCATCTTAGAAAGCAAAAAGAAAATTTATCTCATACTTTCATTATTGCATACACACTTCTTTTTTCTATGAGTGCAATAAATTACTAGATTTAAACCAACAACGACAAATCAAAAACAATAAGCCAATATTCAATTTTCACTACCCATAATTGAAAAAATTACATATTCGACCCCTTTTTTTTTTTCTCCACTCCTCCAACCCCCAACTATATACACTTTAAATTTCAATTACACCTAGGATTAAACCCCGGCCCACCATAGTAAAAATAAGTTCCCCATTCATTACTATGCGAACTCTTAATGTCGTAACATTCGGTGTTCTCGGCTAATATCTTGACATCACGCACCGGTACGAGACTGTTGTCTGAATCTACAACTTCCAAATTCCGAAAGTAACTTGCTTTTCCAAACCCTTCGTCTGGAAAATGACCAGAACCCATTTGGGTTGTCGTGTGCCGGCCTGAAGCTCGTGTGTTCACAACCTCACCGCCCCATTCCACGGTAGTCGCGTGGTCGGCTAAGTGGGTGAATAGCTCGGCTGGCCAATACCCCACTAGTGTGCTGTCCCCTAAACCCATCCACCAATTCCCCATTTTCGGATCCTGCAATTGTCATTGAATATAATTCCTTTAAACATTACACAAAATAAAAGTGTAAGTGTATACGCACGTTTCTATATTAAGTTATATAGATGATAAACAGAGATCTCGTAAGAGAAAGAAAGACTAACCTTCCAAATGAGTATTGTGATATCAAATTGGTTTCCTTTGAAAGTAGAAAGAGGAGAAATGGCTGCTCCAATGGCAATCTTGTTATTTGTTTGGATAAATCCAGAACATAGAAGATTGTAACATCCTGTTGCTTGATATGAATCACTCTAATAACACAAGATTATTATTAGTTTAGGACAAGCTCAAAACCAAAAAAAAAAATGATTAACCAAAGTATTGCCAAGAATTGATCAAAAACCAATTTAACATATATTTTTCAAAAATTACGACCAAATATTTGTGTAAATCTGTCATCCTATTTTTAGCTTTTGGACAGAACCAAATTTAATGATTTGGAGAGTAGTACAGAAATTGGACTGGTATCAATCCAATTGATAATATGTTATTAATGCAATAATAAATGCTCTACACCAAACATTATCATGATGACTCTGTTCTATCATTAACTTGAAAATGATCAATACTACTACACATTAATGGAACCTGTAAGAATATTACAAATCAAAATCACCTTCATTTTTATTGTGGCATAAAATTAGTGAATTACCTTCAATTTACCCTATCATAATTTTCATGCGCAGTATCACTGAATTTCTAGATAAATTTCTATTTCAGAAAAGGAATATATACATAAAAAATAATATTGGAAGAAGGGTGCCTTCAAAGCAATATTTGGTAAATCTGAAAATACAATCTATATACCAAAACTAGACATGAACAACACCTAGAAACTACTCCACTGTCACATGAATGTCCTTAAAAGCAACACATTAAAGTCAATCTTCTTCTTTCAGTTTATACCACAAATAATATTAGGTTAAGATTCTTGAATTAAAACTAATGAAAGTGATTTGCATCATAATATAAAAAGCAACAAATAGAAAACAACAACATACCGTCCAATAAGTGAACAATCTTGGTCTGTTGTCACCATACAGCTCCGGACTGACCTGACTAGTAGAACAATCACAGCTTTAGATATAATCCTATTGTTAAACATACTTAATAGTCGTTCTTAAAAACAAAATTAAAAGATTATGAGAAGGGTAAAACAGTAAAAAACAGTACCTGCCAGCCAGCTTCTATACTATTGAGATCAGGACCGACGAAAGATCCAGAGAGAATCCAAATCTGAGAGAGACTAAACTCATTCACTTCTTCTATCTTTGGATCCCAAACGTTTATCGTCGCCTTTGCTCCATATATCTCCGACGATGTTTCCGTATACGCGATCGCATGCTATCATTCCCCACCACAAGTCATTAAAAATAAATCAGTATTCAAGTCTTAATTATTTTACTTCGAGTATTAACTTGTAAATCACATTTATAATCCCAATATATGCGAATGAAATGCCGTGCATTTATATATTAATCTTTTATGATAGTTGTATCTTTCAAGAATTATGATAACGAGACCGGATCTTAAAATCCATTGAATGCTTATGTTTTAATGTATTTTATGAATCTGATTAATGTGAAACTGACATTGGAAACTGTTATATGGGTCCATAATTAAATGATTACATAGACAATTCACATTAAACATTGATATACATATGTAGGTATCGTATCTATAGGTAGGCCTTGGCAAAATACCCGGAACCGAATATCCGAACCGAAAAACCCGAACAATACCCGAACCGAACCCGAACCCGATTTTTAAAAATATCCGAATGGGTCCTAACCTCCTACCCGAAAAAAACCCGAACCGTACCCGAACCGAATCCAATACCCGAATGTACCCGAATACAAATATACACCTATAAATATTAGTTATATTTATATTTATAATACCCGAAATACCTAAAATTACAATCATAAATCCGAATATATTAGGTATTTTAGATATTTTTGGTTATATTTGGGTAAAGAGTAACCATTGTATTTTCGATAAATCGAGTATTTCGGTTAGATTTGGGTATATATGAGTTAAAAACCTGAACCCGACCCGAACCCGAAAATATTTCGGGTATTTTTGGTTATTTTCGGGTATTTTGCTTATTTTATTAAAATACCCGAACCGACCCGAACCCGAACCGAACCCGAACCAAATTTTTAGAATACCCGAATGGGTCTTGACCCCCTACCCGAATAGACCCAATACCCGAAAAAAAGAACTGAACCCGAACGGGTACCCAAATGCCCAGGCCTATCTATAGGTATGAACAAAATACGTATATATGCTGTAAAAAAGAAAGATTATAATCAAGTGTACCTCATGTCCATTAGTGCCGAGTGCATCAGGCTTCTCTGTCTGTCGATCAAGGTCAATACTCCGTCGCTTTTTGCCAAAGTCAAACAAAGACTTGGCTCTGAGCACATCGTTCATTGTGTTGCGTCGTATGGGAACCGTCCCCTTAGGACACCTCGTGCCGTTCACGTGCCACATTTGCCATGCACCTTCCAATACATTCTCTGCTTCTTTAACATCACCATCTTTTTCCTTCATCTTCGGCATTTTCTTCGGTGCTTTCTGCATTATTTATCATAATCAATTTCTTCTCATCGTAAAAATGGCTTTGTATCATAATCAAAACGACACTTTTTGTACTATTCAAAAAGTATTAAAAAAAACAATGAGCTTATATGTAATCTGTCACATCCAATTCACCAAAAATTTCATAAATTTACATTTGGAAGCTACCTAAAAAAGTGTTAAATTATTTAATAAAGTTTTTTTTTTTTTTTGATCAACAAACTAAACTATTTGTTTTATGTTAGTAATAAATAAAAGAAAAAGTTGCGTGGTCAGCATTACCTGAATCTTGTGATGCTTTAAGAGTGGATGATCCAAAGCTGGCTGCTTTATTTTGGGTACACAATCTATTACATCACCATCTGGACTCTGTAATTTATTTTTTTATAACAACAAAAGTTATATATTTCATATAATGATAAAGTTTAGACGTATCAAATAAAAAGTGCATTTGAAGAAACTTGTACATATATATAACCTGAATGGTGAAGACAGGAGACTTGTTGATCCTGTTCAAGTGCTTTTGGATCCTCGCAAGTCTCAAGCTACTGACTTGTCTGTATGGTTTGCTGTCGTTAAAGGCAGAGATATGTATGACCTTCTGGCTCAAAGAGAGACTTACAATAAGAAGAAAAAGAAGAAGACTTCTCTTGGATGCAAGAACAACAACCTCCATCGATCGATCTTTTAAAGCTTTCTTCTTGTATATATGTATCACATTCAGTGTCCAAAGAACGAGAAAGTGAAGAAATTGGAAACTGAGAGGAGGTCAGATTCTTATTAAAGTTAAGGTGAGAGGAGGACCATTTCAAGAAAATGGAAAGAGATATTAGAGAATTACTATAGCTAGCCCAAAATATATAAATGTTTATATTTGTGAGTTATAAATGGGGAAGAAGAGAAGTGGGTGAAGAGATATTATGAAGTGTAAATATGGAAATCGAAGAGAAGAAGCAGAAGCAATGAGGTTTTCGAGAAGAAGATCAAATCAAGATTCATCATCATTGCCCTGCATTGGTTTCATTTTTATATAGATGATGGATTTAATTCTTGTCTTTTCTTTCTTATGAAAAAAAAAAAAAACAGAAGAGAAAATATTCATTTTATACATGTGTGTGAGAGAGATTAAAGCAATATTGATAAAAATAAAGTTAAGGGAAATAAATGAAAAAAAAAAAAGCAAAGGAAAACTATAAATACAATAGAGAGAGACCTACCCAACTAACTAAACATTTCTTCCCTTTTATGACACTCCTTCAATGTTTTCATCTGTCACTACTCTTTTCTTTTTTCTCTTTTTTTTTTCTTTCTAAAATTCAAAATTTAAACTTAGAAAAATACATTATATCCGAAGATGTAAGAGTACTTAGTTTTGGTATTGTACTTGTACGTCGTAAAATTTGACTCGTGTGAATTGTATAACTTGTCTATACAAACCAGTAATAACCAAAATTGTTTACCTTTTAAAAGTGAACGAATTCTTTTTGGTTTAAGTTAGTTTGGAACTATCCATACCAAAGAGTCAAAGTAGAAAGTGTTTTGATATGGTTGAGTTCATTTTCCTTTTCATAGTAAAACTGTTTTTAAATCCAAAAGACTAGTAGTTCAATAAGAAATCTGGTTAGGGTCCAATAAAGTATCATCACATTGCTTCATTTACAAAGATCTAGTAATTAAGGTTCTAGTGGAAATGCACGAGGCAGATCAAAACAAGTCACATGATTATAATAATAATCTAATCATTTTGAACGATTTATATTTAGCAAAACTTTATGGGGACTTTTAATATCTTTGCTTGAGAGTCTCTCAATCGATCCAGCTTTTTTAGTTACATCATCTAAATTTGGTAGTTTGTCCCACGTGGCGTCCTTTAATTGCGTACACATACACACCGATTTAATATCATTATTTTGTGTATATGCTTATAAGTGCACACTCTGAATGTGATGTCTGAACCAATTTCAACGAATGAATTATGAACATACCAACTGAATTCAAAGTTATAATCAATTAAAATTTTGTCATTTTTCTAAAATTTATATTCCATTTTGTTTTGTGCAACTTAATAATATTTAATCTCTCGTTGACCAAAAAATGCAAATGTTGTTTAATTCTAGGACAAGATTAATTTTTCCCCTATTCAATTAAATGTATGTCTTAAGTGTTATTTAGAAATGAAAACATAATTGTGCTTAAGAAATCTAAAACAAATTGCCTGAAATTTGCTCTATTTTATTTTCACCACTATGTTTTATGCTTTGGTCTATATTGACTCTGTTTTAGCATATAGTTAGTCTCAAAATCAGGTCCTTCTCCTTTTACATAAAATTTTAAAGTTGATTTATAAGTTTTAACATTAAAAAAACAAAAAAAAACAGTGCCCGTAATATCTAAATACATATAGAACTTACAGTTCCTTAACCAACTCAATCAAATGATATGTACAAGTCAAAGTTTAAAATAACAAATGCGTATATAAAGTCACAGTGGACTGTTTTATTATAGTGGTCCATGACAGATCGTCTAGTAAAATTTACACGTTCATCAATTGGGTCAATATCAATATATCCGGTTCGAGTTTATCCGAACTTAGTTCGAAAAGAATTATCAGATTCAATTTGATCTGATCTTTTTGGGTTATATATGGATCATGTATTAGAAACATTATAAACAATACCAATTAAGCGTCCCCAAAATTTGTAGTTTAATTTTTTTTAAGATGGAAAACAGATTCTGATCCGGCTGTTTCGAACGAGGGATACATTGCACTTTAACGTTGATTTACATGCATATCTATCATTCGCATGAAAAAAAACTTATGGAAATTTCATTAAAAGGTCTGATCAAAGCTTGTTAATTATAAAAAATAATTGTATAGAGTTTTAAAAGCTTTTTAAATATTTTAAGAAGTTAAAATATTTTATAATCTTTAACAACAATTACGATAATTTTAACAAGTTTATGCGTTGTGATGAACAATATACACCGACAAAATAGTTAGCAATTGTCCCAAACATCAATTTGAATTTCAGTATAAATCTGCATTACTTACATATTAAAGTCACCTAAAAATAAATGGATGGATCTCATATATATGTATATAATGTTTTGGAGCGCTGTCAAAAAAGAAAGAAAGTATATACATGTTTTTAATCAATGTTCACGTGGGTGAAATTATATGATATGACTTATGTAATTTCAAAATTACTTTGGATACATTATCATAAGATTGCATATAAGTTAATTACAAAAAGAAAGTTTGTTGGGTTATATTAGATAAGATCCATAAGATTAGAAGAAAACGAGTAAGCCAAGCATATATCTTCATCCGATGGTCAAGATGAACAAAAGAGGTTATTATAATGGTTTTTCTTCGGACTTTGCTCAAATCCCAATTTTAGATGCTTCTGCTTCGTCTGATTCGTAATACTAGTTGCATGTATTAATCATTAATTAAATCACTATGTAATTAGTATGAACCTTCCTAGCTATATACGTCACCAGATTCAGGTTCTTAACTACCATAATACCTTTTTCTTACGTAGAACTTCAATGATACCTAGTACATAAATATATGTATTATATTTTTCGTTACATACAGCCTTAGCCAAGCCGAAATTTCTATATAAAGTTTTAATTTTAAATAAAATTAATAGAAACAAGGGACTTTCAAACATTAGCGGTATAATTAAGTAATGGTCGCCCGAGAAAAAGATATACATGGCATGAAAATGATGGACTTTCAAGCATAGCAAACGCTGGGCCAAGATCATATATTCATGTCTTGTTCACTTTGCCATTGTACGTTGACAACGACGATTACTAACATGTTTTGATGTTAGTTTTGCAGTTCAGGTGATAGCAATCATATTTTAAAAAATAATTATCGATAACAACTAAGACGTTATATATCGAATGATTTTACATGCTTTGTTCATTCATGTTGGAAGAATTGAAAGAAAACTGTATAACGCTGATGTTGAGATATTTTCCTCTGCTTGGATTTAGCTTCAATAAACATATATTTATTGCACAATAAAAAGAGATGTACATGCTATATCGCACATGTTAAGTATTGAAGAGTTTCAACCAAACTGCATGCGATGGGTAATCTGTGGACCAACATATCATAAATAATTATTAATGATAAATTTGACTGAATTGATGAACATAAATTTTGATCATATATAATGCGAAAAAAGAACAGATATATGAAATATCTTTATGGACAAAAAGAAAGAAATATCATATTATCATTCTATAAAATTTCTTACTGGACAGAATGAAATCCAGAAAACTGATCAAAGAAATGACGATCGACGTGGCAAGTCCCGGTAATATGTTTGATGAGGCCACAATATGAGTCGGAGTCAGCTTAGAGCATCTCCAACGGCATGTTTATGTGGAATTGAAATGAGGTTCTCTTGATTAAAGTGATTAAAAATAATTCAAAACAAGTAATTATGCAGAGAGTCGGCTCTGAAGAGAGAGATTTGAGAATCGACTCTCTCCCTCTTTTTCTTTCTCTTTCTCGTATCTCTGGTGATTCTGCAACCCTTGAGAAAGGAAGACGGAGGATTAGTAGCAGAAGAAGAAGAGTTTAGCCATATCTACATATAAGGAAGATGGCCTTTTCTCATCAAATAAATCTCTCGCCTTTTCTCATCCAAGTAATTTATCTTTCTCTCTTCGCTACCCTTCTTCTTCCTCTACTTGTACTTTGTATCTGACTAGTTTCAAATTTTATCTTACCAGATTCTGATGCCACAAAGCTAGCCACAATCACAAACCCAATTTCTACTTGTCGGGTTCATGTTCCCAAACTTGTTGGAATCCGATCCACCTTCGCTTCTGGTTCTCCTCTTTGTACGTCTTCCTTGGTCCTGACCAATTCTCCAATTCTCTAAATTTAAGCTTTAGTTTGAAAATTAGGGTTTCTGGGTATCCTAAGCAGCTCAATTTTTGATAGTTTTGATTCGTTTTATAGACTGAATTGTTCACATATGAAACAGAGCATAAACAATTGGTTAGAGGTAAGCTTGAGATTAGCTTGGATGAACATCAATAGTGGCAAGAAAAGAGGAATCAAATTGAAAGAGAAATTGAATGTTGTTGCGGCAGCTAATGCGTATTAGAGGAAGAACTTAGCATTGTGAGAGAGTGATCTTATTGATTTAGTGGTGTTGCATGAACTTAGCATGTAAGAATTGAGCTCTGTCTTGGTTTTTAGTGGTGAAGGGTGTTCAAAAACCAGTGACTTGTGTCGTGTAGGATTAAATTCTAGGAGGATTGGTTTGGAATTGGATATGTATGAATTGGATATGTTCATTATACATGTAGCCATGTTTCTGCAGGATGGATTAGGTTGAAAAAAGAAGAAGCAAGTTTTAGTGTTGTTTACATGATAAATGTAGTAACCGGTGCTTGAGATCTTTATTTTGGCTTGGTGATACTAACAGAAGATGATGAGGAAGAACACGAAGATGTGGTAACATTAAGCAGAACACAGAGATGATGTTTGAATGGCTAGGGAAATGGAATGGACTAGTTTGGAATTCAGATGAAGTGGGTTTTGTAAAGGTCATAGGTGAGTTGTTCCTCTGATCTTTGCATTTGTACTTAAAACTAGATGCATTTCTAGCTGCACTTGTTAGATATGCAAATTTAATAGTAAATGTGTGTTTTTGCAGGAGACAACAAGAAGTTGGATACCATATCTGTAGGTTTCAGTTACGATAACATTGGAAGCGAATAGTTAGGTAATAGGTAAGAATTATCCTCATCTGCCTCAGTTGCACTCTTTTTGAATACACCTTCCTTTTCTCTATATATACAACACTACTTCTTGTTATATCAAAACACAACACTTGTTCTTGTTATATCAAAACAACACTTCTTCTTATTATATCAAAACACAACACTTATTCTTGTTTTACAAAGACACAAATAACATTTCTTCTTGTTTTACAAATATACACCACTTTTTGTTTTTCAAAATTTAAATGATTTATTCTTAAGAGAACCCCACCATTGGAGGAAGACAAATTTAAGCTCTCTTAAAAAATGTTCTTAACTTTAAATTTTACAAAATTTATATTAAATAATTGGTGAGAACCTATGTGGGGTTCTCACCATTGGAGATGCTCTTATAAGTTATATGTTTAATGGAGTACATGGCTTACGCTTTTTGAGGTACAGTAAAATGTAAACGTCATGTTGGTCATGATGACGCACTGTTCTAGATGAGGGTGTTGGATCAACTTGGGCTCGTATCATGAGATTCTCTTGAATTCGAACCGATATTGTTATCAATATCAAGCAGGCCCAAATAACACACTTGCCCGAAAATTCGAGATTCAATCAAAGATACCTCCAAAGATTCAAGTGGTGTGGTCGGGATGACCAAATGTAGAATAACCAAATGGAGTTAGTTCAACTGGTAAAGATTTTAGGCGAAATTTAGAAGCTAAATCGCTGGTTTGAATGATGTTTGAGACGAAACTAATAATACATATTGTAGTTTCGAGTTTCTGGTATTAAAAAAAAAAAAAAGAAAAAAAAACAAATTTTGTTGTTTTTAATAAACTTTGATAATAGTTTCTCTGAACATGAGGTTTCCGTACCTATAGGATTTTCAATTATGACTTCCAAGAGAGTAGCGGAAAAGAAGAAAACAAGTGTCGGACTCTCAACGATATGTAAGAGTGACACGCATCCCCAGTGCCACCTCTTAGTATATCTCACACTTGCTCTTTCTCATGCAATCTAAAGCTCATGTTTTTATACCGACTACTGTTTTCTAGAATATGCATGCAAGATTATGTTACATCTTTCGACAATACTTCATAGTTCATACCAAGTTAATGAAAGTACCAATGATTTAGTCAATAACAAAACCCTTAATTTTTGTTTGATTCGTTTTCTACGAAAGTCTTTGCTCTATGCTTTTTACATCGTCAACACTTCTTTTTTTTCTAAATCTTTTTAGTTGACAGCATATTCAACATCGGCTAGGGAAATAATTTTTGAGTTTCAATCATTATTATTGGTCGTAAAGTCCAAAACATTTTATATAGTATTAGTTAACTAATTTGTTCATGTGGATTGATAACATTTTCTCCAAATAGCCATGATAGAATGTTGATTAGTGTAGTTAAAATGCGTGTGTAATAATCATCATACAATCTACGTAAGTCAAATATAGAATGAATACAAAAAATATTCGCATTTATAAATAAGTCAAATCTATGCAAGAAAATAAGTCTTTTCAGAAATGCGAACTAATAAAATATAAAGAAGGTCGATCGTTTATTTTTCATTTCAACTTGGAAAATATACTACACGGTTTAAACAAAAAAAAATAGAGGATTTAAATAAGTAGAGACTTCGAGCCGAAGCACCTAATGAGTGGTAGAGCCATGTGTTCCGAGTCGTTTACTAGGACACCCTCGACCTTGACACGTGGCCTGTGAAAATGACATATTCCATTTTCGCATCTACGTAGACATTATATACATCGTCTTTACTTTTGTTATTTATCTTATATTGTTACTCCTAGTCAAAAACCAAACGGTGAAACTTATAACCTAAGTAAAAACCTCGAAAACAAAAACCTAAAGAATCTTACATAATCCGTAAGTATTACATACGGATATGACTTGAGCTATTTGGAGAGTGGTTTTATTCAAGTTTGAGTAGTCAATTTGATATGGGTTGAAAAACAGTTTTCGGAATATATTAAATTTATTAGTCTATTTTATAGGTTCGATTGGCAACACATAATTGTACAAAATTTTTAGCTGTCAGTTGGAACTGTAAATTTTTTCAGAATAGTGAAACTGTAAAAAAAGATATGAGAAAGCTGTACAAAAAATCTGACAGTAAAATTTTTATTAACGTTTTTGATAGAACTTTTGTGATTGATAACTGTTAAAGCTATATATCCTGTACACTTTGATAATGAATTACCATTCAAATCTTATACTTTCTCTATTTCATGAAATTTGATGTTGTGAGGTTTTCACACAAATTAAGAAAAAATAATTTTTATATTTTTAATTATTATTTTGTTTGTTTAATAATATCAGTTCTACTTCTCTCCTTTTTTTATTGGTCACACATAAAAGTAATAATAAAATTGATATAAAACATCAATCTTTAGAAAAAAAAAAAAACTCACAACATCAATCTTTATGGAACAGAGAAAGTATTTTTTAAAATTATAATATAATTTTCGATTATGCATATGTATTTAAAATATATATGGGACTTATATTTCTTTAGTAAAAGTTTTAAGATGTTCTTTACTATTAATAAACAAAGGAAATTTATCTTTTAAATTTAGTTATATTGTAGTTTATTAAAGAATAATATGAGATTTTTTGTTCTGGAAAGAAACGTGCAAGCATATATCGGATACATTTCTAACAACATCAGCTAAAAACATTTCAGAATGTAAATTTCACTCGGATAACTGACAACAAAAAAGGATGGTTGAAATTTCAATGTCGATACTCATATATATATATATATTTTCGATACTCATATATTATGTATTGAAAAGGTACGATTTTCACTTTTAAGGAGAGGGGCTCAGAGAGAAACACAAACACGTGAGTCATCATCAAGACAGTGGTCGGGAGTCACTTTCGTGTAACACAGACATTAAATCAAATAAACAAAACGAGAGTTCCCTTACCTTAGTGTACTTATATTACAAACACTCGTATATACATATGCCACGTGAGAATACGTATACTCATGACGTGTCCACGTATATATATATACACACGCACACTTCAATTCTTCATTCACTAAACCGGATTCTAAACTCTCAAAGAAACACCATGGAAGAAGAGCAACCTCCGGCCAAGAAACGAAACATGGGAAGATCTAGAAAAGGTTGCATGAAAGGTAAAGGCGGCCCAGAGAACGCCACGTGTACTTTCCGTGGAGTCAGGCAACGGACTTGGGGTAAATGGGTGGCTGAGATCCGTGAGCCTAACCGTGGGACTCGTCTCTGGCTCGGCACGTTTAATACCTCAGTCGAAGCCGCCATGGCTTACGATGAAGCCGCTAAGAAACTCTATGGACACGAGGCTAAACTCAACTTGGTGCACCCACAATCACTACGACAACAACAACAACAAGTAGTAGTGAACAGAAACTTGTCTTTTTCGAGCCACGGGTCAGGTTCTTGGGCTTCTAAGCTTGATACGGTTCCTGTGTTGGACCTTGGTCTCGGCCCGGCAAGTGGTTCACGAGGTTCTTGGTCAGGGAGATCGAATTTTCTACAAGAAGACGATGATCATAATTATAATCGAAGACCGTCTTCAAGTGGTTCGAATCTTTGTTGGTTATTACCTAAACAAAGTGATTCACAAGATCAAGAGACCGTTAATGCTGCGAGTGGTTGTGGCGTTGAAGGCGGTGGTGGCTCTACGTTAACGTTTTCGACCAAGTTGAAACCGAAGAACTTGGTGGTGAGTCCGAATAATGGATTATATAGTGGAGCTTGGTCTAGGTTTCTTGTGGGGCAAGAAAAGAAGACGGAACATGACGTGTCATCGTCGTGTGGCTCATCTGATAATAAGGAGAGTATGGCGGTTCCTAGTGGCGGTGGAGAGAGAATGCATAGGCCGGAGGTGGAAGAGCGTACAGGGTATTTGGAAATGGATGATCTTTTGGAGATTGATGATTTGGGTTTGTTGATTGGCAAAAATGGAGATTTCAAGAATTGGTGTTGTGAAGAGTTTCAACATCCATGGAATTGGTTCTGAGAGTTTTTATTTATTAGTATTATTTATCATAAATATCTCTTATATTATTTGATTTAGGATTGTTAATTTGCTATACATCAATCGTGGGATTTTTTTTCTCCTTGCATGTAGTCCTTATGTGTGTAATTAGGTTTGAGTATGTTGTGAATTTTCTTAAACGTTATGTAAAAAGAAAAATTAATAGATTTAAAGCAAGTTCAGACTAGTATCTAGAATGTGAGAGAACATCAATGGTTGAATCCTTAAAAGAATTTTTAAATATTTTTTAATCATAAATTATGACAATTTTAAAGTTAAGAGGTTGTGATAAATTTTTAAATATTTTTTTGTCCAATGATAGAATCTCTTTAAGTAGTTTTTTTTAAAAAAATTTTTTTAATGAAATTTATAAATATTTTTATTTGATAAAACTTAATAAATATTATAATTTCTTAAAAAATTAAACATACAAATCATAAACGCATATAAAAAATCAAAATTTTGTCATATACACTTAACAAAATCAGCTTTCAATTGTTGGTGCATAGTCCAATCACGAAAGTTCAAAAGTCCATCATATTACTAAGATTTTGAAAGCATATTTTTTTTTGTCTTTTATTAATATTTTTGATCTAATCAAAAAACAACACTTATAGACTTTTAATAATCCTTAAACCTCTTAACAACCTCTATATTAGAACCAACTCTTAACAATCCTTAACTTTTTATTAGCACCCCGAGAAGACTAAATGTTGCAAGGTTTTGAAACAAACTATAATTTTTTTTTACCCTCAATGTTCCATGTATCAGGTTCTTTATCTTACTGTTTCCTGCGGACAACATATCTTCAAAAAAGGAACACATGATATTAGATCAATATCACAAATCCTTGTACTCATGTTTTTGATCTTACAAACTTAAACATCATCATCGTCATCACATGAGTCATCATCCTGATCCTCATCCACATCCCACATCCACATCCACATCCACATCCACATCACTAAGGTCATCGCCAGTTTCTTCTACCGTAATCAAAGGTAACTTCAGAGGTTGCTCTGGAAACTCCTTCAAAAATGAATTCATTACCATGAAGCGGAAGACCTGTAATAAATGGATTTTGTCTCTCTTTATGTTTGCGCTTAGGAGCTTCTCAAGCAATGTAGGTTTTTTAGTCGTCATGGGAGATTCTTGAGATGAATTTTTGTCATCGAGTCTTGGTGTCTTATCAAACTTGTCTTTTCTACCATGTCTTCTCTGCTTATGTCTATTGTTCTGGAATTTTCTCTTTTGCCCATCCTTGCGTTGAAAATTTCCATAGTTGGCTCCATTATCTCCATGAACTCGTTCATCTGTATTAGATAAATAATGTGAAGGAACATCTGCAACTTCAATACCTAACTCAGCCTGCTTTGCTAGAACTTCCCGGAGTTGCTGCAATGCAAAAGTAAAAAGATATATTATATTAATCCGGTGTGTCTAGCATCATAACCATATAAGATGCGGAAAAATACAGGGGTACACGAAAATATAGAGTACCTGACGACGCATTTTTGCTTCCTCGTCAAGGATGCTGGCTGAAACATTTTTCTTTACTTTCTGCAAATAGATAAACATTCAAAATTTCACGGAAGGAGTGAATTTCAACAAATCAAAGGTGGTGGGAGAGGGAGACTCAAACCTTTTCAACATTGAGTCTCGTTGGAAAATTCTTACGCCGAGCTTCACGCCATTGGTTAACATCTTTTGGTGTATACATCAAAGCATATGATCTTCTCTTGGAGAAAAATAACATCAAAAGAATAATATTAGAGACTGGACTCAATGAACTGACATGAGCTTGAAGAAAAATGATAACAAAAGATGTAATCCAGATAATAATCCCATTCAATAAAAAGAGTTATATGGATCACACTGCTTTATGAACGTGGAAATTTAGGGAATCATAATGGCTTAAGAACCAAAAGAAATTCAATGAGCCAAACAGGAAGGTGCAATGCTATTGTGAGAACTAGCAGTCTAGCACTACCTTTTCTTCTCCTTAGCTATGTTATCAGCATCAGATCCATCGAGCCCATTTTTCATCTTATTATAGTTCCCTGTAAATGAAGTCATATATGGAGAGATCAGAAAAGACAAAAAAACACCTTCAAAATTCTCAAATGTTTCAGAAAATCTGAGGAATGGAATACAGAAATATTGGCAATACAAGGATTATACAACAACACAACTAACTTGAAATATATAAAAAGTTTGGAATTAGAAACTCTAAAGAGCAGTGAAAATTGTCATTTCTAATGCTAACTTTCTTAACTAATGTAACAACTATAGTCAAGAATCCTCGCCCTAATGAAAATTGACATTGCCAAGGGGAACTGAAAGAGTTCGAAGTTTATACAATTTTGACCAAAATTCTAACAATGTGACCAACAACCCATTATCTTTCCATTAAAAGACAAACCTTTGCCCCTGTGATCCTTATTGAATCCAGACTTTCTCTTTCCATTATCTGCTTGATGCAACTGAGGTCTCTGGAATCTACAATAACTCAGAATACATATAAACAAAGATTCTAGCAAACAAATAATTGAAAGGCGAGCGAGCAGTAGGAACATACCCTTGACCAGGGCCTTTGAAATTTTGATGTTTGGTAAATTTATTTCGAAAATCATTCCCGTTAGAACCGGAACCATTGGTTCTATCGTCAATTCCTACTGACTGCCCCTGTGGAAGCTCAAGTTAACTAAAAGAACAAAAAGTACTGGAGACAACTTAGACAAGTCTCTCTCTTGATAGAGAAAAAAACAATGTAAATGAGAAGTTTTACTTGTGGTCTTGGCTCTGAGAAACCTGGAGGCCGCAAATGGTGATTTGGAACCGGAGGATAAGGAAGAGAGTTAAAGGAATTAAGCTGTGGTCGAGAAGTGAAAGCAGAAGGTTCAAGATTAGGCTGGAAAAAATTGGGAAGAGAGTGACCCATAAGGTTACTATTAGCAACTGCAAACTGAAGATTGCCCAAGAGATTGGGAAGTAACTGGTTGATATGGTTGGGCATAGCAAACTGATGAAGTTGTTGTTGTTGAGGCATATTGTTAAAGAACTGAGGATGTATTGGCATATTAGGCATTGGAATGGGATTGTTCATGTGACCCATCATTGGATTACTCATCATCTGTGGATTCATCATCCCTAATTGATTAGAGTTCATTGGGTTCTGATACCCATTGTGTTGTTGGTGGTGATTAGAATACCCATTGTTCTGTATATGGCAAAGTTCAAACACAGAGATATCAATACAAAAAGTCTTTGATTTTGATTGAGTGGCAGAGAAATAGAAAGAGAGAGACCTGTTGTTGTTGTTGATGTTGCGGTCGATAAGGACGAGCTTGAGGCTGGAAGGAATTGAACGGAGGTCGCATTATGAAGGATTTTGCTCAGCTAGGGTTTAGGGTTTTACGATAACTTATGAACTCCGATAACTCTTAAGCTTTAAATCTCTGCTCAGTGACAAATCAAGAAGATAGGTAACTCGAGACGATGATCGGTAGAAGAAATTTGCTACCTTGAATCGTGGATTTCGTCGGCGTTGAAGGCTTGAAGCTCGTCACGCGACTCTGTCGGAGTGAAAGAAGAAACCTAATTAACTCTCGAGATAATAGAGTCTGTGTTTTGTATCTCATTCTCATAATTGAACCGCTAACCAACCGGTACGAACCGGTAATGATTTGCTTGAAGACGTGGCGCGGTGTCCGATTGATTATCCACGTGGCTGACAGCTAAGGCTTTTGTCCGAAAATATTGAACGTGAAGTGGGCTAGGATGTTTGCTTGCTTATGGGCTATATCGGTAACCCAATCAAGCCCAAATATCGTTAGGACAGTGTTCTAACTTCTATGTGAAGCTGTCATACACAAGCCTCATGTGAGTTCTTCTTGTTTAGAAATAAGAATGAATAAAAAGGTTGTCTCTCCCAACGCTTTGGTTCGTTCCTTCTTGTGAAACTTGAGGTTGCATTAAATAAAAGTCGTAGACTTAGAATGGAAATAATCACAATGGAAAACAAAATATATGAAATCCAAAATAATCACTAGTTCAAAAAAACAAAAAAACTATAACATACAAATTACAATAATAAACAATTGTAGAAAGGACTTTAAATAAAATTGTTATAGCAGTTAGTGACAAAACAATAGTAGAAAAAGGATGTGAACTTATGTACAACAACAATACATAAATGAACGATACTATCATTCTCTTGGACCACAAATAGCAAGTACTTATGAGAAATCTACTATAGTCATGTTCTTTTTAATAGCAAGACTGTAAAAAACTAAAAAAAATTAACATTTTTGGCTGTCATAACACGGGATTGAAGACATTATAATAAATCACATGAAAAGTGAAAACCAAAAAATGAACTATATAAATTCCAGTCTTCCTTCACATTTTTAAATTGACGAAGTAAAACAAACAAAAAAGTGATATTATGATGATCTCAACTAGAAAATTTGAACTATTGGTTATAGCCTACGTGTCTCTGTTCCTAGTATTGGTTATGTCTAGTCTGACCATGGTCGAGGCACGTGCTTTTTTCGTGTTCGGCGACTCGCTTGTCGACAGTGGGAACAACAACTATCTGGTGACGACTGCACGTGCCGACTCTCCGCCGTATGGAATCGATTTTCCTACTCGGAGACCAACGGGCCGGTTTTCCAACGGTCTAAACATTCCAGATCTTATCAGTTACGTTTCGTTACTAATCTCATTAACCGGTTTAGAGTAATCTTGATTCAATGTTTCAATTGAGTATACACATATTTAGTCATAATACGTAATTTATATACCAAAATTCATAATAATCAATTGGTTAATATTGGTTAGGTGAGGCAATCGGCAACGAAGAGCCCCCGTTACCTTACCTTAGTCCAGAGCTAAGGGGCCGAAGGCTTCTTAACGGTGCCAATTTCGCCTCGGCCGGTATCGGAATTCTCAACGATACCGGATTTCAATTCGTAAGTATAGAAAACCGGTTCTGACATCAAGTGAAAAAATTCATTAATTTATAGATATAAATTTTGGTATGCAGATCAACATTATAAGAATGTACCAACAACTCGATTACTTCCAACAATACCAACAACGTGTGAGTCGCTTGATAGGGAAACCACAAACTCAGCGGCTCGTGAGTCAAGCACTTGTATTAATCACGGTCGGTGGAAACGATTTCGTGAACAACTATTTCTTGTTTCCATATTCCGCTAGATCACGCCAATTCTCTCTACCGGATTACGTCCGACTCCTTATTTCTGAATACAAAAAAATACTACTGGTAAGTGGTTACAACAGTTCTTATGATATAATTTGGTTCATTATTGTATGACCAAAACTTTTAGGCTTTCGTTAAGTTTGTTGGTATGGATACAAAAATGAATTGGATTGATTTCGTCTCCGGCATTTGAACTCATGATTTCAAGATCTTTCACCTTCTTACGTACATTGATTTGAGTATTTTTGCAAACAATTTATTTTGTGTTATTTCTAGAGATTAAATTCACTTGGAGTTGGTCGAGTTCTAGTGACCGGAGCTGGACCACTAGGATGTGCACCGGCCGAACTGGCTAGATCAGGCACGTCGAATGGGAGATGCTCGGCCGAGCTACAACGAGCTGCGTCTCTATATGATCCACAGCTACTTCAAATGATAAATGCACTTAACAAAAAGATTGGAAGAAATGTGTTTATTGCTGCAAACACTAACCAAATGCAAGAGGATTTTCTAAGCACTCCACGAAGATATGGTAATTACCGCAATTTTTCCCTTTCTAATTATCTACTTTTCGTTGAGAAGAAAGGGGTATAACAATTATATATTTTTGTTATAGGATTTATAACGTCGAAGGTTGCTTGTTGCGGACAAGGGCCGTACAATGGGATGGGTTTGTGTACAGTACTATCGAATTTGTGTCCGAACCGAGAGCTATACGTGTTTTGGGACGCGTTTCATCCGACTGAGAAAGCAAACCGCATGATAGTTCGTCATATCTTGACCGGTACCACCAAGTATATGAACCCCATGAACCTTAGCTCTGCTCTTGCCCTATGAGCCAAACATCCGATCATTTAAAGTTGAAGTGGGAAACTCCATTTCGTTTATTTTGATTTATGTTTATTTGATTCGCAAGATGTATGTATGGACTACCGAGTACAAGAGAAATAAGATATCTCAGTCCGAATTTAGCTTGTTCTTGTTGTGAACTGTGTCTTTCATTAATAGTATAAGAGATATATTATACAAGGATAATAGCAGGATACAGAGAATAAGGTAAAACTCTAATGGGCCATAGGCCGGTTATGGAGTCCATCCATATGGTTTATAACACTCCCCCTTAGAAGACATAACCGTACCCGATACTAAACCGGGATCTCTATAATGCGCTGGGGAATGTTGCCTCATTAAAACCTTACCAGGAAAACTCAGTGGGACAAAACCATGGTGAAGGAAAAAGAGTACAACACGCATTACTCCCCCTGATTTGAGCATCACTGTCGATCCTTAAGTCCGCGCATCCTGATCTGATGAATGAGCTTCCGGAACGTTGAAGTCGGCAATGATTTGGTGAATAGGTCGACTGAATTCTCACTTGACCGGATCTGTTGAACTTTGACCTGACCGTCCTTCTGTAATTCATGAGTGAAGAAGAACTTGGGCAGAATATGCTTCGTTCGATCCCTCTTAGTGTAGCCATCCTTGAGTTGAGCAATACATGATGCGTTGTCTTCAAATATGATGGTCTTTGATGTAGTAGTAGATGCGCCTTAAGGAAGGCTGCCTACGTATCCTTGGAAGGGATCAAGCCACACGTAATTCCTATTCATTGACCATGCCATAATCTGATCTTATGAATATCCTGCATTAGTAAATCAAACTAAACCAAAGCAAACTGGACCTTCTTTGGTTAGATCAGTATAGAATAAAACCCAAGTAAACAACGCAGGAAAAATAGACTTTAAAACTTAATCAAACCTTCCTTTAAACCTTTCCAATGCCTTTGGGTTGATCATGAACTAAATTTAGATAGGAGACTCACGGCAAAACAAATGTTTGGTCTAGTGTGTCTAGCCAAATTCATTAGAACTCCTATGACACTGAGGTATGGCATTTCCGGACTGAATGGATCACTATCCAATCTGAGGCTTCTCACCACCATTGGGCCTGGACAATGGGCGGGCCTGGTCTTTATTAAATCTCCTTGAGTACTCTTTCAGTGTATGCCATTTGATGCACAAGGATTCCATTATTCACGTACTCAGGTTATAATCCCAAACAGAACTTAATTATTGCCTAGGTCTTTCATTTGAGATTCTTTCTTTTGATATACTCAACTGTTTGGGCGATTATCCAGAGGTTTAAATCATTCATATACACTGCTATGATTACAAATCCTTTGTTTGCAAACTTCTTGATAAAAATACATGGACTGATCGGATCGTTTTTATAGCCTTCTCTGATGAGATATTCGCTTAACCGGTTATACCACATACGTCCGCTTTGTTTCAGTCCATATAAGGATTTGTCCAGCCTTATGTAGTGCTGTTCTCGAGAATCTGTCTTATCTTTGAGCTCAATACCCTCTGGTAATCTCATATATTATCCAGTGGACTTATATAAATAAGCAGGCATTACATCCATTAGCCGCAAATCTTTCTCTTTTATATAGCCAGACTTAACAAAGATTTAAATGTCTTAGCATCCACCACATGGGAGTATATCTCCTCTATTTCTGGTCTTTGTGTGAATCCTTGTGCGATAAGCCGTGTCTGATATATCACGCTTTCACTATGTTTATTTCACATAATCACAAAGACTCATTTGTCCCACTGGCTTTACATTGAATGGTGTCCTTCGTATTGGACCAAACACATTCTTCTTCTTAATGATTATTAGCTCCACGTTTTATGGTCTTGTACCATTTTAATCAATCAGGTCTTTGAGTGCACTCTAGTATAGACGTGGGCTCATGATCCTCATTTATTTCAGTTGCTACCTTGTGCACAAATATTTTATCATTGATGTCGACATCTTTTCGGTTCCATTTTATTCTAGACATGATATAGTTTATAGAGATCTCTTTACACCTTCAGGACCTTGAGGTTTGGCGTCCCAAACCTCATTGATTGGTACCTTAGGGTTATGTCTATTAGCCGGCCATGTCTATGGTTTCTTGAACCTTCTCGGTTTCCCTTGCACCTTTTTTTGATTTCCGAGGGTTCTTGTCTTTGGAACCTTTTGGGTCTACCACGTTTCTTACGTGTTGTAGCCTCTGTAGCAACTTGATTATGTTCCTTGTGAACATCAATATGTACTGGTGTATTACAAGCTGGTATGTACGATTTTGTTACTCTCTTTGGGTCATTATAGGAATCTTGGCAACTGTTTTAGCTAGCTTTTGCAGATATATAGTCTTTTGGATCTCTGATGGAGTCCGAGGATCTTGCCATGTGAAGGATGTTTGATTCCATGTAAGTTCTTTGACCAGCTTGTTAGTCTCTCCACCCAGTGTTAGGAAAACAGATTCATTGAGATGACAATCCTTGTATCTGGCCTTTGGCTCGAGATACTTAATGATGGTGGGAGAATCATTTTTAACGTATATTCCCATCCCCTTTTGAGGTCCCATCATTTGCTCTCTGTGGTGGTGCTATGGGTAAATAGGTGACACACCCAAATGTCTTTAGATGGGAAACGTCTGGCTCATGACCCGTTAGCAATTGGGATGGGGAATATCTATGCTCACTAGATGGCCGAATGCGTATTAGTTCAACAGCGTGTAAAACTGCATGTCCCCAAGCTGAGACCGGAAGCTTCAACCTCATGAGTAATGGTCGAGCAATTAGTTGATTTCGTTTAATGAGGGATTCAGCTAATCCGTTATATGTATGGACATGTGTCACATGTGTTCCACACTTACCCCCATGGCCATACAATAGTCATTAAATGCTTGGGAAGTGAATTCACCAGCATTATCTAAACGTATGGTCTTAAGAGGAAAATCTGGAAAATGGGCTCGCAATCTGATCATTTGGGCCAATAAACTAACAAACGCTTGGTTCCTAGAAGACAATAGGCAAACATGCGACCAGCGGGTCGATGCATCGATTAAAACCATGAAGTACCGAAATGTTCCACAAGGTGGATGGATCGGACCACATATGTCTCCTTGAATTTGTTCCAGAAAATGTAAGGTCTCTTTAGACACTTTGACTGGTGAAGGTCGAGTGATAAGCTTCCCTTGTGAACAGGCTATGCACGTGTGGTGCTTAAGGAAAACTCGGTTTTCTTTAAGGGTGTGCCCTTTAGAACTTTGAATTAATTTACGCATCATATTCGAACCGGGCTGGCCAAGCTGGTCATGCCATTAGTGAATTTCTCAGTAAACCCTTTTGTTTACTTTATTAGCCTTTATCATATTGACCTTGGCATAGTAAAGATCTATGACGCGGGTATAGTCTCTAAGACCTTCTCATGGTCTTGGGTGCTCTTAGTAATATATAGGAATCCTTTGTTCCCTTCACCTTTAGTTTCAATGTGGAAACAATTCAAACACATTTCTTTGAAACTCAACAAGCCCCTTTGGGCTGGGTGAATATGAAGCATCTAATGATGCGTGCCCTTGGGAATATGGGCCTGCCATGAGCCTGCCCTTAGCCTTCACTAAATTTAGCTATAACCGCAATTTGGCTAATTAACCATGTCTTTAGATATTTTGTTTATTGAATTCTCATAATCATCTATCTCATGGTCGAAATCTTCTTCACCATCGTGATGAACTAAATGAGCTTCTAGATTCTTTTCAAATTCTCTTGATAGAGATCAATGAGATGCTTAGGTGTCCTGCACGTCTTAGTCCAATGGTTTCCCCATTCCTCAACAGTGGCAAACAAGTTTATTTGAGTGTTGTGGTTTGGGTATACCGTGGCCTCTACCTCGATTACGACCAAAGTCGGGTCGGCGGCCTTAACCATATGAATGGTTTCCTTGATCATATAAATTATAATTGCCACTTCTACCATGTTCATTCCATTTACCATGATTGTGGCCATGATACTTATCTCTTTGGACGTGGTTAGACTCTTTAGTCTCTTTAGGCTCTTCAGCCCAATGGGCTTCTTATAATGGGGTAGGACCAGGAGGTCTCATTTCACTATTTATAACTCATTGTTTTGCTCAGCAAGTAGCAAAACAAGAGTTTAGACTTGCATATGTGGTAAAAACTTTTTTCACGATATTGTTGCTGAGGCAATATATTGTTTGTGTGAAAGGTCGAGAATGCTTTCTCTAGCAAGTCATTCTCAGTAACTTCCTCACCACGGAATCTCAGTATTGACACTATTTTAAATAGTACTGAGTTATACTCATTCATGGATTTGAATTCCTGGAATCTGAGATTCTTTCGATCGAATCGGGCTTTTGGGTAATAGCACCGTTCTTTGGTGGTTATATTGATTTTTTTTTTTTTTCAACTCTGTCCTGAGGTCCATAGGATTCTTAATAGTGAGGTACTGATTTTGAGACTCTCATTGAGGTGATGGCGTATGTTAGTAATCGTCTTATATCTTTCTCTTCTGGTGACATTGTTTCCTTCCATAATAGATTCACCAAGCCCTTTTTCCTTTAGGACAATCTCAGTGTCCAAAGCCCATTTTAAATAATTGTCACCAGAGGCATTGAGTGCCGTGTATTCATTATAGTTGATTTCTGATATCTATAATATATAGAGTTAAATGAGAACTCATGTAATCGGTTAGAACAAGTCATGCGGTATTTAAGACCGAGCCATGCTTGTCTTCAACAAGTGTTTTCTAAACAATCATGTTATATATATATGGATGAAATCAACCCTAGAAGATAGATCTAGTATGCAACAACCAAACAATCGGATCATACTAGATTAGGATATTAGGATTTCGCAGTTAAGTTTTAGGGTTTTAGCATCCGCGATTTATAGTACTAGGGTTTTTGCTAGGATTTCGGTTTTATGTATGGAACTTTCTATTTATGGAAACTTTTCTTATATGGAACTTTCCTTTTATGGAAAATTTCTATTTCTCATCTAGAAAGAAATCCTAAACAATTATGTACTTTAGGGTTTTGGAATATTTCCTTATGAAGGGGTTTCCTATTTTGGTAACTTTCCATTTTGGGAAACTTGCTATTATAGGGAACCTTTTATTTTTAGGAAACTTGCTCTTAAACCGTGACTTAGGGTTTATTAAACCGGTTTAACCTAGGATTTAGGGTTTCGGTTTACTTTCGGTTTAACCTAGGGTTTATATTAAAACATTCAATCTATCATGCTATTAAACATCTTTCCGTTCACTAACTTCTCAATTAATTCTCCAATCATAAATCAAATCACATGTGCCAATTTTCATGCAAATTTTATCTTATCAAACTTTAATTGGATCATGTATATAAAGCATAATAAATAAATAGCACTTATCTTAATTGGAGAAGTGAAACAGAGACCCGAAATCTGATACGGAGATTGAAAACAGTTATGTCTCTTAGCTGATTGGGACCTCCTTGATAATGAGCAATGATGGTGAGATTGGAAACAGTTATGTCTCATAGATTGGGGATATCACGTAAACGGAAAACGGTGTCCGCTAACGATTTTGACGCATTCTCCACATGAAACCATAATCAACATATCCAATAATTAAATTATGAACCAAAGTATATATTATAACGACATATTCCTCTTCATAACAAAACTTTTAAAGCATGACCAATAAAATTGTAAAGCATTAATCGATCGTGAATGGAACAAATAATAAACTATTAGCATGTGAGAGAGAAATTGGAGACTTACGAATCAAACACGTATAATGAAAACATATGTCATGAAACATAAACAATATTTCATAAAGCAATTAAGCGTGATGAATAATAAGTATGTGATTGAACATGTTTGACTAATAAGAAATCATTAATAAATATTGCCGATTTGATCAATCTAAGCATGAGTTGATTAATTATGAAAGTCTGTTTATAAACTATACAACCATGAAATAATTAAAGCATGCGATCAACTTATCTAATGCATGGAGGTTGACAAGAATTTGATCGGAGATGGGAGACGTCATCGTAAAACGGAGACGGAGATGGTGTCGGCTAGAGATTCATAAATATCTCTTTTAGCTTTTAGGATGAGAGGCTATCGTGCTGATAACGTGTTGTGAACTGTGTCTTTCATTAATAGTATAAGGGATATATATACAAGGATAATAGCAGGATACAGAGAATAAGGTAAAACTCTAATGGGCCATGGGCCGGTTATGGAGTCCATTCATATGGTTTATAACAGTTCTTTAATTTAAGGGATTATTGTTGATTTTGCCATTTTTTACCAAAATCTTTTGAAAATGCCATTTTTGCAAAAATCTTATGGATTTGCCATTTTCTAACACTTAAAAATGTATGTATTTCGGATTTTTTTTGGTAAAAATACGTAGTTTATACAAAATACTAAACCCTAAGAACAACCACAACCGACTAAACCCAAACATAACGAATAAAACGCATGTTTCCGTAGCCTGAAAAAGGATAAAATCCATAAACTATTCAAAAAGGGCAAAATCCACAAATGTCATCCCAAAAAATGGCAAATCCGTAATTGATTCTTAATTTAAAATTTCAATTGGAAAAACTTGTCTTTGATTTGATTTACTTAATAAAGTATTTGCATTTTGCATCCAATGACATAGAATGAAAATAACAATTAAGTAAAAATAGCAATGGTAAAAAGAAATTTGGTTAAAAGCAAAAGAAATATATAATATGATAGAGTGTTTATGTAACATTTTTTAAGTGGATTTATTCAATAGTTGTTAGAGTTTAACCCGTGTCGCTATCTAATCAATCAATTGATTATTTATAAAATACATACATATATACATGCATATATCAATATGACATATATGTGCATGTGTACCTTCACTATATATTAAATTAAATGTAGAAGTAAAATTAATTTGGTTATATTTGGTATTCAATTTGATATGCATGTACATCATATATCACTTTAACATGTATGTGATATACAATTTTTTTCTGCACATTTACCATATAAAATAAAAAAGTAACTTTAAATATGACATATTTTATTTACATCTGAAAAATATTGTGTAAAAGACACATCAATGAAGGGACATTAATGATATTTTGCATAAAATTGGTAAAACACGTAATCATTTTTAGAAACGACAAAACTTATAAAAAAGTATGACAAAATTAATAACTCGTAATAACAAAATAGTCTAAAACCTAAATCTTAAAATTTAGTCTATCTTCAATCCTAAAACCTACAATTGTACATTTCTTTGTTATTTACTTTTATTCTGATTTTTTTCATTGAAGTTATCCCTATTACAAGATTTTTTTTGGCCAAACACCCTATTATATGAACTAAAATATTAATTATGATACAATCCTTGTAATGTATTTCCAAAATAGAGATATTAATTTTACAAAATTCATTATAAACTTACCAAAGTTAATAAAGTAACTTTAAATATGACATAATTTATTTACATTGAATATATTGTGTAACGGACATATAAATGAAGGGACATTAATGTCATTTTACATAAAATTTGATAAAGCAAGCAATCATTTTCAGAAAGGATAAAATTCATTAAAAAATGTGACAAAATTCATTGATACGTAATAATAAAATAGTCTAAAACCTAAATCTTAAAATTTAGTCTAAATTTTCAATCTTTAAACCTAAAAATGTATATTTCCTTGTTATTTACTTTTAATCTGATTTTTTCATTGAAGTTATCCCTATTATAAGATTTTTTTTTGGTCAAAAACCTAATTTATGAACCAAAAATATTAACTTTGATTCAATCCTTTTAATATATTTCCAAAATAGAGATATTACTCATTAAAACCTTACCAAAGTAAATAAAGCTGTGAGGAAAAGACAAATTACCAAAAGTGGCCTTGACTCGAACCTTCTGAGTGAGAAAGAGGTATAAGGTCTATTTCAGAGATGAAACTTTGAAAATAAATAAAATCCCTACAGAGATTTGAGAATTGAATTTGGGAATCCAGGTTTAGGATCAACGATGATGATTATGAAGATTGAAGAGTCGGCGATTGTTTTGTCTCTGCTCAAATCGGATCTCCGGCCGATGGATGACGTTTTATCGGAATTCAACTCCAAGTTCGATGATAGCTCTCGTTTCTTCAGTGTCTGCAATTCTCTTTCCATGATGTTGCAGGCATGTGCTCGTTCGCTCGCTATATTTCTCTTCTTAATTTTCTTTTGAACTTTCTCTCGATGCTCGTGTTCTCGATTGTGTGGGACAGTAGCGAGTTTTAGGGGTTTTTGGATGTTTCACTCGAAGGATTTGATTTGAATCTAGGGTTTTCTTTTGAGCTTTGGTTTCGTGTCTGCTGAAATGATATATTTTGTGTTTTCATGGTTTCGTATATTGAATTCGTTGATAACTTTGAGTGTTTGAGTGTTCTTCTGCTCATTGTATACACAGGGGATAATTCGAAAGTGATGATAAGAAGTATTTTTGAGGCGTGTTTTACATGTGAAAACCATTTCTAATGTCTGTTCTCAGATTGGTGGGACTAATTGAATGAAGTTTTGTTCAATTTCAGGATCAGAAGATGCTTCAGAATACTGAACGTCTAATTGCATTTGCTATCATACATCAGTGTTATTCTTCTCAGAAGCCATCTCTCAACCCGTTTTTATCTGAAATGATGAGTGTAAGCACCCTTCATTGTGCCTCTAATACATGGTATAAATGCAATTTTCCTTTTACCTGCTCAGTTGTGTTGAGTTGTTGATTGTCTCTTAACGTAATAAGTGTGTTTTTAATCCTGGAGAATCGTAGGTACTGATATAATTTGGTTTTCATAAGCATTTTTAAGTGTTAAGCTTGGTATTTAGTATAGGTCATTTGTTTCTCGAACAGTTGAGAATGATGAGTTTCCATGAATTCCCTGAGGCTAAATTTTATCTATAGATTAATGCATGATGTGGTCTTCTCGTATGAAAGAATAACGATATCTATGCCTTTTGCAGGCTGCTTGTAATGAGCAACTAGAAAAGTCTGAGAGGGCATTTCTTCTCCACCTGTTACAATGGAATAGTTACAACAACGTGAAAGAGGTAGGATATAGCTGCACTTATAGACGTTTCCTTGAGCTGTTTGCCTGCTTCTTTTTCGCTTATCCATGAAAATTCAAAACTTATGTATAAAGCTGTTATGCAATTCCTTGTTCACATATACTCTCTAAGACTACTATTTTCCTTAAAATTGTTTGCTGGGCTCACTTATTTTTGTCATAAATAAGTCCATCACTCCGATCAGGCGTATTCTAACCCTTCTTTTGTTTCTCATATCATTTTCAAGTCCCGATTTGCATTAGTTACTAAGTAAGTATTCATGATCAATTAAAGTAACGATAGTTTACTCCCTTGCAGATTCTCAAACAGTCAGCTGTTGATTATATCAGATCGTTTGATCCTTCAACTCATGTAAGAGCGGTTGACGCATTGATATCTTTTTTTTCCAATTATATCTCTAATATATATTATCTTCATCATAACTGTTCCTTTATTATGCCTAACATTACCTGGAGAAACCTTTTCTGGTTATTGATCTAATATGGTGATGATCTGTCAGGATTTTCCGGAACTAAGAGAGCTGCAACGAGAGTATGGTGACAAAGCCGATCCTGGACCATCTAGTCACATTTTTGCAGACTATTCCCTCAAAAAGCTATTGCATGATCCTGATGTTCCTCGTGGGTGCGATCCTAACTCTCCAGAGTATGTAACCTATGAGCTAGGGGATTCTGTTTCTTTCTAAATGTTATGTACAGTTGAATCTGATCTATTTCTCCCAAGCTTCCAGTTTTCCTCTCAGCTTAATGTTCTGTGTATAATTAATGTGCCAATTTTAAGTTGATTTTATGGATGACCAAATAATTTTATAGGTTTGATGTGCAACCTGGAGGGAACCCCAGAATTGGATCTGGTGATAGGGATGAGGCCCTGTCTGGATTCTTGGGAAATTCGACAATGGGGGGATTAGCTCCTAGGTGGATCCGTCCATGTCCACCAAGGTACCCAGTTCATCAGAGCGAGGTAAGGCTAAGATTAACCCATTATTCAACCAGTTCAGAAAATTATGGAACTGACCTAAATGGTTCAACTTCTTACAGTTGCTTTGGATTGATCCTGATAACAAGCATGAGCTTGTTTGGGATGATAAAATGTGTGCTGATACAAGCAGAGGTGCAACAGTTAGAGACTTGCTTGTTAAGGGTTTAAAGGTGACACTTTCACCTATGGAGCAAGAGGTATATTATTGCTCATTAATTCTTGATATGCGCATTAAGTCATTACAAGTGTTGACCATTTTATTGCCTATCTTGCTCTTAACACTTATAAGCGAGTTAACATAGCAATGGGACAGTAACTACATATGCACAAGTTTTAAAGGTTTTAAAGGCAGCCATTGTATGGCAGATATACTCTAGTTTTGAGAGAGAGTCGTGCTATCACTCTAGTCTTTCCTTTCTCATTGGATTTAAAGATCTAGGATATTAAAAAGGAACTGACTGCAGTAAGAGTTTATGAAAAATAACCATGCAATAGATAAATAGCGATTGTGATGTTTTATTTCATCAGCCTTGCCCGTATAGCTGATCAATTTAGAAAACCTAGATCTTTTGAGTGAAGAAAATAACAAGTTTTATTCATTTACTGGCCAGGACATCACTACAGAATTGGCAAATGACCCAAAGCTTGTCTATCACTGTGGAATAACTCCACGGAAGCTGCCGGTATGTGATTTCATTTTCTGGCAGGTGCTTTTTTTTTCCTTTCTTATCGTCTCTCCTATCATGTGATCTAGTTTCTTATTCTCAGCAATTAGTAGAGCATAATCCTCAAATAGCAGTTGAGATTCTCACCAAGTTGATTAAATCCCCAGATATTGCTGAGTAAGTCATCACCTTATCGGTTCCACCATTTACTTTCGATCAAAATGATAACTCTTAAAGTGGGATTCTGAGAATGCTTCTGCAGCTATTTTACAGCTCTAGTAAGTATGGACATGAGCCTGCACTCAATGGAAGTTGTGAATAGGCTCACTACTGCAGTTGAACTTCCCAAGGAATTCATAAGGATGTACATCACTAATTGCATATCGTCTTGTGGGAACGCTAAGGTATTAAAACAAAGCTTTCTGTTGTTTTTCCTTTAGGTATTTTATAAAAAGCTTTCTATGCATAGCTATAAAGCCATCCTATAATTTTGTGTGAAAATCTTCTGTCGTGCTCTGCATTATTTACTATGATAATAGGATTTGTTGATTTACAATGTGTACATTTTCTTCTGTATAGTGTTTTTTTTTTTTGTTAATGGTATTGTTTTCGATCTGTAGCAGCAAGACAAATACATGCAGAATAGGCTTGTACGGCTTGTTTGCGTATTCTTGCAAAGCTTAATTCGTAACAACATCATCAACGGTATGTAGTCTCTGTTTCTGACTGATTGCTATCAAATTTGGCATTTTGCTCTGCTAATAACATTCACAGAAGTAGTTATAGTCTATAATTATGCTGTACACATGGGTGATTTATGTTATTTGTTTTGGTAAATGTAACAGTGAAGGATCTATTCATAGAAGTTCAAGCTTTCTGCATTGAGTTTTCTCGGATTCGAGAAGCAGCTGGCCTCTTCAGGCTTTTGAAAACATTGGAATGAATAATCTCTTTCTTCTTCTTCTTCTTCTTCTTCTTCTTCTAATCATCTTTGTCTCCATTTTATTTTATTATCTATTTTTGTAGCTAAAGAAAGTACTTTTTTGAATCCAAGACAGTTTTCGGTTTTCTTAGAGTTTCATATCTCTCAATTCATATGTTTTGACAACAAAAAATTCTGGTTAGACTTAGACGAGACGGCATGTCCTTTCCATTGGGCTAACCGGCTAAGGCTACTAACACTTATCCGGATTGGTTAAAACCTTAAAAGTTGTTATTTGATTCTACAAAGTGACTTATTTTATGTTCTATGTATAATTGTATATCTATATTGTTTTGTTACAGGTATATTACTCTTTATGTATTTTCCCAATATAAGAAAAAGAAATGGTTGAGGATAAAGGAATCAGTAAATAATGATTTTAGCTGTCATCAAGTTTGCTTCATAATAAAGACTAAAGAGAGACACAAATATAATGCTTCGTCTCAAAGCTTTAATGTTGGGTGAATATGTAAAACTAATTTTGGAAAACTAGATTATTTTACTCTCTTCTCTTTTTTTTTGGGGGGCAAAAACTAGATTATTACTCTATGTAGTAGTACATAATCGGATTGAACAAATACATAATTAAGAAAATAAAAAATCTTAAACGTGAAAATACAAACGAGGACCCAAAAAGAGACATTTTTATTTAGAAAAAGAAAATGAAAATGAAGAAAGCTTCCAACTTTGCGAAATTTTTGGTTCAGACAGAGTAGCAGCGAAATTCTCGATCTCTGTCCGTAAAGAATCAGAACAAAAGCCGAATCAATCGGCTTGAAGTAGTAGAGCAGCTCTCTCCTCTCCTCTCCATTGTTGTTGGGTAAGAAACTTAAAGTTGAAAGCTTTCTCCTTCAGTCGCCCAATGTTGCTAATTGCTTCTTCTTCTTCTGATCTTTCTAGCTGAGTCAATAGAAGACAATGGCAGTTCCTGTTGAGGAAGCAATTGCAGCTCTTTCCACATTCTCCTTAGAGGTAACTCCGATGTTCAAGATTTTGGTTAAATTTAGAAATTGTGGGTTTCTGGATCATTTTGATTACAAGAGTTCATATTTCAGAAAATTTGACTAGAAATGATATGACTTGTTGTTTCTTTATTTTTCCATTTCTTGATAAATTATTTTCGTGTAAAATTATCACATTTAGTGTTTAATCACGTATTTGTCTGCGGATCTTTGCATAGTTAGCAGTAAAATAGGTTTCAACGAAATGTTGAAGATTTAAGTAGCTTCTTGAAAATTTTGAAGTCACTGTAGTACATTTTCTTGAATCATTTTGAATTTTGTTATAGGATGAGCAACCAGAAGTCCAAGGACCGGCTGTAATGGTTTCAGCTGAAAGAGCAGCAACCGATAGTCCCATCGGTATGCATTTTTACTTCTCTTCGTCACTATTTTACCATGAAAGACAACTGAATTAAGATGGTTTTTTGTTCAATTTTGTAGAGTATAGTGATGTTGCAGCATATCGTTTGTCTCTATCAGAAGACACAAAAGCTCTAAACCAGCTGGTATATGGTTCTATAATTTGATAACTAAAGTCTTTTCTTAGTGGGTGTGATCTTATTTTATTTCAATATCTCAAGTAAGTTTTCGACCAATTGTATGCAGAATACACTTATACAAGAAGGAAAAGAGATGGCGTCAATTCTATACACATATAGAAGTTGTGTCAAAGCACTACCTCAGGTCCTTGTGAAATATGTCACTATACTCCATTGCATATCTACCTTTAGACATTTTATCATAAAATGAACTTTGAGAATTATGCTATGAGTTAGTTCTTTATTCATTGTATTTGAAATCTCGTAGCAACTGTATGAGAATCTTTTTTGAACTACAAAGTATAAATAATAGCGAATGATAGAAATTACTGAAATAAGATTCAATACGTTACCTGCTGCTGGGTCTTCTTATGTGTATCTCTTCCATAATACCCATAACTTTCTTTATTAATGATATACACGCAGCTTCCCGAATCTATGAAGCATAGTCAAGCGGATTTGTATCTAGAAACATATCAAGTTTTGGACTTAGAAATGAGTCGTTTACGCGAAATTCAGAGATGGCAATCGTCGGCTTCAGCTAAAGTGCGGTTTATATCCTTCTTCGTCCAACCCGCTTTATATAATTTCCTGTATCAGAAGTAATATGCCTATATTCTCTATGTCTGTGCAGTTAGCTGCTGACATGCAGCGGTTTTCCAGACCTGAACGGCGCATCAATGGCCCCACAGTCACACATCTTTGGTGGGTCATAACTCTTCTTTTATGTTTTATATAGATCCTCAGATGTTTAACACTCCCGTGTATATAATTTAACTGTGATTTTACTTAACATAGGTCAATGCTAAAGTTGCTTGACGTCTTGGTTCAGCTGGATCATCTTAAAAATGCTAAAGCTAGTATTCCTAATGATTTCTCTTGGTATAAGAGGTGAAAGATATAATACTTTTATCTTTCCTATCTATTCTTTCTTCAGATAGGACATATGGTTGTTACTAATCATTTCAGCTACTAAAGCTCTCTTTAAGAGTTGAATTAGTTTTCTAGAAGGTTTTTTTTTGTAGTTTCTGTTCTTAAGACAGTTTCACTCTTTTCAGAACATTCACTCAAGTCAGTGCGCAGTGGCAAGATACAGATACAATGAGAGAAGAGTTGGATGACTTACAGGTGTGTCATGGCTTTTTTATGCAATCATTTCTTAATGCCTTCCCCTGTGATTTGTCGGAAATGAATATGTGAGTTCTTATGTATGCAGATTTTCCTGAGCACAAGATGGGCTATTTTACTCAACCTGCATGTTGAGATGTTCCGTGTAAACAAGTATCCTTTCTTCCAAACATTTATTACCATCCTGTGGCTGTTAAAGATATTATCATGGGTTTCTCTATTTGAGATACACATGCTGCTCATGTCCTTTGTGATATTTGACAATATTGCAAGCTTTTGGATTCCTTAGTAAAATCAGTGTGGAAGATATTCTCCAAGTTCTCATAGTCTTCATCGTTGAGTCTCTGGAGTTGGATTTTGCATTACTTTTTCCTGAGCGTTATATTCTTCTCCGAGTTTTACCTGTTCTTGTTGTCTTAGCAACACCATCTGAGAAAGATACCGAGGCTTTATACAAGAGGGTAAAACTCAACAGATTGATAAACATTTTCAAGGTATTGAATTTCATGTTATACCTGTTTATGTTTCGTATATGCAACCATTATACCTTAAAGCCTCGTTTCCAACTCGCTAATTGACATATTTGTTGTGTTTTTTTCGGTTATCAGAATGATCCTGTCATTCCTGCGTTTCCAGATCTCCATCTTTCCCCTGCTGCAATTTTGAAAGAGTTGTCGGTATACTTTCAAAAGTTTTCATCACAGACTCGCCTTCTGACTCTTCCAGCACCTCATGAGCTCCCTCCACGCGAAGCTCTAGAATATCCTTTAAGATTTCCACTGTTACTTGACTATTTAACTATTATCTGGATTATTATAACTTGTACACATGCTTTGAAAATTGCAAGCCTTTACATATTTTACATATCAGAGACACTATTTGATAGTCAATCATATTGGAGCTCTCCGTGCCGAGCACGACGATTTTACAATCCGATTTGCTTCATCCATGAATCAGGTGCTCAAGCTATTTCTATCCCTGGAACTCCAATTTCTTGTTCTTATCTTGAGTCTCTAGGATGTTTTTCTAACTTGCTTTCATGCAGTTATTGCTGTTGAAGTCAAACGATGGAGCATATACTGAATGGTGCAGAGAGGTCAAAGGAAATATGTACGATATGGTTGTTGAAGGTTTCCAACTGTTAAGTAGATGGACAGCACGCATTTGGGAGCAATGTGCTTGGAAATTCTCTCGCCCATGTAGGGATGCAGGAGAGACTCCGGAAGCCTCCGGATCATATTCTGATTACGAGAAGGTAATACTTGTGAAATATTTTCTGAAAAGTTTATCTTTTATGGTAACAAGTTTTGGATTCTTTTTAATAGGTGGTGAGGTTCAATTATACTGCAGAAGAAAGGAAAGCCTTGGTAGAACTTGTTGGCTATATAAAGAGTGTAGGATCGATGCTGCAGCGCTGTGACACATTAGTTGCAGATGCTTTATGGGAGACAATACATGCCGAAGTTCAAGATTTTGTACAGAACACGTTAGCCACAATGTTACGTACCACCTTCCGAAAGAAGAAAGATCTCTCAAGGTGAATTAATTTTCCTTTATTTTCTTTCTATTTCAAGTCTTATTCTCTTAAACTTAAGCTTTCCATATTGTTAACTGTATTATATGTATGGTTGCATTACAGGATTCTTTCTGATATGCGGACACTTTCAGCTGACTGGATGGCAAATACCAGGCCCGAACATGAGATGCCATCTTCACAACATGGAAATGATGAAAGCAGAGGGAATTTCTTTTATCCGAGGCCAGTTGCCCCAACAGCAGCACAGGTTTGGGTCCATTTCAAGATTATTTTAAGTACAAGTACAGATGGTAAGACCCAGTGCTTGAACTTCTTGCTGTTTTGTTGTTTCAGGTGCATTGCTTGCAGTTTTTGATATATGAGGTTGTCTCTGGTGGAAATCTGAGGAGGCCAGGGGGATTCTTTGGAAATAATGGCTCTGAGATTCCTGTTAATGACTTAAAGCAATTCGAAACGTTCTTCTACAAGCTCAGCTTTTTCTTGCACATATTGGATTACTCGGGTAAGCCACATGCTAAATGTCTTTTTGGTTAGTTTATTGAGCCATATCTATAGCTTTGTAAGCTGACTCCTCAACTTCAATTTATGATGTCTGCAGCAAGTATTGGAATATTGACTGATCTGGGGTTCCTATGGTTTAGAGAATTTTACCTGGAGTCTTCACGTGTTATTCAGGTACGCGGCATTACGAAAAGGTTATACCTATATTTTGCCAATTTTGTTTTCATTGCAGGCCTGACTTGTTCTTACAAATAGTTATATGTTCACCACTGCAGTTCCCGATTGAGTGTTCACTACCATGGATGCTGATAGACTACATTCTGGAAGCTCAGAATTCAGGCCTTCTTGAGAGTGTTCTGCTGCCTTTTGACATTTATAATGACTCAGCTCAACAAGCTCTGGTTGTTCTGAGGCAGAGATTCCTCTATGATGAAATTGAAGCTGAGGTAATTAGAGTTCAATTTCGATCTCAACAGCTATAAACCTATAGGTCTTCTTGCATGAAAAAGTTCCTTGAACAAAATTATCGGTTCTTGTACCCTGTCTTCTTTCTGTAGGTGGACCATGGTTTTGATATATTTGTTTCAAGGCTCTCGGAGTCTATATTCACATATTACAAAAGTTGGTCAGCAAGGTACCTGATTACATGGTTTTTGATATATTCACCCCCTTCACTGTTAACTAATGAGGAGCTAAAGCCTTTTATCGTCAATTGTTGAGTTCAACAGTGAGCTTCTTGATCCATCATTTCTCTTTGCCTTGGACAATGGTGAAAAGTTCTCCATCCAGCCTGTGAGATTTACTGCGTTATTTAAGATGACAAAAGTAAAGGTGAATAATAATACTGCTCTCTGGTTATATAGAAAGTCACAATAGTTGAATCTTTAGCTCCATTGTTATGACCTAACATAGGATTAGATTATGCTTCAAGCAGTGGTTCTAATTATGTGTGGGTTGGCATGTTTATACATTCTTCTTACTGAGTTTTGTTGTGACATGCAGATACTTGGTAGAACAATCAATTTAAGAAGTTTGATCGCTCAAAGGATGAATAAAATCTTTAGAGAGAATCTGGAGTTTCTTTTTGACCGTTTTGAGTCTCAGGACCTATGTGCTGTAGTGGTAAATTTGTTTTTCTTTTTCATTTTCTTGATTCTATATGTATTACCATTTCTTTTAAATATACAAAAGTGGATGCTCTCTTCAATTGCAGGAATTGGAGAAGCTGATAGATATCTTAAAGCACTCGCATGAATTGCTTTCACAAGATCTTTCCATAGATCCTTTCAGCCTCATGTTGAATGAAATGCAAGAAAATATATCTCTTGTCTCATTTTCAAGTCGACTTGCTACACAGGTCAGCCGTACAAATTATAAGTCCTGACTATATTTTTTCTTACCTTTTCTCAATCTTTGATTTTTTTTTGTCTGCTAGATTTGGTCAGAGATGCAGAGTGATTTCCTACCAAACTTCATTCTTTGCAATACCACACAACGATTTGTCCGTTCATCGAAAGTTCCTCCTACTCAGAAACCATCAGTGCCTTCTGCTAAGCCTAGTTTCTATTGTGGCACTCAAGTAAGGAGCAATCTCTTAGGCCATTTTTTCTCTTAACTTGTTCAGAGACAATCTTATAGACCCATTTTTTGGTTACCTCTATAGTGTCTTTGGTCTCATTATATTTTTGTTGTCATGCTTTATTTTTTCTCTGGTAGGACTTAAATGCAGCGCATCAAAGTTTTGCACGATTGCATAGTGGATTTTTCGGGATACCACATTTATTTTCCATAGTTAAACTTCTTGGATCAAGATCTCTGCCTTGGCTTATAAGAGCTTTGCTGGACCATATATCAAATAAGGTATATTTGCACTTTTTGTACCATTTATTCCTTTTGTCTAGGTACTAACTATACAAAGGAACCAGCTAAAATAGTTCTTTTGCCTTAAACCTTTCAGATAACAACACTTGAGCCAATGATCTCTGGATTGCAAGAAGCACTGCCCAAGTCTATTGGATTGCTTTCTTTTGATGGTGGTGTTACAGGTTAATGCCTGGTTGCAGATTCTTGATGTGTTTCGATTTTCTGTGATATTATATCTACTGATGCTTTTCGCTGTTTCATTTAAAGGTTGTATGAAGCTTATACGAGAGCAACTAAACTGGGGCACTAAGTCAGAACTCAAGTCAGAAGTTCTACGAGGAATAAAGGAAATTGGAAGTGTGATATATACAATGGGACTTCTCGATATCGTATTGGTCAGTCCTATCAGACAGATTGTAAAGATTTAAGCTAAAGATTCTTATGATTTAGTCTAACAAATGTTTATAATAATTTTATTACACAGAGAGAGGTCGACACAAAGCGTTTCATGCAAACAGCTGCATGGCTGGGATTAATCCCAGGTGCTGAAGGACAGATAGTTAATGCTCAAGACGGCGAAAGCCCTCTTGTCAATCTCCTAAAGTCAGCAACTTCTGCAGTTGTGTCAAGTCCTGGTTGTCTTAATCCAGCTGCGTTCTACACCATGTCCAAACAGGCAGAAGCTGCAGGTTAATTAAGAGCTGTAGGCTGTAGCTATTCAATTACCAGTTTCTCTTTTATTTTTTAATTTTTTTGTGACAAAGTTTCAATCTTTTTGGTATTATATTATATGTGCAGATCTATTGTATAAGGCAAATATGAACGGTGGAAGCGTTCTTGAATACACACTTGCATTCACAAGTGCGTCGCTCGACAAATATTGTAGTAAATGGAGTGCTCCTCCAAAGACGGGCTTCATTGATATTACAACTTCAAAGGATTTTTACCGTATATACGGTGGTCTTCAGATTGTAAGCCATCCAAAACCGCAAACCTTATTAAAACATCTTTTTTAACCGCAGAAACATTCTTCTCTTCTCAATTCTTATATAAAGTTTGCAATGAACTCAGGGATATCTGGAGGAGATAACAGCTCCACAGTCAGCTCAACATGAAGTCCTCGGTGATTCGATTGCTTGGGGTGGTTGCACCATTATTTACTTGCTCGGCCAGCAACTTCACTTTGAGTTGTTTGATTTCTCGTATCAAGTACTCAATGTCTCTGAGGTTGAAACTGTCTCTGCTTCACATACTCACAGGAATCCTCAAATCCATCAGGTAGATTTTCCTCTCTCCATCCTCTCGTTAAACTGTTTTTATGTACATATAGTTATATTTCGTTTTGTTGAATCTTCTCATTCTCCATTTGAATATCTTTCTTTTTTTATGTGTAAGAAAGGGATGGGAAGGTTTGTTGGAAGGGATGAAGAAAGCTCGGAGGCTGAACAACCATGTCTTCTCCATGCTTAAAGCTCGTTGTCCTCTCGAAGACAAAACGGCTTGTGCCATCAAACAGAGTGGTGCACCGCTGCCACGTGTCAGGTTTGAGAATACTGTGTCTGCTTTCGAGACTCTACCTCAGAAAGGTACCGTTGCCTGATGCAATTTGTACAAGAACCAACCAGAGTGTTTTTAATGGGTCCATTTGGTTAGACTCATTACCTTCCCATAATCTTTCACCTTGTTGCTTGTATTCAAAACATAACATTTGGATTAATTGATATACTTTGTTATTTATTCTATTAGTTATAGAGAAATTATCAGTAACCATCATCATATTGGATATAATAATTGCAAATTTCTTACAACTATTCACCACCAGTATTAATAGAACATCGACAAACAAAGCCTTGACAAAAACGAGGATATTTATGCATTCTAAAACAATAACGAGCACACTTGTAACAAAAATCAGCTGATGCAGGACCTTCCACCACAGGCTTGTAAGAAGAAGGAACCGTCGATGTACCTAAAAAGATATATAGGAAAATAAACTAAACTATTAAATTAAAATCTTAATCGTAAATGTTATCAAAAATATAAAACATGATAAATGTTTGTCTTAGTTAACCGAAAATCTACTTACATAATGAAACAAATATTAGAAGAGTTAAAACAAAAATAGTAGTCTTCATTGTCTTTTGCTTTTTGAGATTTTAAATATTTTTGCTAAGCGCTTTAAGTTATTGAGATGAGATAGTGTCATATTTATAAGTATATCTTTTACTTATGTTACAAAATAGTTAATATTATAAGTAACGTTTTTTTTTTACAAGTAGTAATTTAAAGAAACATACTCCTTTAAATTACAGTTTTTATTTTTTAAGGTATTAAATAGCATAGTTATGGTTATTTCAGATTAGAAAGATAATAATACTCACAAACTTTTTGATTGTTTTGTTTATAATCTTTTTATATATTAAGTGATAAACAAAATAAAAGTACAATCGGTTGGTTCAAATTAATGCATATGTAGTTACATTTAGAGGTATCGAATCCTCTCATTCTCTGTCTGAATGTCTTCTCCATGCTTAAAGCTCGTTGTCCTCAAAGACAAAACGGCTTGTGCCATCAAACAAAGCCGCTCACTGCTGCCACGTTTCATGTTTGAGAATGATGTGTCTGCTTTCGAGACTCTACCTCAGAAAGGCAACGTTGGCTGATGCTATATGCACTAGAACCAAAGTGTTTCCTTCTTTCTTGCTTAACAAGTGACCTGGAAAATCGTTTGTATATCAATGGAGTTTTTTTTGTTGTTACTTAAGATAAACGCATATTAATAAATATATACACTATGTGGTTCGAGTAAATAGGGATGATGAAAAGCGAGAGATAAACAAAGCAAGATTAGTTAGGGTTTTGCTTGTGAAACCTTGTTAATATAGCAACTTTGCATGAACCTACAATTTTCTCAAAAAACTCATGTCACACAACGTAAAACCCCAAAATGAAAATACCATAGGAATTCGCGTTTTGGCAACATTCATGACGATTGTTGATTTGTTTCTTTATATTTTGATATATAAAAGATGTGTCCTTTATTTCATTACACGACCAAAAAACCTGCTAATTTTTTTTTGGAAAAGTTACTAGATTAACCCAAATAATGACTTTAATTACTAGAATGTCTCAAAAGATTTGGAGGTTAAATAGGTTATTTTCATGACGATTATACTCTTTCTCTCTTTGTTAGGAAAAAAAAGAAGCCAAATTTACCCTTGTATTTTTTTGAAAAACGTCGGAAAAAAACTTGGAAACTTTTTTGGTTTTTTAAAAGTCTGCTGGATTCGTTATGACAAGTTTATTTTCCATGGTAGACTTATTTATTTACGACAGATTTTTTATCTCCCACATACTTAATTTAAAAGGTTACGACAGATATTTATTTTGTTGTAGGTGGTGTTATTCAATGATGAATTTTAATAGAATTGAAATCTAACACTAATCCAGTGTTATTCAACTAATGATTATAAATCTAACGTTAAAATCTGGTGTTATTAGATCTTATACTTCATTAGATTTTAAAAGTTTGGTGTTATTCAATGGTGGAGTTAAAGTCAATTCTTTAAAGTTTGTAAAATCCAGTGTTATTCAAAACTAAAAGACTTGTAAAATCTTTGTATATTAAGTCATTTGAAATTAAACCTCTTTGGAGTTTCATGAGTAAATTATTAGAATCAAAATCCAAGATATACTACAGAGATTTTGAAATCCACACAAACAGATTCTTAAAACCAATATCAGAAAACAAATCTAAACCTTAAAGAATTGACTTTAACTCCACCATTGAATAACACCCCCTTAGTTTTTTACCCCACTATAGACTTATTTTTTGATGACACCACAGACTTTCATTACTTTGACAGATTTATTAAAAGTAGTGGCAGATTTATGTTTATAGTGGCCTCAGACTTTCTATTTTCATAAAAATATCTGTCATCAAGTGACAGATTTGTTTTTGAAAAATAATTACTAGAATGACTTAGTAGTGATAACATATTTTTTTAGTGTTATGACAGTTTTTATTTTTTAAACAAAAAAAACTGTCGCGTAATAGATTTGTCATACAAAAATAAAAATTGCTAACATACAATCGCAAATGAAATATTTATGTTATGACAGATTTTATTTACATTACAACAGATTTAGGAATAGTTAAAAAAATATGTCACATGTTAGGAGTCTTAGTGATGAAAAAAACAATTGCTGGAATGACTTCATATAGTGATGACATATATGTTTTAAGCAATGACAGATTTAAATTTTATTCCTATTATGACAGATTATATATACCTATTTGATGACATACTTTTCATGATGGACTACATATTTTAAGAATGACAGACTTTTTTAGACACGACAGACTTTTTGTATTGAATTTCCATAACTGAAAACTAATAAATGACGAGATAATCTAACGTACCATATTTTCCTAGGGTTTTGGGCTATCCTAACCGTTTCATATCTATCTTCCACGACGCCACAACACGTTTTTTTATCTTCACCAAATGTCTCAAAACAAAGGGTTGGAGATGGATCAGGTGATTCTCGTATGTGGCAAATGAATTTTTGAGAATAACAAATGGTTATTCATCATTGATACAAATAGAGGATGTCGAGTTCTGGAAGCAAATCGAGAAACCAGTTACTCGAACAAAAGACCACCGTCGTCTATGGCTGTTGTTCTGTAATTGGTAGATTCGAGTCTTCGTCGGAGTCGTGATTTCGACTCAAGTCTTCGTCGGAGTCGCGAGTTTGATTGAGTTTAGTCTTCTGAAGCTGAAAAAAAACCGAGAAAGTCAGTCTTTTATTTTAGGGTTAGTTGTTTTTTTTTTTGTTTTTTTGGGTTTAGTAATTTTAGTTTAAATGTTATATTGTTTGATTTTTTTTTAAGACTACTAAAATTGAACTAGGTTTTTGGTCATTTTACCCAAAAATTGTGTTAGTCTGGTAAACTACAAACTAAGGTGTCAATCTAATTATTAATCTACATATTTGAGTCAATCTGAATAATTTTCAGAATAATTTATCTTATTTTTTGTTATTCGGTATTTAAATATTCATTTCTTCTCACTTTTTCAATTACTCTATTATTATTACCGGTCAGAGCTTATATAAAATATTAAAACTATATATTTAATTAATAATATAAATGATTAATAACCATCATAAAACTAGGTATAACAATGACAAAGTTTTTGCAACTACGGACCTAGCACCGGCCACGTATGGGTGGAAAATAACAACGACAAAGAAAGCCTTTAGGCCCTTTACAACTAAGAAAATGTCTACCCCTTCGCATACAACGAACGACGTACACAATCGTAACAAAAATCATCTTCAACTGTTGTTGGGCCTTCTACCAACTTCAAATCAGGATACATTTCTTTTGAGCCAGGTACTATCACCACTTTCTTTTTCTTCGATTCACCTATTTTTATAGTACAAGAATACTATTACTTAAAATATTACTAGAGAAAGACAATATTGTTATAAATATACAATATATGATATACGTTTGATTCTAGTTAAGTTATAAATACTTACATGATATTGATGAAACTAAGATTAGAATAGTGAGAAAACAAACAATTCTCTTCATTTTGTTTTCCTTTTCCTTTCGAGATTTTTTTTTTCCCTAGAGATGAATGAGATAGTGTCACAATGTCCTATTTAAGTACCATTTATTTATGTTACGAAAATACAGTGGTTAACGTTTTTTTTTTTCTTTTCTTAAAAGTAGTAATTACAGAAAATATCATCCTTTAAATTACAGTTAAATTTAAGTGTATTAAATAGTTATGGTATTTGCTGTCAAAAAAAAAAAAAAAAATAGTTATGGTATTTTAGTAATTAAATAGTTGTGGACCGACTTGAATAAATTCGTAAACCCGGTTTGACCAAACCGCGTTATAACAGAACCAAGAAAAAGGAAGGAGTCGAGAGAGAGAGACAAAGGTCAGAAGATTTGATTTCTCTTATTCCTCTCCAAAGCCAAAGAATTTACAGAGAGATATATATTCTTTTAGGGTTTTTGAGTATCTCGCGAGGTTTTACAGAGATTTCTCCAATATGGTGAGTTTTAGGCTTCTGTTGTCTTTCTTCAATTTTATTTTCTGATTGTTGTTCCTCAGATCGATTTCTGTTTCTATGTAATCTTTTATACTCGCATGCATATCTTGTTCAATCTCTAAAATTTTTAGCCTTTTGTTGGATGATTTGTTTCTCTTGATTCATTTGCATGTCATAAGAGCTTTGGGCGGCGAAAATTTTCATCTTTAGGTTGTAAAACGCAATAAAAGTTGTTAGCTTTTTGTGTTTGTAGCTTCATGATCTGTGGGATTTTATTTTCAAAGTTTAGTCTTTTAATGTTTGGGTTTTTTTGTTTTGTAGGATTCGATGGTGAATCAGAAGACTGTTTTGGCTGTGACAGATGATGTGGTGTTACCTGTTAGCTCTGTTCTAACTATTATGAAAGAGCTTGGCAAGGAAGTGATTGAACGTTTTGATCCTCTGATTATTACTCAAGCATCCACAATAAGTAAATCTCTGTTCCTCTTTATTCTCGTGTTAGTTGTTTTAGCTCAGATTATTAGACTGCTCAGTGAAGCTTGTAGTAGTTAGCATATGGTTAGTCTGGAATTTATGTAGATAGGAAGCATCATGTCTGTACTATATGGAGAGGTTAGCTTTTGTTGGGTGAGAACACTTGAAGACATGCTGGGATATTCTTTTGTGTCTTCTTCTCATTGTGTTGGAATATTGATCATTTTTGCAGATCAGTTTCCTTTGGATGCTTCCTCAGTGGACGCGGTTTTAGCCATTTCCAAAACATCTGATTTTCCCAGTGATAAAATATGTGGTGAGTTCTCAAGAATCTTGAAGCCTGGTGGCACGGTTTTTGTGTGCAAAGTTTTGGAGGGTGAAACGGGAGAAATGCAACAGGTATGTGTCGTGTATCTAGTCAATATGTAATGGGATTTCTTTGAACTTTTATTTCTTGATCTTATGGTGTCTTACTTGCAGACTATTCAAAGGAGAGTGACGTTGGCTGGTTTTCTGGAGCCTCAGTGTCTTGATTTGAAATCAATTAAGTTGTCTACGTTCAGTTTATCCTTTGGGGTGAGCACTTTTACACGTCTTTTCTGTCTAAACTTTCTTTTAGTATGAGGAAACGTTTCTTCTTCCCCGAAAATAAGAATAAAATCTTGCTTTATGGGTTCAGGCTTATTCTAGGCATTTAACATGAAGGATAAAAGATGTTCCTTCTACGTATCTGTCAAACTTGCATATATGCTCTCACTTTGGCTCATCCACATAACAGTGAAACATGTTGTCAAATGCAGATTAAGGCAAAGAAACCTTCTTGGAAGATTGGTTCATCATTTGCTCTCAAAAAGCCTGCAAAAGTTCTCTTAAAGGTTAATCTAGATGATGACTTGGATCTTATTGATGAAGATTCTCTTTTAACAGAGGAGGACTTGAAGAAGCCACAGCTTCCTGTTGGTAATTAAAGACAGCCACATGATATTTGTTATCCTTATTTCATCCCTTGTGTGTGAAATATCTTGTATTTTCTGCAGCCAGCGGTTGTGAGACCACCAAAAAAGCTTGCAAGAACTGTGTCTGTGGTAGAGCTGAGATTGAGGAGAAAGCTGTCAAGCTGGGCCTCACAGAGGATCAAATCGAGAATCCACAATCATCATGTGGCAGCGTAAGCTTCTTTACCCATCTCTTTCTCTGTATGCGTTGGATTTTTGGTTCCAAGAGACTGAAAATTTCTTAACCAATCATTTCAGTGTGGGCTCGGTGATGCCTTCCGCTGCGGTACATGCCCTTACAAGGGTCTGCCACCCTTCAAATTAGGCGAGAAGGTAACTGATCCTTTATATCTATCACCATTGTAAAGTCTTGTAAATCCTTTTAAGAATACCCTTCATTCGTGTAACTTTTTCTTCCTCTTTAGGTATCCCTATCTCAAAACTTCCTTGAAGCTGACATATAAGCATGTGAAAGGTGCATCTTCATACATGGTTGTTTCTCACCGAAGCCAAAACCTTTTGCTAATCGCAGAGTAGTTTCATCATTTACTTTGTTCTCTTTCGTATAATTTGTTTGTTGGTACTTTTATTTTGTGGCTCTAAAGGCTTATAGAAGATTGTTGGTGTTGCCCACAAAGCACAAACTTTAGTTTCAATGAAGAACAGTTATACATTTCGTTAAATAATGTATTAACACCAGAGCTTGTGTTGTCTGAAGTGCTTCACTGTTTCTTTGGTAATGTGAGCTCTGTAGATTCATCTGTAGTAATCAATCTTTGGTTCTTACTACGTAATAATGATCTGACAGATAGATCTAAAAACAATAGCACAACAAAATGTAATACTCTTTTCCTGGAAAGAAACTAAACTCAACCCCCAAACTCAAGTATAACCTAACAGTTAGACAAGCTTGGACTACAAGATACAATTCGGTTATCATTACCAAACCGAATCGAACAAGGGTAGATCAATGTAGAAGCAGCTGAATTTCCTACAGAATCCCATCAGAGTTGAGGAGAAACCTCAAAACCCTTTCTAAGTTTAGCAATATCAAACTCCTCTAAGCTGAACTTCCAACTGCTCTATTCGCATAGCCAAATCATGCTTCCCGCTATTCTTCAACCCATCAGTAACCATATCAAAACACCGTGATATCGGAACCAAACCCATCTCTGTCATCTCAACCAAGTAATTAGCTGCATCCACGAATTTCCCACCACGACCACACATTGTTATCAGCATTGTGTAAACCGGCCTATTAGGGGGATGAGCTTTCACCTTCATGTCACTGAAAAAGCTAAAGGCATCATCAAACATCCCATTCCTACACATTCCCTTGATTATCGGAGCATACAAACTCGGAAACGGCTTATGCCCATCTTCCACACAATTGTTCAACAACCGAAACGCCTCATCGATCTTTCCAATCTTTGAAACCGCAGGTATAAGTGTCTTGTAAGTGTCGATATCTACACAAAGACCTAACTTGCAAGCAGTATAATACATCTCAATGCAAAATTCAACTTCCCCTGATTTAGATATAGCTTCAATCAGAGTATTAAAGGTTAATATATCAGGAACAAACCCTCCTTTGGTCATCTTATCCACTATCTCTTTAGCAGATTCCAAGTAACCAGCATTTAACAAACCTTCAATAAGCAAATCACGTCCACGAGCCGGTGGATTAAACCCTTTCCTACTCATTTCATCAAGAAACTCTTGAGCCTCCTTCATTTTTCCGGCGGAACACCATCCGTTAACTAAGATCGCGTATGTCCGCTTATCCGGCTTAAGACCTTTCCTAATCATTCGCCGGATCAAAGCATAAGCACCATGGAACATCTTCACATCACAAAGCGCATGGAGCAAGGCATTGTAAACATCAACAGTTTGTTGACATCCTAGAGTCTTCGGGACGCCATTGAAAAGCTCCACGGCTTGATCTACATGACCGTTCTTACCGTATTGCTCAATGATGAAGCAGAGAGTCTCGCCGGAGATGTCGAGAGACAAATCCTTCATCTGTTTGAGGATCTTCCACATCGATTCGTATTTTTTATGTGAAGCTAAGGATTTAGCAAGCTCTTCATATTCCATGGAGGTTGGTGTGTAGCTAGGGTTCGATCGTGCCCAATTGAAGAAACGGAGAGAATCATTGGCGGAACGAGAGGTTGCGCGGAGGACTCTGAACACGAACTCAGAGGTTACAGGGAGACGGAGACTGTTCAATGATCTCTCTGGATGAATCTCACGGCGGACGATGTTGACAACGTGGTTGATCGCGGCGAAGTAATCGCCTTTAGTTGGAGTCGAATCAGAGCTTTGCAAAGGCTCGAGACTAGTGAAATGACGAATACTAGATTCAATAGAGGTTCTAACAGTGAAGATCGAGTAAAGTCTCCCGCCGGTATAACGCCGGAGGAGGAACATTTCCTCACTGGGACAATCTCTCCGATGAGATGAGCTTAGAGAGAAGTGACGTGGAATATTGATTTTAAATTTTTTATTTTATTTATTTATCGAACAGTTAATCAAAACGCAGCGTATTAGAGCGGATGCCCTAGTTTAATGTCTAGGTATAAAAACCCTATATTTGTCATTTCTCCTCCACTCTCTGCATTAGGTTTCATTTTAGCGGCAGACGAGAGCAAAAGCAAGGAGAAACCCTAACCATGGCGACTCAAGCAGCTGCTGAATCTGTCCAATGTTTCGGAAGGAAGAAGACCGCAGTGGCCGTTACTCACTGCAAGCGTGGATCTGGTTTGATCAAGCTCAACGGTAGCCCAATCGAGCTTTTCCAGCCTGAGATCCTCCGATTCAAGATCTTCGAGCCGGTTCTTCTCCTAGGAAAGCACCGTTTCGCAGGTGTCGACATGAGGATTCGTGTCAAAGGTGGTGGTCATACTTCTCAGGTTTACGCCATCCGGCAGAGTATCGCGAAGGCTCTTGTTGCGTTCTACCAGAAGTATGTGGATGAGCAATCGAAGAAGGAGATTAAGGATGTCTTGGTGAGGTATGATAGGACTCTGCTTGTGGCGGATCCGAGAAGGTGTGAGCCGAAGAAGTTTGGTGGTCCTGGTGCTCGTGCTCGTTTCCAGAAGAGTTACCGTTAAGAAAGCTGGTTTGTTTTGTTTTTCAATTTGGAATCATCTTAAGTTTTTTTTGGAGTATGGACTTGTGAGACTCTTAGAATTTATAATTTCAGTTTTATTATGCTTTTTGGATAATGGTGATTCTCCAAGAACTTATGCATTGTCATGTTTACCCGTTTGCTATTTTAAAAGTCTTTTTAATTATATGACATTGTCTTCCTTTCATTGCTTGTTATTTCTTGTGCTGTGATGTATGGCATTTGCATAGTTGGGTCGAAGGTTTTGCTGCAACACAGATAGGTCTTGATGTTTTGATTATTTGAAAGCGTGTTACTGAGCTATAGCTGATCAAATATCGCCTAACAAAGCGTGTTTTGCATTTGCATAGTTTGATCGAAGCTCTGTTTGCGAGTTGGTATCTCCACTTTTTGATCTAACAATCTCTGTTAAACAATTGCTCGAAATTTTAGTGTGGCTCAGAATTTCAAGGCTTCATTTCAAGACATTTAGGCTATTCTTTGGAAGCAAGTTGCATTGTTAGTCTTTTGTTTTACCTATTGGGTATATTGCTTATCACATTTTTTTTGTCCTCTGTGACTTGGTGAAATTCGCAAAACTTAATCTTTTGCAAAGCAAATTTGGCCTTTAGTCCTTGTTTAGGACACGATTATGTTCTTGTAAAGAAGATCAGAAGTCGGGACTGTGAATTTGACCGATAATCAAAGAACCAAATAACTTTTTATCTAAAAAAAGAGCAATTGATAACCGGAGGATCTTTTTTAATCTAAGTTTTCTCAACCTTTCTGAATTATGACGAGGTATGAGAACTCCTACTTGGCCGTTTTGTGCGTTCCACTACTTCTAAAGTCAAAACTCTTGTATCGGTAGAAGCAAACAAAAGGCAAAAAGTCAACCTTCTTGACGTGCAAAGCGTTTCTCAAGTTTCCAATTTAATGTCCAGAAATGTATCCACTTAAGATTTGCAACTTACCTTTCTAAATATACAAAGGATTATAAGCTCTTGTTACTTTTTAGCATTTCTCATGGCAGTTTCTTCATCGTTCTCATTGCAGCCTTGCCATTGGAGACACCATGTGTTCCCAAGCTTCAGCGGCGAAGACGTCCGTAGAACCTTTCTCAGTCACCTTCTGAAGAAATTCCAGCTAAAGGGAATTCGCACTTTCATGGATAATGATATCGAGAGAGGCCAAATGATCGGTCCAGAGCTCATACAAGCAATCCGAGAATCTAGGTTTGCGGTTGTAGTATTGTCGAAGACATATGCATCTTCAAAGTGGTGTTTGGATGAGTTGGTGGAAATAAAGGAAGCTAGCAAGAAGGTCATTCCAATTTTCTACAATGTGGAGCCATCTGACGTGAAGAATATAGGGGGAGAATTTGGAAATGAGTTTGAGAAAGCATGTAAAGAAAAACCAGAGAAATTGGATAGATGGAGAGAAGCCTTGGTCTATGTGGCTGATATAGCCGGCGAGTGTTCTCAAAACTGGTAAGTTGTCCTGATTCCATTGATCGAAATATCTAAACTTTGCTTCACATGAATGAAATGAATTCTTGGTCCTCCTTGTTAGTCATGGATGTGCCAATGGTATTGGGTTATTTTGATGATTTGATGGAAGCAATCTTCTTCTTCTTGATAGGGTCAGTGAAGCAGATATGATTGAAAATATTGCTATGAGCATTTCAGAGAAATTGAATTCTACACCATCACGAGATTCCGAAAATCTGGTTGGAATCGACGCTCATATGAGAGAGATGGATTCTCTGTTATTTTTGGAATCAACTGAAGTAAAGATGGTGGGGATTTGGGGTCCTGCAGGTATTGGCAAGACAACAATTGCCAGAGCGCTATTCAACCGGCTCTCTGAAAACTTCCAACACACTATTTTTATGGAGAATGTTAAGGGAAGTTATAGGAGAACGGATCTCGATGACTATGGCATGAAGTTGCGTTTGCAAGAACAGTTTCTGTCTGAAGTTATAGATCATAAGCATATGAAGGTACATGATTTAGGTTTGGTAAAAGAAAGATTGCAGGATCTAAAAGTTCTTGTTGTTCTTGATGATGTTGATAAACTAGAGCAACTTGATGCTTTGGTGAAACAATCTCAGTGGTTTGGTTCTGGAAGTAGAATCATCGTGACCACGGAAAACAAACAGCTTTTGAGAGCGCATGGGATCAAGCTCATATATGAAGTTGGTTTTCCATCTAGAGGTGAATCTCTTCAGATTTTCTGCCTATCCGCATTTGGACAAAGCTCTGCACCACATGGTTTTATCAAGCTCGCTACTGAAATAACAAAGCTTGCTGGCTATCTTCCTCTAGCGCTGACGGTTTTGGGGTCATCTCTGCGAGGGATGAACAAAGATGAGCAAAAATCAGCATTGCCTCGACTCAGAACCAGTCTCAATGAGGATATAAAGAATGTTTTACGAGTCAGTTATGATAGTTTACATGAGAGGGATAAGTCTATATTCCTTCACATTGCGTGTTTATTTAATGGTGAGAATGTTGATTATGTGAAGCAGTTGCTTGCAAGTTCTGGCTTGGATGTAAACTTTGGACTTGAAGTCCTGACCAATAGATCTCTCATAAACATATCGGGATTCAATCGCACCATTATGATGCACACTTTACTCGAACAATTGGGTCGAGAAGTTGTTTATGAACAATCTATTGTCGAGCCTAGAAAACGTCAATTCTTGGTGGATGCTTCAGATATCTGTGACGTACTTTTTCATGACAGTGTAAGTCAAAATTATTTTCTACACATTACTCATATTTTTAAGTTCACTATGATTTTGCACAAACATTATTTTTAATTGGTACCTCTATACTGTTTCAGGGCGCTCGAGCTGTTTCAGTTTTGGGCATATCTATGGACATATCTAAGATCAATGAGTGGTATCTGAACGAAGAAGCTTTTGCTGGGATGTTTAACCTGATGTTTCTCAGATTCTATAAGTCCCCTTCAAGTAAAGATCAACCCGAGCTGAATTATTTACCTCTACGCTTGGATTATTTGCCCCACAAACTTAGGCTGCTGCATTGGGATGCATGCCCTATGAAATCTATGCCCATGAGTTTTCGTCCAGAGTTTCTTGTTGTGCTCAATATAAGAGAGAGCCAGCTTGAGAAGCTGTGGGAAGGAGCACCAGTAAGTTCATTTTGATAGTTCTCCCATCTCAATTCATAACATATTGATCTGATTGTTTCTTTTTTTTTTTCTGGTGTTTTATGTGTGTTTCCCTTAGCCTCTTAGAAGTCTGAAGTGTATGGATTTGAGTATGTCTGAGAATCTAAAAGAGATTCCAGATCTTTCAGAAGCTGTAAATATCGAAGAACTCTGTCTCAGTTATTGCCGAAGTTTGGTGTTGTTACCTTCCTCAATCAAGAACCTTAACAAACTGGTTGTTCTCGACATGACGTACTGCTCAAATCTGGAGTCTTTTCCGAGCAATATCAAATTGGAATCTCTCAGCATCCTCAACCTCGATAGATGCTCACGATTGGAAAGTTTTCCAGAAATTTCTTCGAATATTGGATATCTCTCTCTATCAGAAACTTCAATAAAAAATGTTCCCGCAACAGTCGCGTCTTGGCCATATCTGGAAGCATTGGACATGTCAGGCTGCAGGTACCTCGATACATTTCCATTTCTGCCGGAAACTATAAAATGGTTGGATCTGAGCAGGAAAGAGATCAAAGAAGTCCCCTTATGGATCGAGGATCTAGTTCTGCTCAAGAAACTATTGATGAACAGCTGCATGGAGCTAAGAAGCATCTCTTCTGGGATTTGTAGACTGGAACATATCGAAACACTAGATTTCTTGGGTTGCAAGAATGTTGTGAGCTTTCCACTAGAGATCTACGAGAGCTCCCGGTTCTGTCATAATCTGGTGATGGAGATGAGAAACATTCAAAACCCTGATCTTCCTCGACCATTTTATTTCAGGAATAGCTATATCGACACTATTCCAGATTGTATTACACGTCACTGCAAGCTGCCTTTTCTGAATTCATCCGGATCAGTCTCCAGCAATATAGAGAATGATTTCATCTGGTTCGACGAATAAATATCGGTGAAGAATGGCATGATAATGATGAGCCAGATGCAGTTTCATCTTCAACCTGCTCATTACAATTGTAGGTGACATCATTTGACTTATGTTGAATAAAGTACATTGTAAGAATTAATAAAGAGGGTAAGGAGCAATTTGTAATAAGTAGGAAATTGAAGGTGTCAACATCGTTGAATTTCTTGCATCTATTTCTCTCCTTGTAAGTCAACTGACTTTATTCTTATCTAGTTACTCGTATTTGACTCTTTTCTGTGGTTGTACCTTTCTTTGTCAATAAAAAGCCTCTTGGTTATTTCTTAAAACGTTTTTTCTTTCCTCGTGCTCTGATTCATGGCTTCTTCTTCATCTTTGTCTCGCAGTTGGATGTGTTGGTTGATAATTGAGTTTTCAGTTAACGGTTATAAGTTTGTGTTGTTTCACTCAAAAGTCACAAGTACGAAGAGACACAACTCTTCATGTGTTGTGTCTAGTTGTTTTCTATTTAAACTCATTATATCGTCATGTAAAAAAAACAAGAAGTTTCAGTTTAATCAAAAGAGTTATTTTTGTTCTTGTCTTCTTTACAAGAGAAGAGACAAATGTCTCTTGCACTCTGTTTCTTCTTTCTCTCAATATTCCAACAGGATGTACCAAGTCTTCCCGAGCTTCTGTGGAGGAGACGTACGCAGAGCCTTTCTCAGTCACATTCTGAAAGAGCTCAGAAGCAAAGGAATGACACCCTTCATTGATAATGAGATAAAGCGAGGCCAACTTATCGGTCCTGAGCTCGTACTAGCAATCCAAGAATCAAGGATTGTGATTGTCTTGCTCTCGAGTAACTACGCTTCTTCAAGCTGGTGTTTGGATGAGTTAGTGGAAATCATGAAGTGCAAGGAAAAGAATCAACAAACAGTGATGGTTGTTCTTGATGAAGCGGATAGCTTATGGCAACTAAATGCAATGGCAAACCAGCCTGGATGGTTGGGTCGCGGAAGTAGGATTATTATTACAACCGAATATAGAAAACTTTTCAAGGCACACGGGATCAATATCCAACTAGAGATGAGGCTCTTCAAATCTTCTGCCTATATGCTTTTGGTCAAAAGTCTCCATATGATGGTTTTGAAGCGCTTGCTTGGGAATTACCGCTAGGCCTCAGAGTTATGGGATCGTATCTACGAGGAATGTCCATGGACGAGTGGATAGACGCACTACCAAGGCTCAGGTCTAGCCTTGACAGAGAAATTGAATCAACTTTAAGATTTAGCTTTGACGTCTTAAGTGATAAAGATAAAGCTCTTTTTCTGTATATTGCATGTTTCTTTGGTGGTTTCGAGGTTGATTGCTTTAAAAGATGTCTTGCAAACAGTGGTTTGGATGTTAACCATGGGATTCAAATCTTAGCTTATAAGTCTCTCATATCTACAGACGATGGAATCTTGCGCGCGGATGCATTGTTTACCGCAACAAATGGGTAGAGAAATTGTCTATAAACAGTCTTTTGATGAGCCTGGAAAGCGAAGATTTGTGATTTATTTGATGAAACTACTGTAAGTTTTTCCCATCTTGTAGTCTTTTGTTTCCTTGGTTCGTAAGCTTATATTTTGTTCCTTTTACATGAGGGTACTAGAACTGTTCTAGGCATAACGTTCCAACCTCCGGACAGAGAGAAAGTCGAAATAAGTGAAAGTGCTTTCGAAGGGATGAGTAATCTCCAGTTTTTAGCAATCTACTCTAATAGCTTATGCTTACCCGAAGGTCTGAACTGTCTACCCAACAAACTCAGATTCATTAATTAAATGGGATTGTTTTCCAATGAGATTTTGGCCTTTTAAGTTCTCTGGCAAGTTTCTTGTCGAACTTATCATGCGACAAAGCAAACTTGAGAAGCTGTTGGAGGGAATCAAAGTAAGTACTTGGCATTTAGTCATTTCTATAAAACGTAGCAAACGTCTCTTTTTTTTTTTGTATAGCCACTCCAATGTCTCAAAAGCCACTAATCTTGAGGAACTAGATCTCTATTGCTGCTCAGGTTTCCTAGAGCTCACCAACTCCATTGGAAGTGCTACTAAGCTCAAGAGATTGAACCTTGGCGGTTGCTGGCTTTTGAAAGAGCTCCCTTTCTCTATCGGCAATACCACAGATCTCCAATATTTGGATCTTTACCATTGCGCAAGTTTGGAGGAACTCCCGTCTTCCATTGGTAGGTTAATTAATCTGGAGGAGTTGGAACTCAGTATTTGCTCGAAATTGGTGAGGCTCCCCTCCTCTATTGGGGACCTTCACAAATTGCGTGTTGAGTATGAGTGGATGCGAAAAGCTAGAGACGTTTCCTACCAATATCAACCTGGAATCTCTCTCTGAAATTGTTCAAGAAACATTAAAAAACTAGATCTGCGAAATTCTGCTATAGAGGAAGGGCCATCATCAATCAGCTCTTCTTGGTCTTGTCTCTATAGATTGGATATATCAGAGTGTAGAAACCTCAAGGAGTTTCCAAATGTTCCTGACAGCATTGTAGAGTTGGATTTGAGCAAGACAGGGATAGAGGAAGTTCCTCCGTGGATTGAGAATCTATTTCGTCTGTGTAAACTACTAATTATGTATGGATGCAAGAAGCTGATCAATATATCTCCAAACATTTCCAAGTTGGACAATATATGTGGTATTGATGGAGATGATGATGATTGTAGGGGTAATGAGAACGATAATGAAGATGGTGATGGTGAAAGTGGTGAGGATGCAGATGACGATGATGGTGAGGATGCAAATGACGATGATGTTGAGGATGATGAAAGTCTTGTAGATACCGTCAGTGATCATGGTGATAATGATGAAGATGGTAGGGATATAGAGGGTGATGTAGATGATGATGATGATGATGATACTGGCTTCTTTGATGCAATAATCGAGTGGGGGGAGTTGGACACTACGACCAGACTTTAAAGTTCACTACATTTTACCGATATGTCTACCCGAGAAGGCCTTTACATCTCCAATATCATTATGTTTCCGCAGTAATGGTTTCATGGCTATTCCAGATTGCATCAAAAGTCTCTCCGGACTAAATAAGCTTGACATCAGAGAATGTAGAAAGTCTCTTCGTAGCACTTCCGCGTTCCCTTTTGTTATTAGATGCAGAAAACTGTGAATCCTTGAAGAGAATAGACTGCTCGTTTCTGAATTCAAAGATTTGTCTGAATTTTGCTAACTGCATCAACCTGAATCAAGAAGCGAGAGAGATTATTGAAACATCAGCTTGCAAATATGCGCTCTTACCTGGTATAGAAGTTCCTGCACACTTCAGTCACCAAGCTACTTCAGGCTCCCTAACGATCAACTTGACTACAAGGCCTCTCCCTTCATCCTTCAAATTCAAAGCTTGCATCTTGCTGTCAAAAAGCAATATTAATCTCGAGGATCACAATGACGATGAGAATTCATTGATGTGGGTGTCTTGTCGTGTCAGGGGTAAACAGAATGGCTTCATTGTTCGATATGGATCAAACCAGCTCCCTATACCAGCTCTTCTTGAAGAAGTTACACGGCATCTGTATATCTTTGAAGATTATTTCTCTCTAAACCAGGATTCCCCTGAAGCCGAAGAAGTCACTTTCAGCGAGCTTCATAGTTCACGATAAAACCTGGAAGGTGAAAGGCTGCGGTGTAAATCTTTTGGAGGTCCTTCACCATATTCTTGACGGAAAAGAAACAGAAGACGAAGACTGTATGGACAGAAACAAGATAGAGAAAAATACAGAAACTGAAGAAGAAGAATCTGGAGGTGATGATGATGCAGAGATATGGATCAACCAAGCACCACTTACAAGCTCGTCTTGAATTGGATCATCTGTATATATGTTTGAAGCTTCCTTGTCTCTAAAAGAAGGCAACAATCATGAAGCAGAACTGGGGTTCCTGCGATCTTTTCTTTGAGTTCAAGATCCAAACTAAAGTTTCATTTATATGTAGGTGCCGTGTGCACATCATCCCTCATGTTCATGAAGCTATCAATATAGACAGCAAATCAGAGACAAAGACAGATTCAGACATTGATTAGTGACGATGGACACATCTACTTTTGGTAAGATTAGAAGGGACAACCAAGAGCGGAGGAGGAGGAATGCTGTTAGCGCTTAAGTAAAAACCGGATAACTGGTTTTTCTGATCCCTGACCAATCTGCTTTTTGAGGATCATGTCACTGCAAAGTCATGGCATGGGAGTCACAGATCTCATAAGCAGGCAGAGTGATAACTGAGATCAAAGATCATGTCATTGGATCCAGATCCTCTTTTTTTGTAACCTTAACCATGTTTTCTTTCATCCTCTAATGCATCAACATTTTTCTTCACCACAGAGAAATATTTTCCTCATTTGTCTGCACAGAATCGTCTTTTACTTCTAAAATGCTTTAATTCTCTCTACATTTTCCATAAAAATTTAGCATCCGATGAAATTATTTATTTTATATTTTTAATGACTTGGTAAAAAAAATGGTCCAGATTAAAAACCACTTAAGAAAGTACAAATGTAAAAATAAAGAGAAATTGTTAAAAATGCCCCTTATTCAATACCCCTTTTCAAAAATGCCCCCTTTGAGAGTCCATTTTTAAGTTTGCCCTCTTTTAATTTTTAATGACCATTTTACCCTTATTTGAAACAAAATTAGGTCCACAAAATACAAAATATTTTTTGGCGGGAAAAGTGATCCCGCAATTTTCCCGCCAAAAAATTTTTTTTGCCAAAAAACCTTGTAAAATTTTCCCGCCAAAAAACCTTGTAAAATTTTCCCGCCAAAAAACCTTGTAAAATTTTCCCGCCAAAAAACCTTGTAAAATTTTCCCGCCAAAAAACCTTGTAAAATTTTCCCGTAAAAAATTTTCCCGCCAAAAAATTTTCCCGCCAAAAAATTTTTTTTGCGGGAAAAGTGATTCCGCAATTTTTTTTGCGAAATTTTTTTGGCGGGAAAAGTTTTGGCGGGAAAAATTTACAAGGTATTTTAAAGGTTTTACAGAGTATTTACAAGTGTTTTGTAAGGTTTTACAATGTATTTTAAAAGGTTTTACAAGGTACTTATAAGGTTTTATAAGGTATTTATAACTTGTAAAACCTTATAAAAAACTTGTAAAACCTTATAACTTGTAAAAACCTTATAAAATAGCTTGTAAAATCTTATAATATCTTATAAATACCTTGTAAATACGTTGTAAAACCTTTTAAAATACATTGTAAAACCTTATAAATACCTTGTAAAAAACCTTTAAAATACCTTGTAAATTTTTGGCGGAAAAAATTTTCCCGCAAAAAATTGCGGAATCACTTTTCCCGCAAAAAAAAAATTTTGGCGGGAAAAAGTTTTACGGGAAAATTTTACAAGGTATTTTAAAGGTTTTTTACAAGTGTTTTGGCGGGAAAAATTGAGGGATCACTTTTCCCGCCAAAAAATATTTTGTATTTTGTAGACCTAATTTTGTTATATTTCCTTATATATTTGTGATATCTTTTATTAAAAGAAGGGTAATTTAGTCATTTTGTACATAAAAGGGGTATTTTTAAAAATGGACATCTAAAGGGGGCATTTTTGAAAAGGGATATTGAAAAAGGGGCATTTTTGTGAGTCTCCCAAAAATAAAAGAGGGTATAAGCCTATAACTTTTTTTTTTTTTTTGTCAACTATAAGCCTATAACTTATTATTCGCTTTATTTTCATTTTAAGGATTTTTTACACATAAAAAAACTATTAGAAGATTTATTATACCTTATACCAATTTAGTCTAAAAACTTATTTTTTTTTTTTATAAAGTGACATTAAAAACAAAATTGTAACGAAATTCTGAATTTGAACATAGCATTAGCATGGAATGAATTTAAGAATTTTACTATCAATGAATCTGAATTTCCCTGACCATATGTCAGCTAAGCTTAAATTTCCCAGAAGCGGGTATGACGTGTGAGCCTATATACACAGGTGGCATACATAATTAAAACAAAATGAATTAAAATCAAAAAAGAAGCAGAGGAAGAAGAATAACAAACTCATCTAAATTTCCAAACAGAAAACATTCCCCCCCCAATTCTCCAAGTTTCTAGGGTTTTTGCTTTGAGCTCTCTGCGTTTATCGAGAAATCTCCGGCTGAAAATGGCGGATTCGACGGCGGACGCGACGGAAACAAACGCAGATACTCTGAGTCTGAGGCGGGAGTTGAAGAAGGTACTGACGGAGAATTTATACGACGACGGAGGAGTCAAAGATGGCGTTGAGACTGTGAAATCGATTGATGAGGCGATTAGAATCCTGAATTGTCTGAAAAGAGAATCGAAGAAGCGGAAGCGGGAATCTGATATTTCTCCGGTGGAAGTTCCGAAAGAGTTCAAGTGTACACTCTCCAAGACGATCATGATCGATCCTTTGATCATTTCTTCTGGGCAGGTTTGATCTTTTTTTTTGTTTTTGTTGGTCCATACATATTTCTGACGATTTCTTGTGATTCTTTAACATCTTTTAATTTCCATATATGCTTGTGTCATGATTCATAGCTAAAGAAACACATAACTGCGTATACTCTGAGATATTTCATAAGAATAGATACGTCTAGATTGATAGCTATGAATACAGCAAATAATTGGGTCTTTATGGATTCTGGTGTTTGTGCTGATTTTGCTCTTTACTTGTTTTCAGACGTATGAAAAGAGATATATCACAGAATGGCTCAACCATAACCGTACATGTCCCAAAACCAAAGAACTCCTCTCTCAAGTGCGTATGACACCCAACCATTTGATCAATGACTTGATTACGCAATGGTGTCTTGTTAACAACAAAGTTGATCGGCCAAAACCACAACCATCTGATTTTGAAATAGTAGTAACTGAGATGGTCACTGGTGACATCGAACCATTGCTTCAGCGGATTTCCTCTCCTTCCTCCTCGGTTGCAGATCAGATGGAAGCTGCAAAAGAGCTTGCCCTCCAAACCTCGAAATTTGTCAATGTCCGTGACTTCTTTGTCGCCAAAATCCCTGATTCCATCACCAGGTTGCTCACTCCTCTCTCTGTTTTGGGCGATGACGTAGACTCGAATCCCGAGCTTCAAGAGAATATCATCACATCATTGTTCAACATGTCTACTTTTGAGCAGAATAAAACACTACTTGCTGAAAACCCTCAAGTGATCCCACTGCTTGCAAAGTCTTTGAAGCAGGGGACAGTTGTGACACGAAGAAACGCTGCAGCGACTTTAATGTCACTTTCAGACACTGATTCTAACAAGATCATCATAGGGAACTCGGAAGCACTCAAGGCTCTGATAGATCTAATCTTGGACTCGGATGACTTATCAGCCACCAATGAAGCTGCTAACGCTATTTTAAACCTCTGTTATGATGAATTGGAGAACTGCAAAAAGGCAATCTCGTTGGGGTTGGCTTCTGCCGTAACCAAAAATATCAAAGCAGGAAGAAATGTGGATGAGTTGTTAGCTGTCTTGGTATTGATCTCTCCACACGAACGTGTTGTCGAGGAAATGGATAATCTAGGGGTTATCTATGATCTGTTAAGTATCTTGAGGAAAACAAGTTGCTTGGTGACTTGTGAGAACGTTGTAGTGATTGTCCACAACATGTATGTTAAAAGCAGAGAAAGGTCTATTTTGAAATCCCTGGCAGAAGAGGAGAATCAACACAAGACATTTACAAAGCTTGCAAGCCAAGAATCAGTTCCTGTGGTGGGGAGAGCACAAGGGATTTTACAGGGTATTAGGGCATTCGCTGCTGGTAAAGAGACACAGAGGGCATGACGGAATCATCAAAAATGAGGTCTTGTTAATACGTAAATAGTTTCGGCAAAGTTACATTTGATACATATACCGATCAAAGTGTAGAAAGAAAGAATTTGAGACTTGTAATCTAGGGCTTGTTGCTTATATTGCTTAATATAGATATCCTCTCTTCTTGTTTAAAAATACTCAAGATTGAACCTGAACTGCTCCAATCTTTAATGTATAATTGTGTATATCAAAAAAATAATTATGTGCTAACCAACCGTTGATAAAACAAAAAAAAAATAAAACCCAATTACTCCCTCCGTTTCGTTTTAGTTGTCGTTTTAGAATTAAAATTTTGTTTCATAATAGTTGTCGTTTTAGGTTTTCGATGCAAATGTTTTGTGAAAATTTCAGTTTTATCCCTACTGTTTTAATGTTTCGGCCAATGAATTTTTTTATAATATATTAATAAAGGGTAAAACAGAAAATTTAATGTTTTTTTTAATTTGTGTGAGAAAACCTTAAACGACAACTAAAACGAAACGGAGGGAGTATACGACAGTAAAACATTACAAGGAATTCTTAATTAGAGCATATAGCATTGCTTAAGATTTTTTATTAAATCACCGAATCTGAGATTTTCCAGACCAATCAAAGGCGTCTGTCAGCTAAAGCTAGCGAGAATGCGGATATGACGTGGCAGACAGGTGGCGTTACGTAATTAAAACCAAATTAATGAAGAAAAAAGAAAAGAAGAAACAGAGGAATAACAAACAAACTCATATAACAGTTTCTTGGCTTCTCTCTAAATTCCAAACAGAAAACTTTCCCTCCTAATTCAAGTTTCTAGGGTTTCCAGTTCTTTGTGTTGGTAGAGGAATCTCCGGCTTAAATGGCGGATTCGACGGCGGACGAGGCAACAAACGCCGATACTCTGAGGCGGGATTTACAGAAGGTACTGACGGAGATTTGGTACGACGGAGGAGGCAAAGATCGCGGTGAGATTGATGAGGCTATTAGAATCCTGACTTGTCTGAGGAAAATAGAATCGAAGAAGCCAGAAGAATCTGATATATCTCCGGTGGAAGTTCCAAAAGAGTTTATATGTAAACTCTCGAAGAGGATCATGATCGAACCTGTGCTCATCGCTTCTGGCCAGGTTTCTGAAGATTTCTTGTGATTCTTGCTTGAGTTTGTTGATCATTTTTATTTGCATGTGTTTTAATTTCGATATTCCCTTTATTCGTATAAGCATATAAAGTTTCAGTATCAAAGAAAAAGAAAGATCCATATATCTATGATTCTTGTGTGTTCATTTTTGTGTTAAGCAAATACAGAGACCGATCGAAAAGTTAGGATCCAAGACAGAGATTCTGGTGTTTATGCTGATTTTGCTCTTTTGTTTTTTTTTTCAGACTTTTGAAAAGAGATATATCCTAGAGTGGCTGAAGCATGAACGTACATGCCCCAGAACCAAACAAGTTCTTTACCACCGTTTTTGGATACCAAACCATTTGATCAACGAGGTTATTATGCAATGGTGTCGAATTCACAACTTTGATCGGCCAAAACCATCTGATGAAGAAGTCATTGACCTGTTCACTGGTGACATTGAATCATTCCTTCAGCGTATTACCTCTCCTTCCTCGGTTGAAGATCAGACAGAAGCTGCAAAAGAGCTTGCCCGCCAGGTCAAGAGATATGCCACTGTCCGTGACTTCTTTGTCGCCAAAATCCCTGATTCGATCACCAGGTTGCTCACTGTTTTGGGCGATGAGGTAGACTCGAATCCTGAGCTTCAAGAGAATATCATCACATCATTGTTCAACATGTCTACTTTTGAGAAGAATAAAACACTACTTGCTGAGAATCCTCATGTGATCCCACTGCTTACAAAGTCTTTGAGGAAGGGGACAGATCAAACAAAAAAAGTCTCTGCAGCGACTGTGTTTTCACTTTCACATACTGATTCTAACAAGAACATCATCGGGAACTCGGAAGCACTCAAGGCTCTGATAGATCTAGTCGAAGAGGGTGATTCATTAGCCACCAGTGAAGCCTTTTCCGCGCTTGCTAATCTCTGTTTAGTAAAGGAGATCAGGGAAAAGGCAGTTTCAGCGGGTCTGATTCGTGCGGCAACCACAAAGATCAAAGCAGGAAGCAATGTGGATGTGTTGTTATCGTTCTTGGCATCGATTTCTACACACAACCGGACTATCGAAGAAATGGATAACCTAGGGTTTATATATGATCTGTTCAGTATCTTGAGGAACTCAAATAGCTTCGTGAATGAAGAGAACGCTTTAACCATCGTCGTTTACATTTGTAAAGGATACAGAGGCTTGCGAGATGTGGTCCAGGAAGAGGCGACAGGGAATGTGGTCCTAGAAGAGGAGAATAAACACGGGACATTTACGAAGCTTGCGAAGCAAGAAGCAGGTTGTACGGTGAGAAAAGCACAAGCGATTTTACAGTGTATTAAGACATTCGCTGATCGTAAAGAGCAACGTCAGAGGAAGAGGGATGATAGGCCTTTAAGAGTATATGTGAGAAGAAATAAATGAGTTGGTGCAGAAGAAGAATGAGGTCGTGTTATTACGTAAATAGTTTTGCAAACTAACTCTTGATAATAGTCATTGAAAACTTTGTATATATAGTTTTGCTGCTCTAAATTGACTTGTTCTTTCTGATACTTTAGCAACAAGAAAAAACAAGCATACAAGTTACACGTGTAAAACATTATGTTAAATAAAATTTTTAAAAATATATGCAAAAGAGTAAATTTTCAGTCATAACTTAAAAAATTAAATTCATAAAAGGTTCAAACATATGTAAAAAATGGTCCAGATTTTTAAAACCACTTTACAAAATAAAAATGTAAAATAAAAATAAAAGAGGATATAAGCCTATAACTTATTACTGTATTAACTTTATTTCATTATAAGTGTCATTTTAAGGTGTACCATCACCGAATCTGAATTTTCCCTGACCAATCATTTTAAGCTTATGACGTGGCAGCCAGGTGGTGTACGTATTAAAAAAACCAAATAAATAAAGAGGAAAAAAAAAAAACAGAGGAAAGAATAACAAACTCATCAAAACAGAGATACATCAGTTTCTTTGCTTCTCTCGAAGTTTCTGTGTATTCTTGCGTGAGTTTATCGAGAAAATCTCCGGTTGAAAATGACGGAGTCGACGGAAGCAAACGCCGATACTCTGAGGCTGGAGTTGCACAAGGTACTGACGGAGATTGTCCACGACGGAGTAGGACGAGGAGGAGGCAAAGATCATCTAGTTGAGACTGACGCAATTGATGAGGCTGTTACTAGAATCCTTACTTGTCTTGGGAAAGTAGAATCCAAGAAGCCGCCGGTGGTAGTTCCGAAAGAGTTTATATGTAAACTCTCGAAGACGATCATGATCGAACCTGTGATCATTGCTTCTGGCCAGGTTAGATCAGTTTTTAGTAATCATTCGTTAGAGATCATGATCTAAACTTTCTGACGATTTCTTGTGATTCTTTCTCGATTTTAGTACTCATCTTTTTGTTTTACTTGTGATTCTTTCTTGATTTTACAAGCTCTTTATGTATCATAGAAAAAGATCCATGATTATGAATGTTTCTATCAAATGCATACTCGTATACAGAGAAATTTCATCAGAATAGATGGATGATTAGGTATTCAAATGTGTTCATTGAGTCTTATGCAAACACATGGAGCGATTGAATGTTTCTTGACAGTCAAGAATTAGGGTTTACGATACAGAGTCTGGTGTTTGTGTTGATTTTGCTCTTTACTTTTTTCAGACTTTTGAAAAGAAACACATCACAAAGTGGCTGAAGCATAACACTACATGTCCCGAAACCAAAGCAGTCCTCTCTCACTTGTGTTTGACACCCAACCATTCGATCAATGAGTTGATTACGCAATGGTGTCTCGTTAACAAATATGATCGGCCAGACCCACAACCATCTGATGAAATAGTCATTGAGATGTTCACTGGTGACATCGAACCATTGCTTCACCGGATTTCCTCTCCTTCCTCGGTTGCAGATCAGATAGAAGCTGCAAAAGAGCTTGCCCTCCAGACCTCGAAATTTGTCAATGTCTGCGACTTCTTTGTCAAGGAACTCTATGATTCGATCACTAGGTTGCTCACTCCGCTCTCTAACTTTGGCGATGACGTAGACTCGAATCCTGAGCTTCAAGAGAATATCCTCACATCATTGTTGAACATCTCGACTGTTGAGAAAAGTCAAAAAATAATTGCTGAAAATCCTCTTGTGATCCCTCTGCTTACAAAGTCTTTGAGGAGGGGGACAGATCAAACAAAAACAGTCTCTGCAGCGACTTTAACGTCACTTTCAGGCATTGATTCTAACAAGATTATCATCGGGAACTCGGAAGCACTCAAGGCTCTGATAGATCTAATCGGGGACTCGGATGACTTATCAGCAACAGGTGAAGCTGGCTACGCTGTTTTAAACCTCTGTTCTGATGAATCGGAGAACATGGAAAAGGCGATTTCAGAGGGTTTGATTCTCGCAGTACTCAAAAAGATCCTAGCAGGAAGAAATGTAGAGAATATGGTATCTATCTTGACATCGATTTCTACAAACAACCAGGTTAAGGAAAAAATAGAGGAACTAGGGATTGTGTGTGATATCTTAAAGATCTTGAGGAACACAAGCTGCTTGATGACTGGTGAGAACGCTATAGAGGTCCTCTTCAAAATGTTTGATGGAATCAGAGACACGGCTAGGCTGGGAATTCTCCAAGAAGAGGAGCTTCTATACAAGACATTTACGAAGCTTGCAAGGCAAGGATCAGATCGTGCGGCGAGAAAAGCACAAGAGATTTTACAGTGGATGGAGATGTTCGCTGAGAAGGAAAAGTGCCAAAAGATGCTTGAGCTTGCTGCTCTTAATTGACTTGTTTGTTTCTAATACACTGAGATCAAACTCAAAGTTCATGTCATTGGATCCATACCTTAGTTTTGTATACTTAACCATGATGTGTCTTACATTCTATTATTTGCATCAATATTTTCCTCAACCATGATGTGTCTCCCTTGGTTTTAGCTTTAAAGTAAACTACTTCTCTCTAGATTTTTTTATAAAGAATGTTTTCTTGGCTTCAGGTATTTATTGATTAATTTATAAGATTATATACGTTTCGTTGTTTGTCGACCGTTAAAAGTGATGCAGAGGAGTTAGTTGAAAATTGGGACCAAAAGTAGCATAATCATGACACATGGCCATAGTAAGACACCGACCTGTAAATGTGAGTCGCACACAATGGAGGGAGACTGCGTAAATACCAAAGGAAACAGCAAGTCATGTGGATGTTTTCTCTTGTATTCATTCTTCCAAATGCTCTGCTGTTCGCTGTCATATTCACGAAACGGCACACACTTTGATCCCTCCCACTCATTTTTATTCCCTCTCAAGCAAGAACTTTTTTTCGTTTGACATCATCATATTTTTCGTATAGCTTATTTTATCGTCTAAAACGTGTTCAATAAAGCTTATATTTTGGTTGGGATCAACAAACTAAACTTCTTGAAACTATATAGACCACACTCATCAGCAAGCTATATAAAATTGAAGGCATTTTCTTTTAATACTCGCAAAAAAAGTTACATACTTGATACTCCAACATGTTGCTCATTTTTCGTATACTCAAAACTATAACCACAAGAAATGTAAATCGTGTGCTTTACATTACATCTTTAATAGTTATATATAAGTTTTTGTGTACAAACCAAAAACTTTAAACAAGTATAATAATATATAATATTTATAAATCAATAAAAATGATAAAGTTCTATTTCTATATATCGATGGTAATAATATAAATAGAGACGAGGAAGATAATTGTTTAGGAAATACAATGTGCGAGCCAGCAATATATATGAATAGTGTGAACATGTCCCTATTCAGTAAAAGCCAATCTGAAATTAAGCTCTTCTCTAATTTTCGTTTACATATTAGAATAGTAAACCGAGTCGTATAAGTGATCCATATAAATAAATAAAAAGTATGTTATATAAAATCATATACAAATTATAATGCAAAAAAAAAGCTATAACTTTCCAATCAAAAAATAAAAGAGTGTCTCTCGTATGAGACTTCCTAAAAAAATGAATTAAAGGAAAATAGTCTAAAAAAATCTTATTTAGTGGGTTAATGAAGTGACAGTAAAACACTACACGGATTTCTTAATTTAGATCACAGCATGCTTAATATTAATAATACATTGAACTTAAAGAATTTTTATTATCACCGAATCAGAAATTTTGCTGACCAATCAAAGTCGTCTGATAGCTAAACTATTCCCAAAAAAGAATGCAGAAAATGCGGGTATGACGTGGCAGCTATATACACAGGTGGCGTACGTAATTAAAAACCAAATCAAAAATTAATTAAAGATTAAAGAAAAAGAGATTGAATAAACTCAAACTAAAAAAGCCAACTGATACTTTGTTTCTTCGCTTCTCTCTAAATTCCAAACAGAAAAAATTTCCCCTAATTCTCGAGTTTCTAGGGTTTTTGCTTCTTTGCTTTTGGGTTCTGTGTATACACGCGTGCGTTCGTCGGCTGAAATGGCGGACGCGACGGAAACGAACGCCGATACTCTGCGGCGGGAGTTACAGAAAGTATTGACGGAGATTTTTAACGACGGAGGAGGCAAAGATCGTGGTGAGACTGAAGATTGTTTTGGATTTTTGAAAGCGATTGATGAAGCGATTAGAATCCTGACTTGTCTGAGGAAAGTAGAATCGAAGAAACCGGAATTTGATATTTCTCCGGTGGAAGTTCCCAAAGAGTTTATATGTACACTCTCTAATACGATCATGATCGAGCCTGTGATCATAGCTTCTGGGCAGGTTGTTTGATTTTTCTCTTCTTCTTCTTTTTTTGCGATTTCTTGTGATTCTTGCTTGAGTTTGTTGATCTTATAATTTGCATGTGTTTTGATTTCGATATATTCATATGAATTGTATTTATGTCTATGTATAAATGCAGCTTCTTTATGTATATGCATACAAAGTTTCAGTTTCAGAGAAAACAAGAAACAGAGTTATAATGGTTCACATTGCCAATAAAGATTCATGGTTGTGTATAGATATTGGATGATTATGTAAACAAAATGTGTTTATTTTGTGCTATACGAATACAGAGATTGATCCAATTTCTTGAAAAGTTAGGATTCTGGTATATGTGCTGATTTTGCTTTATTCGCTTTTTGTTTCTTTTTCAGACTTATGAAAAGAGATATATCACAGAGTGGCTGAAGCATGAACGTACATGTCCCAAAACCAAACAAATCCTCTCTCACTGTTTGTGGATACCAAACCATTTGATCAATGAGTTGATTACGCAATGGTGTCGAGTTAACAAAGTTGATCGGCAAAAACCATCTGATGAATTAGCCACTGAGCTGTTCACTGGTGACATCGAAGCATTGCTTCAGCGGATTTCATCTTCCTCCTCGGTCGCGGATCAGATAGAAGCTGCAAAAGAGCTGCGTCGCCAGACGAAGAGATTTCCTAATGTCCGAGTCTTCTTTGTCGCTGGAATCCATGATTCGATCACCCGTTTGCTCAGTCCGCTCTCTGCTTTGGGCGAGGCAGTAGACTCGAATCCAGAGCTTCAAGAGAATATTATCACAGCATTGTTCAACCTCTCGATTCTTGAGAATAATAAAACAGTGATTGCTGAAAACCGTCTAGTGATCCCTCTGCTCACAAAGTCTTTGAAGCAGGGGACAGCTGAGACACGAAGAAACGCTGCAGCTACTTTATCGTCACTTTCAGCCATTGATTCTAACAAGATCATCATTGGGAACTCGGAAGCAGTGAAGGCTCTGATTGATCTTATCGAAGAGGGTGATTTGTTAGCCACCAAAGAAGCCACTTCCACGGTCTTTAACCTCTGTATTGTACTGGAGAACAAGGAAAAGGCGGTTTCAGCGGGTTTGATTCCTGCAGCAACCAAAAAGATCAAAGCAGGAAGCAATGTGGATGAGTTGTTATCTCTCTTGGCATTGATTTCTACACACAACAGGGCTATCGAAGAAATGGATAATCTAGGGTTTATCTATGATCTGTTCAAAATCTTGAGGAAACCGAGTTGCTTGCTGACTGGAGAGAACGCTGTAGTGATCGTCTTCAACATGTGTGACAGAAACAGAGACAGGTCGAGACTGAAAGTGGTAGGAGAAGAGGAGAATCAACACGGGACATTTACGAAGCTTGCAAAGCAAGGATCAGTTCGTGCGGTGAGAAAAGCACAAGGGATTTTACAGTGGATTAAGAGATTCGTTACTGGTAAAGAGCCACAGAGGGCATGAAGGAATCATCAAAATTCAGGTCTTGTTAATAGTTTTGCAAACTTGCTCTTGATACATATATACCGATGATCCAAAATTCTTCGTAAATACTAGATAGTAGTAGAAGGATTAGAAAGAAAGAAGGAAAAGTTGTATAGTCTCTCTGAGAACGATAAGTGTGCCTGAAGAGGCCTGAGTTTTACTACTCTTAGTTGACTTTCTGATTCATGATCGTGAAATGAGGGTTTTGAAGGATTAGAAAAGCAGAGGTTGTCTTTTTGTAGTGAATGTCGTAATGGTCATATGTCGAATCCAAAGGAAAGGCAATGGCATTACCGTAAATATAAGTCATCTGAATGGGTAATATAGGAATCTAACAATAGGCGGCTTCTTATGTATGGCTAATAGTAAGTCGACTCCAATTAACCGAAAGCAACATTTAAAGGATTAAGACAATTAATTACTTGTTAAAAAGTATTTATGGTGGGGTTGACCGATCGTGATTAAGGTAATTGGTGGAGCTAATGCGGGGCTAAAATTGGAAAGAAAAGAAAAGGACTAGAAAAAGTGGCGATGTAACATGGAGAATCAAATCAATGTGATAACGTTGTAGCAAAACACCACACTCACCAATCACCATCACTTGTATCTTCTTATCCACCGTAGATTAACACGCATATACATTCTATATTCAAAAAGTGGAATTTTACCCACAACTTGATTAACATTTGTATGCTTATAAATTAGGTCACGGGATGATCAAAAATCAAAAGTTGCATGAGTGATATTTGACTCCAAGGAAACCGAAATATATAGTGGGGTTGGTTAGGCCATCTACCAATGACTTTGTTACTCTTATGTGTTTTCGGATCTTTTTCACCTTAGGAATAGTTACAGTAAAGTTATTATTAGTTCGATCAACAACCATTATCAAAGGTGTTTTTCCTTCCAAAATTGAATTTAACATCAATACTGTATTAATTCATTATGATCATATATATTCGACTATACTACACATCTATTTGTGACTTTTGTGATTTTGATGAACTAGTAAAGCATAAAAGAGAAGAATAATAAAATTGGGATAAATAGTCTTTTTAAGAGTTTTCTTTTACTAAATCTGTGATCATGCAAATAAAGATGTAGTCTTCTTTAAAACTCTCTTACAAAACACACACAAAAAAAAATGTTGAGAACGTACGTGACAAAAACGAGATAAAATCTTATAAAGTAGATATGTAACAAGACAAAAGGATTACTCTAGTTTACTACGATATTACTTTGTTACTCCTTTTACTCTAAACCATTCGTATGCTCTCTTTTTCTGCCAAACCACGTATATATTATATATGTATATTAAATGAAATTAGAAAGGAAAACCAAAAAACAAAAAACAAAAAAAAAATTACATTATTCATTCGTAATCCTATTTTTTATTCTTCTTCTTCTCTTCATTCTTCCTTTTCAATTCATGCGCATGGAACCAAACAAGCTAAAAAGCTAGGCCTTCTCTTCTGCAACACCAAGTTTATTTTAAAACTCTTTTAAAATAACAATAGGTAAAGAAAAAAAAGTGGTAAAAATTTGTAAAGTTGTTTTGAAAAAATAGAAATTTTATTATAAGCACAGTAAGAAAGGTTATGTGCGAGATGGTGCACTTACCCTTGTTGAAGAATGAATAAACTCAGGAGGAATCTTGTAGAGATCTTCATCAACGGGCTTAGGTGGCTTCGAAGTCGGAGCAACGTCGTTTTTGAACTGCTTAACACCGTTGACGTCAATGTAATACTTGTCCGACTGTGCACTGACGTCACGCACACGCCTTTGTGGTCCTCTTTTTTCCTTCGTCCCCGCCGTCTACGCCAAGTCATTAATTACACAAACAACGCGTTCTTGTTTAGATAACTAATAACGAGTTAATTATTATAGAATTAAGAAAAACAAAGTAGTGATTAAATTTAATGAACCTGTCTTGGACGGGGACGGTGAGAAGCAAGCTTTAGGGCTTCTGCAGAAGAAGAAGAAGATGAAGAAGTAGTGGTAGTGGAAGAAGCAGAAGAAGTGGTTGTGTAATGGTGACGAATCAGACCAGCTTGTCTTGGATTCTCAAAGTATTGTGTTATTGGCATCTCATTTGCTTCCTCCCATTCTCCAAACCTAGGAATCTGTCCACTTTTCTTCTTGTAATTATCATATCTCCCCTGTTCCCATTTATTCCTTAATTAGTACATATAAATATGCTAAATCTCTAATCAAGAACCCATAAAGAAGACTCAAGAACCCTTGAAAATATTTAGATATTCAAGAATCGAGAATCAAGAACAAGAATCAGGGGAATCAAGAACCCACAAGAATCAGGGATTCAAGATTCAAGATTCAAGAATTCACAAGAAACAAGGATATAAGAGTCAAGAACTATGAAGGGACAAACACGTGACTAAGTTTGGCACTTAGCGTATCAATGAACGTGGATTCTAAGTAAGAGAGATGGAGAGAAGACATTATTAGGCAGGTTTTGACGATCCTGATGAAGAAATTAAACGGTTTGCCAAAAAAGAGAGATGGGGAACTTTTAGAATGTTAAAGGCGACAGAAAGAAACAAAGATAGAGGATTACTGGATTAGAGAAGTTTCACTTACATGAGCCATGGCGATTTCTTTCTCTTTCTTTCTATCTCTCTCTCAACGCACTAACACACAAAATAAGAAAGAGTGATCTCAAGAAAGGTTACTGTCTTTTATAACAAGAGTGGGGTATGTAAGCAAAGAAGATATTGTCCTTACCTCTAAAAGTCTAAACAGTCAACTTTATGAGAGAGATATACAAAGTTTTATTTTTCATATCTTTATTAATTTTTTTCCTTCAATTAAAATTAGTGGAGAGTTGAGTTTCTTCTAAGTTGGTTTGATTGGAAAATAATCATAGATATTAAATTTATGTGTTTACGTTTCAAAAAGTTTATGTGTTTATGGTTTTGATTTTCGTCCATTCCACTTTACTAGATTCACAGTAATATGAAAATTCATTGTACATATTTTTGAAAATTTGGAAAAATATAATAAATGTACAAAGAAAAATAGATATTACATACTATATATATATATATATATACAGATATTAAATACTATGATATTTATTTTTTAGAATTATTACTATTAGAGTAATCATAACTCTCACATTACTATATAGGTCGAAACTTGAGAATTTTTCGGATTAAAGAAGAAAAACAAAAAACAAAAGTGAAGAGTGTAGGGGAAGGTGGGAAAAAGGAGAGAAGAAACGCGTTATAGTCCACGGCTTTTATTAATTAGGTTTTGTCAAGCTTTTTGTCAGTGACACATTTACTTTACGTTACAGTCCATTAAAAAAATCTACCCATTTTGTTGACAAAGATGTCCACTTTATTAAAAGAAAAAAGAAAAAACAATCAATTAGCATTTCATTATGTTATATGAATACGCATCTAACTCTATGTTACATTCTCACTATTTGTGATGATTGACTATTATATTGTCGGTCCACTTTTCTTTTCACATGGAATTCCTGAATTTTGTTTTATGATGGATATAATTTTTAATTATTAGCTATTATTAATACTTAGCTCATTGATGTTTCCTTATCATGATCTATAGTTCTCCATTATGTTCAATCAATGAGAGCCTATACTAATAAATGGAAACAGTAGTAAGTGTTTACATTTGAGTGTGACTTTGATATACGAGTATACAATTATTCATAAATGAATAGTATATTATAAGCTGTCAAATAGGATATCTTAAACTAGTAATATCTCCATAGATTCCATGCAATTCTACATTTAATTTTAGAAGATATAATCTGGAAAATTATTTATTGGTTCAAACTGAAACCAGACGTTGAGTTGTAGCAGCCTGGCCTCGTGGAGTGATATACGGTCAGAATTCAGAAATAAACAAGTCTTGACTTTTCTTTGTCTTTGACAACATTGGATTAGAAAATTACTCGCAACTATTCAATCCATTTCTTTCGTAATTTCAAATATCGAGATTAATCTACAAACCTTAAATCATTTGACCAAATCATAGCCATCTTAATTTCTTGTCGTAATTAAAACATAGCTATTGATTTCGATAAGAAAAAGTATCATAGCTATTGTTTTTTTCTTATCATAGCAAAACTAATTTTCAGGATTTGAAAAAAAGAAAGTATTATTTGTCTTTTACATTACCATAATCAACCATAGTTACAATGGTAATATAAAACCTTTAATCCTAATTTGGATACCATATTACTTCTTTTCCCCTAAATGTAGCTACTGAATACTATCCACCATTTGAGTAACTGACTCTTTAGGAAAAAGTTTTTATAGATTTATGTTTTGCATTTAGATTAAACGCACGCCTTAAAAAAAGAAGAAGCGTGAGCCAGACCAGACTATCAAAGAAAAGTTAAGTTAATTTAACCAACTAATGAAAATGTTTCAGTTACCAAATAAAAAATAACTTTACATTTGTTGACAAAGCAAAACAAAAAGAATATGGGAGTTACATTTGAAAAAGTAGCTTTTATTGTTTATGCGTTACCTCTAGAAAAATGATAGTTTATGTGTCATAAATAAATATGGTTGGCGTAAGCTTGACGATGACGGTGAAGAAGTTGGGAGTTTTTGGGAGATTCACAGTCAAACAAAGTTCACATTTTAAAAGTCCCTTTTTGCTGCCAATCCATACCTCAACCAACAAATTTGTCAGTTGTGTGCATTTATCTGTCGGCTCAATTTGGCTTTTCATAGAGTAAGTATAATAACAAAAGTTGAAGCACCTACATGTTTATTTTATAAACTTTATCATATAAATATTGTAACGAAATAAAAATAATGAGATTTGCAAGCTTTAAGAAAAACAAATCTAACCGTTATATTTGAGTTTGTTATTACAATACAATTTCAGCTGTTTATTGATACTGGGGTTTTGGTTTAGTGATTTGTCCAGATTTTGAAAAAAAAATTAGACGTTTCCTGCTCACCCTTATATTAATCTATAACTAAAAAATCTAAATATTTCATTATAAAAAATGTTTAGAACACATTTAAAGGTGAATTAGGATTAATATTAATTATTAAAGAATCGTAAACGAAAACTCATACTATGTCTTTCCATCTACTCCAAAAATATACACCAAAAACAACACTAGACCAAAAATCTATTTGGTATTAGAACATTAAATAAAGATGTTATTTTTTTTATTCTCTTACATAAGACTAATTTCATGTAATATCATATTTTACTAATTTTGATTACTAGTCCCAAAAATACACACATGTAAGCTAAATTTTTCAAAACCGAGTGAAAATAAGGTAATTTGATTAAAGGCAGTTAATTATGGCCCATTGGATGGATTCTTATCTCAGATTCTCAGCTTATTAATTTTTAGCTCAAGTGTTTTCGACAATGTTTATCTCCTCTTCACACAAAGTTTGAAGCGCTTCTCTAGGCAATGAGATCCCTCACATCATTATCTATTTTTAATATTGCCTTTGAGACAGATTGCAAGGAGCTAACCCAGCTATTGGACACTCCGGATGAGTGGTCCGTTTTTGCTTCGGAGTTAGAAGATTTCAATGCTTTAAAACTTGGTTTCCTTCGTTTTTCTTTAGATTTCATTCCACGTTTAAACAATGTCCGTACCGATTGTCTTGCTAAGAAGGCAAGGGCACGTGATTCTATCTTTTCCCATGTAAGTTCCTCAACTCCGGACTGGTTTTCTCCCGTAGAAAACCGCCCGTTCCTAGCTTAATTGGATGAATTTATTTTGCTCTAAAAAAGGTTAATTATGGCCCGACATAAGGATCAAACGGCCCATACAAGAATTCATACATTAATTTATAGAAGAGATGAAAACAAAAAGTGGTGTTGTTTCGTACTGTACTTCTGTGCATGGTTAATGCATGGTAGTTTGAGTGGGCTTTATCTTAAGATTATAGTGGATCCGTTTGGTTTTTAACCTTTCTTTCTTAATCTTGACAAAACTGAACAAGTATTTTCTCTAAGGTTTGAGATCACCAATAAAATCTCAAGGCCGACGCTAAAACCCTATACAGGGCTTTATTCAGGTCAGATCAATATTTCATATGAAGGTGACAGACCGCATATACGCGTATTCCTCAAAACATGAGAAGATTCTTCCGTTTGAGAGATTCTCCTCTAATATTTCTATTTTTTAAAAGCAAATTTTACTACAATCGAATCTTCAGACGAAGAAGAATCCACCACAATCAAATAATACAAAAAAAAAAGGAAATCAAATAGCAATATATCTTTTTGTTTCTTATCTTTTATATATTGATTAAATAAGAAAACTAGTGGCGAAAAAAATAAACAAAAAAAAAGAAGAAAAAAACAAGAAAACTATCAAACTTCCTTTTTTGTTGAAACTACGCGTACAAAAGATAAGTTCTTATCATAAAAGTTTGTTGAAAGTTGAAACATGTTTCCCTTTTATAGGATTTGGATTTAGAGTTTAGATACAAGCTTTATTTCGAATATTTCACAAGTAAATATTAATATATCATTATTCTCATATTAGATTTGAATGGAGAATGGTACTATCTTCCTCGGAAAAAAGGAAATTAAACATTCTTTGTGTATCTATGAAAAAGAAAAGAAAACATGTGAAAAGTTGCAAAGCTCCTCATAAGAAACTTGAATGATCTTTATTCCTTTAAATAAACAAGAAAACATCTGAGACTCTCCTCGACTTAAAAGTGTACACTAATGAATAAAACGAAACATCAAAATAAACAAGAAAACATCTAAGACTCCAGAAGAATCTTCAAACGAGACACAATGAAATAAAATAATGAGTAGCTACCTAAAAAAAAGAAAACCAAGTCATCGTCTTCCATAATCATTATAGGGATGTTCACGGTCCTTTGAGGTGGCAGAGAAGTTGGTTTTGGTTGCCGATGGAAGAATACTCTGTCATGGTCCAACCACTCCGTTCACCTTCAACGTAGAAACTGCGATTTCTCTTCTTCCCAATCACTTTACCGTTTTTTTTGGACAAGACATCTTTCAACCCTCCAGTGGCTTTCCAACCTTTAACTTTGCGGTTTGTCTTTTTCACGAAGTAAAACCACTCGTTAGGTTCAAAAATACCATTCTCTGTGTGTTTAAGCCGCCACGGCACTTTGGCGTAGATCTCGTCCTTGTCTTCTAATAAATATATCGTTTTTGGTTGGTAGAAGCCAAGCTTAGGTAGAAGATAGTCGAGTATGAGTTCTTCTTCTGAAGGATTAAATCTAAAGCCAACCAGCTCTTCCTCTTCATCGTAAAATTCTTCAACCATCGACATCTTCTTCTTCTTCTTATATATTTCCTCGAACCAAATAAGATCTCAGGATATTGAAAACAAGAACGTGCAATGAGAGATAATCAATGAACGGTATCAACCTCTAACAAGGTTTATATAGTGCCCTTGAACGCCGACTATTGAATATAAATTTGGATAAGTTTTTACAAGGCCTTTTTTCTGTTTTTATAAAAACAAATCCACTAAACAATTTATATAAGTTTTCTATTACATTATCGTAAATATAGATTAAAAATAGATATTAATTCAGTTACTATATGACCCAATATAGAGAAAAGATTGGCCCATACAAAAATCCAAACATCAATTTTTGAGAAAAAAACGTTACGTAGAGGAGATACAAAAGGAAACAAAAACTTTGCATGGGTATCGTACTGGGCCTATATGGAGTCCAATAGTCAGCAACGGTTTGGTTAACCTTTCTTTCTTCCTTAACACTAAATAGAGTAATAGACCACAAGTATTTTTCTAAGGTCAGACCCATAAAATCTCAGGGCCGACCCTAACACCTATATTCATAATCATATCCTAATTCTTATTAGCTAATATTGTTTAACGAATTTATGCTACTAATAACCTTCGATCTAATTACTTGAGTATCAAGATATCTAACAAACTCCTCTTTTTCGTCCCAAGAGGGTCTTGGGTACATTTTTACAGAACCACAAATTATGTTTGTCATCTTCGGTTTGCCTTTTTTGTTTTTATTTTTTAATATCTCAACTAACTACCGAATTTTTTAAGGTTTGAGATCCAAAAATCTCAAAACCGGCCTATATATATCTATTTTTTTAAACTCTAATATATAGTGGACAAAGAAAAGTTTTTGTATATGTTCAATTCATATAAACTAATTTTTATATGTATCTGTTCTCAATAGTGTCTAGATTCATCTGGTCATTGTACACTAGTACAATAGAAAAAGAAAAAGAAAAAGCAGTAGTCTTTCCATAGTCAGAGTCAGAGTTCACCAAAAAGGAACCATGGTCCTTTGAGGTGGCAGAGAAAATGGAAATGAACTCATTACATATTTATACACAAAACCCATTTTGGAATTAAACAGGCCCTCTATAGTAATAAGCGTAAGAATCTTTTTCTCTACAAACTTTCCATTTATCTTTTTATAAAAGTTACAGAAATATATTTGTTTTCTATATGAATTTGGGATAATCTATCTACAATTCTATAAAATTCAGCTAACCGTTAGGTGAGTCACTCATACATATCTTCCTTCTCTATAAAAAAAAAAGAATATAGTTTTTGAGTGGACTGATAAATATATTCTTTTCAAGAAGAAGAAAACAATCTTCTTAATAAACCCATACGTTCAAGAAAAAGAAAAAACGATACTAACGATGAGTGCGGTAAAATCGGCGTTAGGTGATATGGTGATAACCTTTTTGTGGGTTATTCTCTCGGCGACGTTTGGGATACAGACGGCGGCGATTGTTTCCGCAGTCGGGTTTCATGGCATCACTTGGGCTCCTCTGGTGATCTCAACGTTGGTTGTTTTCGTCTCCATCTCGATTTTTACGGTTATTGGAAACGTTCTTGGTGGTGCTAGCTTCAATCCTTGTGGAAACGCAGCGTTTTATACCGCCGGAGTTTCCAGAGATTCTCTCTTCTCCTTGGCCATTAGATCTCCTGCTCAGGTGTGTAGCTATAATCTAGCTAGCTTTTGAAACCGAAACGAGACTTTTTTTTTTTTTGTTATGAACTTATGATGATCTTTTAAGAAAAACATTTGCAGTGTGAAACTCAACCTAAAGTACTCAACGAGCAATAAATAAATAAAATCAAAATGATACAATTTCACATAGATTTTAGTTGATACTTGTAACATCTTTTTCATACGAGTATTCGCTTTTGTGTCTTGTCTCTTCAAATTATAATCTATTATTATCCTTACACATCGTTTGTGACTTTTCTTCTTTTTTTCTTATAATTTTTTTTTTGTTAGATCAATGTATCTTCTTTCGTTTGTTGGCTGGCTCTATGTGAAGTTTCTGGTGTGTGGTCCATGTGTGATGTGTTTTTGAATAACGTAAAAACTTTTTTAATTGGAGATTTTGGCCCAACTGGTACTTACTGGCATGTTTGTTTCCATATGTGATGTATCCTATTTTATATATCTCAGGCAGTTGGTGCGGCAGGCGGTGCGATAACGATCATGGAGATGATACCGGAAAAGTATAAGACTAAGATTGGAGGAAAGCCTTCGTTACAAGTTGGTGCACACAATGGAGCTATTGCTGAAGTAATCCTAAGTTTTAGTGTTACATTTTTGGTGTTACTAATTATCTTAAGAGGTCCTCGAAAACTGCTTGCTAAAACGTTCTTGCTCGCTCTCGCTACCGTATCAGTGTTTGTCGTAGGATCTAAATTCACTAGACCATTCATGAATCCTGCCATTGTAAGTTCATTCTTATTGATCCTACTCAATAATTGTTGGTATGATCTTGATATATAGTCATGTGGTGTATATTGGAATGCAGGCATTTGGGTGGGCATATATATACAAGTCTCACAACACATGGGACCATTTTTATGTGTATTGGATCAGCTCCTACACCGGAGCTATTTTATCTGCGATGCTCTTTCGAATTCTATTTCCGGCTCCACCTCTGGTTCAGAAAAAACAGAAGAAAGCTTGAGAAAACAATGGAAAAATATATCTAAAGTAATAAATTTCATGAATCATAATCCCATTTGTTGTATGTTTTATGTTGTAGTGGTATTTGTACTTTATAGACTCGTGTCTTTTTTATTCTTTGTGGATTCGCAAGGCCGTCACATTTTCCCGGTTTGTGCGTAATCTACAAATTCACTCTCGTCCGGTTTATATTATTGGTTTTGTTCGGTTCGTAAAGGAGAGTAAGAGTGGGTCAATCCGGTTTTGGTTCATTTTTTCGGTTTACAGTTTCTAGTAACCAAACTAAAACCGAATTTCATACGGTTCAGGTTTATATGGCTTTGATAGTTTTGATTTTCACCAAATTATATTCCAAGTTTCACATTCACAAAACTTGCAAGAAAAAATAATTATATAAAGTAAAATCAAACAAAAATCTATGAAAAATTAGGGGTGGTTAATGAAAAATTGAAAATCACTAGTGAAACTTAATTACTAAATTACTAGAGTATTGAATAATGTCAATTGTAGGCCTGGGCATTCGGGTACCCGTTCGGGTTCGGTTCTTTTTTATCGGGTATCGGGTCTATTCGGGTAGGGGGTCAAGACCCATTCGGGTATTATAAAAATTTGGTTTGGGTTCGGTTCGGGTTCGGGTCGGTTCGGGTATTTTAATTAAAAAAAAAGCAAAATACCTGAAAATAACCAAAAATACCCGAAATATTTTTGGGTTCGGGTCGGGTTCGGGTTTTTAACTCATATATACCCAAATCTAACCGAAATACCCGATTTCTCGAAAAGACATTGGTTACTCTTTACCCAAATATAACCAAAAATATCTAAAAATACTAAAATTACCCAAAAGAAAACTACATCATTAGTTACTTTTTAACCAAATATATCCAAATGTATCCGAATTACTCAAAAATACCTAATATATTCGGATTTATGATTGTAATTTTAGGAATTTCGGGTATTATAAATATAAATATAACTAATATTTTTAGGTGTATATTTGTATTCGGGTACATTCGGGTATTGGATTCGGTTCGGGTTCGGTTCGGGTTTTTTTCGGGTAGGAGGTTAGGACCCATTCGGGTATTTTTAAACATCGGATTTGAGTTCGGTTCGGGTATTTTTCGGGTTTTTCGGTTCGGGTATTCGGTTCCGGGTATTTTGCCCGGGCCTAGTCAATTGTAACTAATTTTTGCGTAAGCTCATTGTGGGAGTTACCCATCTCCCGCAATCGTAACCCATAACGTCTTTTGTTTGTATCTATCGCTCCTCTAATACAAATTCAGATCTGAAGCACACAAGCTTTGGAATCCAAAGCTTTTCTCCAGAATCAAAATCCGCATCTTCCAAATCCACCGTCGATCTGGAGCCGTTACAGGATCCGCCGCAGACCACGGCGTCCTCCGGTACCGGCAACGGCAACGGTAAAATACGCTACCGTTCGCCTTCTTCCACTGAGCTTCTGGAGTCTGGAAACCAGTCTCCTACATCCGACTCTGTTGACGGAGGTAAGATGACGGCGAAGCGTGGGATTGGACGGCATGAATCTCTTGCTGATAAGATCCAACGCCATCGTGGTCTTATTCTTGTGATTTCGGTTCCCATTGTGTTGATCGGGCTTGTTCTTCTGCTAATGCCTGGGAGATCGACTTCTGATTCGGTCGTTGAAGAGTATACGGTGCATAATCGCAAAGGAGGTCCTAATTCGAGAGGTCCGAAGAATTACGCTGTGATTTTTGATGCTGGAAGTTCTGGTAGCCGTGTACATGTTTACTGTTTTGATCAGAATTTGGATCTTATTCCTCTCGGGAATGAACTTGAGCTCTTCTTACAGGTGATACATTGGTTTCGTTTTTCTCTTCTTATCTGCTGTGCTTGATAGATCTTGTGTCATTCCCGATATTTGATTCAATTTCTTATTGGTGATTCGTGGTACATTTGTGTTAACTGTGTTTATTCGTTGTTGTAGCCAGAACTTGGATAGAGCTAAATTGACTTTGTTTGAGATACATTCAAACTCTATCCCCTGACCCAACGATCTTATAACTGAAAACATGTGAAATTTGCCATTAGAACACATTTCGTAAACGTTTGAAAGAATGTATGAGGTTATTTGTTTGGTGGATGAAGAAGGATTTTTAATTCTTCAGGTTTCTGTATTTGATCCTCCTCTAGATTTGATTATAGCAATACCTCTTTCCCTGAGGTAAAGCTCAACAGGATTTACGGGAAGCGTATAACTTTGCATTCAGTGTATAGAATTGACTTGCACTATGTGTTCCTGGAATGCTAACATAAAACTTGAACTCGCCTAGCTTGCGTCGTTTAGTTCGTTGTTTCATTATATTGTTGTGGCTTGACTTTCTTGTTTAATTTGCAGTTTAGTGGTGCTAGTTGAAACTTTGGTTCTAAGCTATTTACTGATTTGATTTTCAGCTTAAACCAGGGTTGAGTGCATATCCTACTGATCCCCGACAAGCAGCAAACTCTTTGGTGTCTCTTCTTGACAAAGCAGAAGCTTCTGTTCCCCGCGAGCTGCGCCCGAAGACACCTGTCAGAGTTGGGGTATGGAAACGAATTCTTTCCACACGTAGCATAATTGAAGTTATTTTGTATTATCATTGTTTTTTTTTGTGAATCAATTGAAATGTGTTTTCCCTAAATCTTTTCAGGCCACTGCAGGTTTGAGGACGCTGGGTCATGATGCATCTGAGAACATTTTGCAAGCGGTAATTTGATTTCCATAAATTTTTCAGGCACATTCGCCAGGTCACTTAGCTCTTATACTGTATTATAATTTTGTTTATAAGGTTAGGGAACTCTTGAGAGATAGAAGCATGCTGAAAACTGAGGCAAATGCTGTTACTGTACTGGATGGTACCCAGGAAGGTTCTTATCAGTGGGTATGTTGTCCCACCTTTATATTCATCACCTCCATTCCCATTCGGAGAAGTAATTCTGGACTGGGATCCTTTCTAGTTTCTTTTTATCCAATAAGAAGTGTTTCACTATGGCAATTGTAATAGTTTGAAGTCTAGTATGTAAAATAATAGCTGTTGGACTCTAAGCAACCTCTAATCTAGCTGACATTTTGTCTTAATGGGCTTCGAATTTGCAGGTAACTATCAACTACTTGCTAAGGAACTTGGGAAAACCATACTCAGATACGGTAGGAGTGGTTGATCTTGGAGGGGGGTCTGTTCAAATGGCATATGCTATATCCGAGGAAGATGCTGCAAGTGCACCAAAACCATTAGAAGGAGAGGATTCATATGTCAGAGAAATGTATCTGAAGGGACGGAAGTATTTCCTCTATGTACACAGGTTTGTCACCTCTTATGGTTTTCTTTATTTCATTTCTTTGAATTATCTTGTATTAACGTCTCCCAAATAGCGGGCAGTTTTAGGCTTTTCCACGTCATCTGTATCTTCTAGACTACTGTACTCGTTAGATATTTGGGGTCTTCCTTCCATGCTAGCACACATTTTTTAAAATTCATAATCTTTAATGTGAGGTGTTATTGGATTTTTTTCGTGCTTGTAGTTACCTACATTACGGATTACTGGCCGCCCGAGCAGAGATTTTGAAAGTTTCTGAAGATTCAGAGAACCCCTGCATCGTGGCAGGCTATGATGGTGAGAGATTATTGTTTTATCATGAGAGCTGTTTCTTTCCTCGTCATATGACACATGTTTACATTTGCCATTATCTTCGCCATCCTTTGCTTCTGGATATGAAATTTCTCTTAGCATATTGGATCAACAGTTTTCAATTTCTTCTAACATACTTTATTCACTGTAGGTATGTACAAGTATGGGGAAAAGGAATTTAAAGCCCCTGCTTCACCATCCGGTGCGAGTCTTGGCGAGTGCCGAAGGGTAACCATCAATGCACTAAAAGTGAATGATACACTGTGTACACACATGAAATGCACATTCGGTGGAGTCTGGAATGGTGGCCGAGGTGGTGGTCAAAAGAATATGTTTGTTGCTTCTTTTTTCTTCGATCGTGCTGCTGAGGTAATTCAACCAAAAAACACAGTTTATCAAATCTTTCACACACAACCTGTTTCTTTGCTAAACACCGTATAATGGCACAGGCTGGATTTGTTGACCCGAAGCAACCTGTTGCTACAGTTCGTCCCATGGACTTTGAGAAAGCGGCAAAGCAAGCTTGTAGTATGAAGCTGGAAGAGGGGAAAGCGAAATTCCCACTTGTGGAGGAAGAGAATTTGCCTTACTTGTGCATGGATCTCATTTACCAATATACTCTGCTCATTGATGGATTCGGTAAGTTTCTCCCCTTTTCTCACCTTCAAAAAAACAATTCAATTTTCAAGAGAATCCACTATTTATTTTAGGTTTAGGATAGTAGAATTTGTTCAACTCTGGCTCTAAGCACCAAATACATGAAGGAAAAAGTGTTACATTTAGGATGATCTGGTCCAAGTTTCTGTAATCTCCTTCGTATGTATTTCATTTGTCTAATTTTGTTTTTTCTTGGGTGTAAAATATTAGGCTTGGAGCCATCACAGACAATAACTTTAGTGAAGAAGGTCAAATACGGAGACCACGCCGTGGAAGCTGCTTGGCCATTGGGTAGCGCCATAGAGGCCGTTTCCTCGCCGTGAGGGGCATTCTGAGAATTACACAGAACCTTATTCTTTTGATATCTACCAAAGTTTTTTTTTTCCTCAGTTTTTAGACTTTTTACCATCCCTTAAAGCATAGTACATTAGTACTTAACATTTTTATTACAATATATCGTATTTAGAAAAATTGTTTTGTTGCTTATATCTCCTTTTTCAGATCTTTGATTCTTTTTTCTTGTAAAATAGAGTACTCTTATTGTCCATGTTTCTTATATTTTTATGAAAAGATTGCAACATTCTTACTTTTTTGAGTTTCGCGTATTTTTCAGAAGAAATGAGGAGTTTATTAATTAGTTTCTTATTTTTTTTAACTCTAGCATTGTAATTATAGAAATATAATTTACTAAACCTGAAAAATACGGGGGTATACACTATACTCACAAACTTGCTAGTCGTTTTGTTAATGTTTTATTTATTGAATGATAAACAATATAAAAATAGAACCTTTTCTTGTTATCTATAGTTCTGGACATCATTCATTGAATCCAGTGCTGGTCTGGTAAAATTTGGGCCGAATATGAAATTTTTTTTTTGAGGTTTTTTTAAAAAATAGAAACTTTTAAAAATTTTATTTTTACTAATTATGGGGCATTTATAATTTTTATTTAACAATTTTTCTTATTTTTTAAAGACATTTTTGTTAATTATGGAACTTTTTGTTAATTTTGAGTCATGTTTTACTAATTTTGAGGCCTATTTTATAATTATGGGGTTTCAAAAAAAAAAAAAATTCTTCATAAAATAGGCTTCGAAAATTTGAGATCCAATATAAATGATTCACCAAAATGGGTGAAAGGCCGGGCCTGATTGAATCGTAACGTGCCAAAAAAAACTTGTGTTCTTGGCTCCTTGGGAAAATATTTCAGTTTTGCATGTTTATATGTTTTCAATGAAATAATATTTGACAATGACGCCTGCTGTGATTGTGGTGTATCGTAAATCCACGTGGTGATCGAACTCCAATTATTGTCTCTCGCTCATGTCCCTCGAAAGAAAGGCAATTACTTGCACACAACAAATGGTGAATCATCATTTTATTTGGCTTTTTTTCATAAAAAATATAGTATTAATCTTCAGTAAATATAACAAAAACTGTTTTCCGATATTGTATCAAGAAGTAATTTCTTAAAAACCAAAAAAAAAAGTAACAATATTATAAACTGTATATAAATAAACAAAAATATTTGAATATTTGTATCTTTCAAAATTTTGAAATCTTTTAGCGTGGGTTATTTCCTGTTATCACTTATATCATTGTCATTAACTTTTTGTAACCCGAAAATACCATCCCTGATATTAGTATAGGCAGGGGCGGAGGGAGTGTAGACTCATAGGGGTCAATTGACCCCGGTGGAATTTAAAAAAATAGTTGAATTTTTATATAAAAAAAATTATTGATCCCAATCCAATAAAAATATTGACCCCTATAAAAATATTATGTTACAAACCCAATAATTATATTATACATATAGATAATATTAAGCCTATTAAAATTTATTTTAAGTAAATATACTACAATTAAACCCATTAATATAACCTAATATAATATTTAAACATTTATTTTGAGTTGATCTAAAAACGTTTTACCTTCTTCTCCTTTTTTTTTTTTGTGTTTTTAATCAATTTTCGATAGTGTGATGGTGGAGACAAGAAAACATCTTTCACATCTTTTAGTATATCGACTTATGAAACTATCTTTCATTCATCTTTTAGAAGAAAAAAATATTTTGACCCCGATAAATAGATTTTCTGACTCCGCCACTGAGTATAGGTTACAAAAAATATATGTTTTTTTGTGATAAAATTCTATCGGCTGATCCGGTCAACCCCGGTAGAAACGCACCGAAGTGTTTTAGAGTGGACTTCTCCCCGAAGGGCCACTATACTGTCTGTCCCGAGTTTGGAATGCTTTCCGACTAATGCCAGGGATAGCCAGATCGCCTGTTACTGGACTACCAGGTACACTGCTTGGCCCAAGCCCAGACTTCCCACACATATATGTTTTTTGTTTCCAGCGTGGATCGAACCTGGGTAAGTTCTTCAAACCTTTCTCCAATTCTCAACTACCAATGGACCACAGCGGTGTGGGCAAAAAAAAAAAAAAAAAAAATTGTTAAAGAAGGTATTTAAAAGAAATACAAAAACTCAATGACCTTTTGTATGGGCTGAGAAAAACATTATGAACACTGAAGAATGAAGTTGTTGTACCCATTTCGACTGATCCGGCTTAAAAAAAATAATGTATTATTGAATTTAAACCAGCTATTCTCCACTGGAAAATTTGCACACAAACAAGAATAAAGGAATTATTTAACTTTTCTCTCTTTTTTTTTTTTTTGTTTTTAAATATATTTTACAGAGGTCGAAATTTTACGTCATGTGTGTCAATGTTATATTAGAGATAGAGTTCACCATTAACGAACATCGTTGTGGTTTCTTCTTTTTGACCAACGTAAATGCATTAAACGGCAAAAAACACTCAATTTTAAGTATTATTTTGGGTTTCCACTCGTGATCTACTATAGTTATATCAATTTAATATTAGATTTGGTTCGGGAAGAAATTTAGCCCCTTGTTATATGCTTCATGGAGACAAAATTAAGTTTTAGAAAAACGGAAAAAAACGAAGTTCAAAGTTAAGAAGAAGGAGAAAAACGCTCAAGATCTTTTTCGGATTTGGATCACTATATATAACAGGAAATAGTTTAAACTCATTTCCATTTCCATTTGTTTGTAAAATATTCAAATATTAATCCATGGTTAAATCATTTGATACTTAAGAAAAAAAAATCGGGATTCAAAATTACATGTATGTCAATATATATCTAGGAAAAGGGGAATATTTTTTAAGCTTCATGGTGAAGCTAAGTTTTATTTTTCAATGAATTATTGGGGAATCATTTGAATTTTAACAAATAGAATAAAGCAAACCCAATAATATTAATTTGTCCATAAAAGTGGCGACATATAACATATTTATTTTCAAAGAAGAATCGTAACGGTTACTTTCACATATTGAAAAGACAACTCCTCGATGAAATGATAATCAATCTCTAGTTTTTTCAGTAGTTTGATTATGGTGGATAAAAACATTTCAAATTAATCTTATATTGAAGATTATTTTTGATATGAAGGTTGGATATAAAAATAAATTGAATCGTTGTATCATTGGATTCAGACTAAAGAAACGCTTTTTTCTTCCTACGTGTAATTTCCGTATAAGTTGAATATCAAAGTACTGTGACGTAGAACATGCATATGAGTCTGAACCTAATAAAAAGAAAAAGGAAATAATTATCTTAGAAGGGGAAATTCGATGAACACGCATGAATAAGTATCATGTTTTGATTGGTGACCTAAATAATTTTATTGATGTGACACTTACTTATTATGACCCATGCATTAGCCAAAATAATTGAACTGTGGAATTATTATCCTTCGTTTACTTATTTTGTTTACCATATTTTGGTGTAGATGCACACAACACAGATGGGTTTATATCATTTGTTGGAATAAGATTTGATTTCCAATGCTTAATGCTTTGTATGTCCACATAATGTGTGTGTATGTGTGACGTTAAGAAAATACATGTGTATAGTTGTCTTGCAATGGGGAGCAATTACACGGAAAGATCGAAAAGTCATTTTCTAGTTTAAGTTAATCACGAATTAATTGAAGTCATAAGATAAAAGTAAAATTATCAAAATTGACAATCAATATTTAACTTTAAATACTCATAAAATACAGAATAGAATAAATTTTCCATGTAAATGAATGCCATAGCTTTTTTAACGCGTTCAAATTAAATTCTATTAAAAATTCTGATTTTTTCAATAACTCTTTATATATATTATCAGAAATTCAGAACTGCATCATAAATATTTACATAAACACTTTTGAAATATCTTTTGAAGAATTTAGTTATGTATTTAAAATTATTAACATATAAATATTTTATTATAATATTCAAAATCTTACAAATTTTGATAGTATTTTTTTGTGATGCTTTACACTATTCTTTTTGGGCGTGCTAATTGTAAAAATAATAATATGAGCGGCTTAATTACCCCTAGTTAGGTATGATAATCTAATTATGCTATTGTTTGCACGTATAAACTCACATTTTAATTAACAACATATATACGTGTTTAGGATATAATGAATACACGTACATGTATACTTCTTCAAAGCATTTTGCTAGTTAATCATTTTTTTTATCCACCATACGATATGCGTATGTGAATGTGATCATATTGATTTTTTTTTTGTAAGGAGCTCCCCAAATTTATTCATAATAAAAAGAAAAATTATAAGCGTATATTCCGTGGTCTTGTAGACCCGCTAACATCCTCTAACATAGTAAACTTCACACAATCCGGCGGCAATATGAATGTGATCATATTGATTTTGGACATAAAAAAATTCTCAATCGACAATTCTTAGAAGAGATTATATGCATATAGAACAAGTTCAATATTTTCATTCTTATCACTAATATATAATATATATACCGATTTGGAGTTATGAGATGCATATAAACGATACTATCACAAACCCCACTAAACTACAAATCATAATCTAAATTAATATTTTATTTCAAATGACGAAATCGTAGAGATTTATGACAGTTATACGCATAAAGCATATCAGCTTAAAATTTATTTTGTCAGTAGTTTATATTTTCTGAACTCTTAAGAAAGAAAATTGGTGGTGTAATTAAGAAAATTTAAAATAATTTTTGAGAATAAACAAATTCAAAAAAAAAGATATACTTATTCGCCACTCCTGAGAATTGTAGTATGAATAATACATTGACCAATAATTATTAGTATACATGTCAATGAAGATTTATAAAAAAAAGAAATATGATGATCTATAAGTCTTTTTTTTTTTTTTGGGCAAAAGATCTATGAGTCTATAACACTAGACTCTCGACAAATATTACAAGTTTTACGGAAAGATGAACAAATTGTTAAAACATTGCGATCGCACTGGCAAAAGATCTAGAGTTGTGACTGAATATCAGGATATATCTAATGATTTTTTTTTCATCTATATATATTATGATTTATTGCAACGAAAATTACACTTTCTTGATAAGTACTTAATTAATTCCTTGAGATAACTAAAATTTAATCGTTTGTTGATATATTCACATCTATAGAAATGACAGCGGCCTAAATGAGAAATCTATTGTTTAAGCTATTTTCATATTTGCAACGTTATGGTGGCTACAAATTAGTATACATTTTATCATGTCTTTATTATTCTAAACACAAATAATAATTTCGTATATATATATATATATATATACGAATATGTATGTATATATACGTAAGACTATGGAGAGGTGGAACATGTATGACAGATGGTCTAGTCTATTTAATCTGCTAATTAAAAAGCTCTCCAAGGAAAAAAGTTGGCAATTGACTTTCAAAATTTACAAATCAAATTTCCAAACCAGTTGATATGATAATCATTAATTGTATGTTAAATAATCGTTTAACAATATTATCTTTGTTTTTTCCTCCAAATGACGCAAGACTGCCCATCATATTTAATGTTCTAGTGAATATACAGATGGGATTACTAAAACATACTCTAATGTTCAAAAATACAACTGTCAACATATTTAGATTTGATCCATTTGCTTAAATGTATATAGAAACTACGTATACAACTGCAATATCATATGCGTTTATAAATTATATATGATTTATGAACAATTTTGACTATAGTCTTTCATCTTACTTTTTTCGACAACTCATTTTCTATTTAAACAAATGTTTTAATATACCATTGTGCGTACATTTCACTTTAACCAAAGTGCGATAATCGAAATATAACAACTTCCTTTAGCTAGTTACTTTACAACAATCACAGAATTTTAAAAAAAAAAACAGAAATAGCTGTTAAGAAACTCACAGTAATAATAATCAAGCAAACCTTATATATGTATAAATTATGATCTGCTAAACTGGAAATAATTAACCATATAGTTATACATTATAATAATAAATTAGATTCCCACACCAACAATAACAATAACATCCTAACTTCTTGTAGTTGCAAGATACATAAGTGGTCTGTCTCAAACTACGAAACAAACAATTTAGTTGTATATTTTATTTGAGTTATTGGACTATACTTATAATAATAAGCTCGTCAATTTGATCCACAAGTACATATATAAACTATTTGTTTAATTAGTGAGATTAACTTCTAAGATTTCCAATTTACAAATAAATGATATACAACACAAAGAGATGTGTATATGCCTGATACATGGTGGTGGTGGCCATGACTTTGAGCAATGTTGAATGACATCATATCCATCATCATCATCTTTTCACATTATGTTACATATTACACCAACTTTACATATAAGCATATATGTCTTTTGTAACAACTAGCATTTTTTTTTTGTAATCCGTACGTATGTATATATTATATAGGATTCAGTATACGTGATACATATTCATCACGTATTGTAAAACTTATCGATTATGAAAGAACTTAATATTCTGGTATTGTGAAAATCGTATCACTTCTTGTGACTCGTATCATGCAATACTCTCGTTCTCTCGAATATGTTATCGGTGGACAGCTTTATTACTTGTGTATATTAGATTAGTAATAGCATAGTTTCCACAATAATATTTAATAAACCATAAACATAACAAAAAAGAAATACAAAAAGAAAAAATGCGTAAACTACAAAAGAGCATTGACGTTTTCTGTTGTAATTAAAATAAACAATAGAGAAGAGGCTAGGCTCTGGGTGATGACATAATCTAAGGGCCGCACATCTCAACGGCTTATGGTAGGTCCACGTGGCCCCTTAAGATCCGTTGAAAGGGATAGTGATGACGCCATAGTTGACGTCAATGAGCCCTCATCCACCAATGATGTAGCTCCTTCGCTTTGCAGTCTCGTCTTCGGGATCAAAAGTCAACCTCCTTAAGTTACACCTACACACATATTATAATTCCTCCAGAGGGTCCACACGTCGAAAAAAAATTAAAATAAAAAAACAAAAACTACCAAGTAAGGAAACAGTATTTATTTTATTTTAATCCCTGATTTCATTCCATATCTTTCGGTCCACATCATTATATTTTAAACAAAACTATCTTAATCTGTAATTATTATTATTCTTATCCATTTTCCTTAATATATGCTCCACATATGATCACCAAAACGCGTTTAATCGAGATAATTACGGACAAAAAACATACACTGCCCACATTTTTCATTTGGAGTTTTGGACCTTACTAACATTTTACGACAAAATCAGTTATATAAACCAATTTTCAACGGCAGGTAAATAGTGATTAGAAAGTTATGTTTTTTTTTTTTTTTTAAACGAATCAATTTTTGATATATGACCACTGTATTATAATGCACACAATAATCTACATTCAACCAAAAAAATATTCTACATTCAACAAAAAAAAATGTCAATACAAATATTGGAACACCGACGGTCAATAATACGAACAGATCAAACGAAATAAATTAAGATTACTAATTAATAAACTAAGATAAGATGCAATAAATAAACTGATGGGTAATTTAAAAAACAAATGCTGGAACCAAGTCGGTGATTTGTTACGACGTATTAGTTACTGACTAAAACGACTTTCCAATTTAATCTGAGTCGGCAATGTGTAGATTACTACTGTACAAATATTATATTAAAAATGTTTGTCGCATGTTAATATTTCCAGAAGATTACAGGCTGGAAAATCAATGTATTTTTAACTTTTAAAATGCGTACAAAAGACTTAATACAATTTCAAATTAGTACTATTATTCTTATAAAATCATTATGTACTTTTCTATTTAACCGTAATTAAATTCTGATTTCCTTTTAGAACTTATATACGTACATAACTTTATATGAAGCTCAAGTAAACGATGATAACCTTGATCATAAATATTTAAACTAGTGACTAGATTTAACAAAAAAAAAAAAACTAGTGACTAGACTAGACCGTGCAATATAATAGCGAGTGAAGACAACTATACAGTTAATTTGGTTGGAGATTAGGCGTCTTAATTAAAAAAAAAAATCTAGAAATTTTTGGTCTGATGATTGTTCACTTAAGAAGAAAATGACATGCGAATATTAGAAGAAAAAAATATTATTTTCTTAATTTTTGAATTTACAGATAATTTGTGATAGACAAATTACACGTGTCTACTTTTTCACTTTGTCTACTAAGAAATATACTACTACTATTTTTTACTTTGTCTACTAAGCAATAACTACCTTTTTACTTTGTCTACTAAAATAACGGATTGTGACGACGAATCTACACTGAGTCAGAGTGTCAAGACGCCAAACTCATCCATACAAACGTATTAGTGACATTGACAAAATCCAATGTATCCACATTTACTTTCAATGTCAGCTGATAAATTAATTAGAGTAGCTAATTATTTTTTCGTATTGATTGCTTAGTTGTATTGGTGGGGAATAGTTCTCGGTAATTTACACAAAAAAAGTCAGACGAAGTATTAAATACTTAGAATACATAGCCGCACTTTTCTATTTCGATGATATATGTATGTGACCTAATTTTTGTTTGCCTTTTGACGTCGATATATATGACGACCTAATTATATTTTCTACATGAGTAGAGTAGTCCATTATATTGGTATTGAAACTAAAATATTATATACCAAGTTTCCAAATATATGCAAAATCTCAACTTCGTGGTTGGACATTCCTTATATGTTTTTTAGTCGAGAACTTGGTGTGGTGACTTTACTAGTGAATATATATATATTCATCAACGCCATAATTCCAACTTTAATCTATAGTTCACGGATTTCGAACAATCATACGAATAATTATATCACGTGTTAGTGTTACTATTATGCGACTAGCAAAAAGTTACAGGTTTTGTGTGATGTTTGGGTTTTGGTAGAACAATAATTAAACACAAAGAAAACGAAAGGATCCAGATTAACGTACATTGCCACCAATTGATTACTTAATATTCTATCATTTTCGTCTTTCTTCGGCTTCACTGAAAAGGCTAAAACAAACACCACAAGAGTTTGGTTAAAAAAAAAGAACACCACATAAAAAGACCACATCCTTTTTAAGTAGAGGAAACGGTGCTAAACGATTAAATAATACTCAGCTAATTATAAATTCTCTAATTAACATACACGAAAACATTATATTTTATAACCGTAGTATTTCTCGACTTCATGGAAACGATAGCATAATAAGGATGATTATCCACATTTCACAACTTTAAGATTAATATGAAACTCACTATTAATAACTGAATACAGAAAAGAGGAGATTTCTTAGGGCTTTCTTTCTATAGGATAATAATCAAATTAAAAACAAGAACAATCTTTAATCACGGGTCCACACATCAAAAGCTATACACTTATAACCCTTTTTAGAATTTTGTTTCAACACGTTTTTTGTTTGATATGGTATTTTTTTTCCAAGCGTTCTTCCCGAATTCCTATCCCCACAGTATGAAAACAATCAACATATAATTAAGAATATATACACAATCAAAAATATTTGAGTAGCAAGTATTTTTTTAAGGAATAATTTAAATCTCAATGGTTTTGTTAAATGTATTATCAACGACTGAGTTTGAGCTAAAAAAACTATTAATCGGAATTTAAAACTTCTAAAATTATATGTATATATATATATATATATATATATATATATATATAAATTTAGATAATAATCCAATTGTTGTCTATGTGAAACTTGTTCAACAATTCAGGAAGTTGCTTGGAGCCTACGTATCTTTCTAAATCACCAAAAAGAAGGAAAAAAAGAAAACAATAAATAATTTTATCTTTTAGTTAATTACAAACAAAGCTCCTCCATCTCCTCTATTTAAAAGCCATTCTCTTTTTTCCACCCTTTCAATACTTTAACTGCCCAAAAGATTCTCTCCCAGCTAGCTTTCTCATATCATTTTCTTTCTTCATCTTCTTCTTGTGTCTCTTTCCCTCTCTCTAAATAAGCATATCACTCTTACAAAAGATTTCTGGGTTTCTGATATTGTTCTTGTTCTTGAATCTTTAATACTTTCAGAACATAGAAATTATTGTTATATATATATATATAACGATGGCGGTTGTGGTCGAAGAAGGCGTGGTGTTGAATCATGGAGGTGAAGAGCTTGTGGATTTGCCACCTGGTTTCAGGTTTCATCCAACAGACGAAGAGATCATAACATATTACCTTAAGGAGAAGGTTTTAAACAGCCGATTCACGGCGGTGGCCATGGGAGAAGCTGATCTCAACAAGTGTGAGCCTTGGGATTTGCCAAGTAAGTATTAGTCAATTTTCATTAACCTAAAACAAATTTCAATTTCTTCTTTTGACCATTCAAGTGTAAACACATAAAGCTAGCTTCTTGATTAAGATTTATCAAATTCTTGATGGCTAGCTTGTTTTTGATCAGCTTTTCAAACTTCGAAGCCAAATAAATTTCAATCTTCTTTGACCATTTCAACACACAAAAGGCTTCTTGATCAATTAAGATTCTGATTCTTGATTTTTTTTTTTGGTTGGTATAGAGAGGGCAAAGATGGGGGAGAAAGAGTTTTACTTCTTCTGTCAAAGGGACAGGAAGTATCCGACCGGGATGAGGACGAACCGTGCAACCGAGTCCGGATATTGGAAAGCGACCGGGAAGGATAAGGAGATCTTCAAAGGCAAAGGTTGTCTCGTTGGGATGAAGAAAACACTTGTGTTTTATAGAGGAAGAGCTCCAAAAGGTGAAAAGACTAATTGGGTCATGCATGAATATCGTCTTGAAGGCAAATATTCGTATCACAATCTGCCCAAATCTGCAAGGGTAAGTTTATGTTACAAAACCAATTATTCTCAATGTTTTTCTCATTTTGACTCTAAAAGGAGAAAAATCTTTGATTTATTTGATTATTATTCTTACTTTTCTGTAACCAAAAGTGTGTTAAATTTGGTGGAAAACATAAGTCCTTTTCAAAAGAGTTTGATTCGTTTTCATATATCCAATTCAAGATTGAATCCCAAACTCATAAATAAAATAAAATCTAATCTATATTTTTTTTTTGTTTATGATCTTTATTACAGGACGAATGGGTCGTATGTAGGGTTTTTCACAAGAACAATCCTTCTATTACAACCCAACCATTGACGAGAATACCCATTGAAGATCTCACGAGGATGGATTCTCTAGAGAACATTGATCATCTCCTAGACTTCTCATCTCTTCCTCCCCTCATAGATCCAAGTTTCATGGGTCAAACCGAACAACCAAACTTCAAACCCATCAACCCTCCGACTTACAATATCTCATCACCAATCCAACCCCATCATTTCAATACTTACCAATCAATCTTTAACCACCAGGGTTTTGGTTCTGCTTCGGGTTCTACATACAACAACAACGAGATGATCAAGATGGAGCAATCACTTGTTAGTGTATCTCAAGAAACATGCCTAAGCTCAGATGTAAACGCGAACACAACTACAACCACGGAGGTATCCTCGGGTCCGGTAATGAAACAAGAGATGGGGATGATGGGAATGGTGAATGGTAGCAAGTCGTATGAAGATCTATGTGACTTGAGGGGGGTCTTATGGGACTTCTAATTAATTATTTGACTGTGGTGAAAGAGTATATTTGTTGGGATTTAAATCATGTAGTTAAATACATATACATATATAGGATTTACTAGAGTGTTAATCCTAGTTATTTCACTTCATTGATATTATTTAATTAGTTGATTGTTTAATTAGTTTATACTATATAGTGTGGTTCAAAAAGAAAAAGGATTGTGATAATATGGGATTTTAGTGCGTAAGTTATATCTCAATGTAAACTGTATTTGTATACATATAATTAGTCTTCATAAGGTTTCTCATAGAGTTTTAACTATTAAGATTTACGATTTATATTCTAACGTTGTTAGTTCAATTCGATATATACTTATACAAGCTGGATAACATTAGTGATTTTACATTTACAATAAGTCGACATATATATCCGAATATACCAATATACAATCCACACTCAAGTAGAAACGTTCTCATTTAAAAACAGAAGAAAATGATTATGATTACGTGAATGTCATGTATTTTTTTTACGGCTGATAAAATACAACATAAATTGCATTTGAATACGGATAATAACATAAGTACGCCACTAATATTTAATTAGATGTTAATAAAATGGGTCTCACGAAGCTTTACTGTTTGTATCATTGATAGTCACTCAACAATCAACATAATGTTTACCCAAAAAATAAAACAATCAACATAATATTTTGAGAAATTAATATATTAATTTAGTTTTCTCTTCTTTTTGTTTGAGAATAAAAAAATGAAAAATACAAATAGATGGAATCTTAATAAGTAAAACTCAGAGAGAGGAAAAAATAACACAGCTCATGAAGCATGTGAATGTTCCCCGAATCTGGGCAGCATATTAGCATTTTCATATGCCCAATAATTTAGAGTATTACTATGAATTCATGACACACTATACAATATATATAAAAAAAAAACATTTCAACTAAGAACAGTGATTAATGATGGGTTTCTTGTAAGAATACAATACCAGATCCCTAAATCTTATGTCTTAAGGAACTTGGTTATTACATCAATCACATTACGTTTTCCTACTTATTTTTTTAATAGTTGAAAGTTTTTAGTACGTTACATAGAATTAAAAATTCCAGCACTTGTTATTTCCAACATCTGTCAATTAATATCGTAACTACATAATCGTTTAATCTTGATGTTTAGATATAATATTGTATCTTAAGGAATTTTTTCGTCGGGCCCGAAGCACAAAGCTTGTCTTTACATAGAATAAGATATGGCTGCAGATCTGTGTTTAAGATTTGGCAGCAGATCTGTTTTTTGGTTGAATGTAGTACTATAATATTCTTTGTTTCGAATTCTTGATATTTTTAATATATAAAACGACAAAGATTATACATTTTTAAAGAAAATGCACCGATATGAATAACACCAAAGGAATAACATCTTACATCTTTAGTAAGGTTTATTATTAAAAGGCATGAACATTTTAGATATACAAACATAATGCCATGCAAAGACATAGTTTTCAAATTTTCTTGATTTATAGACTCTTATGTATATTAGTTATTTCGTATTCCCATATTACCATATAATGGTCTCAGAAAAGTTTCAAACGGTTCATACACAGATAAGGAGATAATCATCTAACGGATTATAAATAAATTAAAACCCAATTAACCGTATGTAAATAAATGATGACTCTGGTTCAATGTACTAAATGATGATGATTTGCATAAAAGCGTGTGAGTCTCTTCCACCTCAAATTCAGGACACAAATCTGATTATTATTATTTTCAATTTTGGACTTGAAATTAGCCATAAACTTTTTGGTGTATAAACATATCATTGCTTAAAATAGTTACAACTAGACTAAACTAAAGATCTTTCCGCCACAATAGATTAGAGAATAATAATTCCTTTTTTCATATATAGATTCTTCATTTTTTCCACTATAGTATTAAGTTTTTATCTTCTATATATTCTATATAGATTTTTGGTTCATTTCCTATGTTATTATTTATGAATGATTTTATCAAGTGAGGAATCAATATAAAGATGAATAAAATATTTATAGTTTGGAAAAAAAAATGCATGAATGTGATCAGGATTATTAAATTGCGCATAGAAAGAGGACTTTCCATTTAAAGCGAAGCTTTTAGATCGATACTTGCAGCAAAGCTAACCGTTCTCTTCCCTTTTTTCTGTTTCTAGATGATTACCATCGCTTCGTTTCTTTTGTCTCTTTCTTCTCCTTTTACTTTTAACAATTTATTTTACTATATATACAAATGTACATACATTTATTATTGGTGTAAAAAAACCCGTAATTTTAACTAGGGTGATTTGCAAAACTAGCTACTTTTGATAACTTAATTAAGAATATAGCATCATATATATATATTTATAAATTAAGAAAATAGCATGTAAGGGGTAGAAAAAGACAATTTTGGTGTAGAAGTTGTTGTTGGAAAATGTCTATGGTGGGTTACGAGAAATTGAAGAAAGGAAGAGAGGAATAGAGAGATGAGTGATGATGCTATGAAAGAGGATTTAGTAACACTTAGCTTAATTTTCACCCATTTGCATTTTTTTGCTATATATCTTTTTTTAAACAATAGATTCCAAATCTTAAATTTATTAGACAAAAATGTATGTTTTTTTCTACATACAGCATAGTTTAAATTTTTAAAATCGGATGTAAATTTATGAAATGATGAATAATGTTTGTAATTAAAAATATGTTATACTATTTAGGATGTATAGGAATAGAATGGTAGTGGTGGTGACTGGTGATGGTGGCAGCAGTGTAGTGGTGACTGGTGATGGTGGCAGCAGTGTAGTGGTAACGAAGTGGTGACGGTGATGGTTATTGCGGTGGTGATGGTAACGGTGGTCGGAGTGGTGACAACATGGCAATGGTGATCGTTATTAAGGTGGTGTTGATGATGATAGTGGTGTTGGTGGTTGCAGTGGTCGTGGCTAATGGCAATTATGATGGTGATGGTGGTAGTGGTGCAACGTGATGGTTGTTGATATGGGGGTGACGGTGGCAGCGGCGGCGGCATGGCGGTGGTGGAAATAGTGGTGGTTGCGATGATGGTGATGACATAGAGATGATGGTAATTGTAGTGTAGTGCAATAATGACAAAAAAAACAAAGAGAAAATAAAGGTATGTTAGTATATATTGTAGTTTATATACAGAATATCATCCTTCTTTTGTTTTTTGGTTAGTTTCTTAATTATAATTTTTTTGTTAGTTAGTTTTGCAAATTTCCCTTTTAACTAGCTAGACATCAAAACCATACTATAAAATACCATATGTAGTCAGGAAAAATACACATTAAATGATATTTTGTTGAAAGTGAACTTTTTTATTGTTACCACCTAGAATCAAAACGATGGACACCTGTGAATACAAACATCTTACCATTTGGAAATTTTTTTGATTAACAAGTTATTTAGATGGAATCGATTTTCTATGTACATCTGTTGCTTATTTTTACAGCTGATTTAGTTATCCCTAATTGATATACATTTTCATTTTAAAAAACATGTAGAAACAAAAACATGACAAACGATTAGGATTATATTTTGGTTGCTTTAGTTTTCACCTTTTTAGTGGATCAGGTTTAGACAATAAACAGCTATGCTAGTGCCATGGACCATATGTTTGACCAAAGAAGGCCTACATTATATGTTGGGCCTTTGTGAAGTCCATTAGCTTAGTTCATTAAAAGACAAATTCAATCTTAAAGTTAAATTTAAGACAGTATTCAACAATAAAAAAAGGCAAACTGTTTTTCCTATGCAAGTGAACCTTATTTTTGAAAGACAGGTATTAAAAGTTTAGATTGCTGATTCATCAAAGGCGTCAATTGCTGTGAGGAGTAGCAAATTACTGCGTAAAGATTCTAAAGACTCTCGGAGTTAGCAATAGTGCAATACTATTAACCAATTATTTATTCGTTAGTTGAGGTTAAAAGTTGATTTTGATAGATCAATCAATATTGGAGTAGGCACTAGCGAAAATACCTTTATTCGATGATATCAAATTACTGTACCAATAATTGGTTTTCGTATAACGACTAGTTTTGACTTTTGAGTATGGCCAAGTTTAATCGCACAAGCTATTATGCATTTATAGGAAATTTTATTAAGTAAAACGTTGTTACTATTTCAAACCTTACAACTTAAACCCGGATAGAAAACCAAAATATGAAAAGATTTTTGTATTTTTTGTTTTTGGAGTTCCGAAGCAAAGCGATCCGATTACAAATATTCTTGTCGATGATTTGCTTTAGTTTTTGTGCTGGTAAAGGATCTTCTCCGTGCTTGCGATTGTTTCGTTCCGCCAAATTGTGTGGACTGACTGTAATTTGAAGGCCGTTTCTCAAAAGCAAGAGCGTGTTCTGGTGTATCAGAAATATTATATGCATTTTTTTTGAGCAAAGAAAAAGAAAAGAAACAACAACAAAAAAGACCAAATGATAATAATTAGGAAAAAGATTAATAATGGGTTAATAATTGGCCAATCTCATTACAGAACAGAAGTCATAGCCGTCGTCGTCTCTGTCTTGTCTCTTATTTCAAAAGAAAAAAAAAGAGAGACAAAGAAAAAGGAAAGAGAATTGCGCTCTCTGTTACTCTCATCGATTCTACAAAATCTCCGTCCTCTCCAAATTACAGGGTTTCTTCCTCAAACCCAGATTATCACTTTCCTAAATTTGAAGGTTTTTTTTATTCGATTTCAAAATCTTTCTTTTTTTTTGTATAATCTTTAGTCTGCTTTCACCGACACTTGGTTATCTTCCTCGAGTTCTCTCAATGGTTTTTGTTTCTTTTGGTTTCTCTATCAATGAAATGCTTAAGCTTTTGCTGTCTTACTCTATATTGTTTCTGTGATTATAAGAGCTCAAAACAAGCTGCTACGAGTCTAAATCTAGTGTTTGGTCTTAAATGTGTTTCTCTTCTAAAGTGGCGTAAGTTAAATTTCCATTTTTTTTCAGGTGTTCCCATCGCTGCAAAGCCTTGGTACTCATGAAAGTGTTCTTTAGTTCTTAGTTATATTAATCACTAAGCTCGGGAATTTTAACTGTATAATCAAAGATTTTAATTATTAAGTAAGATTACAATCATTAACTCATCTTCCCACAGAGTTTACAAGTTACAAAAGTTCTTGATGTAGAAGTCTTCTCTTCCTTTTGGGTTTTGGCAGTATTTTTGGCCTTCAAGGCGTTGAGAACAAACCAGAGCTCAAAACGGGTGCACTCTGTTGTATCGTGGCCTCAAGGCCACTGGTTACAACAAAATTGTCAGTACGCAGCGCAAGGGATATTCCTCAATCAAGTCAAGCCGATGCCATGCAATGGCGGACGAATTTCAGCTTCTCACCTGCTGGATATACAAGAGATGGCTTGGAACAGGAAATGGGCGATGAGAGTCCCGCTTTTGCATTCTACTCAAGCAGCAGTAGACAAAGAAAAAGTTTGGAATTCAGGTTTCAGGAATCGCCAAGATGGGCTTCAAACTCATCTGCTTCTGGTGGGAATGAACAGAAAACGTCCATTGTTGATAGTATATCAAGACCAACTAACTCAAATACTCAATGCATAAACGAGGTAATTCAGGTCTTCTTAACACATCAAGTACATTAATCTTGAAGATGAGCTTTTCTTGATTTCATCTTTGGCTGAACCTTGTCGCTCTTTGATGTAACTGTGTCTCAGGAGAACGGTTTTGATAGAGACAGTACAGCCATCTCAACGAGTTTCAGATCTTTGCTGTCTCTTTCAGAGTCATCTGCCCCATGGGAGACTCCAAGTAACCAGTCTTCCAGCCTTACTCACTGCTCTTACCCTCGAGTCTTCTGCAACCCGGTTTCAGTTTGTGAGAATCCTGAACCCAATCATACACAAGAAGATTCGTCCACAAATCCTGATTCCAGTTTCATAACGTCCACAAGAAACCACCAAGTAGAGGAAGAAGTATCACCAAACTCGAACAGCAATGACATGTTGCTAGATGTTGAAAGGCCCAATGATACAGAAGTCGAAAACCCGAGATCTGAACCAGGTTCAATGACACAGCAGAGATGCGGGATTTGCAAGAAGCTTTTATCTCAGAAATCTCCATGGAGCTCATACAAGATACTGAGATCAAGAGACATGCCAGCCGCTGGTGTTTTCCCCTGCCATCACGTCTACCATGTTGAGTGTTTAGACAAAGTGACCCCAACAGCTCAAACCCGAGATCCGTCTTGTCCTGTTTGCTCAAACACCATTGGAACAATGGAACAGCCACTGATAGCACCTGAAACATTGCAAATGGCTCTAAGATCTCTCAGAAGAAGCCGCACAACTTTGGAATTAGAGACAGTAAGTATCCCTTGCAATAACAATCAAAGAAGACATAGAAGCCAGAAATGGGAAAAACTCGGCTGCTGTTTGAATATAAGCTTCTCATCTTCTTCCTAGAATCCAACATTACCCGATTCCATTAGGTTCTTCTACAAACCTGACTTGGATCTAATCCTAGTTTTAACCATAATTTGATTCAGTACACGCCATTATAACAGAAAGGCAAAATCTTCTTGGTGTCTCTAGAGAATGTTTAGGAAACTACAAACAGAAGCATATATATCTACTTGTAGACCAAAATAATTCCTACTATGTATTTGCAGGCGTGAATTAGATTTCTCAAAGAATTATGAAACAAAGAGCAACGACAATGGACTCTGATATGAGAGATTAAAACCCACAAATTCGTATAATCGATGAGAGTGGACAAAAAATCAAAAAATAAAAACAAAAACACAGAAAGAAAAAACCTTTGAATCAAAATCTAAAATTTTCGAAAACACATAAATATTGATGGGTGTTAAAGCTCGCAAAAGCCATCACAGCACCGAGTAAATCGTGAGCTCAGGCAGCAAGCAGTCTTCATCGCAGAAAACAAAGGGAAATTAACGATTAGGCAATCGAAACCTTTCACGTCACCGGAGCCGCCAGCCAAACCCTCGAAAGTGAAGGAAATTGGGGTTGCTCGTTGGCCGGAAAAAGGTAGAAACCCTAACGATAAACCCTTTTTCTCAGCTCAGATAAGATCAAGTAGTTTTGAAGCTTTGAGTGATTTGGTTGCTCGAGTATTATAATGCCTTTTGGTCAAAAACCCTAACCCTAATCCCCTAAATCTCTTCCTGAAATTCCAACTTTACCCTCGTGAAAATTTTAACAAAATAGAGCCAAAATTGTTCAAATACTAAAAAGAAACCCCATAGATTCTAAAACAACAAATTATTCCTTATACCACCAAACCATAAAGCCCGTGACATGGTTAAGCCTTTTTTTTAGTACCAGAGAGTTGTATAACACCAAGAAGTTCTCTCTCAAAGAGAAGATTTGACATACAAAATGGAGAGAAAGAAAATAAGAACAAAAGAGAGAGAGCTGTGCTGTGTGATTTACAGAGGAGAAGTTGTAGACTTTTGCATTTTGTTATCCTTTTGTGCTTGTGGTGGCTGAGACGAATGGACTGCAGCTCGGTATGAAGATGAAGCGAGCTGTGCCAGTGCCGGTACAGTGCCACCTGCAAACATTCCCCCCAAAAGAAAGATGCAGCATCAAGAACTAGAGCTTATTGACACAAAACCAAGATTCATATGATAAGACCGGTTTCATTCGTCCCGTGATTGAAATTGATCAAAAGTAGTGAATGAGGAGAGGAAGATCTCAAACCTGCTAGTCCAGCACAGGCTGATGAAAGAACTATAACAGGCGGTGCCTGCATCGATACATAAATGAAATAAACATCAATAGTAGAATTTGAGTAAACAACTTACTGGCTTCTTTGCGGACAGTTTATGTATGTAACCAGCGCGGAACACGGAAAGAAGAGAACATAAGAATGAAATTTTGCATCTTTGTTGATAACTTACCCCAACAAGAAAATGTAACCACATGGGTCCTTTGATCCACTTGCGTACAATAGGCATTGCTGTTTCCATCAACAAGAGCATTAAAATGATTCAGACTCTTTCGAGCAAGCTTTAAATCTAACTGCTAACACTATTAACCAAAACATAGTTAGAAAACAAATACTGATAAAAGAACATCGATTGTTACAGCAGTGGAACATAATCCACATGATTACTTATTGTCTTTGAGACATTCTAACACATTCCAACACTCTTTGTATCTCCAAGGCATACAAGAATCATAATAACTAGCGCATATTAGAAGGTGGAAGTTGATTACACAGGAATACACAATCAACAGGAGAAGAACAAAACTCGAGAATTGAAAGAAATAATCACAATCAACCGAGATAACAATCAATGAGAGGTTAAAGTCAGAGAAACTCTGCATACCATGGTTAAATCCAATGAATGCACTTGCCGTACCACCAACAGCTGATCCAATCTAAGAACAAGAAACGTAAAGCTTTAAACCATAAAATAAGTAATCCATTTGATCCATATGAAATAGAAACAAAAGGAAACTTTGCATATTCAAAGACCTGCGGTTAGAGTAAAAGAGTGGGACTTTTCTTTCCCCTAAAAAATTAAATTTTCTTGAAAGAAACTAACCATCGAAAAGCTATCCCTGATGAACGGAGCAACAGTCCATTTACTGGTTTCCTGAAATCAATCAGCTTCCAATAATTTTTTAAAAAAAGAACGAATCTTACTCTATAAATCTGTATATGATGGATGCAGAAAATACCAAATTTTTCGTAAGAGGGCCTGCGCAGTGATGGCATCTGATATCGATATCATGCTCAGAATCCGTCATTTACTTAGACGAAGAAAGCTCGAGGAACCCAGAACAGATTTGTTTTTGGGTCGTAGGGTTTATACTCTGTTACTGTTTCCTTCTTCCTCTGTTCAACAAGAAAGAGAGTCCACCGATCGATCACCTGCGGTTTAGACCATTTTAGCTCCGTAAACCGAGTCGGTCCAACCGTAAACTGTGGAGACATTCTTTGGACCGGTCAGAACCGGTTTATTCAGCTTCATCATCTATTTTTAGCTTAAAACGTTGATGTTTATGCCATTCCAGAGGGTTAAAAAGTATTATCCAAATATGGAATCTTACTTCTCCATGTTCCAAAGGGTTTTAGAAACAACTTTTGAAATAAATGTTTAAAAGGAATATAAAAAGAATGTAAACGAACCAAAAGAATGTATCAAAATGAAAAGAAGAAAAACAAGAATGGATACCACTACCAACTACTTGCAACTAGACAATCAACTCTTTATAATGATCCAACTTGTCGAATTTAGCCAGCATTTGCGTTTGCAACCAGTCGCGCCATGCCTTCTTCGATTTTTAATAGTTTCATAATATTCAAATCAAAATCACAAAACTGCTACATGATTCGGTTGGATGCAGACAACACTCTCTTGTGGTGTACACTAAACTCCTACCATGATTCTCTCAATCTTTTGTTGTGTGCTTATAAGAATCACAGTTCATTAAAATATCCACAAAAATCACTGAGTAAAACGAGAATAAGTAAAAGCGGAAAGAAATTGACCCGAATTGTCCCTCTTTTCTCTTGGGTTCGGGTTGAGATGAACAAAAAAAGATTCTTGAGTTGAGAATGCGACTCACCAAGCTTTCTTTAGTTTTGGATTCCCATATTCTCATTCTCTAGAATCTCATTAACCCACTTTTACTCTCCATTTTCTCTCCAAAAGAATATAATTCCGCGGTCATTTCCCGCTTCCTCCTGTTTTATGTATCCAATCCTCTTTCGTTCAATCAAGCGAATCACTATCCCACGTTATGCTCCCTACGGAAGATCAAACAGTAATTAAAGTAAGTAAACAAGAATCTGTCAAAGGGAAATGAACGTACAAGGAAGAACATTTTGTCTGTATCACTCTTTTCTTTCACTGAAACAGTAGAAAGACTTCATAATTAAGCACAAAGTAGTATAACACATGTGACCAAGATTTAACAGTTACAAAAAAAGGCGATCACATTTCGTAAAAATGAGTTAAGCTCTAGTTCTGAAAAAACACATAGCATCTTATATTGACTGATATTATCAGCCCAAAACCTGGAACAGACCCTGCTATAAAAAGCATACACAAAATTTGATATTTTCTGTAACTACATTTTGATAAAGAACAGAGGATTATCTATAAATATCTGGTAAAAGTGAAACCAATCAAAAGAGTTCAACACATTGTTTGCTTGTTCTAATTTACTTTTGATGGTATTCAAATAGACTTTTGAAACTTGCAGCACACAATATGAAGCCTCTCTTTGTGGAAGCATATTCCCACTCACATGCCAATCAACTATTTAAGCAATATGCTCAAATACTTTTAACTGAAGGTTATGAAAGGTTCTTCACCAAACAGAATAAAGTGTTAATGAGAAATCAGAACCATGAGATTTCACCAAAAAAAGATTGAAAAAAATGCAAATATATCATTCAAGGAACATAAGATTTGTTTTTTTTTTTTGACATTTTCCTTTCAAACAATAGACCATATTTCTACCTAGTTTTATTTTTTTGTAAGGCATCTATCAAACTCATTAAGATATGTGAGACTCTATACTAGATAGTGGATATATTCTCAATTGCACATAAAGAAGCCATAATTTCAGCATTTGGCAATCACGACTTGTATATTTATAAATCTTTATCTATGAACTTATTCTATATAGCTGTATATCATATAGGAGAGTGTCTCTATACTTAATCAGGCAGGAGAAATATAATTGTTAAGTCCAAATCAAAATCAGATCCAACACCACAATATGATCTTAGAGCTAGTCGCCACTAAAGTAGATTCAGGGAAGTACACTGTAAGAAAGCAGCCAAACATTACATGCATATATGCTTCACGAACTTATACATATATACATGTAATAATATATACACAAGCACACACAAACAATACATACAAATATGCACTATGACATGTTATGTTGCATTCAGAACAGACAGAAAGGTTACACACATACATAAACACAAACATCCATGCATACATAGATTAACAAATGCTGGATGAGCCAAATATGCTGTGCCAATCCAAGAGTGTAAGATATGGACCCCCACTAATTTTTATACTATTTAGAGAGAATAGGTACTAAACTTGTTGAAGGAGACAGCATGAAATATTCTACATTCGTTCTCAATTATCCTTCAAGACAAAACAATGTTGAAACATAAACTTTCATCCCCTAGCTATCTATCACATACTTGGGTAATCTTCGTGATAAAATAATACAAACATAATCACTATACCCACTTCTATTGAAACATGGCCAAACAAGCCATTATTGATTTTGGTCAAACCTAACTTAAAGTTTCAATAGAAATTGTTTAGACTTAAGATGTATGTAGAGACTGAAAAAATGACTTTCAAGTAGGAACAAAAACAATACAGACAAGTGGAAAGCATTGAGAATATACCTCAAGAGATAGAGAGGTTAGAGCTGTGGACTTTGAAAATATTGAGGAATAAGGAAAAAGAATGAATTCCCCTGCCCAAGTAGAAAAGTTGTCAAAAAGATTTGGAGAATAAGATACTTTCATATACCAGAATGGTGAAAGAATGCGCATATGATGCACTAATTGTGGATCAATTCCGGTATCTAATGCAAGGCTCGAATTGCACTGAAAAGTTGTAGTCCAGAGGAATCAAAACAAGAAAAAATAATGTAAGCACACAACGTACAGTTTAAACGATAAGAACACAAATAACAAAGCAACGATTGGACCAGTTATTCATATTCCATACCTTAGTTATCATCCTCTAATTTGCCTTTTTTCCATTCAACTTTCTATATAAAGCAAAGTTGCAAAGACTTTTTACTCTTGAGAGACCCCGGCCTGAGAGAAAAAGAGCATAAATAAGGAAAGCAGCAAAGACATCTTCCCAAGTTGGTGGAGTTGCAAACCATAGTGTATCTCTGAACTGAGAGCAGCAGGTTGCAATTAAAAACTAAAGATTGTGTCAGGTAAAAGAAAAACATTTGGTCTTTACACTCATTATTAATGCAGTATTGCTAGGTGGGATAAACTTACCTTTTTATTTTGAAGACAGACTTATGTATTACCAAAACCAGCACCAAGGAAAGAGCATCCTCTCTTCATCGAGAATGCCCATTCATTCTGAAAGGCATCCATTCCTCAGGGGAAATGGCACAGGAGATTCTGGACTCATCCTCTCAACTGATGCAAAGCCAAGACTAAAATGGACTCCAGATCTTCACGAGAGATTTGTTGAAGCGGTCAATCAGCTTGGAGGAGGAGATAGTAAGTTATATTATAAGCAAATGAACCATCTTTGACAACCAGGCTTTTTAGACATAATGTATTAATGTGTATACTTTTGTCTCTGCAGAGGCTACTCCTAAGACAATCATGAAAGTCATGGGTATTCCAGGCCTTACCTTATACCATCTCAAGAGTCATCTTCAGGTAAGCCATCAACACTTTACACAGTCAAATGGTTCCTCAATTCGCTTGGTAGAAAACTGTTAAAGTAGCACAAAAATGACAGATATGTCAAGATGTGAAAAATCTTTAATATCTGTTTTTGCTTTTACAAAGATTATTAATATCATGATTTGACTACCAGAAATATAGGCTAAGCAAGAATCTTAATGGACAAGCTAACAGCAGTTTAAACAAGACAAGTAAGCTTAGTTATTCATTACTCAGATACAGGAATAATTACATCTATTAATTTCCTTTTTTCTCATAATATTTCCTTCAAGTAACTAAAGGTATCCTGGTTTAGGTGTGATGACCATGGTAGAAGAAAACCCCCCTGAAGTAGACGAAAGTCACAGTGAGAGTTTAAGCATTGGACCACAGCCGACCATGTAAGAATATGGCTATTTTCTTACATAATCTAACTTACTAGATTTTTTAAAAAATGACCTATATTTGTGCACGCAGGAACTTGCCCATAAGTGATGCCCTTCAAATGCAAATAGAGGTTCAGAGAAGGCTACACGAGCAACTTGAGGTATCATATACTGTTAAAAGCAGCAATCAGTGTTGGTAACAACAACAATGTTTGGAATTTCTGTTCCTATATTTGTTCACACAAGACCAACCAAGATGAAAAAGATATCACAAACTCTCATAAATATGTGTTGTTCATTTATCTTTGAATAGGAACAATTTACAAATTATACTCAAACATGTAGAAACACATAGATCAGCGAAAATCATAGGTATAGAGGCTAGAAGAAGTATATAGAAACAGAGAGAACAAAGCATTTAGTTACGATTTCATTAAAAATATTTTAAACTGAGCCAGGTACAGCGACATTTGCAGCTCAGGATAGAGGCTCAAGGAAAGTACTTGCAATCGATTCTGGAGAAAGCACAAGAGACTCTTGGAAGACAAAACCTAGGTGCAGCTGGTATTGAAGCAACAAAAGCTCAACTCTCAGAATTAGTATCTAAAGTATCAGCAGAATATCCAGACTCTAGTTTCCTAGAACCGAAAGAACTGCAGAATCTACGCCATCAACAGATGCAAACAACCTATCCACCTAACTCCTCCCTGGACAGTTGCTTAACCTCAAGTGAAGGAAACCAGAAAGCCCGAAAGATGCTTGACAACAGACTGGGATTAAGAACATATATCGGAGATTCAACTTCAGAGCAGAAAGAGATAATGGAAGAACCATTCTTCCATCGAATGGAGCTCACATGGGCAGAAGAAGAAAGCCTCAGAGAGAATAACAATAGGCCATATCTGTCGACAATGGTTAACAACACAGAACCGAGAATCTCGTCATCAAGAAGAAGCCCTGGAAGATTGTCAATAGGAGTGGGATTACATGAACACAGAGGAGGGAGTAGCAACAACAGTGAGTATACAGAGGAAAGATTCAACGAGAATGGTGAAGATTGCAAGCTTGAAACACACACAAGAACAGCTCTAGATCTTAACACACGCGACGAAAACTATGGCACAACACGTCCTAAACAGTTTGATTTGAATGGATTCAGCTGGAATTGAGAAGAACATAGAAGCTTAAAGACTGCAACAACCTTTTTATGATAATCACACAGGAAATGAAAAGCCTTTGATTTCCTTTGTTAGATTGAGAGATTCGTCTAAAATTGAATTATATTAGTTGAACCAAAAGAGACAATCTTGTGCAAAAATGTGTAACACCATTAATTTGCGTAGTTATGATCTCATATATATATATATACAGATAAATTTACTAACTTCATGGAAGATATCGAAATTCTTGAGAGAAGGACGTAAAGTTCCGTGCTTTTAGTCAACTTCGGAGATCAACAAAGCAAGAACATACCCATGAATGGTTAAGCATTCTTTTGCTTCTGAGAAGCAACGTTGCAAATCGGAGAGAAACCGGAAAGTGAGGAACGAACGGCCGTTCAACGACGAGAGTTTGGGACTGTCTAACGCCTTTTTTTCAAACCGGGTCGGTCGGGTTGGATTAACCTGGTTTTATCCGATTTGGGGCAAGAGGACCCCATTTGTTTCCTCAAAGAGTGACAATGTCATGTTTCGTCCCTGAAATTTTAGTAGGCGCTTAATTTCACCCATTATATTTTTCTTTTGACCACTTAACCAAACATTGCAATTTTGATTTATTTTGTCGATAAAATATACTTATCAAGTTTTTTTCTTCATTTTATTGAAAAAGAATTTGGTTTCATTAATTCATTTAATTACGTTTAATATTGTAGAAAAATAAAAGGAACTCAGTATTTTTTGATTAGTTTAAATAATTAGTTATGATCTGATATATAAATGTTTTAAATTTAGAGTAAAGTAAAATCGTTTTATTTCATCCGCAATAGAAAAATAAAAAAAAATCAGTTAATTATATGGTTGTGTATTAAAATGTTGATAAATTCATATGAAATTAAATATGTCTTGTACACATTTGTAAATATATGTGTTATATCTAACCGTGGTGGGTAAAAGTAAGTCCGTTAGGTATTAATAAGGTACATTTATGTTTAGATTTTCTAACGCAAATGACGATGCCAACCTATACAAATCATTGGGTACGGGAGTTCGACTTTACTTTTATGCAAAAAAAAAAAAACATAAAATATATTTATTTTTGCACGGTAAAATAATACCATTAAAAAACTAGGTAGAAAAAAAAAAATATATGTCTCGCGCCATAAATTTAAATCTTCCATAATTGTTGTACATTATTCCATTTTTATGTTTTCTTTTCATACTTAAAAATATATACTTTTATCACTTTAGTTTTAGTTTGATCAAAAATGAGACCATAAAATTATTATAAACATTCACATTTGGAAAAAGGAATAAAAATAGTGGTATGATTCAGAAAGTAGTAAAAGTATGAGGAGCAAATCGGAGAATAAAAAGCCCGGTACTCTTTTAATATGGGCCGTCAATGTCGAACTCGAAACTCTCGTTCGGATTTTTGTAATCATCCATAAAAGATCCAATCAAAATTCATTCATCCATCCATCATCGTTAGTTACATACACATCATCTCCTTCCTCTCGCTCCCTTCTGATAGCGAAACCCTAAAATACTATCAGCTGCTACTTTCCGAAACCAAATTCCGACGAATTAACTTTTTTTTTGTTTTTTGGATAAAATCATCGGAGTCTCTTCTCTGGTTCGGCTGTGATGGGTGCGAGCCGGAAATTACAAGGCGAGATAGATCGGGTGCTGAAGAAGGTTCAAGAAGGTGTTGATGTTTTCGACAGCATCTGGAACAAGGTATCGTTTCCTCTCTGCCCACAATTTCGTCTATATAATTCCAATGATTGATTGTTTTGTCTTTCTTTCTCAATTGTTCATCGTTGATGTCGAGAATGCATGAAGATCTATAGGAAAATAAACACTGTGTGTAGTTTTGGATTGCGATTGTTGGTTCATGCATTGGCTCTTAATCGATGATACTTAGATTGTGCTTGAAGAGATTGGAAATGTCTGTGATAATTGTTTGATTTGCTAATTTTTTTTTTGTTGTTTATAACTTTTTGTTTGTTTTGTTTTGTGAGGTAATTTTCCAGTGGAACTCAATATCGAGCTCCGTTTGTTTTTTATGCAGTGGAATGTGAGCAGAATGTTTGTTTTCGAAGCAGAAAAGTTTTTTACTGGACAGAGGAACAACTCGGTTTCGGACTTTTTTGGTGTTTCAGGTATATGATACAGACAATGTTAACCAAAAGGAAAAGTTTGAGGCGGACTTGAAGAAGGAAATCAAGAAGCTGCAGCGGTATAGAGACCAGATCAAGACTTGGATTCAGTCCAGTGAGATCAAAGATAAGAAAGTCAGTGGTCTTCTTCATCTTCAGTGCCTTTTTTCCTTTTTAATTGACTAATGAGGCGACTTGGCTCCCTTGCATTCTCTTAAATCTACGGCTGTGTTTAGTTATCTCTCCTGTCTAAAGTTCATGGTGATGATTCATGTTATAACTAAAGCTTTCCTAACATCTTAAAGAAAAAGTCTGATATTTTATTCATTTGAGTAAGGTGCTTTCACCGGTGGTTTTGTCTGTCATACTTTTGGCTACCCTCTAGGCTCTAGCTAGTTTAATTTTGGTTCATATAAGCTGAAAGGAGTAGCTTCATCTCTAGTTTTACTTTTACATTCCTTAAATATTGTTCTGTTTTGAAGGAATCTTAATACCCATTTGTTTTTAGACTGAACTGATCAGATTGTCTGTCGTTTGACTTAGGTCAGTGCATCATATGAGCAATCCCTGGTTGACGCTCGGAAGCTTATTGAGAAAGAGATGGAGAGGTTTAAGATCTGTGAGAAAGAGACCAAGACAAAAGCTTTTTCCAAGGAAGGACTGGGTCAGCAACCTAAAACTGTAAGAATTTCTCTACTTTTCTGGTTTACCCCAAATAATAATGTGAAATTGAAGTGTTTTCCTACAATTTTTTCTTCTTAAGTTTCTAACATATCATTGAGTTTCTATTAAAACATTTCTGGTTTTGTGAAATCTGTTGGATATTCCTAGGTGGTTATATATATTAGCGAAAACTCTTTTCGGTATTCAGGCTACTGAGTTTGTCAGCTTCATGTTTTATAGGACCCAAAAGAGAAAGCAAAGTCAGAGACAAGGGATTGGTTAAACAATGTGGTGAGTTGTTTTGGCGTATTCGTGCCTAATTATTGATTCTTGACCCCTTCCTTTAACAGAAACGTCAAAGAAGACTAATGTTAATGGTGTTTTTGAAATATGGTTTATGTGCGAGGGAAACTAGGTAATTCGGTCCTTATGGATCATCTTCTGTCAGTGCTATAGCTGATTCGTTTCTTATTTTCTTGCTTTTGATAGGTGAGTGAACTGGAGTCACAGATTGGTAGCTTTGAAGCTGAATTGGAAGGACTGTCTGTCCAAAAAGGAAAGTCAAGACCGCCCAGATTGGTAAGACCTGAAAAATATGCATTGGTATGCAAATGCTGTAATTTCTTCTCTCGTGGTGAGTCATGTCATTTGGCTTGTTTTCCCCTTTCAGACTCATCTTGAGACATCTATCACAAGGCACAAGGAACAACAAAACCTAGGTGCAGCTGGTATTGAAGCAACAAAAGCTCAACTCTCAGAATTAGTATCTAAAGTATCAGCAGAATATCCAGACTCTAGTTTCCTAGAACCGAAAGAACTGCAGAATCTACGCCATCAACAGATGCAAACAACCTATCCACCTAACTCCTCCCTGGACAGTTGCTTAACCTCAAGTGAAGGAAACCAGAAAGCCCGAAAGATGCTTGACAACAGACTGGGATTAAGAACATATATCGGAGATTCAACTTCAGAGCAGAAAGAGATAATGGAAGAACCATTCTTCCATCGAATGGAGCTCACATGGGCAGAAGAAGAAAGCCTCAGAGAGAATAACAATAGGCCATATCTGTCGACAATGGTTAACAACACAGAACCGAGAATCTCGTCATCAAGAAGAAGCCCTGGAAGATTGTCAATAGGAGTGGGATTACATGAACACAGAGGAGGGAGTAGCAACAACAGTGAGTATACAGAGGAAAGATTCAACGAGAATGGTGAAGATTGCAAGCTTGAAACACACACAAGAACAGCTCTAGATCTTAACACACGCGACGAAAACTATGGCACAACACGTCCTAAACAGTTTGATTTGAATGGATTCAGCTGGAATTGAGAAGAACATAGAAGCTTAAAGACTGCAACAACCTTTTTATGATAATCACACAGGAAATGAAAAGCCTTTGATTTCCTTTGTTAGATTGAGAGATTCGTCTAAAATTGAATTATATTAGTTGAACCAAAAGAGACAATCTTGTGCAAAAATGTGTAACACCATTAATTTGCGTAGTTATGATCTCATATATATATATATACAGATAAATTTACTAACTTCATGGAAGATATCGAAATTCTTGAGAGAAGGACGTAAAGTTCCGTGCTTTTAGTCAACTTCGGAGATCAACAAAGCAAGAACATACCCATGAATGGTTAAGCATTCTTTTGCTTCTGAGAAGCAACGTTGCAAATCGGAGAGAAACCGGAAAGTGAGGAACGAACGGCCGTTCAACGACGAGAGTTTGGGACTGTCTAACGCCTTTTTTTCAAACCGGGTCGGTCGGGTTGGATTAACCTGGTTTTATCCGATTTGGGGCAAGAGGACCCCATTTGTTTCCTCAAAGAGTGACAATGTCATGTTTCGTCCCTGAAATTTTAGTAGGCGCTTAATTTCACCCATTATATTTTTCTTTTGACCACTTAACCAAACATTGCAATTTTGATTTATTTTGTCGATAAAATATACTTATCAAGTTTTTTTCTTCATTTTATTGAAAAAGAATTTGGTTTCATTAATTCATTTAATTACGTTTAATATTGTAGAAAAATAAAAGGAACTCAGTATTTTTTGATTAGTTTAAATAATTAGTTATGATCTGATATATAAATGTTTTAAATTTAGAGTAAAGTAAAATCGTTTTATTTCATCCGCAATAGAAAAATAAAAAAAAATCAGTTAATTATATGGTTGTGTATTAAAATGTTGATAAATTCATATGAAATTAAATATGTCTTGTACACATTTGTAAATATATGTGTTATATCTAACCGTGGTGGGTAAAAGTAAGTCCGTTAGGTATTAATAAGGTACATTTATGTTTAGATTTTCTAACGCAAATGACGATGCCAACCTATACAAATCATTGGGTACGGGAGTTCGACTTTACTTTTATGCAAAAAAAAAAAAACATAAAATATATTTATTTTTGCACGGTAAAATAATACCATTAAAAAACTAGGTAGAAAAAAAAAAATATATGTCTCGCGCCATAAATTTAAATCTTCCATAATTGTTGTACATTATTCCATTTTTATGTTTTCTTTTCATACTTAAAAATATATACTTTTATCACTTTAGTTTTAGTTTGATCAAAAATGAGACCATAAAATTATTATAAACATTCACATTTGGAAAAAGGAATAAAAATAGTGGTATGATTCAGAAAGTAGTAAAAGTATGAGGAGCAAATCGGAGAATAAAAAGCCCGGTACTCTTTTAATATGGGCCGTCAATGTCGAACTCGAAACTCTCGTTCGGATTTTTGTAATCATCCATAAAAGATCCAATCAAAATTCATTCATCCATCCATCATCGTTAGTTACATACACATCATCTCCTTCCTCTCGCTCCCTTCTGATAGCGAAACCCTAAAATACTATCAGCTGCTACTTTCCGAAACCAAATTCCGACGAATTAACTTTTTTTTTGTTTTTTGGATAAAATCATCGGAGTCTCTTCTCTGGTTCGGCTGTGATGGGTGCGAGCCGGAAATTACAAGGCGAGATAGATCGGGTGCTGAAGAAGGTTCAAGAAGGTGTTGATGTTTTCGACAGCATCTGGAACAAGGTATCGTTTCCTCTCTGCCCACAATTTCGTCTATATAATTCCAATGATTGATTGTTTTGTCTTTCTTTCTCAATTGTTCATCGTTGATGTCGAGAATGCATGAAGATCTATAGGAAAATAAACACTGTGTGTAGTTTTGGATTGCGATTGTTGGTTCATGCATTGGCTCTTAATCGATGATACTTAGATTGTGCTTGAAGAGATTGGAAATGTCTGTGATAATTGTTTGATTTGCTAATTTTTTTTTTGTTGTTTATAACTTTTTGTTTGTTTTGTTTTGTGAGGTAATTTTCCAGTGGAACTCAATATCGAGCTCCGTTTGTTTTTTATGCAGTGGAATGTGAGCAGAATGTTTGTTTTCGAAGCAGAAAAGTTTTTTACTGGACAGAGGAACAACTCGGTTTCGGACTTTTTTGGTGTTTCAGGTATATGATACAGACAATGTTAACCAAAAGGAAAAGTTTGAGGCGGACTTGAAGAAGGAAATCAAGAAGCTGCAGCGGTATAGAGACCAGATCAAGACTTGGATTCAGTCCAGTGAGATCAAAGATAAGAAAGTCAGTGGTCTTCTTCATCTTCAGTGCCTTTTTTCCTTTTTAATTGACTAATGAGGCGACTTGGCTCCCTTGCATTCTCTTAAATCTACGGCTGTGTTTAGTTATCTCTCCTGTCTAAAGTTCATGGTGATGATTCATGTTATAACTAAAGCTTTCCTAACATCTTAAAGAAAAAGTCTGATATTTTATTCATTTGAGTAAGGTGCTTTCACCGGTGGTTTTGTCTGTCATACTTTTGGCTACCCTCTAGGCTCTAGCTAGTTTAATTTTGGTTCATATAAGCTGAAAGGAGTAGCTTCATCTCTAGTTTTACTTTTACATTCCTTAAATATTGTTCTGTTTTGAAGGAATCTTAATACCCATTTGTTTTTAGACTGAACTGATCAGATTGTCTGTCGTTTGACTTAGGTCAGTGCATCATATGAGCAATCCCTGGTTGACGCTCGGAAGCTTATTGAGAAAGAGATGGAGAGGTTTAAGATCTGTGAGAAAGAGACCAAGACAAAAGCTTTTTCCAAGGAAGGACTGGGTCAGCAACCTAAAACTGTAAGAATTTCTCTACTTTTCTGGTTTACCCCAAATAATAATGTGAAATTGAAGTGTTTTCCTACAATTTTTTCTTCTTAAGTTTCTAACATATCATTGAGTTTCTATTAAAACATTTCTGGTTTTGTGAAATCTGTTGGATATTCCTAGGTGGTTATATATATTAGCGAAAACTCTTTTCGGTATTCAGGCTACTGAGTTTGTCAGCTTCATGTTTTATAGGACCCAAAAGAGAAAGCAAAGTCAGAGACAAGGGATTGGTTAAACAATGTGGTGAGTTGTTTTGGCGTATTCGTGCCTAATTATTGATTCTTGACCCCTTCCTTTAACAGAAACGTCAAAGAAGACTAATGTTAATGGTGTTTTTGAAATATGGTTTATGTGCGAGGGAAACTAGGTAATTCGGTCCATATGGATCATCTTCTGTCAGTGCTATAGCTGATTCGTTTCTTATTTTCTTGCTTTTGATAGGTGAGTGAACTGGAGTCACAGATTGATAGCTTTGAAGCTGAATTGGAAGGACTGTCTGTCAAAAAAGGAAAGACAAGACCGCCCAGATTGGTAAGACCTGAAAAATATGCATTGGTATGCAAATGCTGTAATTTCTTCTCTCGTGGTGAGTCATGTCATTTGGCTTGTTTTCCCCTTTCAGACTCATCTTGAGACATCTATCACAAGGCACAAGGATCACATAATAAAGCTGGAACTGATCTTGAGGCTTCTAGACAATGATGAATTAAGTCCAGAACAAGTAAATGACGTCAAAGATTTTCTGGATGATTATGTTGAACGAAATCAGGTCTGTTTTGTTTATATCCTGGAATATTTTGCTAATATGTGTTATACTCTTGGTTACCAACATTAAAGTACGCTGATATTATCCTGGACTGTGTTTAACTTTTCTCTATGTAGGATGATTTTGACGAATTCAGTGATGTCGATGAGCTCTATAGCACGTTGCCACTAGATGAGGTGGAGGGTCTTGAAGATCTAGTTACTGCTGGCCCCCTTGTCAAGGTGACTTTTTGTTATAATATCTCAATTTGCATAATTTTCCCTCTCTGTGGAAGTTCTGTATCTGTCCGGTGAAAAGAGTGCAGGAATTCAGCAATTTATTCGGAGTTCATGACATTTTCACTGTAATTACCAGTCATTAGGTTTAGATTAAGAAATAACATGATTTACATTTGTCAGGGTACTCCTTTGAGCATGAAGAGTTCTTTGGCAGCGTCAGCATCTCAAGTTCGGGTAAGTATTCCTATATCTCTTTGCTTGAAGATTTTTTGTTTATGTTTCTTTATTTTTGCGTTGTTTCAGAGCATAAGTTTGCCAACTCATCATCAGAGTACTTCGCAAGAGAAAACAGAGGATCCATCTTTACCGGATGGCAGTGCTGAGATGGTTCCAAAAACCCCTCCCCCAAAGAATGGCGCAGGCCTTCACTCAGCACCATCAACACCTGCCGGGGGACGTCCAAGTTTGAATGTGCCTGCCAGTAATATCTCAAATGCATCAGTTACCTTATCAACTTCTATTCCTACTCAAACTTCCATAGAAAGCATGGGGAGTTTGTCTCCCGTGACTGCCAAGGAAGAAGACGCAACAACCTTGCCTTCTCGTAAACCACCCTCATCTGTTGCTGATACTCCATTGAGGGGCATTGGTAGAGTTAGTATCCCCAACCAGCCCCAACCAAGCCAGCCTCCGTCTCCAATTCCAGCTAATGGATCTCGCATTAGTGCAACTTCAGCAGCTGAAGTTGCAAAGAGAAATATAATGGGAGTTGAGAGCAATGTCCAACCTCTAACTTCTCCACTGAGCAAAATGGTATTGCCACCAACTGCAAAGGGTAATGATGGAACTGCCTCTGATAGTAACCCTGGTGATGTTGCGGCTAGTATCGGTAGAGCTTTTTCACCATCTATTGTATCTGGTTCGCAGTGGAGGCCTGGTAGTCCCTTTCAGAGTCAGAATGAAACGGTGCGTGTTTTGAATCCGATTATATTTTATGAATCCCTGGGACATTTACATTATACTTAAGATGGTAGTCTGAGCAATATGATGGCTTTACTTGTTAGTTTTTCTCGTATTCTGGAACATACTTCAGAAACAACTTCTGATTCTTGTTATATAACTCTGTGTAGAATTGGGTTTACACTCTAACATAATCCTAACCAGGCTCTTTTGAGATGTATTCCTAGGGCTATATACATCCCATGGGCTTGGTTAATGTTTGTTGTCTTGTGGTTTGGTTTTTTCTACTGTCTTCTTTTTCTCTATTAAATATGTACATGTTTTGGCTTTTAGGTTCGTGGGAGAACTGAAATAGCACCAGATCAAAGAGAGAAATTTTTACAGAGGTTACAGCAAGTACAGCAAGGCCATGGTAACCTCTTAGGCATGCCTTCTCTATCTGGAGGAAATGAGAAGCAGTTTTCTTCACAACAGCAAAATCCTCTATTACAGCAGGTAGCATATTTTATAAAATAATCACATGCTTAATAGTACTCAAAACATTCCATCATAACAAGAGACTATCTTTTCTAATCTGTTTCTCAGAGCTCTGCCATTTCTCCTCATGGAAGCTTGGGAATCGGAGTTCAGGCACCAGGTTTTAATGTCATGAGTTCTGCCTCCTTACAGCAGCAGTCAAATGCCATGAGTCAACAATTGGGTCAGCAGCCTTCTGTTGCAGGTACAATCCACTGTTTAGGTTATCACTGTGGTTTATGATATGATTGTTAATGGACACTATTTCTGGGTTTAGTAACTAGCATCTATGGCCAAATGTAATCTAAGATTTATATCATTTGATGAAAACTTAACTTTGTTAAGGAGTTCTACATCTTGGCAGTTACTTCAATACTAGAGTTGTTGGAGCCTCAGTTTTAGGATTCGAGTTTTGAAACTACAGATGAAAAATATTAGCAAAATAAGGGACCTGTTCTTGATGTTTGTGCAGATTTAGACCATGTCAGAAATGATGATCAACCGCAGCAAAACTTACCTGATGATTCAGCTTCCATAACAGCTTCAAAAACTATTCAAAATGAGGATGATTCTAAAGTTCTATTTGATACTCCGGTAAGCAGGAATAGTCCTCTGCTCACTTTTATTAGAGTCTTTAGTGACTCTTTGATATATGTTTCCATCAGATAGGTTTATTAGAGTCGTTAGCAACTCTTTGATATATGTTTCCATCAGATAGGTTTTTAATGAAAAATTTTAAGTAAAAAAAATTATTCTGTCTTTGTTGGTGTTGGTGAGTGTTTTGATTTGTCATTCCTTCGCTTAAAATTCACATATGCAATTCAATAGTGAATGTGGTTTATGGATACACATAATAATAGCTGTATTCTATAAACCAAACAACTAACTAAGGGTGGCCTCTGATCCTACATGTGTGTTTTCTGTTTTATATCTTCAGTCCGGAATGCCCAGCTACATGTTGGATCCAGTACAGGTATCTAGCGGTCCTGATTTCTCTCCTGGACAACCCATACAACCAGGTCAATCTTCAAGTAGCCTTGGGGTCATTGGCCGGAGAAGTAACTCTGAATTAGGAGCCATTGGTGACCATTCAGCTGTAGGGCCAATGCATGATCAAATGCACAATCTCCAGATGCTTGAAGCTGCTTTCTACAAACGTCCTCAACCCTCAGATTCAGAACGTCCTAGACCCTATTCTCCGGTACACCATTGTTCTGAATTCTCCTTAAGTAATATCCGCTTAAATTTCATATTCCCTATGATTTTGAACAGAGGAACCCAGCAATCACACCTCAAACATTTCCCCAAACACAAGCACCAATCATAAACAATCCTTTGCTCTGGGAACGTTTAGGCAGCGACGCTTATGGGACGGATACTTTGTTCTTTGCGTTCTATTATCAGCAGGTACCAAAATCTCAATGCTCTGTTCCATCTTTTATTTATCTTCTTTTTCCCGGTTCCCGTCAACCTTACCGGCTTTTTTGCCGTGTGTTTGTGTAGAACTCATACCAGCAATATCTAGCGGCAAAAGAGCTGAAGAAACAGTCATGGAGATACCACAGAAAGTTCAACACTTGGTTTCAGAGACATAAAGAGCCAAAGATTGCAACCGATGAATATGAACAAGGAGCCTATGTTTACTTTGATTTCCAAACCCCCAAAGACGAGAATCAAGAAGGAGGATGGTATGATTTCATTCATGTTATCGGATTATAGATTGTTGTTCTTCTTTGGAGATGGTAATCGTAATGCTTTTTCTTTAATGTCTGTGTAGGTGTCAGAGGATCAAAAACGAGTTCACATTTGAATACAGTTATCTTGAAGATGAACTCGTCGTATAGAATAGAGAGAGATATACATGTTTGTATATACTCTTGAGCAAGTGTTATTTCCTGCGTCTATTTTGTACTCTTCTTTTCAATAAACTAATTACTTTTAGTTTCAAAGTTGGCATTCTCCGATGATGACTCTTAACACACAATAAAAACCAGAGTATCATCATGAAATCTTTAATGCTTAAATTGTTCCAAAAGGCGATTATTTCAACAAAAGGAAAAGAAAAGAAAAAAATAATCGGGGTTATGCATTAGAGATTTTAACATTTTTCAAGTTGTATACAGTAAAACAAGTGGAGCTTATAATATTTTATTAATTTATAGTGAATAATTTATATTTTATATTAATAAATACTTCTCCCGTTTCAAAATATAAGACGTTTTAGCTAAAAGCACGCCGATTAAGAATATCTACTTTTTAAAAGTTCAGTCGATCATAAAAGAGACTGCATAATAAAAATAATCATAAAACTACTTATGAGTGGGATGACTTATATTGATGGTAAGTTAGATCTCTTAAAATAATTAGTTTCAGTTTTGTAGCATTTATATATATGTTGAAAAAGCTGAATTAACCTTTTATTTTTCTTGTGTGTGTTTTTTTGTTAAGTCTTTTAAAAATTATGCGACATATGAAGGAAGCTACACAAAAACCTCTCATGTTGTTCAGTGGTTGTGGGAGGTGATGTTATCTTTAGACACAGTTTGTGACTCGATTTTTAGGTTCATAATAGCAACCCCACGGGTAAGATAAGTGGTGAAGTTATTATGATAATGGAAAAAAAGAATAGATCTTTCTTTTGCTGGAAGTATAATTTATATCGGATATGTTTTTGATCTCAGATCCTGTCAGAAGGCTTTGATTTTGGTTTTATGGCAATATAATTCAACTCTTTATACTTACTTTGATTTCACTGTGTGAAAAATATTATGGTTCTAAATTTGTACTTTCAATGGAATAAGGTTCAACGTGAAAATAATATTATTGTTATATCTTTGATTATGATTTCATCGTATGAAAATATTTTTTGCATTTTTTCATCTTATTAAATTGAATAAGATGTAAAATGTAGAAAATAAAAATATCATGATACATATAGATGTAAAAACGTATTAGAATTAAGAACTACTTTCTGTGAAGTGACTATAAGCCATTATGTTCTTTAGTTTCTTCTTCAATGCATCATCTTAAAAACACAAAGGTGTTGAAAGAAAACACAAAGAGAGATGTAAGAAAAAAACAAAAAACAAAATGAGACTTACTTGCATGAAACTTGAATTTTCGAACAGTCAATTTGCTAGTGCGAGTTAGTAACCCATCCATTAGCGTATTTGATGCAACGGTCAAGTACAATATCTTTGACAATCATCGTATATATGAAAGTTGGCTAAGCGTCTCCATATGATTGACACATCATCACTTTAGCATTTGCCATGTGTCCACTAAATAGTTGATGTAAGTTCTATATCTTTTATTTTATAGGTTAATGGTACATTTATTATTTAATTGTATATATTATTTAATTTTATATATTTATTTATACTAGTACTGACATAATTTTATTATTATATATGTTTTTCTTCAATGAAATTATTTTATTGATTTTCTCATATTCATGAGTTTTTTTCCGCTAATTTTTTAATCTAAACTCAAAGTATGAATAGATAATAGTGGATTAGTTAATGGTTTAAGTAAATTATTCTCTTAAATTTTTATTTATTTAATATATCACTAAGGGTGAGAAGTACTTAAGGAGCTCCATCATCAAGTTTTTGAGGTTTATATAATTCCAATATTACTATCTAAAAAATTCGTTGAGAATGAAGATTGTTTAAGAATTGTGTGTGAAATGCATTATTGAAAATGTTGGTAGAAAAAGTATTTTAATACTAAGAGTAGTTGCTCATTGCATGAGTGAATAATTAGATAATTAACAATTATATTTATCAAAACATAACACTAAACAAAAAATCCGGAAAGAACCCATGGTGTAGCACAAATGATCACCTAAATAAGTTAAAATCTGGCTAATATATAACATTAAGCTCAGATTTGAAATTATTTCCAAATTATTACGCTAAACGAATTGGTGGAGTCATTTTTATTGTGCAGTTAATTATATCAAAACTTCTCGTCCTCCCTACCGATATCTGAGATCATAAGTCATTTCTTCAACTTTATGAATATAGTTTTTACGAGGTTTGATGTGCATTTTGTTTAAGTTGAAGTGTTCAGTAAGTTTCTCAAATGTCTAGTACAGAAATGTGCATGTACCGAAGATTATGCAGCGTCGGTTTAATAAAATTGGGAAAAAAATGTAAAATAGAATGAGTTATGACTTGTGTGTGTGCGCTATTATGGGGCTTGTCTAGCGGATCGGGGAAATTTGGTTATTACAAGCATGTGGAGTTTGTCGTTTTCGGGATTTGACCTGAAGAACGGAGTCGTTTTCGGTGCCAATCAGGCAATCCCTTAGACCCCAAGCAATTCTCTTTGCGTTTTGCTTAATGTAGTAAAGACCGACCAAAGAAAAATATATACATAGATTAAGAACCTCATAGATACATGTACATGACCTCCATAGATCCACATTTATTACATATTTCGATACTAATTGATATATCACTTCTTCTCTGTTTCTTACTTGTTACTTCAGAAACAAGAAAAAAAATTACTCGAATTATTGTTTTTTTCTCCATTCTTTTTTCATAACTTTCTCTTCGATTCTTCTCACAGCGTAAACCAACAATACAACAACCAGTTTTTTCTCGCGCAAAGCAAAATTAAAACATTACCGGTTGATCATCAAAATCCCAAAACTTAACAATAGGCGGCCAAAAACAGAGTACATCCAAAATGAGTAACCGACGGAAACAGAGCACCACTGTCGGCATCTTCCTATGCATCACCATCTCCACCTTATCTTTATTATCCGGCGACGTCTCCGCCTTGGGAGTAAACTGGGGAACGATGGCAACTCACCAGCTCCCTCCAAAGACGGTGGTACAGATGTTAAAAGACAACAACGTTAGAAAAGTGAAGCTTTTCGATGCGGACACAAACACCATGGTAGCTCTTGCCGGCTCCGGTATCGAAGTTATGGTTGCAATCCCTAACGATCAGCTCAAAGCCATGGGAAGCTATAACAGAGCTAAAGATTGGGTTCGAAGAAACATCACTCGTTTCAACGATGACGTTAAAATCAAGTAAACAAAATTTGATCTTTCACCCAGAAAAATTGAAGAATTTTGGATACTAAATTAGTTTCTTTGCAGATACGTCGCCGTTGGAAATGAGCCGTTTTTGACAGCTTATAATGGATCATTCCTTAACCTAACTTATCCAGCACTCTTCAACATCCAGAAAGCATTAAACGAAGCCGGAGTTGGAGATTTCATCAAAGCCACCGTACCTTTAAACGCTGACGTCTATAATTCTCCGCTGGAAAATCCAGTTCCTTCCGCCGGAAGTTTCCGACAAGACATCTTTGAAGAGATGAAACTCATAGTCAACTTCTTGGCTCATAACAAAGCTCCCTTCACTGTCAACATTTACCCTTTCCTAAGTCTTTACCTCAGCAGCGACTTCCCTTTCGACTACGCCTTCTTTAATGGCCAGAACACCGTTAGTGATAATGGTGTTATCTACACAAACGTCTTTGATGCCAATTTCGATACCCTATTGGCTTCGCTTAAAGCATTGGGTCATGGAGACATGTCAGTTATAGTTGGAGAAGTTGGTTGGCCAACGGATGGTGACAAGAACGCTAATATCCCAAACGCAGAACGCTTCTACACAGGTCTGCTTCCGAAGCTAGCAGCCAACAGAGGAACACCTATGCGTCCAGGTTACATTGAAGTTTATCTCTTCGGATTCATTGATGAAGATGCAAAGAGTATAGCTCCTGGTAACTTTGAACGTCACTGGGGGATATTCAAATACGATGGCCAGCCAAAATTTCCAGCGGATTTGTCAGGGGCAGGTCAGAAGAAGATCTTAACCGGAGCTCAAAATGTTCAGTACTTGCAAAACCAGTGGTGTATGTTAAACCCGGATGGCCTCACTTTCAGTAACAACACTAACCAGCTCGGGGATAACGTAAACTACGCGTGTACCTTCTCTGACTGCACAGCTTTGGGGTATGGTTCCTCTTGTGGTAATCTCGATGAGGTCGGGAATGCGTCGTATGCATTCAACATGTATTTTCAGGTGCAGAATCAGAAGGCAGAGGCTTGTGACTTTGAGGGCCTTGCGATTATCACTACCCGGAATATTTCTCGAGAACAGTGTAATTTTCCTATTCAAATCGGAGATCCAACATCGGGACATAGTGATCATAACCATAGGTTCATCGGCTTGGCTCTGGTGAGTATGTTGCTACTCTTTATGGCACTATGAGCTTTTCCAGTTTTGCTTCTTGGTTGGTTTTATGCATTGTAGTATATTGCTGGTTCTTGAGTCACCACCAAATTAGAAGAAATTGAATTCGATCTAGCAATTTGAATCCTGCAGTTTCAAACTTCTTTATGGATAATTAGAACACAACTTCAATACTTTCAACTTTTCAGGTAAAGAAACATATTTTCTCTCTGATAAACGAATCCAATATCTGAAAAAACCATATTCATTTGAGGAATGCACCATTAGCAACAATAACTTGTCCATTGATCCACTCACCACCATCACTAGCTAGGAAACCAACAACAGAAGCAATATCTTTAGTCTCACCAAGCCTACCAAAAGGACTCCTCTCAATGATATTCCTCACCGTCTCCTCGCTCTTCCCGTCAAAAAACATCTCAGTCGCGACAGGCCCCGGAGAAACACAGTTTGCAGTGATTCCTGAACCTTTAAGTTCCTTAGCAAGAATCTTCACCATTGCTTCAACAGCAGCCTTTGATGCTGTATAAGCTCCTTGCCCCGGGATTAACGCCTCGGTTAAAGACGAGGTTAGCATTAGAATCCGACCACCGCCTCCACGTTTTAGCCTTTTAGCAGCTTCTTTACAGCACAAGAATGATCCTCTTGTGTTCACCCTAAACAACAACAAACAACACTTCAAGAAAAACTCAATTTGTTGTGATCACTTAATAATAAAATATTATTCCAACGAAATGTAGCGACGAAATCAGTGTAAGTAATGTGATCTTAAGCAAGATTATTGATAATCATAATCTTAAATCTTAATCACTACAAGGAAATTAACTCTACAAGTTTCTTAATTACTTGAAGATGCGATCGAAATCTGCAATGGGAGTGTTAGCGATGGTAGGGTAATTGGGATTGAGGATTCCAGCTGAGTTAACCAGGATGTGAACCGGCGAGTTAAAAGCTTTCTCCGCCGCGTCGAAGAGAGACTTGACCTGGCTTGGCTCTGAGATATCGGCGTGGAATACGAAGGCTATCGGTTCCTGACCGGCGCCGGCAGATGAGTTGATTTCCGCGGCGACCTGATCAGCTTCAGTGGATCTGGTGGTGTAGTTGATAACTATCTTAGCACCGAGCTCGGCGAGGTGTATGGCTATGGCGCGGCCGATTCCGCGAGATGAGCCGGTGACTATCGCGACTCGGCCGGCGAGAGACGAAACTGACGAAGCTGCTGCAGCCATGAATAATCAAATTTGGTCAAACGAAAAATTGCCTCAGCATCTTCTTCGTTGACTGTGTGGCTGTACTCTGTTTGACTATGGAACTGAACAAGACGCCGTGTTCGTTGCTAAACGATGCCGTTTTCGGGTCTAAGATTTTGGACTTCTCAAAATTCTAGTATACTTTGTACTTATTGAAGGTTAAAATCTCTCCATCTTTCATTTTTACAGAACTTGGAACTCTGTAAGTAGAGCCAGAATCTAACTAGTTCTTATTGATCATATTTGTCTAAAACCCAACCAGAAACTTGTCACCACACCTATTCAATTGCAATTTCAATGTTGGAAGGAACCAAATCACAGGCAGAAGAAGAGAAAAGTCGGGTGTGTATACTTACTGAACTTTTCTAAGAGGGATAAAAAGAAACTAAAAAAAGTTATAGAAGAAGAGAGAGAGGGTTTGGCTAAGAGGTGTTTGTTATAACAGCTTAGTCTTCATCCATGCCTGCACCAGCGGCTGCAGCTGCATCTCTCCTCGGCCCACCTGCTGGTTTAGCCATTATAATCTGCCATTTATAAGCACCATAGTTAGCCACACTTTGCATATATTCATTGTAACCAAGTGGAAAATTTATTTACGGTGGAAAAAGTTTCATGCAGCCACAAAACTGTGAAGGGTTCTTAGCGTTACCATTGATAATTAGTTTGGTTTTGTGCACTAAAATGGAAGATTCTCTGTTTTTTTTTAATATTAAATGCGTATAGAAGGGACATGTATTTTACCTGGTCTACGCGTAGCACGGTGCATGCAGCATCTGCAGCATACTTAAGAGCGAATAACCTGCACACAGACTTGGCTTCTTAGTTAAAAGGAAATGTACTACAACAGAGAGATTTGATGGCAGAGTGACAAAGGAACTTACTTGGTGGAATAAAGATCCCATACTTTTGTATCTGAGACGTCTTTACAAACACCTTCCTCTAAGTCGATGCCGAGTTTTGCGTTTCCAGATCCATGTCCAGTGTACAGAGAAGCTGTGATCTCCATTGCATTGAGGCCGGCATTATCTGCAAGGGTTTTAGGCACAAATTCAAAGCTCTCTGCGAATTTGGAGATAGCGTATTTGTCCAACCTGACAATCAAATAACAAGTTTGAAGTGAAATGACTGTAAAGTATAAGCCAAATTTAGCCAAACCATGTCAAACAAGAAAACATATTGGTGAAACTACTTGTTACAAAGTGTTTGAGAATGTGAGTTATGAACCATATTTTTTATCATTAGTTTTTTCAAGCAAATGAAGTAAATAAGGTAAAATACCCAGTTTCTGCATTGGCATATTTCTTCAATCTTTGAGCCAATTCTATTTCAGTAGCTGCAGCTCCAGGAACAATACGGCTATCTCTGCACATGGCCTGAGAAGACGAAGATGGTTAGTCATAGTAAGAAATCAAACATTAAACAAAATGACAGAACAAATGTATTTCCAGAATATAATACCTTGTATGTATTAACTCCATCATCCACAGCTCTTTCGAGGTCATCCAATATGCTATCTGTGCTTCCGCGCAATACTACTGTAGAAATGGAGTTACCACCCTCCTCATTTCTTGCAATGGTGACCTAAGAAATCATAGTCACAGAAAGAGTTGACAACGATCAATAAAAACCACAATTAAACCAAAAGATAAAATTTGATTTTCAAGGGAGAACTTACTCTCACACCACCAATTTCCTCTACTGATATAGAATCAACATAGCCAAGGTCATCAGGACTTGGTCGGTTAAGCTTCAACTGTTAGACAGGTAAAAAGTGATACAAACTATGAGACAAGTACACACAAACTCAGAAACTTATCTAGCCTACGAATGAAAAAGACATACCTGAGCGACTGCCCCGGTTGTACGACAGAAACGCCGCAATTCAAACTTTGAGCTGATTTTTAAGACCATTAACCTGCCAAGAAGATGGTATTGGAAGTGAGTATGATACGTGTATATCATAGAACCTCTGATGGAATAAGGTTTAACTAGGAATTGGGATGGAGAATGTGAGAGATAGAACACAAATTAGATTAGACTACAAAAAAAAGGGGTCTCTGCATACTTGTAGCGCTCACAAAAATGCAATGCCATTTCACCAACTGATCCTCCGCTAACAATTACTTTAGCTCCTGATTCAGCAACGGCTTTTATCAATTCCTCAACCTTAGCTTCTTCTGTTTTCGCATAGTTCTCCAGCTACAATACCAAACAAGAGATATAAAGTTGACGTTCAGAGACAAGCTAATTTTTGCATAGTTCTCTAGCTACAAGACCAAACAAGAGAGAGAGATTTAAAGACCAGAGACAAGCTAAAATCATAGTAATGGTGATATTAAAAATGACTGAATTTCAATATAAGAAATACAAGAAACCAAGATTAAACCTGTCTCAGATACACAATAGTCAAAACAACATCTATGATAATAATTAATCAACAAAGATACTAAGTTTCAAAGAGGAGGTTTAAAAGACCAAACCCATCTCATACGCATCAAACACTTAATACTTAATACCAAGGTTAAACCTGTCTCAGATACACAATAGTAAAAACAACATCTATGATAATAATTAATCAACAAAGATACTAAGTTTCAAAGAGGAGATTTAAAAGACCAAACACATCTGACATCTCATACGCATCAAACACTTAATACCATCAGCCAGTTTGATCAATTTTGAAAGCATAGAGTAAGAAACAATAGAGATGCCCAAATATTCAGTACTCTAGCAAAGAAAACTAACCTGCTCAGCACTGTGAATCAGGACAGTTCCTTTCGTCTCAGTTGCAGTAGTATCAACACCATCAGCAAACACAGCAACCTGCACAACAAAATGTTACTTTAAGATACTAAAACCACCAAAAAACGTAGCCACAAAGCTAATGGGTGAAGGTCAAAAGGCTAATAATATCATGCACAGAAGAAAAGTAGTTCTCACCTTCGCCTTCTCCATTCGCTTAATGCTCCCAATAGCATCACTTTTTAAGACCATGCCACGGACTATACACGAGTTGTGCAAACCTCCTCCCAAAAGTTTCGCAATACGGACATTATCCAGATTAAAATTTGTTGGATTTTTGGGACAGACTTGAATGCACGCCTAAAAGTAAATAAACCCATCAACCAGAAACTAAATTTGCAAGAAATTAGATAAACTAACAATATGGACAATGAGGAAACCAAAACAAAGTGATAACAAATATACTTACATCAGCTACTAAAGAACATATAATCTCCTCTTGACCAAATTGCTTGCTAGCAACAGCTGCTCTCATCCGAGACACAACTTCCTCTTTATTACGTACATCCATAGACTCAGAACCACTCTCAACAAGCTCCTCCAAATATTCAACAGCCTACACAATAACCATATAGCATTAACTAAAGCACACTGAAAGATTATTACACGGTCAACGTTTCACCAACCTTATTGCTTGCTTTAGTATATCCACTAATGATCTCACTCGGATGCAATCCCATCCTAATAAGCTCCTCAGCGTTTTGAAGAAGCTCTCCAGCAAAAGAAATGGTCAGATTGGCTCCATCTCCAATCTCCGCTTGCTGGGCCTTAGCAGCTAACACCAGAATTTTGGCTGCTGGGTGCTGAATCTCAAGTTCATTCACAATAGTGGCAGCATCATTTGTGACAAATAGCTTATCCAAATGATTGATTACCATTTTGTTCATTCCTAACCAAAATATTGAGATTTCAGAGAATTAATCATAAACAGATTCTACCATTACAAAAACGATAGATTTTGAATCCGGCGAGGAGAGACAAACCATTGGGGCCAAGAGAAGTGCGGGTAATGGTAGAAAGCTCCTTGCAAGCTTCGATGTTTTTAATGACGGCCTCATCGAGACCGGAGAGATGTCTGTAACCTTCTTTAAGCATCGACTGAATTCCGTGAGACTGCGTCGAGATTCCCATTGTCTCCGACGAAGATCTACGCCTTGATCTGAAACAAAGAACGAAAACCCTAACCCCAAGCAAGCTCTCTGTGTTTTCTTTCACTCGCTGTTTTGAGTTTTGAGAGAGAAGGCTCTTAAATTTCCCTTTAAAACATTTCGCTTGTTCAGGGACTCTCTAAACGGCGCCGTTTAACCGTTCAAGCATCGTTTGGTTTGGTTTGGTTTGGTTTGGTTTGCTTTGTTGGGGTAAATTTATTTGTTGCTGAATCTTAAGCTGATCCTGATATAAGCTTGAAGGAAAGAACACATCAAGAGTATATGATATTTGTTTTACGAAGAACTACATGCATTGTTTACAACAGTGTTATTTGAATCAAGCTGAAACATCCTCCTCTTCAACAGAGGAGAAAAAAGACAGTGAATAGTGTTTTCTAGAGACCTGCACATTAGGCCAACAACTCAACACGAATTATTTCAATCAGAACCTTTGACACTAAAAACCCGGTTTCAAGTAAGGCTAACTTCCCGCATAACCTTTGCTACATCCTCTGGGAAAACTGGGTTTATGTAACAACCTGTGCCAATCTCAAACCCGCCTACCCCAGAGAGCTGCGGTACAATCTGTAAGAACCAGTGCGTATAAGGTAGTTGTGATTCTGTGACCTTGAGGGGAGAAGTGTGGATCATATAATTATAAGGGGGATCGTTAAGTTGCTTGGCTATCTTTTGAAGCATGAGTTTCAGAAGTCCTCCAAGGTCAACAGCCTGTTAATCATCAAAATTAAGTGTTTACTAACGTGATAATCCAGTAACTTGCATTGTATCTAACCAAACCATAAATGGAACTTAGTAGCAGTAGAAAGGTTAACCTTGACGTCATCGAGATGATGGAAATGGGAAGAATGATCATTTGGAATAATCCAAATCTCAAAGGGATATGTAGCAGCGAAAGGAGCAACGGAAACAAAATGGGACGACTCATCAATCACAAAATGTTTTGACTTAGCTTCACAAAGACAACATTTCCCAGTCTCGTCGAAATAATCTTTAGTACCATCAAGGCGTGAAGAAACTGTTGGAGGAACAACTGGTAGAGCCATTATCTGACTGTGGGAGTGACTCATTGATGCTCCAGCCGACGCACCCTGGTTCTTGAAAACCTTCAAAAATACGAAAACAAACGTACACAAAGAATGTAACTATGCAAGCAACCCAAGTATCCACTCATTACACAAGCATTGATGTCTAAACAATGGATACATTCACACTAATAGAGCTTCTTCATTGAGAAATTTTAATTACTGAGTCAAATATAGCTTCTTTTTTTGGTATAATTGAGTTACAATTTAGGATCTATGGAGAACACTTACCTGAATGTAATTGATGGAATCATGTTGCCCAATCTGATCGATCCTCTTCTTATACGCGATCAAGACATCGCCGATACCAACCGGATCGATATCGGAGAGCTGAATCGAATGAACAGGGGATTCGATCACCACGTCGTGAAATCCGAATCCGACTGTAGTCCGACCCGTACCCGTCTCACCTTGCTTCGCTTGGGTCTCGAGATTCCTACTTAGAGCCGGGTAGAGATTCTCGATGACCCGGAGTTTCCAATTCGGGTCATGATCTGGCACACGAAATATCTCCGGAGCACACTCTTGCTCACGACCGATGCAAAAGGCGCACGAGGAAGGTTTAGGATTAGGGTTCTGGGGAGATTTGGATTTGAAATCAGTCGGTCTCTTGGCTCGGGCGGGAGAGAATATGACCCAGCGGTTAGTTACCGGATCCTTCCTGAGCTCAGGAGATTGATTCTCGACCGAGTCGCCGTCGCTGCCGCCGCCATCAGGGGCATGACTCTGTGACGTCATCTTTCTCTTCTTTTGTGATCTGTAGCTTCGACACTTGTGCAATTTCGTTACCGTTGGCGTTGGACAGATATTTAGGAATAGGCAATTCCGGTTTAACGTAATCGAAAAACGAATGGTTTTAATGAATTCGAACCGATTGCTTTCGAAGAATTCCAAATCGGATTTATCGGTGTAATCCAAATCGAACCGAGTTCATATATTCGGTTAACAAATGAAATGAATATTTCTTAGAGGGTGTTTAGCAGAAAAAAAATTATATAGCATCACTGCATCATACAAATGATATCTCACAAGCTTCCATAATTATCAGATTTTTAATTACTATCGAATTGGTCAAAAACTCAAAACAAAAAATCTGATCTGCAACACAAAATGATTCAAAGAAATAGGATAAAATGTAGCAAAATAATTAGTAACAGTCAAATATATTAATAAACTATAATTTTGGTTATTTTCAATAAAGTCAATATTTTAATGAATTATGAATTATGATTGGTAACCATCAAAACTTATAGTTTTTATTGTTGCTCATTTTTGATCAAACAAAAAATAAATAAATTATGCCTAAAAATCAAGATTTACAATAATTGTCAGATTTTTTTTTTATCAATATTAAGTATTTATACCATTTTCGCAAGTTTTTGACAATAGCTAAAGAGGATATTAAAAAAAAAAACGAAAGCTACATAAAAAAACCACAAAACTACAACACAAAACAAGCTGGAAAACAAGAAAAAAGCACAAGCGAAAACCCTACAATTAGAGACGCGAGAAGAAATACTGATTCAGAACGACATTTGCGTCAAATTTACATATATTCGATTAACATGCTTTTTAATGAAATTTCTTAGGGGTCTTTGAGAAAAAATAAAATTAGTTATCATATCATATAAAAAATTTCTCATAAGTTTCCAAAAATTTCAGGTTTTTTTTAATTACTATCGCATTAGTCGAAACAAAACATCAACCAGTGCCAGACCATATAAATATGAGGCCCAATACAAAACAATTTTTTTTTGTGGATTTTATCCATAAAAATTAAAATTTGAGACCAACTCTTAAAACTTCAGAAAAATGAAGCTTATTTTTGCAATAATAAATAGATCAAATTTAAAATTTGAGACAAAATCTAAAACTTACCTCTTTTTGCAATAACAAAAACTTTTGAGGCATAATTTTGTTACTAAAAATCTTCAAAATTTTGGAGGCCCAATACCCATATATCTTAGGAATGTGTGGTGGACCGGGCCTGTCTGTAACACAAAACAATTTTAAAAAATAGCGATAAGATGTATCAAAATAGTTAGTAACGGTCAAATATATTAATAAATGTTATTTTATTGGTATTATCTTAAATACGGTCAATATTTATGTTTTTATAATTGGTAATTATCAAAACTTATAATTTTATTGTTGCGATGAGATCGATTATAAATCAAGCCAAAAAACATTAATCCAAAATTTTAATAACTTTTAAACAAACCCAAAATAAATAAATTATGTCTAAATAATCAAGATTTTATATTTTTTTAATATTTTTGAATCGACAAAATCTGATCTATAACCAATCTTTACTATGCGGGATAACACGACTTGGGAAAGTATAATTTCCATGAAAAAAATAGGTCAAATAGACTTTAACACTTAACTAAAAACACATTTCATCGAGATTTGATACTAATCGACAGTTTTAATAACTTCTGTACAAGACGTTTGAGGATGTGGTTATTACATTATAATCCCTCCTTACACGTGCGCTTTACTGGATACAAGTACAACATACCAGTCCCATTTTAGACGTACGAATATACTGTATATTAAACGTATTAAATTAGTATATTAATAAATTTAAAATCATGCGAGCAAAACGAAGCAAGCAGCGATATTAATAAGACCATTACCATTCGAGAAGTACACAAGCTTTTAGTATTTTCAAAAAATTAAAGCAATGAAATAAAATAAAAAATCTACCAAATATTTGCCAGAAATTCTTCTAAAGTTGATCAATCCATCCAAGAAAAAAAAAAGAATTGGACCCAAAAAAAAAAAAAAAATTCTTGCCCAAATCTGCACCTCCTCTCATCTTCTTCATCTCCTTGAATCTTCATAATCTAAAACGACCTGAAGCTTTCTCTCTATCTATCTCCATCTCTAGGTGTGCTTCACAGCTAGAAAGTTCTCACATTTAAATCGCCGTAGTTGGAGAAAGCCGTCGGTTTCTCGTTTTGAAATTTCCAAGGAGATCTGAAAGTTTCAATTTTTCGGATCGATTTCATCGTTATCATAGTCCGATCATCGTTTCTTTTTAAGGGTTAATCCTAAATCGTTCATCTGGTAAAATGTTTTTGACATCTCGTTTTTTGATTCTGTGGTGGTTGTTATGTTTTGATGTTTCATATCTTTTTCTAATGATTATCTGGAAAGATCTTGTTTTTTTGATGATGATCGAACATATTTTTTTTTGTCTCAAACTGTCGCTTGGTTACACTGATTCTGTTGAATCTGTATTGTTGGTTTTTAATTGATATATTTTGAGTAGTGAATCGTTTTTCTTCATAGATTCTTTTGATGTATTGGTCATCATCATCATCGAAGAGCCTTCAATGGCGTTTCCTCGACAGTAACGATGATTTTGATATTCTTGAACCAAAGTTGGTGTGAATTTGGTTGCAGATGCTTGTGATTTTGATTGTTTATCTGTTTGATTGGAAAGTGCTTCTGTATAAGGATGACTATTAAGTGATTTTGATGGAAAGACAATGCTCTAAGTGCAAGCCGATGTTTCTTGTATTCTGTTTGATTGTATTTTTACTTGCTATCACAATGGATTGGTGTCTTCTCTTTTGGATTGTGAAGGAAATGCCAATGAAATTGGTCCCGTTCACCTTTTTATCAACTAACTAAATACTTACTCTGTGCTACCTCTCTTTATACTGCAGGTTAGTTAAAGAGGTTTACCGAAAGCAAAATACTTTCTTACTCTTTGTATGGAGTAAGAATGCCAGAGTTAAGAAGTGGAGCACGTAGATTGAGACAACCTAGCCCTCAGGTAACTGGTCAGGCGGATAATATTGAACTTCCTCCTCAGCCTGTAACAAGGAGAAGAGGTGGTGGTGGTAGAGGAAGGGGAAACGCTGCTGCCAAAGGTGCTGCACCTCCAAGACCCACTGGTGGTGCCGGTAGGGGTCGAGGCATCAGGTTAATAGATTTAGAGGCAGAACCTTGTGAGGTTCGTCCAGCAGTAGGTGAACCCGCTTTTAATCAAGTTGAAGGGGTAGCTGAGAAGGATATTGCTATGGAAGGTGGTAGCGCAGAGAAGATAGTTGGTGTGGAAGAAGATTCTAGCACAGCTCCAGTCCCTGAAAGGGTAAAATTTATGTTAATGACATTCAATAACCAGGTCTTTTCATTTGAGAGAGATGTTGATTTTGATTTCATTTTACGTGTATAGGTACAAGTTGGAAATTCTCCTGTATATAAGACTGAGAGGAAACTCGGTAAAGGAGGCTTTGGTCAAGTGTTTGTTGGTAGAAGGGTGAGTGGTGGCAGCGATAGGATTGGGGCCGATGCAATTGAGGTATGTTGTACAGAAGCATACTAAAGATTTATGAGGGATACAGACTAAAGATGTCTAATCGTTAAAAAGTTTATTGTTTTTCTTTTCAGGTGGCCCTGAAATTTGAACATCGAAATAGCAAAGGCTGCAATTTTGGTCCACCTTATGAGTGGCAAGTGTACAAGTAAGACTTACTTGCATTCTATCTGAATTTTTCTGCCAAGTTTCTCTGATCAACTTATTTGTCATCTCACTAGTTTCCTTTTCCTCTTGTTGTAAAGTACTCTCAATGGTTGCTATGGAGTTCCTGCTGTACATCATAAGGGTCGTCAAGGAGATTTTTACATTCTTGTATGTAATTTACAATGAGTGTTGTTAAATAAACTTCGATATTGATTGTGTTATCATGTATTGAGTAACGTTATAATATATATTTCAGGTCATGGACATGCTTGGTCCAAGTCTCTGGGATGTTTGGAATTCTTCGGGGCAATCGTAAGCACTCTTCTCCTTTCACCACACTTCCTTCTGTTTGCAAGATTCTTCATTTAATTCATGTTCGTGTCATGTGGCAGGATGTCTCCAAACATGGTAGCCTGCATTGCAGTTGAGTCCATATCTATTCTTGAGAAACTTCATATGAAAGGGTTAGTTAATATATTTTCTTTGTAACTTCTTTGCAACAAATCGTTTCATTCATTTCGCTGAAACTAATTACAATGTATTGTCTTTCATTGATCTGATTGTCATGCTATGTTCCATCCCCATATCAAACTAGGTTTGTCCACGGAGATGTGAAGCCGGAAAACTTTTTACTCGGTCAACCGGGAACAGCAGATGAGAAAAAACTCTACCTTATCGATCTTGGTCTGGGTGAGTATATTCTTATGAAGAAATTTAAACAATATGTACTGGTTTTTTCTCTTATGATGCTACATCGTTTATGGGATATGTAAATTGGTACTCCTATTTAATGTTGGCATTACTGTTCACATAAATTTCTTTTGTTTCAGCATCAAAATGGAAAGAGTCAGGCCTGCATGTGGAATATGATCAAAGACCTGATGTGTTCAGGTATATTTGTTAGTTTATGTGTTTTTGCTTTATAATATTTATATGTGTTTACATGTTTATTATGTTTCAAATGCAGGGGAACGATAAGGTATGCAAGTGTTCATGCGCATCTAGGTCGAACTGGAAGTAGAAGAGATGATCTGGAGTCGTTGGCTTATACTTTAGTTTTTCTCTTGAAGGGAAGATTGCCATGGCAAGGATATCAGGTCTGTTTTTTATTTCTCTTGACAACCTTACAATTATATCTGATTCATATTCTACATTAATTGCAGTCAATTTTATGTATATATTGTTGACTTTTTTTGCAGGGTGACAACAAGAGCTTTCTTGTTTGCAAGAAAAAGATGTCAACTTCTCCTGAATTGATGTGCTGTTTTTGTCCACCCCCATTTAAGCTATTCCTCGAGGCAGTTACTAATATGAAGTTTGACGAAGATCCCAACTATGCAAAGCTTATTTCTATTTTTGATTCTCTTATTGAACCGTGTGCACTATCTAGACCAATTAGAATTGATGGGGCTCTTAAGGTTGGTGGCTATTGTCTCGTTCTTATGCTTAATTATTCATCTTGTTATAAATAATTCTGAAAATGCTGATTTTGCTTCTTTTGGTATATAGGTTGGGCAAAAACGAGGAAGATTGCTTCTTAATGTGGAAGAGGATGAACAGCCAAAGAAGAAAATCAGAATTGGCAGTCCTGCTTGTCAGTGGATCTCAGTCTATAATGCTCGTCGTCCCATGAAACAGAGGTCAAAAAATTTTATATATACTTAAGAGTTTCTAAAACCTTCATTAATCAAATTTCTCACCACGTTTTAGTGCCATTTTTCTTTGTGTAGATATCACTACAACGTTGCAGACTCAAGGCTGCACCAGCATGTACAGAAGGGTAATGAGGATGGCCTTTTAATTAGCTGTGTAGCATCAGCAGCTAATCTCTGGGCCCTCATAATGGATGCCGGGACTGGATTCAACTCTCAAGTTTATGAATTGTCAGCGGTCTTCCTTCACAAGGTAATAATCACTTGAAGAATTTAGGAATCAATCAATTTTGTAGTAACTCACCATTTGTTTTTTTTTTTTTTGGCAGGACTGGATTATGGAACAATGGGAAAAGAACTACTATATCAGTTCCATAGCTGGTGCAGATAACGGGAGCTCATTAGTTGTTATGTCAAAAGGTTGGTGTTATTGGTAGTAATCTGCAAATATTTATGTCACACTTGAGTACATAATAACCTTATAACATGAAGTCTTTTTTACTAATTTCTTCGTGCTGTAAATTGGTAGGAACGTCTTATACTCAGCAATCTTACAAAGTCAGCGACTCATTTCCTTACAAGTGGATAAATAAGAAATGGAAAGAAGATTTTCATGTGACCTCCATGACAACTGCTGGGAATCGTTGGGGTGTGGTAATGTCGAGGAATTCTGGCTTCTCTGATCAGGTTGGTTTCCATCTCGTCACCTTAGAATGACAAAATCTTTAAACATTTTGGCATTTTTCCTGATACTCTTGTTTTTTATTTGTGTGAAAAGGTTGTGGAGCTCGACTTTTTGTACCCAAGCGATGGAATACATAGGAGGTGGGAAAGTGGGTATAGGATAACATCAATGGCAGCAACTGCAGATCAAGCAGCTTTCATATTAAGCGTACCAAAACGTAAAATGATGGATGAAACTCAAGAGACTCTTCGCACCACCGCCTTTCCAAGCACTCATGTCAAGGTGGGTTTCTTTAGTTTTGAACAAAGATTGGAAATTTTGGTTTGTTTCCATAATACTGATTAGGACCTGCGCGGTGTTGGTTGATTTTGCAGGAGAAATGGGCTAAAAATCTGTACATTGCATCAATATGCTTTGGGAGGACAGTTTGCTGAGGTACTTAGCATCATATGTGCTGTTACAAAGCCAAAAAGACAATTGGAGGATAAGGATCATAATACGATCAAAAAGGTGAAAACCAGACGCAACCTGTTTGTTAAATGTAATGAAATGGATGCGTCTTCGTATGTATGTAGAAGTATGAAAAGATAGAAATGATGGTAACAGAGAATTGGATTAGCAATAGAAAGTTTTGAGGGCTTTTTAAGCCTTCAAGTGTGCTTTTTTTTTTGGTTATCATTTGTGTTGTTTGATGCGTCTCTAAAGTTGTCTTTTTTTTTTTAAGTGTCTAAGTCTAATAATGAAATGTGCCAAACCAAACTTAAACGGACATAAGCATAAATAATTAAAGAATAGCTAATTAATTACTATGCACGTTAAGTTTTGCGGTTTAATGAGTCGTAACCCGGTCTGCGATTTCTGAAAACCCTAGTGGTTAACCTTTTTCTTCTTTTTGTTTTAAAAGCAAGTCACTACATCTTCTACACTGCAAATTGCTTCCCTCGCTAAAAACCCTAAAAAGTAAAAACCTCTGAGGAGCAGAGCCCAGTAAAGAACTGATAAAACCAAAAAGATGAGACCACCACGTGGCGGCGGGAGTTTCAGGGGAAGGGGAGGAAGAGATGGCGGCGGACGTGGATTTGGTGGCGGTGGACGCGGACGTTTTGGTGACGAAGGACCTCCCAGCGAAGTCGTTGGTTCGTTTTCTAATCCTCTTTGACGATTCTTATTCTTGGTTTGTTCTTCTTTTACCAATCAAGCAGATGATTTTATTGACAAAGTTCTCAGCTTTGACATTGATGAGCACTTGTTACTGAAATTTGACCCCAAAAAAACAAAAATTTGGGTAGTTCCCATTGATGAATTGTGTTCCTGTTATTAGGATTTTGTTAGATTCATCTTTAAAGTTGAGTTTTATGACAGTTTTGAATTTAACTAAAAGGAACAAACTTGTGAATTGTCTCCATTATGATAAAGTTTCTTTCTTGGTTATACAGAAGTTGCAACCTTTCTCCATGCATGTGAGGGAGATGCTGTGTTCAAGCTCTCCAATGTGAAAATCCCACATTTCAATGCCCCAATCTACCTACAAAACAAGACCCAGATTGGGAGAGTAGATGAAATCTTTGGTCCGATTAACGAATCTGTATGTGTTATCTTTCTCCATGTCTCTGTTGTCTTCTTGGATCACTGGCCTGCTCACTAATATCGAAAGCATTGGTTCTTACTTTTTCAGCTGTTTTCTATCAAAATGAAGGAAGGTATTGTAGCAACCTCGTATACTCAAGGCGATAAGTTCTTCATTAGCCCTGAGAAGCTTTTACCTCTATCAAGATTCCTTCCTCAACCAAAGTAAGCTACACTTCTTAACCCAAGATCACTTCTTTCTGATCTTTTTATCCTTGTTGAGTTACCAATTCTTAGGTCCCTTGAAGTAGTAGAACAAACTTGTTGAAGTGTTAGAAAAAGTCTATAACGACAGTCTTGTTCTGATCTTCTTGCAGGGGGCAATCAGCAGGCCGTGGTGGAGGAAGAGTCCCTCCCCGTGGTAGAGGGCCTCCCCGTGGTAGAGGGCCTCCCCGTGGTAGAGGGCCTCCCCGTGGTAGAGGCAATTTCAGAGGTAGAGGTGCTCCCAGAAGTGTTAGCAGAGGGTTTCATCAAAGAGGTGGTCCTCGTGGAGGCTTTAGAGGCCGAGGGAGAGCCTAGATTCATATTCTATAGCCTTAAGCTTTTATCTTTAAAATGTTTTTTTAAGAACCATAATGATGATAATTGTTTTCTAGCTTCTAGTTTTCTGATAACTTGGTTTTAACCAGAGAGTAAAAAAGTTGATCATCAACTATAGAGTCCAAGGTTTTATTACATACAGAAGATCTGTTAACTCAGGAGGACCTCTAAGCCAAAGTAGAGGAGAAAACAAAAAGTGGATTAAAGGTTGGCTCGTTTTATTCAGGAGCTTCATAGAGATTAGATAAGATTAGATAATCTTAAGCTCCCCATCCCCTGAGAATGGTAGCCTGAGCAACACGATTAACACCGAGAGTGAAAGCTCCCATCCGGAGATCGCAGGAGTGAGTTTTGCACATCTCTTTTAAGTCCTTGAAAGAGCGAGTCATGTAAGTCTTTAGCTCCTCGTTCACCTTCTCTTCCTCCCACATAAACCCTTGAATATTCTGCACATCACCGGAAACAACTAATCTGATCAAAATCGATTTGATTCGGGTACTTGGTTTGTCCAAAGTAAGTGGTTGAGAGACTCATACCTGAACCCACTCGAAGTAACTGACAGTGACTCCTCCAGAGTTTGCATATATGTCTGGGAGAATTACCACACCTTTCTTACTCAAGATCTGTAATACAAGAGTCTCCATTACAGATTCACTATGAGAATTTCCGAAGTAAAAGAAGAAGAAATCAAACCTCATCCGCGTCGGGATCAGTTGGATGATTAGCAGCTTCTATGATGAACTTTGCTTTAATCTCATTCGCATTTTCCCTTCAAACCAAAACCCAACTAACTGTTTTACAAAAGTTTCAAAACAATATGTAAGTTTTTGTACCAAAAAAGCTTGAACCTGTTGATGACACCGCCAAGTGCTGCAGGGACGAGGATATCGCAATCCTCGACCAGTATGGAGTTTGGATCGATCGAATCTGCACCGTCAAACCCTTTGACACCTCTGTGTTGTTTAGTATGCTTAAGCAAGGCCGGGATATCGAGACCGTCCTTGTTCTTGATTGCTCCGGTAATGTCACTCACTGCAACAATCTTCCCACCCTTTTCACTTATCAGCTTTGCCGCCCAAGAACCCACATTCCCAAATCCCTAATGAACCAATATGTAAAAACCAGATTAAGAAAAGTTTCTTTGGCTCTCAAGAAACCGCAATAAAGAAAGGTAACCTGGATGACAAAACGCTGCCCCGATATGCTCTTGCCGTGCTCGTTAAGCAAAGCTTCGGTTCCAAACATCACTCCTCTTCCAGTAGCCGCGTCTCTCCCTAGAGATCCACCAAGATCCTGGTTCATAAACATCATTAAAAATTCGGGTGCTTAAACCAGTGATTAGCAAAAACAAAACAGTGATTACCGTTACTTACAATGGGTTTTCCAGTCACAACTGCAGGCGAGTATCCATGAAACTTAGAGTACTCATCAAGAATCCAAGCCATTGTCTGCAAATTCCACCAAGTAAAAAAGTTGAAAGATGACCCCAAAAAGAAAAAGAAAAAAAACATATATGGAAACGTTTTGAAGAGACCTGAGGACCAGTGCCCATATCTGGAGCTGGAACATCAGTCTGAATCCCAATGAGATCATGAATCTTCTGAGTGAAAACTCGAGTCAACCGCTCGAGCTCGGATATACTGAGCTTGCTCGGATCACAACCAATCCCTCCTTTGGCTCCTCCGTACGGAATCTTAGCCACTGCTGTTTTCCATGTCATGAGCTGAGCCAATGCGTTCACTTCATCCGGATCAACCTGCAAAGAGGTGATAACCAATAACCGGTTAGCATCATACCAAAACCGAAATTGTATACTGGTTTGTTAAATTTGATTTTGGTTCAAAAGTCAAAGTTCAAACCTCGGGATGATATCTGATTCCGCCTTTCATGGGACCTCTTGCATTGTCGTGTTGAACTCTAAACCCAACGAATGATGCTAGTGTCCCATCGTCTTTCGGTATGGTACATTCCACCTACAAAAATTACAGAACCGGTTGATTAAATTGGTTCGTTCCGGTTATATTATTCAGTAACCGGATCAGAGTAATTGGATCCAGAATTAGCGGGTCGGGTTTTAAAATGCCCCGAATCATTCAGAAATCATATTTCACTAAAATCCGGCGCGACGAATCATCGCCGGCGCCGGCGAAAGCACGAAATCAGCCGATCAAGGTTAATAAGTTAAAGAAAGAAGTTAAATATGCGAACCTTGATTTCTCGGAAGGGGATGAGAAGACTTTTCTCGAGCTTAGAATCCAAACCAAGAAGCCTAGCAGCTAACTTGAAGTTTCTGTTTGTTGCTGCTAAAGCATTCATGGCTTCTTCTTCTTCTTCTTCTTCTTCTTCTTCTTCTTCTTCTTCTTCTTCTTTCTCTCTGTCTACTTTAACTCTTCTAGGCTTTGATCAGAACGCTGTAATAAAACGACTGTTAAAAGAAGAAGATTGGTGTCAGTGTGATAGTAACTTGTTAAGTGTGTGTATTTATTTATACACAGGCACGTGATCGATGTTTGGGTAAGATTCAGTGGAGGTCGAGCCTATTAAGGTGGAGCTGATTAAGTAATTTAAAAAAAAAAAAGACAAGACAATAATCATGGTTAAGAGTTAAGACTATAATTTTGATAAATTAAGACAAACATACTTATTACCTAATAGATTTTTTCCTTTACCTACTAACTGTCTAACTCTCTTCTGTTTAATTTCTAGAACAACATATACTTTTGAGTTTAGTTGTATATAATTTGACGAAAAGATACTTGTGTTTTATTTGTAACGTACCTAAAATTTGGGATTAACTAGACTAAAATTCTTTGGATGTTTTTGTTCATATTTACTGTTGGGTATGTCGACATATTTGGGATGTCACTGGTAAATTTTCCAATAATATAACAAATATTTTGGGAAAACTAAACATTGTGCTATGTATTGTCAAAAAATAGTCTAGCCGAATAAGAACATTCTCATAAAAGTTACATGTGATATTATATATTATATGGCATCTCAGGCTAGATGGATATTCATAAGTGAAATTAGTGGAGAATGTGAGACATAATCTTTTGATTTGGAGAGATATGGTTGCATCGTCATGGTCGCATCAAATCGGAATTTATTTGATTTTTCTAAATTGCTGTATGTTGACTTGTAAACAATCTTATCCACTAATATGGGTCCAAGTCCAACACACATATGTACGGATTCAAAATATAATTAAACTTTTGGTTAAAGTTTGTAACAATGTATAGTTTAAGATCAATTACATTTTGCTTCTAGGATACAACAAGTACCACGTCTGTTTTTATTTCTTCTGGAGGCTAATGCTATTGAAGATTTTTATTCTTCAGTCTTATCTTTCTTTTTTTTTTTTTTTTTTGATCAACAGTCTTATCTTTCTGTGATACGAATTTGATCTTTCAATTGTGTTTGTCAGTGTTGGTGTTGGATTGGTGGTGAAGTCACTGTAGGAGACAAAGTTTTTGTAAGAGAAGGAAACAAAAAGACAAAGGCATGAGTTTTGACCTATGCAGCAGCCTAATATAGCTTAGGCTTCATCTTTTATACACGTATCCTAGAATCTTGAGCTCGCTTATGAATGTTCTCCATATCATCAGCTAAAATTTAATTACCATAATAGAGATTGATAGCTAGCATAAATGTAGGTAATAGTCTTCAGAGCAGAGCCCACATTGTTTATAAGACATGCATGTTAGGAATTGAGATATATTCAAACTAAAGAATGATCAAATTATGCCAAAGCCCTACAATGGAAACGGATAAGGATTACAAGAAGAATCTATCAGAGAATCATAAACTTGCATATAAGTAGCTATGGTTCTTTCTATGGAAAACAAAACAAAGCCCTTCTCAAAATCAGTTGTTATGATTATTGGTCTCTCACATCCAAATTGAGAGTAAACTATATAGTGTTATAACACTGTGTATAAGGGACATGTCACATATGTTATTACATTCATTACCAAATGTTATTGAACTGAAGGCTCTTAAAACTGCTCATGGTATCAAAGTTCATGGCACAAAATAAATTCACTAGCATTAGTAATAGACTAATAGTCCCAAAATTTTTTCTCATAAGGTACCATAATAAAACCACTCTCTTGGTCTTTCACAGAGATCCATAAGGCTAATCTTCGTATTCTCTAAGCTGTAATCTTCTTATGAAGATTTCAAGTATTTCGTATGTACTTGTTTAACTTTAGGACAAGAAGTCTCTTTTCTATTTTTGAGAAAAGGATCACATGAAAATTGCTAGACATAGAACAGAAGAATCTTAGGTTCAATCTTAAACACATATTACAGTCTCTCTATGTGTAGTTTTCTTCTATTACATACCAACTATAGCTTGTTTATAAAGTATCCAGATTAAAACATATTGGGATCTCCAATGGGATCAATCAATCAGTGGTTACAAAAAGGATTTAAAGAACACTCATGAAAGCTCTTAAAATGAAATGAAACTCTCAATGTGATTTGGTAAAACATAAAAGTCATTCACAAGATCAAATCCAAGTCTATCAGGTTGCCAAATCTCGTTACCCGTAATTCCTCGAAACTTAGTCTCTCTTATACTGCTTTTCTTCGGGTCAAAATACACAACACAGAACGATCCATTCAAACTCACTCCTGTATAAATAAGCTCACCACCATCAGTAACACCCCTAAGATCCAACCACTTCAGATATTTGTTAGGAGGAAGACTTAAATGAAACTGTCCATACGACCACTTTTTATTCCCTGCATCCTCCAAACTCCATATTTCAACAACAGAGCTAGTGTCACTTATCAAAGCCAACCTTCCCTCATAAGAGACCATAAGAAAGCGGTCATAATCACGCATCGGAAAATCAATCAGTTTAAACTCTTCATATCTGAGATCAAAGCTAATTATAGCATGCCTTGGAGCCATATCAAACGCTTTATAGTAGATTACTCCATTAATGCATCGTCCAGTGTCTTTAGTAGGCCAATGGAAAAAGCCACCTTTGGTTACTACTCTCCATGATTCTTGAACTCCCAATGTAAGAACTTGAGTGTTCCATCCTCTGACAATGCACAATGCTTTGTATTTACCCTCAACCGGTTCATATCCCAAAAACCCTCCTACGTAGTATTCGTCTCCGTTGCCTTGAGGCTCAGGTAAAGTAAAGAATCGTTTCATGGTAGGGTTCCAAATCACGAGCTGTTTAGAACCTTCAAAGCAAATCAACCCGTGAACGGAATCAAGACGACGGATGAAACCATTCTTGGGGATTTCGATGTGATAATCTTCCACATAAGAATAAGTATTCTTGTGTTGCGGGGACGAGAACACAATCAGCTTGTCGTGTTTTCGGAAGATTAGTAGAACACACGGTGGTGATGTCTTCTTGGACCGAGTCTTGATGAACTCTGGTGTGGTGGTAATGAACGACCAGAGCTTAGAGACGGAGCGATATCTCACGATTGATTTGGCAGGAAGTCTTGAGAGTATCTCAAAGGTTATGTCGAAAGGAATCGAGTTTGACTGAGATTTGTGATTACCATGTGAGGATTGTCTTGTTTTCAATGTAGATGAAGATTGTCTTGTCGTCAATGTAGATGAAGATTGTCTTGTTCTCTGCTTTTTCTCTTCTTGTTCGTCCATGGCCGATCGTTCCACAATCTTGCTTTCTTTAAATTCACCTAATTAGTTCTTTCGTTTTCTTTATATTAACGCTTATTTGTTCTTTCGTCTGCTACTATCATGCGTTTTCTATGTATATATATATATATATATAGTCCGCTAGATGAATTAGAAATAAGTCAGGTAAACTTGAAAAGAAAAAAATGGCAAACGGAAATTTAGTAAATGGTAATGATACAAATTAATATTTCATGATTTCTATTTTAGTAAACTTAAAACTCTTTGGTGTTTGAGGTAAGGATGATGAGGTAATTAACACCCTTCAACTTCCATTTTTTGTAAGGAACTTAACAAAAGTGTTTATATGGCCGTTTTGTGGTTTTCTGCATCCTCCAAAGTTCATAATTCAGCATCAGAGCCAATGGAACTTAACAAAGCTATTCTTCCCTCATAAAATACAAAAAAAAAAAAACTGCGATTGCCATAATCCATCGGCTATTTAATAAAATTGAACTTTTAATTTAGATCTGAGATCAAAGCTCATTAGTCATTACATATGGCATGTTTTAGAGTCAACTTGTGATCTTCAAGAACAGAATTTCATATGGTTCTTATAGATGTTAGTTAATCTTGATGGACTGTGGAGCAATTAACATGGTTCTCTTCTTCATGTTTTGTAATTATTTTCGTTGTCCTACTCTCAAAACTAAAACAAGAAGTTCTGTTTATGATTTGCCAAACTTTTCTACAGTGGCGGATCCGGAAGAATTATTAGCCTAGGGCACATATTATATATATCTAATAATTATATTAAAATTTGCAGTAAAAATGAGTAAAAAAAAGCAATTGGAGGCATCGAATACCTTACCAACCATAATAACAGTGCATAAACGTTACCAACTGATCCAACAAAGAACCATGGAAAAATGATCTAAATAAAAATTAATAATCAGTGTCGGGCACGTGCCCCAGTACCTCACACCGTAAGTTCGCCACTGCTTTTCTACATAACTCTTAAGTTGGGACTTGAAGTTATTCAACGTTTTAGAACAAGAAGTCTCTGTCGTTATGCAGCAAAATAGTTAAGTCTCTTTCTTTACATGCTTGTACTTTCTTTCTTTTTTGGTTAAGGTATAAACTTATTTAGCATGCATGTTTATATTATCTTCCTCCATATCACAATTCATGCCATTGTTTCTAAGAAATTTGTTATTACCTTGTGAGGATGTTGTCGTCAATATAGATGAAGATTGTCTTGTTCTTCGCTTCTTTTCTTGTTTGTCCATGGCCGATCGCTCCATGGTCTTACTTTCCTTAAACCCTAATTTGTTCTCCGTTTCCTTTAAATCCTAGCTAATTCAGCCTGCTTAGTGCTTACCATCACGCTTTTTATCTTTAAATGTATAAGTATCCACTAAACCCTAAATCCTAAATTCTAAGCTCTAATCTCCATTTAATTATGAATTAAACGCGCACATAAATTAGTTTTTTTTTTTTTGCTGTTGTTGTTGCCTTCATTCCTTGGTATAAAAATATGGTTCACAAAGCAATATGGTTTAGTTTCGATGTGTGGTTGAAATTGCTTATTCAAATATACAGAATGTTGTTTGCCCATCAAATCTTCCATGACTTTTGAGTTATAAGAACCCGATGTTCTACCAAATAATCATTTTTTGATCTAACAAGAATTTGCATTAAACCAACATAATCATAACAATCATATGACAAACAACTAACTCTATTACATATGACATTGACAATTTCTAGAAAGTCCCTCAAATTGTACAAAAGAGAAGAAGACTTTTTTAGGAGAGCTATTTCAATTCTATAATTGCGTCCCGTTGACAAAAACTTCATCATACGTATGCTACAATAATACAACTACACAAGGTGGTAGTTGAGGTCAACCTCTTCTAGAGAGGATCATATATTATATTTACTTATTTTGGCTTTCTTTTACCCTTAATATAATAACCATTTCATATAGATCCCCTACTTTTGCATGGTTACCTCAACACACCTCTAAATTGTTTTCTCTCAAGTATACCACTGTTTGGATAAAAAAAGCTAAGCTATAACAATAGCACAAAAAAACAAAAGAAAACAATACAAATTCATTATTGTTTCTCACTTAATCTTTGGTAAAAATCTAATAATTGTATCTTAAATTATGTATTTCCCATCAATAGTTACTCTTTATAACCATCCTATTCAAATGATTTAAACTTCAAAACTTCCCTTCAAATTTTCAACATAAAAACAAAATTCTTTCAACTCAAGACAGTCTCATAGATATTAGGGTTTTTATTGGAAACATTAAAAAGTAATGGGGCTAATTTATAGAAAATAGAGACATTGTGGGTATTTGACGTATATATCCAAACACCAATTCCTAAATTTTTCCTCATTGCTGAAAAATTCGGAAACGCGTTTCCTTTTTCTCGTAGTGAGAGGGAGACATGTAATCTCAATCTCACCCCTTTTATATTTCTTACTTTTTGTTTCTCTCTTTCTCACATAATTCTTCGTTTCCCAGAATCTCACCAACCCTAAAACTTCTCTCTTCAGGGAAAAAAAATTATGTGTCCGATGAGGTTCTTATTGGTTTTCTTCTCAGCTGTACTCGCCGGATATTTCGCGTGGAAGACGGTGAGTTCTTCGCCGGAATTCGATTCACCGGACGAATTGAACGAGAAACAAGAACTCAATCTCAAACAGGTAAGCATAAATCTCGTTCCTTTTTCGTTAATGTCTGGTGATTTGTTCTAATTTCTCTGTTTCATGTTCAATTGCGATTTAACAGAAGATGGAGAATGGGTTTTGGGTGTTCGTCGATATGGCTAGCGGAAGATACCTTTGGAGGAATCTTAAGGAAATGAGAGAGAAAACTCAATGAAGACGATGATTGTTGAATACGTAAAGATTTCATCTTTTTTTTTGGTTTCTTCTTTGTGAAGAAAGTTTCAGAAACAATAATAATGATACTTAGACGAGTTTAATAGTATTCGTTTGTTCTAATCTTTCTCCTGAATTTTTGTAACTTTGATTCATTGATTTGTTATCTTGGAAAACGATAAACAAAGAGTGTTGTAACCCTTCAAGCAATTTCTTCTCTTTACTACTATTTCGATTTTCTCCAATATCCCAATCATAGGACAGAATAGAGAACAATGTAATCTAGCTATTTACAACCTAAACGTAGTGGAAACTTAGAGAATAAGATTCAGGTTGAGTCAACTTGAAGCTTGATTGACATGTAGAGGAGGGTGAGAAGAGCTCCTTGTGGAAGAGGAGCATGTCTAGCTAAATTCGAGCCAACCCACATTGCCACTACCACAAGAACCACCACGCTGCTGCTTGCTTTCCCACAGAGCCAGCTTGCAAATGTTAGGCAGAGAGTGAGAAGGATGCCGCCTTTTCCGCCTAGTATCCAAGCGATCATGAATCCGACTTTGTAACCCATGTCGAGTTCCTTGTCGAGCAAAGCTGTGAATGTGCTAAATGTGAGAGATGCTAGGCAACCGAATGTATATAGAAGAAACATCGATAATAAGGCGGATCTGAGAGCTTCGACAAAGGAGTCTCGCTGGTCTTGTGCTGTTTCTACTTCTTCTTCTTCTTGCGGCTCAGTCTCAGTGTAGAAATGTGAGTTTGGATATGTAGAATATTGTCTGGATCTGTGTCTTTTCTCATACCAGCTGTAGTAATAATTCATGGCATCTTCAACCTCAGGGGTGTAGTTGTGCCTTTTCACTCTATGGAACCGGGAATTTTCTTGAATTTTAAGTGCACGGTCGTACTGAGTCCTCGTAGCTTCATTAGATAGTACCTTCTCAAGAAAATACAGGTAAAGCGAATAAGATTCAATCGGTTGGTGTTACATTGGCTCAATACTTGTGGTTGATAACTTGATATGAGTAAGAGAATGAAACTAAGCTTAAGAAGGAATACCGACTTCGTAGGAACAACGAATGGTCTTGAATAGCTCGCCGGCTTTAGAGTCCTTATTAACATCAGGATGAAACTGCAATAGCAACACAAGGATACAGTCAAACATAACCCAACCAAAGCCGACGAACTGGAAGAAGATAAGATATTCATGCTTTATACTCAGGATCCAAGTGTACAAGAGCTAGATTGAAATATAAGAATACAGAGAACAGATTCCACCAAACTCTTAGACAAAGGCTAATACCACCAAACTGTTCTCCTCCATCACTGAACTTCTGAGGCTAAAAGAAAATGGTGGTGTTCCCAACTAGTCTTATCTCAATAAAATCTGATACTGATTGCAAATTTCGAATCTTTACCACAGAAATCAATCAAACCAACGATGCCAAAGCAGAGAAATAAAGTGAAATTCCTCGTCGGAAGCTACAAAACGAAAAGAGCTTACCTTTCGAGCGAGCAGGCGATAAGCCCTCTTGATGTCAACTTGTGTAGCGTTACGAGCGATGCCCAAAACAACATAATGGTTCTGCCCACCGGTATTAGAAGCCGAAGAAGACGACGAAGAATACGCCGCAGAAGTAACCGTCGTTTTCGAGCGAGTGCGGTGACAGCGAGATCTGCCGTCGCGGTGCCTTCGACGGTGGTGGTGTTGTAGATCTCCGCCGAAAGGATTAGACGACGGAGGGAAGAGATCGCCGGAGAAGGAGGATGAGAATCGACGGCAGCCCTTGAGTGGGATGGGTCCCACCAAAAGGTGTGTCTGCATTATCTTCTCCACTCACAGTCACAGGTCTGTCTGTCAAACGGACCACTGACGTTAAGTGGTGGAAGAGAAGAGCGGCGACTTTGACGGAGGACCGTTAAAATTAACTGGCGGGTTAGATTATGGGCCTTTTGATATTGGGCTTGGTCTTATTGTTGATGTAGCTTGCACTAACTGTTGTCATTGTGTCATCGCCGATTTATTACGTTTTAAAGTTTAAACCAAAAACACATCACTAGAAGCATTTGCGTTTATAACATGAGATTTCGTCAGTCGTCTTTGAATTTTCTTTTAAACCACGCTATTTTTTGGAAAAATTTAAACCCTCAAAATCCAGAAAATAAGGTAAACTATTCAATTCCGGATCTTTCTCACCGTTAAAATCGTTTCTATGATAGCATTTATATATATATATATATATCAATAATGTTGTATTATGTGGGTTTGAATTTGTATAGTGACTCGATATATACATCATTTTAGACTTTATTGTTGCAAAATATTAGGTTTATACTTTCATAAGTATATATCTTGTTTTTCTTCATCTTCAATGTATATCGTTTACCTGTTGTATTTTCTACCAATCAACAAGTATATCATGGTTCACTATAACTTGATGTTGTATGCATTCGGACAAAAGAATACAAAATTTACAAACCTTATTTTATTGAATATTCTAAATTCGTAAATACATAAGCTATAAAACCCATTGGTGATTAAGCAGAAGACATTGGATCTGATGTACTGATTTAGTTATGGGTATGATTCAAAGTGCATCGTAGTATCCTCCAAAAGAGATCTGAGCTCTTGCCACTGGAAGACCTTTCATCACAGAGATTGCTTCATTTATCTTTGTTGCATGTTTCACTACTTCGTTCATTCGCTGCAATAACGAGTTTAAAAGCAGTCATACATCAACGAGTTTTAATCATAAAACTATATATCAATAATGGCTAACTCGGTCCCAAACATCTCTAAGCTCTAGCTTATTATTGATATGCACATAAACTTGTAAGTAAATGTAAGTGACAATGACGTTATTATATATAAACGTGTTTTGGTTCAAAGTGTGAGGGTGACGCAAGAAAAGATAAACACAAAACGTACAAAGACAAAATAAGAATCTTTTCTATAATTATTGATTGTTCACTTAGACACGTAATAGGCCACACCGCCAAACGCATCCTTATCACTCTCGTTGTATCAAAGACACAGACAACTTTTCTAATCAGCAGCTTCTAATCAATCAAACAGTTGCATATGTATAAGTTGAGATCTAACTTTAATAACAATTAGCCACCAAAATTAGAAGCAAAACAAACTTAATAGCTAAATTGTCTTGATTTATTCTATTCTATTAGATCAAAATCCAAATAATTTTATCTTCTGTTTTTATGAATTAGTTCTAAAAGTAATATATATGATTAGATAATTGTATGTGGGATTAAGCATCTAAACCATTAGAACAAAATCAGATATATATCAATTATCAAATATAGTGTATTAATAATAAATTAATTTTCCTTAACTAGTTGACTTGTAACAATTATTTACCTTATTATCATCAGAGTAAATCTGAAACCTTAAGATTTGGTTCTTGTTCCGACCACCTTGGATGCTACTGTTGTGTCCAAGGAAGAAGACACATATGGTGGCTGCAGCAGCTGCAACACCAAATGAACATATAGCTCCAATTCCATTAAGACCTTTTTTCCACAGATTCACTTTTTCACCTTCATCCCACTCAACCTCTTTCTTGCTCCTCAAGTCACTACCTTCTTCAACCTCTGATCCCATGATCTCATCATAGGACTCGCCTCCTAACCCTCCTTCTGAGTCAGAGTGTTTCTCATCGTTCCGAGGCAGGGGACTAGTGAACCTCGCTGCTGGTGAATCTATTTTCATGTCGGCAAATTCGGTTTCCTTCGTTTTCTTGAAGGTTATTCTCGGCGACGGAAGAGACTCCGTCAACAGTTCCGGGTCTGGTTCCGAGAAATCCGGATCCGGGTACTTCTTGTGATCTTTGTTGTCGTCCACGGGGGATAAAGGTTCCCAAGTTATGGGAATTTGGAGGAGTTGTGTGGGGACCACGCTAGATCTATGATGAAGAAGCTCTGTTTTCCCGACAGAATCTTGAATTGGGCAGATGAAGTAATCACTGTCGAAGCTTTTTCCGGTGCTTCTCATCATCTTCGTAGCTTCATGATCGTCTTCATGACCGAGATCAAGATCGAGACCCTTGTAGATGTTTCTAGGGAGTAATTCCCACTCTTCTAGATCCATCTCCTTCGAGTTGTTGTTGATTGATTTCTCGGAATAGGGTTTTAGAAAAAAGGAGGACTCTTGAAAAGTTTTGTTTGGGTGAGAGTGATTTGTTTCAGTTATTGGAGCTAATTGTGTTTGGTAATTTTGAGGAGAGACCTATCTCTCTCATCGTTTCGAAGTGGTTTCTCTAGATCCTTAAATAGATGATCAAAGAAGAAGAAGAAGAAGAAGAAGAGACGGAAAAGGCAAACTCTCTTAAATGGCTGATTGACGCATTTAGTATTGTAACTGTTAAAATAGGAAAAAATTATAAAGTGTTGATTAGTGATTTTTGTTTTTGTCGGGGATTAGTGATTTAAAAATGATAATTACACAATTTCAGCAGAATTTTTAAAGAGATACAGTATTTTTTTTATTTTCTGATAAATTATTTGTGGAGAATGTAGATTAGTCACATAATTTAACGGATCTTTTTCAAAACAGTGTAAGCTAAACATTGTTTTAACCATGATAAATATTAAAATATGATTTGGTATGATGAAAAGTCAGAATGCACATTGTTTTAACCATATTAATCTCTATGTTAATCGTCGATTTTTTTTTTTTTTTTTTTGGTGAGGTAAGACAGTTAGAGCTTATCTACACATGAAATGACAAAAAGAAGATGTTGCCATTTTATGACCCACGTTAAGAAGTGTCGATTGTCTTCTTTGATAGGGTCCCTTCTCTCCTTGATATTTTATATTTCCTATAACCATGATTAATTTTGGACAATACTTGATTATAAGATATTTAGTGATAAAAACATGATTTAGTTACATGATGATTAAGAAGAATTTTTCGAACTAAGTTTTGAGTTTTTTTCATTAGTTATGGATTAAGACGTCTACCTAGGCGGGTATTTAAATTTCTTATATAATAATACAAAAATTATTGGTGTTAATAACTTATTGAAGTTTTTCTAGGTAGAGAGAGGTAAAGAAGAAACTTCAAGCATAAACTTGGTACCAACACATGAACGTTTTTCATATTTTCGGCTTGTTTATTACTATTAAAGTAAATTATACCAAACTTTTGTAATTAACCAAAAAAACGAAAGGAAGAAAGAGAGAAGATGATGTGTTATACAAGTTACAAGTTTAAAGTCCTTTTCTAGGGAGAAAAATGATACTAAAAGATAATAGTGGAGGTTGCTTGCTCGCAATTACTAGTGTAATTATTCAAGGAAAAAGCGACGAAATTTTCATTTAACAAGTGTATAAAGAGCAAGTCGTTTAAGAACACCTAGAATCATTTATTTAGCTTATTTATGATTTTATCTCATCCCGATATGATCCTTAACGTGATAATAGAATTTTTTTTTTTTGTTATTAATAGAAAATATTTGAGCAAAGCTTTTCTTTCAAAAATCAAGATTACAAAATTTCAAAGATTTATAGCAGCCCGGCCGTTGTACAAAGAGCAATAATCATTGTATGCTTATTTAGCACACAAAATTCAATTGCAAATTAAAAGAAAAAACTCTAAATCTACAAGAAAAGAAACTTCATTCATAACATATACTCCATCTGTTGTTAACGATTGCATTTGCTTTTGCTTTGCTCTACCTTTTTTCACCTCTTTGTGCTTCTTTGTTTCCCTACACTTTTAATTTTTGAAGATTGCTTCTTCGATTTTATGCTTTTTTTAAGTCTGTTTGAGCCTGAAACTAAGCTTAATCTCATAACTGTAATAAACGCTAGAGAATCATTTTTGGTATAAGCTTCTCAACTAACTAAGGAGTAAGGATTCCTAAGTTGAAAATATCTAAATAGAGAGATTCAACTGTCAGACACATACGCAAAAGCGACAGGAAAACGAAACTTCAAAACATGTGAACCAGAGTGATCCACAAGTTGGACAAGTTTCTTTCACATATACAACCCAAGTGTCCATCTCTAACACCTATTAAACCAAACCAACCATAATCAATATAGACAAAACGTAAGCACAAGGAAGGGGACCAAGAAGAAGAATATTCAAAAGGAAGAAAAATATTCACAAAAGAAGCAAAAACAGGATTTACATACAGAGACAGACAGAGGAACTCCAAAGTTATAGAAACATGTCAGTCAAAGGATCTCTCACAAGACAGTAAAGTAATCTAAACTAAGCTCATCGACAGTGTGAAGTATTTCTGAATCACCCTTTTAGGCTGATTGTGATGAAGATTTTCCTAGCGAGACCGATGCAAGTGCGTTCTTTGCTCTTTCTTGGAAGTTCCTTGTTTTGGTGAGTCTCAGTTTCATCCATAGTCTCCTCACATCGATCATGTGTAGGGCACGGCCAAACAGTTGGCTTGTCTCACCGAGTATAGCCAAGCTCAGATGCGGAACATACAATGCCCATAACGTTTTCAAGCGTGATCCCATAATGGGGAAGATCAAAATTGCCAGTTTCAAAGACAGAAACATCAGTGCAAGTACCATATATGGCTCTCTTTCTGCTACTTCTCTGATAGATGACCCGTTGTGTAGCCACGTGATCAGGTTACCATCAATGTCCAAGCTTGTTGGTTCACCTTCATCCACATACTGGACAGGTTTAAGACCTGGAAAGCCGTAGAGATACACCAAGTGGAGCTTGTTAGAATAAAAACTAAATGATTGAACATGTTTCTAATGTAGTCAGATACAGAAGAGAATATGAGAAGAAATCAGAAACAGAGACGCAGTCTGGCATTTCATGATGAATGCTCTCACCTGTTGTTTCCTTGTAAAACTGAATCAGGGATGCAAGATCCTTTTGACCATGGTATCGCATCTTCATTGTTTGATTCACCATCAGGATTGAAGGCAAGCTATGGATACCATACCTAGAAAAGACACTGCAATAATGAAAATCATGAGATCAATTAACATGGACCAAAAAAGATGCCAAAACAAAAAAGATGAAAACATTTAGCATTTTAAAGGATAAGCTACTCATGAAACAACTTCATCAGGATCAAAGGTCCAACAAACTAACTAGTCTACATTTGATGACCACCCAAATAAACTAAAAAATAGCCGCTAGAGAAGCTGTAAGAAAGATACAACAAAACATACATAACATTCATTATCCGTCCTCTTATTGAATTATTTGTCCTGTCTTACTAAAAGTGTAAAACTAACTCTTTAAGCCGAAAAAATTTACTGATCAGTGTAAAACAACGGTTGATTATTGGCAAGTACTGAGAAATCTGACAATAAACTTAAAAGTCATTTTCTTCTGCACCCAAATTTCTGGTAGTGTACAATTCAATTGAAAAGTTCTTACGATGGTAAAGCCTGAGATTGCTCAACAATCAAGTGCTTTATGTGAGGAGACATTGAACTCAGAACATCAAACTTTGGGCGTACTGCACGTGAAAACGGACACCATGAGGCATAAAATAGTATGGATGTATAAGCATTTCCATGGTTTGTATCCATGAGTTTGTCTAGCAAGTCTCCATCTACCTGCATTAGCAATAACATAAATTCTTGAGTTACAAAAACAAGCACAGATCCAAGTCCACACCCCATGGAGAAGAACACACACATATATTAATTTTGCAATAACAACATCTTTGCTGCAATTTCAACATTAGAATCTGAACCTAATACTGTGCAGATGACATGATGAGATTCTGTTAGTAGCTTTACCACTGTTGACACAAATAAAGGCCATTCATTGAAGAACATAAGTATACTACTGTCATGAGATAAACGAGATCCCAAATGTCAGAGAAACAAGTATGATCGTCACAGATACATCATAGTTAATACTATTTTCCCACCTAAACAATCCAACCATTTAAGTAGATTATTTCATCATGAACTAACATATTGACTGAAAACAAACGTATATCCATCAACTTCTTTTTATAGCAAGGGCCTCTATATCCATTGACCATTCCTCAAAATTCTAACTGCACTACCACAACCAAAAAGCCTCAAGCCTATACCGTTCTCATTAAGCTTTGCATAATAAAAACTACAACAAAAAGTTGAAAAAAGAGACTCTGTTGCCACCACCACAACACTAAAGAGTCTAAAGTGACATGATGCCAAACAAGCAAAAGAGAGCTCGAATCGATCCTTGCAATTCACATTATCGAAGAGTTATAATCTGAATTTTCAAGAGAAGAGAAATCTAAGCAAATTCTTCTACTTTAAGCAAGCACACCAAACGCATGCCTAATCCAATCGAAGATAAATAAAAATATTCGTTTTGCTAACAAATCATAAACCTTTTGATAACTATGATGACGAACCTCGAAAGGAGGACTCGGATAGAGAGAACGAGGACATATTTGCTCGATCTCGCATCGAAACACCTCGAAATCGTGATTGCAAACGTCAACGTAAGCGAACCCACAAGGTAAGCATGATCCAGCTATCGCAGATAAGAGGATTATGGAGGAGACCAACAAATTCATTAAATCAGAAACCTAAATCTACGGCAAAACAGAGAAACACAGATCAAATCCGCTAAGAGAATCAACAGAAACTTTTTTCAATTTACAAAACAAAAAGATGAGATCAAGGTGAAATCGAATCAGAAATGGAGGACAAAAGCACGAAATCAAACCAAAGGGAAACCTTAGATTTGAGCACGAGAGAGCTTAAAGAACACAAATTTAAGAGAAAACTACAGGAAATTTTAAAAAATGGCTTCTCAGAAATATAAATTTGGGGAAATTCTCAGATCCATGAAAAAGTTTTTATTGTCACTTGTTTTTGCAGAAACATACATTACAGATGGAGAACGCCGTTTTCAAAAAAAAAAAAAAAAAAAAAAAAAAAAAAGATGGAGAACGCCAAAATCGATTCTTTTTTTAATTTTCTTTTTGACAAATCGCATTCGTCACATTCTTTTTTTCTTTTTTTTTTCTCCACTACACCACTTATTTTGCCGTGATAAGTGCATGTGTTAAGACAAATCTCTTTTGTTTCGGTTGGATTAGTTTATCTGTTTATGTAATAACCAACGACTACTAATACATTTTGTTCACTTATTAATTTTTATAGTTTAAAAAATACAAAAGAGATTTTTGTGAGGATTAATTCAGCCAAAAAAATAAAATTGTGAGGATTAATTCAGCCAAAAAACTAAAATTGTGAGGATTAGTACTATTAACTAATTTTAGAGAGACGATGTGACCCAAAAGTACGACATTTTTGGTCCGGATATCAAATCTCTGAAAGCTTATGCATGGAAGGTGAAGTGTCCACCAAAACTACGATATTTTTTGTAGTAAATATTATCAGGTTGCGTACCTGTTACGGAGAATCTGAGAAAGAGAGGTATAAATTGTGACACCGGATGTGTTAGATGTGGCGTTGTGGAGAAAACAATTAATCACACACTTTTTGAATGTCATCCTGCGAGACAAATATGGGCTCTTTCTCCAATCCCTTCGGTTACAGGGATTTTTCCCTCGGCTTCTATTTACGCGAACTTGGATCATCTTTTCTGGAGAATTCCATCAGAGATTGATTCATCTTCATTTCCATGGATAATTTGGTATATTTGGAAAGCGAGAAACGAGAAGATTTTTGATAATGTGGATAAAGACCCATTAGAGGTTCTACATTTAGCGGAGAAAGAGGCACAAGCTTGGCAGGTTGCTCAATCTGAGCTACATATTGACAACCAAGGTTCTTTAGATACTGTAACTCGAAATCGCGTGAGAGAGATTTCATTGGATTCCAGTTACTCCGGACATCGGTGTTTCGTGGATGGATCATGGAAAAGGACATATATTTTTTCAGGAACAGGGTGGTATTGTACATCGGCAAATGGAGAGATGTCAACCATGGGAGCTGCAAACATCCGGCAAAGTCTATCCCCCCTACATACAGAAGTCGAAGCTCTACTCTGGGCGATGAAGTGTATGATTGGTGCTGACAACCAAGATGTAGCTTTCTTTACAGACTGTTCAGATTTGGTGAAGATGGTGTCTTCTCCAACCGAATGGCCGGTCTTCTCAGTGTATTTGGAAGACTTGAAGAGTGACAAGGAAGAATTCTCCAATTTTTCTTTATCTTTAATTCCGCGTAGTGCAAATGTAAAAGCGGATAATTTGGCACGAAAAATTCATACCGAACCGCATCATATCACCTATGTAAACAACATTCCCAGGAATGGCTCTTTTGAGCATCTATTTTATTTAAGGTCTTGACAAAAAAAAAAAAAAAAAGATGTGACCCTAAGGCCCATTGATTAGACCTAATAAGGCCCATCGATTAGACCTAATAAGGCCCATAAGGCTATTTTTTTCTCCAGAATTTGACGTTTTATGTATTTGACCGAGTAGAGAAGTAAAAGAGCTCTTCTTCTCTTCTCCTCTTTCTTCTTCCTGATTAGATTTTTAGGGCTTTTGAAGCACGAACGCGTTAAGCTCTAATCGAGGAAAAAATGGAGGTTGCGGATAGGAGAGACGAGGAGATCAGGGACTCTGGAAACATGGACAGCATCAAGTCCCAATATGTTACCGACTCTGTTTCCGAAGAACGTCGCTCTCGTGAGCTCAAGGATGGTCTCCATCCTCTACGGGTTTGTCCTCTATCCTTAGAATATCGATTCATTCGCAATTTGATTCTGATCTTAGGTAAAAATTTGATTCCTGTTCGTTGAAGATTTGTGAACTTTATATATGACGGTTTATAGCTGGAGTAGTGGAAGATTCGGACTCTAAATCTTTGTTTGTTGGAGTTTTTGTTTTCGAATTAGGTTTACGACTCTGTTTTGATGTATGTGAGCTCAAATGTTATAGGATTCTACTCTAGTGTGGTTTTCATATTCGTGGTACTGATATTAGCTAGAACAAGTCAGATTGATTTAGAGAAAATGCTGGCTCAGTGACTCTAGGACTTTTGGTAATGTGCAGTACAAGTTTTCGATATGGTACACTCGTCGCACACCAGGGGTTCGGAACCAATCTTATGAGGATAACATTAAGAAGATTGTGGAATTCAGCACTGTAAGTTTAAAAATACTAATGGAAGTTCATTCTTGAAGCTGTTTGCAATATTATCTTGTTCGTTTCTGAGATATGGCTTTGGTAATTTAGGTTGAAGGGTTTTGGGCCTGCTACTGTCACCTTGCTCGTTCTTCTCTCTTGCCTAGTCCAACAGATCTTCATTTCTTTAAGGATGGGATTCGTCCGTTGTGGGAGGTAGGTGTTTCAATGTACTGATTTTTCTTATTGTGTCTTTTTATGTGGATCATCGATAGAGCGGGAATCTTTTATGCAGAAAAGGTTTCTCGAAAGTTGTATCTCTTACAATAAACCAACTAAAGTAGCTAAATTCATCTCCTTCAGGACGGCGCCAACTGCAATGGAGGAAAGTGGATCATTCGTTTCTCAAAAGTTGTATCTGCTCGCTTCTGGGAGGATCTGGTGAGTTTATTTTCTTGTGGGCACTACTATTTGGAGTATTGACACCTTTCTACTTCATCAAAAAGAAACCCTTTAGTCAATGTTCTTTATTGTCCATTTTCCATACTTAGGGTCTGGGAATCATGTTATATACTCTTCCATTTGTTTGTTTTCTTTAGCTTCTTGCATTGGTAGGCGACCAGCTTGACGACGCTGATAACATATGTGGGGCAGTACTGAGTGTCCGCTTCAATGAGGACATCATTAGTGTATGGAATCGCAATGCTTCTGACCATCAGGTGAGAAAACTGTTCACAAGAAGAAGTTTCCCTCTCTCTCTCTCCCTCCTTTTGTTTGGTACTTACACAGTGCAATGTTTTCTTTAAACAGGCAGTGATGGGTTTGAGAGACTCAATCAAGCGGCATTTGAAGTTGCCCCATGCATATGTCATGGAATACAAGCCCCACGATGCTTCTCTCCGCGACAACTCTTCCTACAGAAACACATGGCTGAGAGGATAGGCTCAAAGTGGACGATTGTATCATGTAATGTGGAGAAGATTTGGGAAGCTCATCTGCAACCTGGGAAGATATCTGGATTGAACCCTGTATCCAATACCATACTGTACCGAAGGCTTACAATACCAGAAAAAAAAAACAAAATCCCGGCAAATTCTGTGTCAGTATGTGCTCAATCGTTTTCTTGTTTCTACATCTTGCTACCTTCAATGGTTTGACTCTTGTTCAAAACTTCATTTTCAATGAAAACTGGAGATTACGTACTGGTTTACATTATGACTCATGTCTTAAACAGTAACAGGATGTCAATATACAATTTCACTTCGTACTATGGTCTCTAATGTACAATCTACTGATGAAAAACTGAGTGTGGCCCTGCTCTGGATAGTCCATTGAACTCAAAAGCTACAGTTTAGCATCTGCAGATGATTGAAGTCCGATGATACCTGGTTCAACATCAAAACATAGAGTGAATTACTTAACACATTGGAAACTAGAAAATAAGAGAAAATGGTGTTGCTCTGTTTTTTTCAAAATCTTAGTAGCAGTACCGCATCCAACTCTCGAGCCTGCGTTTCCCGTTGATTTGCTAAGCTTGTGCCCTCCTGCAGTAACAATCGCAAAAAGAGATCATGGCTCTTTAGCATCGATAAAGCACATCAACCTAAGAACTAATGCCTGGTACTTGATGACAACTACATGAAACTACAGTGATTGCTTTTGAGATAAAACTTCTACAACTCAATTTGCATATTGTGATATTAGACCATATGGATATCCAAAGGCTAAAAGAAGTTCCTACCTTTCCCAAGGTCATCAGGATCAGCATGCACAACAACCGCCCTCCCCAGTATAGAATACTGCCCACTAAGTGGTATCTGTGAATTCAAAGAGAAGTTGAGATAAATGGGGAAACGTCAGAGAGATATATATATGCACAATCTAAGAAGCTTAGGATTTCCAAAAGTAACCGAAGATGTTATTTTGCCAAACATTAAATGGTTGAAAGAGGGAAAAAAGAAGATAATATACCTGTTTGTCTTTGATTGAGATTTCAGCAACACCTGAAAACAAGTCTCATCCACAGAATACTAGCATCATTCTTCAAAGAGCACAAAACCATATATAGAGATGAGAAAAAGATTATACCATCTGATCCTGCAAGAATGTTACCCAAATCGCCTGCATGACGCTCTTCCTCATTCGGTGGCCCGTGAACTCGATTTAATGGATTGAAGTGAGGTCCTGAAAGTTATCATTTTCATGAGAACTCAGTCATATATCACAAAGGAGAAAAACCAAGTAAAAGCAAACATTCATAGCTGAGATTTTTTAAGCTTTGTCTCTGGTTCTATTGTCAGCTAACCAAATTGTTCCTTGAGCCAATTCTTTGGCAACACTAAGAGCCATCCTAAATTAAAATTATGATCCAAACCAATCCATTTACATCAAGATCAAGCAAGATTACTCTTTTCACATGTATATATGTGTTTCAGTCTTTCAGATAAAGATTATTTAAGAGAAACGGTTATAGAACAAGCTACCAAAAAAAAAAAAAAAGTCATCAGAAAGTAAATCAAACCCAGCAGAACTAAAATTGAATACAAGAAACCAACAAACAGAGAAACAGAACCAACCAGTTGAGTTGCAGCCATTTGTGGTATCACCAAAAGAGTGAATATGAAATCCATGGAAGCCAGGAGAGAGTCCTGAGATCTTCCCGGTAACATGAGTGGTCCCTGGTAAACACACAGAGACCACAGCCAAAGCCCAAAATGAGTGACATATAAAACAAGTCCTCATAGATTAAAATGTTTGACGCCGATAAAGGCAGATCACCGAAAGTGTCTTGTACGAATTGAAGACATCCCCGGACGTTGTTGTCGCCGGCGATAAGAGCCACCGCTCTCAGATTGCCTCTAGGAGCTTCCATCGGTTCTGTGTGTTTGGTAATTGATACAAAATGTCTTTATCGGATTATACTAAAACTAAAATTGAGTATTGGTTAAAAATAACTATAAACCGAATCAAACCGGAGCTAAAACTCTCGGTTAAGAGAAATTATAATTCCAAACCGGAGAGAAACAACACAAAAGGTCTCGAGAGGAAACAATGTAACAAACAACAACAATAAGTTAATAACACCATATATAATTAGTGCAGTTTGTTCCTAACACATAAACTAGATTTTGAGAGAGTGATCAAACAACTTCATCATCTCTTATTTGGAGACTTTAACAAGCATCTCGGTGGGTTTGATGAGTGTGAACGTGCAAACATCTCCAATCACTAGACCTAGTTCTTTAGCCAAACGAATCCATCCAGCACAGAATCTTGATTGTGTACCAGCGAGCTTATACATAACATCCCATGACCTTTTTCCTTCCGGATCATGAATCTTGAACATTGTTGCTTCCCTTGGCATATGCAACTCCTCAAACATCTTCGGAACCCCCTGAATCACAAATTTCCTTATTGGATTCATAACTCACATTTATATAACAAACCAATTTGACATTGTAACCAGCATGTTTTTGTCTATCTTACCAAGAAAAAGAGGTATGATTTCTTTATGGTGAGGGTAAATTCTGGAACAAGAGACACATTGTCGTCTTCAGAATCGTTACACATTGTCATCTTCTTCTTCTTCTTTGTAACATGCTTTTGTCTTCTTCCTGTGGATTCAGCTGCTTTGAGACCAGGATAGCTCGATTCAGACCAAGACTCTATCTCTTCTTCCTTCTTCACATCTTCGTAGATGTTCTTCCTTTGTTCTCTCTTGTTCCGACCTGTTTTCATCAAAATCAACCACAAAAGTAAATTAAACACTGTCTCCTTCTTCTTCTCCTTAAGCATGCAATCACATAGATGAACACTTACCGGAACTAGAAGCAATGGTTGCAGATCTGCGCGGTGTAAGTAGCTCCTTACCGTCTATTTGATAGATGTCTACACTAAAGCACATATTTCCTTGGTGCGTGAAGGTAAGAAACTCGTTATTACCTAAACCATTGTCGCTCAAAAACTGATCCCATCCTTTTTTCTCCATAAAGTAGAAGCTTGGGTTTCTACAAATTTTGATAGGCCAAGAGCTTCCCCATGACACTTTTAGCACCATCTTATGCGAGAACTCTTCGTCCGAGATGCTTTTGATGAAGTTTAGAGGGATCCCTCTCTTACAACATACAACAAGAAAAAGATTTGTCAAGAAAGAGTTGAATTATGCAATTAAAGTGACAATCACTGAAAACTTCACATCCACCAAGCACATTGAGGCCAAAGTTTCAAACTTTTGACCTTAATTGATTTGGTCCGATCATTTCACACACAAACCTAACAAGAAATCGGAAAGGAAAAAACAAAACAGAGCAAAATTTCACCAAGAACAGACAGATCTAAGTTAATGAAGACCACATTTACTTTAGAGACCCATTATAACCTTGTAATTACCAAAAGATATGATCTTTCAAATATAAGCTAAATCGGTGATGAATTATGAGAAAATTAATAGAATTAACCATGATTTCAGATGATAAATCTGCCGGTCGAAGGATCTTGAAGAACCCTGGATTCTCTGCATCATCCATAATCTGACCAAAAGCTCTGTTCTTCATTGTTCTCTCTTTCCTTAACCTCTCACTCTATTTCTCACTACTTTTCTCTCGCTCTCTGATTTATGACTCACTAATTCTCTTTCTATTTTTTTCTTCCCTCATAGTACTAAATAGAGGAACTGTGTTTTGTGACTTCAAAGACACGCAAAAAGCAGAGCATTTTGCTAGTTTTAGTAACTTAATTTACTACAATGACAGCGACTAACAACTTCATTTACTCTTTTAAGTCTTAAATATTTCTATTGTTACTGGTTTACAGCCAATTTTTACTTAAATTATATATTTTTATTTACTTTTTAATCTTACACTTTTTTTTAATCTTACACAAAACAGATCGAATTTCTAAAAATTTAAGAACAGATACATTGTATAAGATAGTGCGGAAGATGTAACCTGCATGTATTCCACATCTAATCCGTAGTTAATGCGTAACGTGTCATTGTGATGTTTATGTATAGGATAAAAATGTAATAGAAGTTGGAATCTCTATGCTAATTTTTGTTTCCTATTTTTGGTTACTAAATATTCAAATTTTGATTTATATGTTAGTCTTTAACTAGATATAGATGTGACCTTACGCTTCACGTGGGACTGAATTTGAAAGTTTGAAATTGTTTCTAAACTAGTATTTAGTAAAATCACTTTAAGAATATTAACAATATAAATGAATAAATTTTACGTAATCGAGAACGAATTAAAAGTTCCAAGTGGTAGCAAAATTATTTAGGCCTTTGTTTATCCTCTGAAAATACCTTTTTGTGGCACAAAAACATGCGAGTATGAATTGAAGCTAGCCTTGGCCCTATGACGTTGATTTCGCCGGTTGTGAGTGAGCTGGTTTAGACTTTCGGTTAAGAGTAATTAGATTACCAAACCAGAATAGCCTCCTGGTTAAACCGGATGAAACGAAGCTAAAGCGAAGGGCACAAATGGAATAAGCAGTTAAAACAAAAAAAAAAAAAAGAAATCCGGAGTAAAGTTCGGGGGATTGAACCCGACGTGAATCGAACACGCAACCTTCTGATCTGGAGTCAGACGCGCTACCATTGCGCCACGGATCCGGTTGTTACATGTTACACTTAATTATATTTAATGAAGGTTGAATTAGATGTTAAACACTACAGTTTATTCTATTTAATCAAGGTTGAATTTGTAATTAGAGTAGTTCTTCAAATGGTGAATTTGGTGTTGTCTTTCTTTTTCAACGATCGATCCAAAATGTATTGACATGAATCGTTTCTGTTGCATAAAAATGGTATTTACTCTCTAAACTTTTAGAACAACTCTTTCAAGAAGAAAGAGTAAAAAAGCTCATCTATTTACAATGACTAAATCTATTTCAAACTATGAAGAAAAAAATGTTGGATCAATCATCATTGGAGCCGAGAAGTCACATTGATGAATGTATCTTCAGGACAAGGAATCGTTAAGCCACCCATTGGATGATCAAATCCAAACTCTTCCTCGGATTTACTGAGAAGAGCTTGAAATGAAGGCTGGTTCAAATAGGATATTGGCACCAAATATCTCTTCTTTTGGCTCTCTCCTACGTACACTGCAAGAAAACCTTTTGGTGCTGCAGAGGGTGCTGCGGTGGAGCGGCTTAGAATCTTCTTTGCTCCCAAAAGACTTCTCACCAAAGCCATTTTTTTTTTTAATCTGAAAAGTTTGGATTCCGTTTGAAGCTTTTGAAGATGTATGAAATGATTCAAGTTATTGGATTGCTTGTTGTTGGTTGATGAAAGAAAGAATGAGTTTTGTGTGCTTATATAGAAAGATCAACGAAGGAGTTGAAACCTCTCTGGAAAAATTATTGAAACTTGTGGTCTTGAAGCGTTGGACAGACTAGAACAGAGAACATGGCTTTGTCTATACTATTTGGAAAAGATGCATTAATGAAATTTGTGTTGATGAGATAATCAATTGAGTGTGGGACAATAAACTATAAACAAACTCCATATGCAATTCACAAGGGACTGTTTTCTCAATGTTTTCTAGATAAGACATACTATAGTCAATAATAAAGGCCAGCAAGTTTCTCTTTTCCATGTTCTGTGATGATCCTATTCTCTAATCTCTTTGGTCTAAATGGATTTAATAACAACATAAAGTGGGGACCTGAAGTTGCTCAACAACAGAACAACATTCAACAAGTCTCTGTCACTGGTTAAGTTGGTTCTTTTATGATACCCACAATAGGATATTACATGAAAGTTGTGGTGAAGTCACTGTCGGAGACAAAGGAATGAGCTAAGTTCCCTCTTTAAGGTTTCTTCAAGTACACCATTGTTATGATCTTACTATAAGTAGCTGCTACTGATTCCTTAACAACTATCTTTCACTTACACAATTTCAGGAGAAGAAACATTCAGTTCTTAGAGCTTCATTAATAAGAAATAAAGAGTAATGGCATTGCTGGTTCTTTTCAGGAAAGCAAAGCATGTTTTGGTTTACTTTGAGAAGAGGGAACTTGAGCTAGAAGAGAAACAAAGTAAATCACAAGAAGCAGCCAAGGAAGACAAGAGAAAATGTCATTCGGGTTATAAAAAAGATGTGAAAGCTAAGAGATGAACAAGAAAAACATAAAATCTTCCATTAACATACTCCTGCAGAAAATTCAGATGGATTTTTAGCTTGAACCAAGGAAGCTTTTGACAAGCTGAGCCACAGAATTAGCCAAAGAATCAGCAGCTTCTTGAGTGGATGCTTCTGCTTCACTAATAAGAAAAAAGATCAATGCTTTTGCTGGTTCTTTTCAGGAAAGTAAAGCATGTTTAGGTTTACGTTGAGGAAAGGGAGCAGAAGAGCTAGAAGATAAACAAAGTAAATCACAAGAAGCAGACAAGAAAGACAAGAGAACATGTCATTCGGGTTATACAAAAGATGTGAAAGCTAAGAGATTAACAAGAAAAACAAAAAGTCTCCCATTAACCAAGGAAGCTTTTGACGAGCTGAGCCACAGAATTAGCCAAAGAATCAGCAGCTTCTTGAGTGGATGCTTCTGCATATACTCTCACCACATCTTCTGTACCTGATGGCCTTATAAAAGCTCTGCCACGCGGGTACTTGTTGATTTCAGAATTAATAGCATCTTGAATCCCCAAAGGTCTCAGAGCCTCCGTTTCTTCGCTTGTGGTCACAACCGCTGTTCTGTCTGGAACTTCGACCTTGATCTGTCTGCTAGGAAGGTCCTTGTATAGTACATTCCACTTCTGTATTGACGATCCCATGTGTTGCAGAATCACTTCAACCAAGAGCACTCCACTTAGAGCATCACCAACCGCTTGGTTGATCAGGTTACTCACCGCTACTAGTCTAGAAACCGCTTTGTGTTCTTCTGAACCACCCTGACCTTTGTCCGTAAGATCTTTTTGTTTGGAAACTAACCAAGATATGAAAGATTCCGAGAAGAGTATAGTCCCGTGGCCATTAGCTTCAAAGTAGATCCCGATATCAAACTCTGCTGCTTTCTCGTGTAAATGCTTTACCCCAGTTTTAGCGAAAACAACATCTAAACCCAACTGCTTTAGGTAATCAGTGGATGCACCATTCGCATAAGCTGTCTGCACAACACCAAGACGAGACTGCTTCCCTTCTTTATCATCACCAAGAATGTTTAATTGCTCTTTGATGAAGAGAGCAAACAAAGACAGAATCTTATCGCCGTCTAGTAGCTCAACCTTTTCAGAAGACTCTGAAGGAATGTAAAAGTAAACCAATCGATCTGCATCACCATCCAAACTCGCACACCTCATCCCAACATCCTTAGACCCAAATCCTAAAGGCAAAACCTTTTCTTTCTGCACAAAATCAGCACCTACACCTTCATTAAGCACACCACCATCTCTCCCTGTGTTACGAATCTCAAGATCAAGATTGCTCAAAGACCCTCTTAGCTCCTCAATCTTCTGTCCACCTACACCATTAGCACCATCTACAAGCAATTTGCTAATCTCTAACTTATCATTTCCACTAACTGGAATCAGATCAATCAAACACATAAATGAAGTAGAGAGATTCTCAAAGTAATCATTCTCAGTTGCCTTAAGACCTTTATTCTTAGCTCTAACCATCCAATGCAATTGCGGAGTTGTCAAAATCCCAATGTCAATCGCTACAGATCCCAAAATTGAACCAACTCCAATCTCCGCAGCTCGGAGAAGCGATTCACCACTAGGTCTTGTATCTCTTCCCAACCAAACCTCTGCACCTTTATTCTTCTCTCCGATCATAATCTCTTCCTTCTCCATGAATTCTCTAATCAATGAAACGAGTTCTTGAGGAGAAGATGCGTTAGCGATCTGATCTGCGAAAGGCTCCCATTCCTGAGAAAGCATACCTCCAGATGGATCTGAAACTTTAATGCCATTGTCAGAGACTTTGTTATGCGAAGCTGTGATCATAAGCCCGACGGTGGCTGATCCAAGCTTAAGCGATCGGAGAGCTGAGAGAATCCCAACTCTATAGACAGTTGATTCAAGCAACTTTGCATCGCCTCGGAACCCAGCTGTTCCATACGAAAGCTTGACGCTTTGAGGAATCGGAAAAAGCTCAGATGATTTGAGGAGTGAAGCAATTTGGATCTCGTCCATGGCGCTTGTGAGAGAAACAGAGAGGAGGACAAAATGAAGCTAATCAACGTATAAAGGAAGCTTTTGTATTTGATCTTTTTGACATAAAAAGGAAGCTTTTTTATTTGACTATAAATGTTACATTAGTCTAGTGGAAGAGTTTTATATGTACAAGATTGGTGACTAACAAGAATAATCGTTTGATGGTTATGTGTTTATCCTTTTTCCTGTTTCTTTTTGTATATAAAGATGATTGCAAAGACAAAGATCTTCCTGCTACCTGAAGAAGTTTTGAGACGTTTATGCGCACTTGTAGGAACTTCTTTATAGATGTGTTTCACTTGAAGCTATCTGATTTGTCTTTTCTGGCTCAGAGAAGCTCAGCTAATTTCAACTCTTGCTCAACATTTTGATCTCATCTGATGGTCACTCTGATCGTGGTGGTTGGATGAAGAAGCTGAAGTTCTTGCAGATATATCCACATGGATGTGACAACCTGACAGGTTAGTCGTCCTTGCATTTCAATCAATTTTAAATTTCATCACATGAGATTATGTCCTTTGAACATAAATGTGTCATTCTTGTTCTCTTGGTAGGCAACTTGAGGTCCCACCACATCATTAAGAAACTAACCTGCTAATGTTTTATTATAGACAAGAAAAGATTGCAATATTATATCAATTAGCTTTCATTGCTTGTCAATTGTCATATATCATATCTGGAAAACAAAATCATGTAAAACTCAGTTCTTGTATGTCCCACGCTTGTAGACCACAGTTTTATTGATTTCAGTGTGGGTTTAACTCCTTCATTGATCTATTTATACATCCAGAAACAGAACCAGCTCTTCACATCACCAAGAAGTAAAGCAGTATCCAAAGCTTGACTCTAAGCATTTAACTTGTTATCCTCAATCCATCTTTAGTTTACATTTTGAGAGATTAGATATGGCTCTGGTGCGAGGTCTTTTCGGTGCAAAGAAGATTCTGAGCCGTTCTGTAACGGCTACAACACCAAAAGGATTTCTTGCGGTGTATGTGGGTGAGGACCAGGTCCAGAAGAAGAGATATATGGTGCCACTCTCATACTTGAACCAGCCTTCATTTCAAGCTCTTCTCAGTAAATCCGAGGAAGTGTTTGGGTTCGATCATCCGATGGGTGGCTTAGCGATCCCTTTTCCTGAAGATGCCTTCATCTCTGTAACTTCTGCGCTACAGGGAAGATGATCCGGAAAGAAGATAGGTCTAACATTACTTAGCTCGAGTTAGAGATATAGTTTATTCAATGTAAATAGGTCAAACCTTTTTCCTCAAAGAAAGAGTTGTTCAAGAGGTAACCAATACTCAAATGTGAAATGTCAATTTTTTTTGTGTGGGAAACAATGGTGCTAATGCGAATTGCAGAAAGTTTTCAACGAATAGCTTCATCTTGATGATTGGGATTTGGGAGGTGCAATGCCCAATTGGTGTCACATTTAGCAGATGGATAGTAGCGATAGATAAGTTCTTAAACATATGAAAGTCTCATAAAACAATCTTATCTTCAGACCACAAACAGGGTTTCACAACAAGCATACGGTTTTCAAGATACTTAAAAGCAGAAAATAAGTCTGATAAAACATTCTTAAAAAAGGACCAACATAGAGGTTCCAGAACTAGAAGAACTCAGCTCTTGTTTAGTTGACAGATAAGCGTGGGATACAGAAGTCAACAAGCAGACCTGTTGGCTCTTTCACCTGAGACTCCTCGTCACCATTAAGCTGGACAAACATACGCCTCATACACACTTTGACAAATGAAGTCTTCTTCTTGTAACAGATCTTCACCGTCGCAACAAATTTTCCCTCAGACTTATCCACTGCGACTATGATGGCATCTCTAAGTCCAACATAACTTGATCCATTGCTTGACGGGCCATCGTAAAGCCCCTACCACACAATAAAAAGTTGAACAAGATTAGATCAAAACTTTGTCAATAATCTCTGAAAATTTTGAAATTGAACTAACAACACTTTACCTCTCCAACACGATCAATCTCTGGACTGAATAAATGGAGTCTTGCTCCCACCGGTTGTTGCTTCAACAGCTTCAATGCTTCATCCAAACTCTTAGTCTCAACCACTTCTCCTTTCATAGGCACGCGAGGAATGTGACAAGCAAATGGTGGAGCCTTGAACGTACATCCCACATGTGCCCAATGTTCTCTTCTCGGTAGCCCTTTCTTGAAAGCACATTCAAGGCAGTCTTTGACGGTGAGATGTTGCTCCCTTTCTCCCTGTACATCTTCCCTCTTGTTCCAAACGTTCGCCTCCATATACTGAAGGAGGTTTTCGATAGTGAGCTGCGAGCTTTGTTGATCCATTTCTCCCTGGTCGTCTTCCTTCCCAGCGTTATCCACCAAATACTGAGCTGAGTACTCAGTATACCCAGAGTCAAGTTTGAAGATAACCCGTGCAGAGCTAATCAGATTCACCGCTACCATAGCTGCATGTTGAGATGCATCTGCAAGACAAAAAGAGATGAAAATGTTGTAGTCAATCCATATGATTCTTTCAAAGGACTAGACTGAACATGTTATATTAAAAACAGGAGTAAACTATCAGTTAAACTCATTCACAGTTTCTTTAAATGATACGAAGAAAGTAATTTTCTCTAGATTCAAGATTTGATAATTTACCGTAATCTTCTTGCTCACTACTTGCTTTTTCGCAATCTGGGTGACAGAGGCCACGAGTCCTTGACATAGATAGCATGAATAGCTGATTCATATCCATCTTCGATTACTTATCCCTGGTTTGAAGTAGAATCCAGAAGAAGAACAACATTCAGAAATCGAGCAGAATCAAGTAGATACAGCAAAAGGAAAAACAAAACAAGACCTAACTAGCTAAAAGCATAAAACAGGGTTTCAAGTTTTGACATAAACATAACCATTTCTAGTTGTAGAGGAAAAATCGTCGAAGGAGAAGCTTTAGACTAAACCAAACTAACGATGATAGCTTCCTTTAACAAGGAATAACTCTAACCTAACGAAGGATTCAGCATCGATCATCCAAGAGAAAAAAGTTAGAACCCTAAAAGTTCATTTCTGTTCACAAATCGCACTGAGAAAGGCCAAATCACAGAGAAAAATCCTTAACAAACCCAAAACAAGCTAAAAGAATCCAACAGAGAAAGAAAAATTCGAGAGAAAGTTACCCGAGACACAGAGAATCAGAAGAGACACTCGCAATCGCAATCGCCGTCGCGTAGAGAGAAAATCAGAGAATGTTCGCGAAACTCTCACAGCCCTCGCGAAACCCATTTCATCTCAGCTTAGTCCCGAAACGACGTCGCTGTGTGACTTCAACTTTATTCCTCAATATGACGCCGTTTGCCATATTTCCTTAACGACGCCGTTTTATTTTGAGATTGCCAATGTTCCCAAGTCTTAAACAACAGAGCTTTTAATCTTCTTTGCACCCAGTAGACTTCTCGCCAAAGCCATTTCTATATTTTTATCTGAAAAGTTGAAATTCTTTTTAAGCTTCTGAAGATGTATGAAAGATTCAAGTTATTGGATATATTGGTTGGTGTTGGCTGATAATAGAAATAGTGGGGTTATGTGTGTGTATATACAGAAATATCAATGAAGGAGTTGAAACTTCTCTGAAAAAATCATTGAAACTTGTGGTCTTGAAGCGTGGGACAGACTAGAACAGAGCTCACATGGTTCTCTCTTTACAATCTATAAAACATGCATTCATGAAATTTGTTTTGATGAGATAATTAATTGCGTTTGGGACTATAACTAAAAACAAACTCCATATGCAATTCACAAAAGGACTGTTTTTCAATGTTTCAAAAGATAAGACATGTTGTTATGTTGTTGAACAACATCAGTACCCACTATAATTTCTTATTAAATCCATTTAGAATTTTAGACCACAGATATTAGAGACTGGGATCATCACAGAACATGAAGAACAAAAACTTGCTGGCTGTTATTGACAATTGCATGTCTTATCAAATATTGAGCAAACAGGTCCTTGTGAATTGCATATGGAGTTGTTAATTATCTCATCAAGACAAATTTCATTAATGCATCTTTTACAAATGGTAGAGACAGAACCATGTGAACTCTTGCTCTAGTTTGTCCCACGCTTCAAGACCACACGTTTCAAGGATTTTTCGGAGAAGTTTCAACTCATTCATTATCTTTCTATATATACACACATAACCCATTCTTTTTATAATCAACCAACAACAAGCAATATATCCAGTAACTTAATCTTTTCTTTCATCTTCAGCTTTTGCTTCAAAAAGAAAGAAAACTTTCAGACAAAGAAAGAAATTATAAATGGCTCTGGTGAGAAGTCTACTGGGTGCCAAAAAGATTCTAAGCCGCTCCACCGCAGCAGTCTCAGCGGCACCAATAGGGTTTCTTACAGTGTACGTAGGAGAGAGCCAGAAGAAGAGATATTTAGTGCCACTCTCATACCTGAACCAGCCTTCGTTTCAAGCTCTGCTCAGTAAATCTGAAGAAGAGTTTGGGTTCGATCATCCGATGGGTGGCTTAACGATCCCTTGTCCCGAAGATACCTTCGTCAATGTGACGTCTCGGCTCCAATGATGATGATCCAGCATTTGTTTTTCCGAGTTAGACATAGACTTATTCATTGTAAATAGATCTTTTCTCTTTCTTCTTGAAACAGTAATTGTTCTAAAAGTTTAGAGAGTGGATGCCATTTTTGTGCAACTGATACACACGATCATGTCAATACATTTTGGAATGATCTTTGAAAACTAAAGACCACAACATTTGAAGAACCTTTAGTTATAGTTAAATCATGGTTAGAAAAATATAAGTTTCCCTATTTATCATCTGGATCCTTGCCGCAATGGTGGCACGTCAAGTTCAAAATACCGATCACTTTCTCTCTTGTTATCCGCTATCTTCATATTACCCCAATATCTAGCTAAAGATTGTTACATAACCAAATGCTTACAGGTGCAATTTCAAAGACATGCAAGAAAATCCTTGTGGTGCCATTGAGGCTGCGAATAATCTTTTTTGCATACATAAGACTTCCCATCAAATGCATTTCCATGATTTTAAAAGTCTAGGAGTTCTAAGATTATTCTGAAGATTACTATTCAATATTTTGGATTGCTTGTTGTTGATGACATGATGAGTTTGTTTTGTTTCGGTATATAGATGAATCAACGAAATCAGATGAAGTTGTGGTTTTCAGATGTTAGTTAATCTATAAATGGATTACTGATTGACTGTGGGACAAGCAACATTGTTCTATTAATTCTCCATGTTTTGTAATGATTCTCTGGTTGGTCCTTTCCCCTATAGAAAGAGTTGTTCAAGAGGTTACAATACCCAAATGTGAATGTCATTTTTTTTGTGTGAGAAACAATGGCCAAATGGTGTTAATGCTAATTGCAGCAAGTGTTCTACGAAAAGCTCATCTTGCTGCTTTATATATAATGTATAAATGTTCTTATCAGTCCAGATTTCCTCGAGGATTTGCTTATATCTTCATTAAGTTTTATATAACAATCTCGATTTGGAGTAATCTTGACACCTCACTTGGATATAAACAGTAACAACGAAATAGCTATAACTATTGTATACAAAAATGGCATGTTCCATTGTGTTAAAATCATGGTGACTCCCTGCACAATAAGACCTACTTTTAACCAAAAAAAACACAGCCATTTAAAGGTGACTAAGAAAAGGATGATGATTGGGATTTGGGAGGTAATTGGTGTCACATTAAGCAGATGGATTCTAAATAAATATGAAGAAAGTAGCGATCCACTTCTTAAAACACAGATAAAAGTCTCATAAAACAATCTTAAATTCTGACCACAAGCAGAGTTTCACAACAAGCATACTGTTTTCAAGATACTTAAAGCAGAAAAAAAGTCTGATAAAACATTCTTAAAATAGGACCAACAAAGAGGTTCCATAAACTAGCAAATACTTCCCAAGATTTCAGCTCTTGTTTAGTTGACAGATAAGCGTGGGATACAGAAGTCAACAAGCAGACCTGTTGGCTCTTTCACCTGAGACTCCTCATCACCATCAAGCTGGACAAACATACGCCTCATACATACTTTGACAATTGAAGTCTTCTTCTTGTAACAGATCTGCACTTTCACAACAAATTTTTCCTCGGACTTATCCACTGCAACTATCATGGCATCTCTAAGTCCAACATAGCTTGATCCATTACTTGACGGGCCATCGTAAATCCCCTACCACGCAACAAAAAAGTTGAACAAGATTAGATCAAAACTTTGTTATCAATCTCTGAAAAAACTTCGAAATTTAACTACCAACACTTTACCTCTCGAACACGATCAATCTCTGGACTGAATAAATGGAGTCTTGCTCCCACCGGTTGTTTCATCAACAACTTCATTGCTTCATCCACAGTCTTAGTCTCAATCACTTCTCCTTTCATGGGGACGCGAGGAATGTGACAAGTAAATGGTGGAGCTTTGAACGTACATCCCACATGTGACCAATGTTCTCTTCTTGGTAGCCCATTCTTGAAAGCACATTCAAGGCAGTCTTTGACGGTGAGATGTTGCTCCCTTTCTCCCTGCACATCTTCCCTCTTGTTCCAGACGTTTTCCACCATATACTGAAGGATGTTTTCGAAAGTGAGCTGAGAGCTTTGTTGATCAATTTCTCCCTCGTCGTCTTCCTTCCCAGCATTATCCACCAAATACTGAGCTGAGTACTCAGTCCTCACAGCGTCGAGGTTGAAGATAACCCGTGCAGAGCTAATCAGATTCACTGCTACCATAGCTGCATGTTGAGATGCATCTGCAAGACAAAAAAAAAAGATGAAAATGTTGTAGTCAATTCATATGATTCTTTCAAAGGATTAGATTGAACCTGTTATATTAAAATCATTCACAGTTTCTTTAAATGATGCAGAGAAAGTAATGTTCTCTAGATTCAAGATTTGATCATTTACCGTAATCTTCTTGCTCTTTACTTGCTTTTACGCAATCAGGATGACAGAGGCCGCGAGTCTCTGCCATAGATTGCATGAGTAGCTGATTCATATTCATCTTCGATTACTTATCCCTGGTTTGAAGTAGAATCAAGCAGAAGAACAAATTCAGAAATCCAGCAGAATCAAACAGAAACACACGCATTCAGAGTTCCAGCAGAGAAAGCAAAAGGAAAAACAAAACAAAGACCTAAGTAGCTAAAAGCATAAACAGGGTTTCAAGTTTTGACATAAACATAAACCATTTCTACTTGCAGAGCAAAAATCGTCGAACAAGTAGCTTTAGACTAAACCAAACTAACGTTGATAGCTTCCATTAACAAAGAATAACTCTAACCTAACCAAGAAAAAAAGTTAAAACCCTAAAAGTTCATTTCTGTTCACTAATCGCACTAAGAAAGGCCAAATCACGGAGCAGAATCTGTAACAAACCCAAAACAAGCTAAAAGAATCCAACAGAGAAAGAAACAAATGAGAGAAAGGTACCGGAGATCTCACAGAGAGACGATAATCAGGAGACAGTCGCAATCGCCGAGAGAAAGCTACTCAGAGAGTGTTCGCGAAACAGTCACAAAGCCCCTCGAGATGCCCTATTTCACCTCAGCTTTGTCACAAAACGCTGTCGCTTTTGTGACTTCCAACTTTTAATCCTCGAGACGACGTCGTTTGCACAGTTTTACGTAAAACGGCTCCGTTTTGAGATTGCCAATGTTTCAAGTCTTGACCAACATGGACAACGATCGTATAAGTAATTTCAGTGATCTCACTACACAACTAAATTACTCCAAAGCTAGCTAGAGATTGTTATATAATTTCCGTGATCTCACTTGGTTTTTTTTTTTTTTTTTTTTGATAAACCCTATCGGCTATCCGGTCGGCCCCGGTAAAAACGCACCGAGGTGCTACATAGTGGACTGGTCCACCGATCTCACTTGGTTTTATTTAACAACAATTATAATATAATAAAAGAGTTCTTCAATTGGTGTTATACTTTCTTTTTCAATTATCGATCCAAAATGTGTTAACATGAATTATGATTGTGTGTATATAGCATCAAAACTGCTTCCACTTCCAAAAAAATAATAAGAACTCTTTCAAGAAGAAAGAGAAAGAAAGGAAAAGGAATAATCCTCTATTTACAAGGAACAACTCTATATCTAACTCGAAGAACACTATGTTGGATAATCATCACTTGAGTCGAGAAGTCACATTGATGAAGGTATCTTCGGGACAGGGGATCGTTAAGCCACCCATCGGATGATCGAACCCAAACTCTTCTTCGGATTTACTGAGCAGAGCTTGAAAAGAAGGCTGGTTCAAGTATGAGACCGGCACTAAATATCTCTTCTTCAAGCTTTCTCCAACGTACACTGCAAGAAACCCTTTTGGTGCCGACGAGGTTTCTATTTTGCTCATAGAAGCTGCTGCGGTGGAGCGGCTTAGAATCTTCTTTGCACCCAATAGACTTCTCACCAAAGCCATTTCTATTTTTTTGGGTGAAAAGTTTTGAAACTTATTTAGATGTATGAAAAGATTCTAGTTATTGGATATATTGCTTGTTGTTGTTGGTTGATGATAGAAAGAATGGGGTTATGTGTGTATATATAGAAATATCAATGGAAGGAGTTGAAACTTCTCTTAAAAAATCATTGAAACTTGTGGTCTTGAAGACTTGAAGCGTGGGACAAACTAGAGCAAGAGTTCACATGGTTCTGTCTTTACAATCTAGAAAATATGCATTAATGAAATTTGTCTGGATGAGATAATTAAATGAGTTTGGGACATTAAACTAAAAACAAACTCCATATGCAATTCACAAAGGACTGTTTTCTCAATGTTTTTTAAAGATAAGACTTGTTGTTCTGTTATTGAACAACATCAGTACCCACTATAATTTATTATAATCCGTTTAGAATTTTAGACCACAGAGATTAAGGAATGGATCATCACAGAAAATGAAGAACAAAAACTTGCTGGTTATTATTGACAAATTGCATGTCTTATCTAAAAAAACATTGAGCAAACAAGCCCTTGTGAATTGCATACGGAGTTTGTTATATATCTCATCAAGACAAATTGCATTAATGCATCTTTTCCAAATGGTAGAGACAGAACCATGTGAACGCTCTAGGTTGTCCCACGCTTCAAGACCACAAGTTTCAAAGGATTTTTCAAAGAAGTTTCAACTCATTCATTAATCTTTCTATATATATGCACATAACCCATTCTTTTTTATCATCAACCAACAACAAGCAATATATCCTATAACTTGAATCTTTTCATACATCTTCAGATCTAGCTTCAAAAAGAATTCAAATTTCCAGACAAAGAAATAAATTATAAATGGCTCTGGTGAGAAGTCTACTGGGTGCAAAAAAGATTCTAAGCCGCTCCACCGCAGCAGTCTCGGCGGCACCAAAAGGGTTTCTTGCAGTGTACGTAGGAGAGAGCCAGAAGAAGAGATATTTAGTGCCACTCTCATTCCTGAACCAACCTTCTTTTCAAGCTCTGCTCAGTAAATCCGAAGAAGAGTTTGGGTTCGATCATCCAATGGGTGGTTTAACGATCCCTTGTCCTGAAGATACCTTCATCAATGTAACTTCTAGGCTCCAACGATGATGATCCAACATTTTGTTTTTTCGAGTTAGATATAGACTTATTCGTTGTAAATCGATTTTTTCTCTTTTTTCTTGAAAGAGTTGTTCTAAAACTTTAGAGAATGGATGCCATTTTTGTGCAACCAACACGATCATGTCATGGTTTCATTTATTTGGAGAGCAAGAAAATATTTAAGGCATAAGCTTTCTTCAAGTACTAATTATGACATGATAATATGATCTTCTTATACAAGTATCTCTTCTCTCACTTAACCATTTCAGGAGATAAAAAAATCTTCCAATCTTTGAACATTATTTAGATAAGTAAAATAATAATATTGTATTTTGTTTCTTGAAAAAAGATATAAGAAAAAATAAGTTTAAAAGAAAATAGTAAAAAATACCACACGCTAAAACCGAAAATGAATACAAATTTAAAAAGAAAAAGTGTGATATTGGCTAACTTTATCCAATTTAATTACTCGTTTCTTAGCTTTACTTACCTTGATACTTTATCAAAAACGCGTTGGATTTTAAGAAGTCCAACCCTTAAAATCCACCTATATATACGAAATCACTTTTTCTATTGGCCTAGCTGAAATCAAGTCTTCAACGCGTTTTTTTATATATTCGATCTTCCTACATCTCTCAAAAGTAGTTTTTTCAGTTTTGCTCTAAAGATCATTCGTTGTTCCCCTTAGATTATTCCTATAATATATAGATCCTTGAACTTTTGGTCTGATTTGCGTTTTCTTTGTCTCACAGAACAAGAAAAGAATAAATATGTCGATGGTTAAATACTACGATAAAGAGGAACATATTGGGTTTCGGTTTCATCCTTCTGACCAAGAACTCATCCTCCGTTATCTCGGGCCTAAGGTTGCCAAAAGATCAAATAAAGAATTTGAACTAGAAGACAAGACCGACCTCTATGCCAAAGAGCCGTGGCGGTTGACTCACACAGAGACTGACTTTTTCGAACCTAACGAGTGGTTCTACTTCGTAAAACTGAATCATCTCTCTGAAAATGTCACTGGAAAACGCATGAGCCTCAAAGTCAAAGGAGAGACGTGTGATGGATGTTGGAAACCCTCTGGGAAGTTGAGAGATATCGTGTTGGAAGATACCGGTGAAGTGATTGGGAAGAAGAGGAGTCTCAGTTTCTACGTCAAAGGTGAGAGTAACGCGAGTGGTTGGACCATGACGGAATACTATCTCCAAGACGGTGGCTCATTCCATTATCAAGTTCTCTGCCACCTTAAAGGACCATGATTATGTGTCTTGGTGAATTTTCAGTGAATAGGATGACTTCTACTTCTATTTTATTTTACTATGTTTAGTTTGAAAATTACTTTTGTAGGCTTATTTATTTAGATTCCTCATAAAAACTTTAAATGTAAGGAGAATCTCATATGTTTTCTTCTTTATTTAAAGACATAAGATCATTAAAGTTTTTATGAGGAGCTTTGTAACTGTTTACCTGCAGCTTGATTTCATAAACGGAAAAACATTTTCTTAATCTAATGAAACTTTTGAATAAACCTTGTATCCATTTTCAAAGCTTTTCGAACAACTCTTTCAACAAGAAAGAGAAAAAAGAAAAATAAAATCCTCTATTTACAAGGAACAAGCCTATCTTTAACCCGGAAGAACCAAATGTTGGATAATCATCATTGGAGCCGAGAAGTCACAGTGATGAAGGTATCTTCAGGACAAGGGATCGTTAAGCCACCCATTGGATGATCGAATCCAAACTCTTCCTCGGATTTACTGAGAAGAGCTTGAAATGAAGGTTGGCTCAAGTATGAGAGCGGCACCAAATATCTCTTCTTCTGGCTCTCTCCTACGTACACAGCAAGAAACCCTTTTGGTGCCGCCGAGGCTGCTGCGGTGGAGCGGCTTAGAATCTTCTTTGCACCCAATAGACTTCTCACCAAAGTCATTTCTATTTCTTTTGTCGGAAAGATTGAATTCTTTTTGAAGGCCCAGCAAGTTTCTTTCCTCCATGTTCTGTGATGATCATATTATCTCATGCCTGTCTGTGGTGTAATTTAATAAGAACTTAAAATTGGGACCTGTAGTACCTCAACAACAGAACAACAAGTCTTTGTCAAGGGTTAAGTTGTTCTTTTTTGATATCCACAAAATAGGACCACACATGACAGTTATAAGTAAGAGATTGAATATCTCCTTTCTTCTCTGCATTTATTATAAAAACATGGAGAAAACAGAATCATGTGAAATTCTGTTTATGTATGTCCCAGGGTGGTTTGAAGCCCATCAATCTATTTATACATCTAGAGATAGAACTAACTATTCAATACGAAGCTTGAATCTGAGCATCTAGATTTTTCTTAGAAGCTTCAAATTTAGATTTTCCAGACACAAGAAATGGCTTTGTTCAGAGGTCTCTTGGGTGCAAAGAAGAGTATCGGTTTTTCTGTAGAGGCTACCAGCAAAAGGACAACTTCAGCACCAAAGGGGTTTCTTGCGGTGTACGTTGGCGAAGACGAGGTCCAAAAGAAAAGATATTTGGTGCCAGTCTCATATTTAAACCAGCCTTCATTTCAAGCTCTTCTCCGTAATTCCGAGGAAGAGTTTGGGTTAGATCATCCAATGGGTGGCTTAACTATCCCTTGTCCTGAAGATACCTTCATCAATCTGAATTCTCAGCTCTAATGAAGATGTTCCAGAAGAAGGAAAAACTAACACTAGTGAGAGATAGAATATTCAATGTAAATACTTATATTAGCTCTTTTCCTCTTTCTTTGTGAAAAGAGTTGTTCAATAGGTTACAATAGTCAAAATGTGAATGTCATGTTTTGTGTAAGAAACAATGGCGTCAATAATAATACTTCATCTTGCTGTCGTGTATATAATGTGTAAATATCCTTATCACCGAGAGGATCTTGACGTTAAGGCTAACATCACAGTGATTTCCTCACGATGTTTACACTTAAGTACTTAAGTTGGTTCAAAGACAAGCAAGGCATGGAAGATCTCATTACTGTTATACTGTTGTAAGAAACTCAAGGGATATCTATTTTGATGAGTGTGTGTGTTCTTTTTCTGTTTTATCTAACAAAAGATTGGATACTCTTCTGGAATCGATTAATGAGATCGAGAGATGATTGTTAATAACATGGCCCCTCTGTTGAACAACTTTCTTAATGTGTGATTCTATTTGGATATATTATCAAAAAATAACAACTTAAAGAGTGACAGAGACTAGTTGTTCTGTTGCTGAGAAAATTCAGGTCCCCACTTGTAAGTTCTTATTAAATCCATTTAGACCACCGAGATTAGAGAATGGGATCATCACAGAACATGGAGAATAGAAACTTGCTGGTCAATATTATTGAGAGTAGCATGTCTTATCTAAAAAACATTGAGAAAACAGTCCCTTGTGAATTCCATATGGAGTTTGTTTTTAGTTTAATGTCCCACACTTAAATTATCTCATCAAGACAAATTGCATTAATGCATCTTTTTCAAATGGTAAAGAGACAGAGCCATGTTCTCTGTTCTAGTCTGTCCGACGCTTCAAGGCCACAAGTTTCAATGAATTTTCAGAGAGGTTTCAACTCCTTCGTTGATCTTTCTATATATACACTCATAACGCATTCTTTCTTTCATCAACCAACAACAAGCGATCCAGTTTCATACATATCTTAAGAAGCTTCAAAAGAAGTCAAACTTTTCAAACCAAAAATAAAAGATGGCTTTTGTGAGAAGTCTTTTGGGAGCAAAGAAGATTCTAAGCCGCTCCACCGCAGCAGCCTCAGCGGCACCAAAAGGGTTTCTTGCAGTGTACGTAGGAGAGAGCCAGAAGATGAGATATTTGGTGCCAATCTCATATTTAAACCAGCCTTCATTTCAAGCTCTTCTCAGTAAATCCGAGGAAGAGTTTGGGTTCGATCATCCGATGGGTGGCTTAACAATTCCTTGTCCTGAAGATACCTTCATCAATGTGACTTCTCGGCTCCAATGATTGATCCAACATTTTTTTCTTCATAGTTAGAAATAGACTTATTCATTGTAAATAGATGAGCTTTTTTACTCTTACTTCTTGGAAGAGTTGTTCTAAAAGTTTAGAGAGTAAATGCCATTTTTATGCAACAGAAACGATTCATGTCAATACATTTTTGGATCGATCATTGAAAAAGAAAGACCACTTGAAGAACTACGTAATTATAATTTGATCATGATTAAAAAGAATTAAGTGGAACATATAACATCCGGATCCGTGGCGCAATGGTAGCGCGTCTGACTCCAGATCAGAAGGTTGCGTGTTCGATTCACGTCGGGTTCAATCCCCCGAACTTACTTCCGGAAATCATTTTTAGCTCCAGATTTTGTGCTTTTGTTGTGTTCCACAACGAGCTAACATATTCGATAATCTATTTTTAGATTTTTGGGTTTATCAAAAACGAAATTAATATGCTTAAACATAAATATTACAGTACGACTTTAAAAGCGATATTATTGTAGTCTGTTACTAGCAAAAGGATACATGTTCATCTGTATATTATCTAGAAATTAGGGTTTGATGAAAGTATAATCGTGTTGCGATCCGCCATGGATTCAGAGAAAGAGAAAACGGGAGAGATCATCCGAGGAACATCACAATCTTCCTCGCTAATACGACCACTCATCCAGTGGTACCTACCCAACAGAGGAATCTTCTTAACCGAAAATGCTGCTTCCGTGGCAAGAAGCTTCTACGCCAAGCACACGCAGTCAAGCCCTAAACAGTTAAGGACATCCTTACATGATGATCAAAACCATGTCACCGAGAGAAGATTCTCTGGCTCTATTCCTCTGGATCTATCGTGGGAGATACTCTCAAAAGTGCCTGCCAAATCGATTGTGAGATCTCGTTCTGTCTCTAAGCTCTGCTCTTCCGTCACTACCCATCCATATTTCATCAACTCGTTTCCTGCTCTGTCCTCAAAGCCGTGTGTTCTGCTAGTCTTCCAAAAGGGTGAGACGCTATTCGTTTTCTCGTTTCCGCAACACCAATATCCCATCGATCCTTATTCACAAGTGGAGCGTTATGAAGTGATAAACCCTAATAATCGTCACTTCGCCTGTTCCGATTCACTCCGCGGCTTGATCTGCTTCGAGAGTTCTAAGCAGCTCGTGATTTGGAACCCTACCATGAGACGGTTCTTAACTTTACCTGAACCTGAAAACAGCAGTTTGAGATACGTTAGAGGGTTTTTAGGATATGATCCAATAGAGTGCCAACACAAAGTACTAAGCTTTCTTGCAAACGAAGGGATTCGAGTTCTAACATTGGGAGCTCAAGAATCATGGAGGATGATCGAAGCTAGTCCTCTACATTATATTTGCCTGCCCCTACTAAAGGCTACGCGCAATGCATTAACGGAATTTTGTACTATGAAGCTTTTTGTGGTTTGACTCTGAAGCATGCAATAATGAGCTTTGATCTCAGGTTTGAAACGTTCAATTTAATTGAATTTCCGATGAATGATCACATTCGCGGTTTATTGGTAACTTATGAGGGAAGGTTAGCTCTAGTTAATTCTATGCGCACTGGTATTAAAATATGGATTATGGAGGATGGAGAGAATCAGAAATGGTCATTTAAACACGTTATGTACCCTACCTCTGTCAAAATTTCGCGGACTCTAGATTTGAAGGGTGTTACTGATGATGGTGAGCTTGTTTATACACCAAGGAGTTTGTCTAAGTCGTTCCATGTTGTGTATTTTGATCTGAAGAGAAAGAGTATAAGAGAAACTAAGTTTAAAGGAATTGCATGTGACTTATTTAGGAAACTTAAGGGACTTGGATATGGTCCTCTAAATGATTTAGATGTTTTCCCAAATCACATTGAGAGTCTCTTGTCCTTGTAAGAACATTCACATGCATCTCGTTGCTCTTGATCATTCATCTATGAGATTTTGAGATTGTTTGATGTCTTTAGGTTTTCTTGTAAAGATTTGTAATCATTCCTTAATTTCAATATATATTTATCCCAGCATGTTACATAACAATGTGGATAGTGCAAACTATATTGTTGAAGTCTGTAAAAACAGAGACTGCTCTGTTTTTGACATTTGTCATGCGAGCCACGTTTCCTTCTTCATATTCAAGAACGGACAAAAGCAAACAAAGAGAATCACAATCAAGAACAGAACTTGACAGCCATTTGATTTGGAAAAGACTTAATGAAAAAATGTAAGGAACATTTGGTACTAGTGTTTTAAGAAATGAACTAAACAGTTAAGTTATAAAAGTTCAATAAGAAAACAAAATGATAAAGTTTATACAAAGTATTGAAATTAATAATATGCAAACATCTTATATTTTGTTCTTCCAATAAAATATTGATTTTTATATTAAAGTTGGGAAAAAAGGAAAAAATATATTAATTTTGTACTTAGATACGAATTAGGGTTTAAGTCTTGTCAAGCAATCCGCCATGGATCCAAAGGATGAAAAAGCGGGAGAGATTTACAGAACTTCACATGATGGTAATGATGATGATAGTCATGATAGATCTCATGACGTCAATAGAATAATCTCAGACTCCATTCCTCTTGACCTAACCTTGGAGATACTCTCAAGACTTCCAGCGAAATCGATTGTGAGATCTTTCTGCGTGTCAAAGCTCTGGTCCTCCTTCACCAAACATCCAAGTTTCATCAACTTCTGCGCGACTCGTTCCTCTGCACGCCCGAGTCTTCTGCTCACCTTCCACAAAGATAACAAGCGATTCGTTTTCTCATTTCCTCAACACCAGAATCTTGACGGGTCTTATCCTCCTGTCGAAAGTTATCATCAAATGGATAACCCCAAAGATTGGACCTTTACGCAACTCGAGTCCGTACATGGCTTAATCTACTTAATTAAGAGATCTCAAAATTTGGAACCCTACCATGAGACAGTTCTTTAGCTTACCCAAACCCTGCTCCCTGAGTGGACTACATCTTTTAGCATACGAACCTTTGGAGGGTAAACACAATTAAAGTATTGTGTATATCCTTCCATTATCCCCAACACCCTTTGGTTCTCACGATAGGAGCTACTCGGGAATCATGGAGAAATACCGAAGATTGCCCTAAGCATTATCCTACATTTTCTACAAAATGCATTAATGGGATTTTGTATTATAAAGCTTTTTTCGGTGTTGCACATGAAAAAGCAGAGATAGATAAGGCACACGAGAATTAACGAGGTTCGGCAACGTGCCTACGTCTTCAAAACAATAACTAGATTCACTTAGACAATCTTTACAACAAGACCTTGCCTAACTGGAATTACACGACACTAAGAACCTCTTAGTTCGACACCAAACAATATCTAGTTACATCCAGTATTAGAACAACTAAACCCGTGTTCCAGCAAGCAGCTCGACTTGCCTACAAAAGCACCGAAACAGAGCAATTCATTTTTCTCTCTCTCTTTTCGGCTAGCCCTAGCAACACACATCTCCCTAGTATATATACCCATATACCTATGAGATATGTCACCCTAGATTTTATCCCGATACAAAAGGAAAATATCCTCTTCTAAATAAAAGAAACAAATCTTCAATAATATTCTTCTCCAAGAATATCTTCAATTGCACGTTTCTTCTGATTTGATCTCTCTAAATATCTTTCTGATATTTATCTTCAACTCCACGAGCCACGTCAGCACCAACCAAGCAATCCCAAACTTGTTCCAACAGACCGTTTCTTGTTCCAGCAAGATCTGCACTTTCATTCTCCCCCTTTTTAACTGAGTTTTACAACTCAAGCTCACCATAATTATCACGCATCCCCAGCAAGACATCATTGTGGATGTCGGATTCACACACTCAAGTATTTTGTTAAGTGGGAAAGATTATTCTTGAGGGACAAAAATGAATATGTAAAAACTTTTAAATTGATATGAAAATTGCTATAGTATTTCTCTCTTGAGAGGAAGATCCCCTTTACATGGCCATTGGCCTCTATATTTATACATAGATGAGCGACATTAAAATGAGTAATTAAGTACAATTATTTCTTCTTAAATGTGTCCGTTTTGATTCTTCGGCTTTAATGCTCAACGTTTGAATTTGAGTTGACTCTGATCTTCGTGGGCCTCGCCTCTTTTGGCCCAAGTGTCCTTGAACCGACTTACCCGTGTCTTCTACACCGAACTCGTGTCTCAGTGCAATCACTTCGAATTCTCGAGATGGTGACAACCACTTCGACCGTCCCTTCGGCCCACGGGTTCAATGGGCTTTATCCTTTATGGGCCATTATCTTGATTACGTGGCAATCTTTGGTTGGTCTCGTACTTCTGGTGCGGGATCCGACACCAACAATTAGCCCCCCAAGTTCTTCGAAGTGCTATTCCAATTCGGAGGACTTTAAATGCTCAAGTGGCCAAAGATTGCGCTCGAGAATCTTTCTGATTTCCCGCCGAAAATCTCATCACTCCTTTAATTTCGGCACTATCCATTTTTAACCGAGTGACATCTGTCATCATTATGACCGTATATTGATTAATTACTATTAAAACGGGAAAAACCTTCCCACTTCCCACACAACTTCCGAGGCGGTTTCATCATTAGCTTGAGGTAACTTCTTTTCACCATTACTCTCTTCTTTTACTTTTGTACTTTAATCAAAAACTCTCTCTTTTCTTCTTCACGAAAAAACCTCTCTCCGCCGGATCTTGAATTTTTCATTTTTATTCGATGACTTCTGATTCTGAAAGACCCGAATCTCCGTCTTACGATGAGAAGCGTTCTAGTAATGACGAATGCACTCGTCCTAACGACATCGCCGGTCCTCATTACAAATCCACCTGTACTCTTCAATCCCTTGAGCGATTGAAGGGGCTTTGTCAAATTCCTCCTGGAATTATAGCGGAGGCGCAGATAGCCGACCCTACGGAATCTCCTGAGAACCACCGTGCCGGCTACTTTTGTGTTTACGAAATTTACTTCAAGAGCTGCGGATTGACCTTCCCCCTTCCCGAAGCCCTAATTCGATTCTTGGCGGCTCTCGAGGTCGCTTTACCTCAATTAACCCCCAATCTCCTCCGAACCATCCTCGGGATTATAACCGTTGCGGCGGAGGCCGGCTACGTCATTGGAGTCCCCGAGTTGAATGAACTCCTAAGCGTAAGGAGTTCATCAAAGAAAACTGGG